GGAGCTCCTAAGAATATTAGAAAAGTTGTGCAACAGGATGAAAAGTTAAGAATACTAATAATTTCTATAAAATTAGCGCCGCTATGGCTGAATGGTTAAGATGTTCGGCACATATCTACAAGATAGTGTGTTCAAACCTCGGCGCCATCATCCATAGAATAACCGTGGACAAGTTACTAACGGCTGTTTTGTCTCGGACCACCCATCCGATAGCACGCTGATTACATATGACATACATAAAAATATCCTCATGGATAGTATGTGGTTAGTCAGTATGCATGGGAAGCTTAAGTAATTAAGCGGAAGGAACTCTGAGTCAGGCCGGCCTTCTGTCCAGAGCTGCAGCTAGTAATAGTTGTAGGAAAAATATCGGGCTCTTGAAACTGTCTCCGGACAGCACCCTATACTGAAAGGTAGCCGCAAGGCAAGGGTTTCTTTCTTTCTTTCTTTCTTTCTATAAAATTGCTGTAACCACAGCCACGATTATATATGAGATCTTGAAATCAACTGATATTTAGCCCATATTGCAGAGCTTTATCAACTGTACATAGAATAAAATAATTATGGATCTCCATTCTTTCTTTCGGTTCAAAAATCGATGTAAAATTTTACTTCCTTGCAACGATTCATACATCCTGTGAAACGAATTTATGAGTCGAAGGAAAGAGCGGAGAGCTATATTTTTTGCTGTGTGCACAGTGCATTAAGCTGTACAAGATGGACTATATATTTGTTGATTTCCCGATCTTATATTTTTTAGTGACAGTGGTTCCCTACAGCAATTTAATAGAAATTAATCGTGTTCTTAACTTTTCATCCTGTTGCACAACTTTTCTAATATTCTTATGAGCTCCAATCGATAGAGCTTGAAATACTACACTTATGATCCAAATTTGACGTTGCGACAAGACTTTCTTCATTATCTAGGGAGTTAAATATGATGAGCAGGGTTCAAGTTTTGTCCCGGAATCCCTGTAATTTTTCCATAAGTTACATTTTTTCGATGTAAAAATTTAAGATTTGCAGAGAACTCAAAATTATCAGTTAGAGGAAATCATTTTGTACTGAAGTTCATCGTTTCGTTATTCTATGAGGGTCCAAACAATGAAAAATAGGGCCAAGAGATTGGTTCAGACTTTATAAGGAATAAAGGAATTTTCGGAGCACTTATTATGATATTCGCAATCAGTGCCATTAAATCTACAATTACATCTGGCTTCGGCTCGTGATAAAACAAATTTTGTTTTCGATGATACTTATGGGGTACCCCAGGCAAAAAAATCGTCAACTTCGAGTTTTGGGAAACAAAGTTGAAAAAAGTGATCAAGAATGATCCCTAAATATATAACTGATAGAAATAATTCAATTCTGAGGGGAGGCCGCAAAACGGTCTTATCCGCCCTCCTCCTTTTACCGAAAATAATTAATTTCTCAAAAACATATTTTTTACCAAAAACAAATTGAGTAAAAAGTTCTTAAAAACCGATGCCAAATTCGAGTTCCCCGATCTCGACAATCTTTGGTCAAGCTTTACCGAAATTAATTCTTTCTCAAAAAAAAATATTTTGATCAAAAAATCATCCGGTAAAAAATATCAAAAATTGATGCCAGATTCAAGTTCTTCAACCTCGATAACCTACAGTCAAAACGATTCCAGCAGCTATTCTGAGCATTTCGTGAAGCTGTTGCATCTACTTTTCTATTGGATGGAAGTACATGGAAGTAAGATGGGAGTACAAGGGAGTACAAGGGAGTACGATGGAAGTACAATGGAAGTACAAGGAAGTACGAGGGAGTATGAGAGAAGTACGAGGGAGTACGAGGGAAGTACAAGAGAAGTACAGGTGAGTACAAAGGGAGTACTGAAGTACGGAAGTCGCGCTTTTCCCCCCTTGATATAAGCAAATATTGCATCAATCGAAACAAAAAAACATGAATCAAGTTTTCGTACTGACAGAAAAAATAGCTTCAACATATTAAAAAGGTATGGATATGTGTATGTTGAATTCATTGAGACAAAGTCTCGAAAACAGAAAAGTAAAAAAAGATTATATTTCTGAATATAAATAATATATCAATGAAAATTGTTGTTGGTATTTTTTAATTTGATTTAATAGATGTATTTACACACAATGATAATTACAGTTCATTATGCAGTGATGAGACAGGAATTTTAGACACGAGTGTAACGAACAACTTGATTAGAGTAGCTTGTGCCACTCTCGGCAATAGTGTTTATTAGGCTACTTCAAGTTATCCAAAGTGTAACGACAAAACTAGAGTGTCGCCTATGCCCGTCGGCAGGATGGTGTATTGTGTCATCTGACATATCCAGAGTGTAACAACTTCATACATAACGCACGTATATATAGGAGAGAGATACATTAGAACAATGGAAAGAGAACAGAAAGAGAAGGAAGGAGAATCATCGAAGCGTGCCATCAATATCGGCACAACGAGGAGGAGAACAACAATTTCTTTACAATCATTGTCCATGTATAGTTCAAAAGGGAATGGAAAATTTTGAATAAAAAACGATTTCATTGAACAAAGGTGATTTCAACTGATTCTGTATCGATTAATACGATTCGTGTACGAGAGAAAGTTTATATATTCTTATAGTTCATAATTTTAGAAATTGAGACTTCTAAGTACTCTGTAAATGAAGTTCGAATAATGTGGAATTTTACTCAAGTCAACATCAATGATTTTATCTTATGTTTTTTATGCAAGTCAACTTTTTTCATGTAGTTTACAAGATTTTTGTTTCTAAATTAGGCAATGCCCTATAGTCATCATCATTTCAACTTTCATAACATGTTAGTAAAGAATAATAATCTAGAAAAGTTTAGACTCCAGCAAAGAAAACATCATGAAAAACAATTTTGAAACTTAGAAACTTTCTATTGCTTTTATCGAGAAGATCTAGCAGGTCCTGATATAGATTCAAATTAAAGAAAAACTAAAAATTGGAATATCACTCAAATGTAATATATTATAGATTATATACATAAATTGATTGAATAATTCAATCACTGTTTTTATTAAACTTCAAATTGTTTGTTTCGCCAAGAATTAGACATGACCAAATACATGGAAGATGTCATATTTTAGATAATATTGTGGGTCAGCTAATGCTGAGAACATTGGCAACATTAAAGTTAAGAGTTCAGAAAACGACTTATTCTCAATAAGCTGTGAGAAAGGTAGCATGATTTATGAATGATCTCTTACTTGTTGATAGGAAATTATTGAACGACAGTAGACCACCTTTTGAATCTAGTAGATTCTGAAAATCTTCTTTGCTCATTCCCTGACCACGATAAACGGTANGGAATGGCTGGGAATGGCTAGGAATGGCTGGGAATGGCTGGGAATGGCTGGGAATGGCAAGGAATGCCAGGGAATGCCCGAATGAGTTTTTCCCCCTTGGAATAATATTTAATACACACTGCACAACCTTTACTACTACTACTATAGGTCTAGATAGAAAAGACAGAATGAATTTCACCTCGAAAACATTGCCATGTGAGTAATTGCTAATGACTTCGAAATCATTGTTTGTGCTAGATCAGGAATTTCTTTTGTAACAACTTAACTCGTCGCCTAAAGTAAAAATAAGTTTATTAAATAATAAAAGTACAAGCACACATACTTCTGGTGTAATAAATTTGAACAATGCTTCCTAGAATTAAGAAATAAATCAGATCAACTTAACATTTAAAAGATAAAAGCTACATGCATTGACATGCAGCTGGTCCTGAATGATCTTTTGTTGGATAATCATAACCAGGGGTACTCATTGGAATAAACTAAAATATATTTATAGTCAGTTATTCGTTTGAGTTAAGGAATGAATATGTGAAATATATAAATATTTGACCAGAGGAAAATAAATAAATTCTTATCAAGCACGTATACACGATCATAGAATTCTTCTAAACAAAAACAAACGTAAGAATAAAACATAGTTGATTGTATAACATACGAAATCGATCCTCTAATTTTTGTGTTTTTCTTTTTTCACCATGCAATTCATATAATTTGTTTCTAAGAATTTGAAACAGGATAGAAGTTCAATAATACCTGATTTTATCTACATATATGAAAATCATGATAGAATTGAATTTATTTGAGAGGAAAAAGAAATCGCTTGTTCAAATTTTCAATTCCTATTGGAGCTTATTTTACACAGTCATTTTCAACAATCGATGTTGCTTCATCAATAGACAGAAGAACATCATATTGTTGTTTAAGCTCACTATTCGAATGAATATGACGTTGTAATTCAGCATCGGTTTGTTGAGAAAAGAAGTCGATCTGATAATGATTGATTACGACTCGTTAAAAGGTTTGTTCACCCTTTTTGTTCAGCAATTTGCGTTAATTTATCAACTATTTCAAGATTATCTTTAGCATAAATATGAGATACGGATTTAGCTTTGTTATGAAGGAAAGATGGGTCTTATATGCTCTACGATTGTCACCTGTAATGAATTTACTTCATTCATTTATTAAAATATTGCCCAAAAAATTAAGATCTGAAGTATATGTAGAACAGATTGCGATTGATACACATCAATTATCATTGATCGAATTGATTCACTGTAGATTTCTAGATTAAAGCAAACTGATGGAAAAGTCTCTTCTACTAGTCATTATATGATGTCGGAAAGAAAGAAAAACATTGACTGGCATCAATAAATCATTATAGTGTATTATTCTATCAGCTGAGTTAAGTTCCTAGGTTATATGAAGATTGACAGAAAAGGCAGTCTCTACCTGTTGACTCAGATCAGTAGTTGTGTATATTTACTGATTAAATTCGAGTCTTTGTTATTTGTTGATTATGACAGAAAGTTTTACAAACATAGATAGATCTTTCTTTATTTATACCATTTGATTTTTAGAAAATTCTTCATCATAATTTCATATAAAACTTTCTCTTATTGGTACTAAAATCGAAAACTTTTACGAAAACATTCGCATACTATTAACTATTTTAATCTCTATATTTTGCGTGTGGGTATGGAATTTTGACAAAAAGATCACCTACATAGTTTCTACAGAGATTTGTAAAGATTTGAGGCCTACATTTTTTTATCAGGATGTGAATAAACAAAAGATCCTCACACTCTCAATCAAACTGAAATCGAATATCTACACCAAACAATTTTAATAATTTTTTCTATTTTGAAAAGAACCAATCGATGATTAACAACTCGAGCAAAAGCACTAAAAATTCTTATCAAAATCAAATTAAATTTATGAATTAGAAAAAAAAACATTAAATGCATTTATTCAAAACAAAATGGATGGTGACGAAAACGATGAAAGAAAAACTTTTGTTCGACATATAACAGAAGAAAAAGTATTATTATTATTATTCAATGATTTCGATACAAAACGATTTCTGAAATGCTTTGCCTTTTGTTATCTAATTGTATGTTTGTCAGCATCATTTTTATTATGATTTCCAGTCACAATAACTATTCTCTTTGGATGATCAGAATTAATGTAACGAACAGTAGTCATAATATGTTCCTCCAGGAGGTCTACAAGATATTGTTTCTTGACATCAAATTTGCTGGCGATTGTAAATAGCAAACACACGTACTACTCTCGGTTGGCTGTTCGTAACTGATACGCTCTCTATCATTTCTCATCGATTGTTAGAGAACGTTTTTCGAAGACGCTGAAGTCAAATGTTTTCGAATTTTTTCGACTTATGACTATTTTAAAATATTCTTGATGAGTGCAAGCAGCGCTTCATCCATGAATCAGCAACTATGAATGCAAACTCATCAGAAAACTGTCATGAGTAAGTCCGCGCGGCGATTAAGTGTGTTCGATGTGGGCAAGTTGCTACGCATTGATGGAGCTCTCTTACGAATAAATATTGCGATGTCTTTTTTCAGACTCGATCATAGGCGGCGAAACGTTTTGAATTTAGGCGAGGCTCAAATTTTTTTCAACGAACGATAAAAAGTCGATATTTGGAGAGAAGATAGACTTTTAAAATTCGTTGTCACAGCTTTAATTGAAAAAGTTTTCTGGATTGATCCATTTATATGGCTGCAGAACAATCGAAAATTTTGTTCCTAGTCAAGAATCACTTAACGCATCCCCAGAGTCCCCACCAATTTTGGATTTTTTAGAAGGGTCTGTCATGAGTTCCCGAGGAGTTAAGAAAAATTTGAAAACTTTCTATCGCGTCGAGGACTCACGACAGGGACTGTCTGAGGATTCATTAGGTGATTCTCAACTAGGGACGATACTATCAAAATTTTTATTTACTTATCAACATAAGCATAAAAAAATCTGAAACTTTGACTAAAGCAAACATATCATAAGTACAAAAACTATTGTTCATACCCAGTAACGTCTTTTCTCTAGTTTTTTGCAATACACTCAGAACAAATGCTCTTCATGTCTAACTGATCTAGTTTCCCTTAATGAATATGAGAAATAAAGGCATGATTAAAGCGTTGCTGTGTCATTATTGATCGTAAATATGTTTTTATTCCATTTATAACACTGAAGCATCTCTGAGCCGTAGCCGTTGAAGTGAGATTTGTTAACTATAAATGCAATAATTTACAATATTTATGAAACAGTTTTCCTAATATATTGTAAGTTACGTAAATCACGACGAAATCTGTATTCTTTTCAAATATCTGAGCCTTCCCAAGCCTAATGGCTCCGCCGCCTATGCTCGAGTATGAACAGACTTCAAGTTTTTGTTTGATTCTGAATTTGTTTATATCCGGGTGATTGAATACGGCCGCTAGATACGGGTCGTGAGCAAATGGTCTATGACTCCATCTGGGTAGACGCGAAGAAAAACACTAGTGAACACAATTGACTTAATATTTTAGAGGAATCTAGAGATACACTGATATCAAAAGTCGCGGTAAATCTTGGTCAGCCTCAGACATGTTTGCATTCAACATTGAATACGCTCGATCTTCCTTTTGATTTCAGTTTTCTTCCTGGTAAGATATGCACAGTATGAGCATAGAAAGATTGAATCAACTTTCAGAATGGCACATATCACGCAAAAATTCCTATTAGTTCTTGTTATTCGACTACAATGTGTGTGTTTGATTTCGACTCAAATCTTTGTTTTATGAATTTTGCTTAACAAAAATTGAGCATCATTAAAATAAAGAACCTCATCGTCATATAAATCTTCTGCTATTATCTGTATCAGTAGTTGATTTGTTCTGTTTATAAAATCAAAGACGATTCAATGATTGCTAAACGCTATGTATATCTCTTTAAATCGATTGTTTATTCTTTCTCTAATCCAACTGACAAATGAAAATTAAACTAAATTTCTTTTTATTTATTATTTAGCAATCAAACTCTTCTTTGTCGAAACATCGGAAGCGACTTGCTGTTCAATCTTCTCTTATTATTTGCTTTATTGAAATAAAAATTCAACGAAAATAATATTTACAATAAAGGAAAATATTGGTGAAAAGTTTTTGGAGATACAAACGGCTCGCTTACACAAAGACTGGTCAATTTACTACAAGTGAGACGTGTAGCATCGTTGGTAAAATTGTTTGTGACTAGTGCGAGTGATTCGTAGCCGATTGTAAGGTCCAACAAACAAGGCAAATGATAATGTTCAGCGACGAGAAACTGTTCAGCATAATCTGTATGAGCAGAATCAAGGTTGAGAATGATAAGATGAGAAAATGTAATCAATGTCTTGGATAGTTGCTTATCTTTCTGTGATGCATCATTGAATATAATCAATTGTTTCAGCAGAAAAAAACTTTGAGAGATGACTTTAAAGAAGTTATGCTCAAATGGGTAGAGGTCCGCCATCATCAAAGATAGAACACTATCAAACATGCCACCTTGAAAAGAATTGCTTAAAGAGCAAAAATTTTCGAATTGATACGGAAGTGAATAGATGTGGCATTCATCTTCACTTTCTCTTGTTGTGAAAGTTTCAACAAGTGAACTAACTGGTCCATATTGTTTTCTGGTGAAACTACGTTGGATATCTTCATTCGAAGAAAAAGCAATTTCAATATTCTTCTTGTCTACACATGTATCTATATTCCAACTGAATTTGTTTAATCGCGGCATATAAAAAAGAATATCATCATATAATTGAATGCCATCAATATAATTAATTCTTGTTACTTATTATCATTGACAGATATAACATTAGTTCTTCAAGATTTATCATCCGTCGAAGTAATGAAGTTATCGATAGTTCCTAATGTATGTGCAATTACTTTTACATGTATAATCAATTTCGATAAACAATTGAAACGTCCATCAAATAGATAAAGACAATCATCGAAAGTTGCCACATTAATTTTCAATGACGTCAACGTTGAAGATTTACTTAAAGTTAAAACCAAAGTAAATATAGCCGAAAGAGTTTGAGGAGATGACGTTGCTGGTTCATCGTTGAGATCAATTTTAAGATATGTTATTTGTTCAATAAGAAGCTGGTGAAGAATTGTACTACCTTGTATTCACAAACAAACAAAAACAGGAAAACGATTATTGACTTCTCTCGAATTATTTCACTGCTGTATTAGAATTTAAATAGTTTACTTGTTAAGTAATTGAGAAGTACTTCTTCTGGAAAATCCATAAGTATTAATGAGTAAAGTCATATTAAAATTACGAATATAGAATGGATCAAATACTAATTGAGCAAACCGTTGATTAACATCCACAAGTGAATACAAAACATCGATCAAATTATATTGAGATGATTGTTATTCGAAATGTTCATGTCTAATACACTCAGTTCAATCATCTTAGTTTATATTGACATACCTTTTTTCTCATTACTGTCTGAGAGAGGGTGTGGGTGTGTATTTTCTTAATATATATCCACACCCACACCCACACCCCACACCCTAATAATCTTGCTATGAAAGATGTTAAATATTTCGAAATCAGGGTATTGGTTTTAATTCGAATATATGTATATTACTAGATTTTCTTTTCACAATGTTGTAGTCAAAAATTGAATAATGTTTCAAAAATATTCACGATATTACAAAGAACGAAAACAAAATGAATCGGAAGAAAAGAGAACAGCTCGTATTTGCTTCTAACTTTCATTACGTTGCACATTTTCATCTGTATTTGATTCATATCCTTTATTCATAATACCATTATCAACAGGAGACATTGTTGAACTATGTAAATCACACGTTGCTTGCTAAGAAGAAACAAAAAATAAATCAATATATTTGATAGAAAAGTCTTCGATCTATTTTGTCAGTTCTAGCAAGCATCAGTATTTTTTGGTTAACTCAAAAGCCGTTGTCGGCTTGACCCCGTCGATAAACATGTAGTTGTTTCCTGTAAATAAAATAGATTTCGCTTCATTGTTTTTCTTGATTTATTTCGATGTCTCTTATATATTATTTTTTTTACTCGAAATAAAAACTTACTTTAAGATCTCGCCCTTTGGTTTCAATTGGTAGTAAATATCCAGCAATAGCTGCCATTGCTGTAGCTAGAATATAAACACCTATAGCTCCTTCGAATGTTTGTTTTATTAAAACTTGAGCCAAATATGGAGTTATCATAGCACCAATTCTTGCCATTGATGATGCACATCCAATAGCAATAGCACGTATCACAGTTGGATAAACTTCCAGTGTATAGAGATACAATAAACTAAATTGAGAATTAATAAACATTCGTGCTATAAATGTTATTGAATTAATAACCCATGGTTGATGACGAGGCGTTATAAGAAATAAAGTAAAACAAAGTGATGCACAAGTAAAATTAATCATACATGTAGTCCGACGATCAAAACGTGATAGAAAAAATAATAATAATGGTATACCGAACATTTCACCAAATGTTGTAAATATTAATGATTTATAATCATCAGTAGTTAACATTTTACATCTGGTTGATTTCAATGTCATTAAGTCTCTCTGATCATTCATCAATGTCATCAATGATGTATTTATTAAAATTAAACCATAATAAGTCATTGCTACTGTCATCCACATAAATGCTAGTAGACACGATGTTCGTTTCAGATTTACATGAAACAATTGTTTAACAGATCCACATTCATCCTAAAAATGACAAAGCAGATATTAAACAAAGTTTCATCCTGTGTACAACTATCCTCCAGAAACTAACTTTAGCATTAATATCGACAAGTTTGCCTTGTGGTAACGAATGCTTGTTTGTTAACGCTATTGTTTTCAATACATCTTCCGCTTTTTCTTGTCGACCACTAGCAACATAATATCGAGGTGATTCTGGTACAAACTAAATTAACAAAAAAAGAAGGAAAATATTAAATTCTTTTATTTGAAAAATAAATATTTTATACTTACATACATACAAAAAGCAACTACCGATATTGGTAAGGCTGAAAGAATTGTTAATACACGCCAACCATAGATTGGCACAATAAACATTGCCATCAGATATTCAAAAATGCTGCCCAATGACCAAAATAATTCAATAACAATTATAATTGTTGCACGTGTAGATGATGGTAAATATTCAAGCATTAATGTAGATCTATTTATAAAAGTATTTCTAAGAAATGGCTCTCCATTGTTTCTTTTTACTCACCCTTGAGCAGCACCCGATAGAGCAAATCCAACAAGTGTTCTTGCTAAAAGCATCCAATAGTAATTGGGTGCAAATGCTGTCAGTAGTCCAAAAATCGTATTTAATATTGCACTTAGAAAAATAACTCGTCGTCTGCCATATTTATCTGCTAAAATACCGAATAGAAATGCTCCACACATCATACCAGCAAAAACACCCTAGAAGAACTTTTTGATAACATTTAAATAAAGAAAAATAATTTCTCTTACAGTAGTTAGTGAAGCTATTTGAATTTCTGTTACATCAGACCAATAACATGTTAATGCTGGTCCAAGAATAGCCAAAAGCATCATTTCTACTGCATCGGCCATGGAACAAAAACCGAGTATAGAAATTAAACGCCATTGAAATCTTCCCAAACCAATATGATTAATACATTCTTCGAGAGTATAAGTTATATTTTTATCAGTTTGTTTATTACTAATTTTCATGGTCTATATTAGAGAATAAACCTGTTTCAGAAAAAAAATAAAGGAAGTGAAATTATTTGCCAATCAAAAGAAAAAAACACTCATTCTCAGCCAGCTGACACCCCGAAATAAAGAAATTAAAGTGATTTTATTACATATTATACGGCTTATGACACTATACTATTGCAAGAAAAAAAATCACGTTGTACACAACAACGAAAAAAACAGAACAGTAAAAAAAACGTAAAATATCCTCTTGATTATCATTTCAATAGTGTGACGAACCTTAACGCCATCTGTATGTTGTATATTTCCATTTTGTTTTTCAATTGGTGACTAACCGAGCAAATTACTCAATCGATCTACTGCGGTTTTTTTACTACTTGTTCCGAATCCAATCAGTCGAATAATAACAAACGATAGCTTCTCAATGCTATGACGAATAATAATACAATGCGTGAACTTAAACTCCATAGTCCAGCTGGTGTTGAACCAGCCGTATTTACTTGGCCCAATGTCGAGCGACAGGTAAATCATTTAAATTATTCGTTTTTTTAATTTCATTAACATTTAATTGAATTTAGAAAACGAAAACAGATTCTGTTTTTATTGGTGGCGATGAAATTGTTCGAACGATTCGTTTAGTATTCGAAGGTTCGAATTAAATATAATCTTGTAAAAATCATTTTTCTATCTCTTTTAAAGATTATCCCGTATTATATCAACAAAATCTTGGCCTTGATAATTGTGATATTCATTCATATAGTAAAATGAAAGAATTATGTGATAAATTCAATAAAATAATTGATACACATGTAAAATTAAATCGTGGTACAGAAGCATTTTCAGCACGACTTCAACAACGTCCGTCAGTCAAATTATTTCGTCATATTCTGGCTCAAGCTTATAGTCGAGCAGTAACTGATCCAGATAAATTACGCGATTATGAACCATTTTCACCATCGGTAAATAGAAATAGTTGCCTAACGGAAACCTTCGATTATCTTTTTTTATTTGTATTTTTCAAGGTCTACGGTGAAACATCACCAGATTTAATTGATTCAATTCTTCAAGTACTCAATTTAACTGAAGATCAAACATTTATTGATCTTGGCTCTGGCGTTGGAAATGTTGTTTTACATGTCGCTGCATTAGCTAATTGTAAACATGTGTATGGTATTGAACATGAAGAAACTCCGGCAGCATATGCACGTGCAATGGCTGATGAATTTCGTTTTTGGATGCGTTGGTATGGAAAACATTATTCGGAATTTCAATTAGAACAAGGAGACTTTTTAACACATCCAAAACTTGACGAACGAATTAAAGACGCTGATGTTATTTTTGCAAATAATTATGTATTTGGTTCAACAGTTAATCATGGATTAAAAGTTAAATTCATGGCTATGAAAGGTAGACATATCTAGTTAAGAAATTCTTTTTATTCATTTTACAAATAGATGGTGCCAAAATTGTTTCGTCAAGAGAATTTTGTTCTGAAACATTTCGACTTAATGATCGAACAAAAAATGATTTAGGTGCTGTTATGCATGTTTCGTAAGTGAAATGAATGAATCAAACAAGAATTCATTTTTTCTAATTTTACTTTAAGAAAACCAGAAGATTTCCTAGGAAAAGTCAGCTGGTCAGACAAATGTGTTCAATATTATCTTCATGTTATTGATCATAGTAAATTGGCACTATTCTATGAAAAAATGCATCAAATTCATACAAAAGGATCAAAAACAAAGTAAGAATTATTGATTGTATTTATCATGCAAAACAATTTTCTGTTTAGCCACACAAAACAGAATGATGATAATCATTTATTACCTATAACAAAACATCAACCAACTAAAATTTCAAAAATCGATGAAAATCATCCACCGAATCAACACTTAAAAACATCTAAACGTAAACGTAGAATAAAATCTCCGATTCCAACATTACCATCTAATGTTTCAACACTCATTAGTGCACGTGGTCGTAAAATTCATATAAAACGTCAATCCGATAATGAATCTAACTTTGATTCTGACGCATTCGATGATGATGATGACGATGATGAATATTTCAATTCTAAACATCGTTGTTCTTCATCATCGAAAAATTATCAATCAACATTAAATGAATTACATACAGCATCAGAAAATTTCTTTCAATTAGATCAAAACATTCAAATCAAAAATAAAAATTTTAATTATGAAACAATGACAAATTTATCCAATGACAATCTTCATATAAATCATTTTCGTGATTGTTTATTAGAACATGATGATAAACAATTTTTAACTTCAATTAATTCATATTTAGAACAATTTCGTCAACGTCTTATGTCGTATTTTACTTACATGAAATCGGATATATATCGTGAACATTTAAGAAAACAATTAGACAATGAAATGGAAATAAATAAAACACTAAAACTTAAAGTTACTTATCTAGAAAATAATATCAAAGCTCTATTGGAAGACGCAATTACATTACTTAAATTGCGAACAAATGAATTAGGTATTGAAGAATTAGAACGACCTGCACAATTAATAACCTATGCAAATGATATATCCAATAAACATAAAGAATTACGTTCGAAAGTTGCAACACTTGAAAAAGAAATAGCTGAATATAATTATGAAAATGATAAGATTAGTTTAGTTTTAAATAATATTCTAACCGATGGACATCAATCAACGACAACAGCAACAGCAACGGAACAATTATTGAACGAGAATATCTATTCAACATTATTAGTTAATATGAGTCGACAAACTCAACAGCAATTGAATCATATTGAATATTCAAATAGTTCATCAATGAAAACAAATCAAGTTTCACGTTTACCAATTAGTCCAAATACTTTAGTAGATCATGATTTTGATTTAAATTTAAAATCTAATCAAAGTATAAATATGTTTTTATGTCTATCTTTCAATTCTGCTCTCTCTCTCTCTTTAGGTTCTACATCAACGTATAACATTGCTAAATCAGAACGAAAAACAGATTTTATTATTCAAAAACGACCAAAGAAAATTCTAAATCCAATTTCTGATAGTTACCCAATTGACACATCAATGAAAAATATTCAAGTTGCCGAAAAACATCATGAAACGCTACAATCTGTACCACCGCCGCCGTTACGATCATTGAATGTTTCAACTGTGACAAAGAATCTTCTATCAACTAAACAAATCGAACCAGTACAAGTTCATTCAGTTGTTTCGAACGTTGGACATATAACAAAACAAGACAAATCTTCACAACAAGCTACATCATCCTCGAATAAGTCAGATGACAATAGGTTTGTTTTCTTTACGTACTGAAAACATTTTTCTAACTTTGCTTTCATCCTTGTTAGTCAAGAAACGAATGTGAATTGTCCACGTAAAAAACGTGATTTTTATGGAAAATCATCTGGTGGTATACCAACTTTATCACCATCGCACAACAGAACTTCTCGTCGTATGAATAAAATAGATCCATTACCAGCACATAAAAATCGTCCATCATCAACTCCAGCTTGCACAGAAGTATTACCAACAACTATTTTGCCTGATCGACCTATTTCGATTCCTCCACTAAAAACATCATCCTATATTTAAGAAACACGAACAAAATTTTTTATCTCAGATATAGATAAATTACTTTCTTTCAGCAATTTTATATATTTCTTAAACTTTTTTGATGATAACTGGTATTAGCTTTCGTATTCCTTTGTTGTTGTCGTCATTTTCTATTATATCATATCAGCATGATTTCGAATTTTTTTAGATATTATTTCAATTCATTTTTCCTTTTTTTTCTCTGTTGTAAAGTTTATTTGTGTAATATATAGAACAGATTAAATAATATATTTTGTTCTTCCTATTGATTATTGAGTGAGAAGAAGTCGACGTGTAACTGTTATTTCAACAACTACTTGCGTCCTCTAGTACGATAATCACATGAAAGCGTCCAAGTCATCTATAATTTGTCTAGACATACGAACCAATAAAATAGCAAATGCTGTCGTTGTCAATATGGCGGTGTTTAACCAGCTATTTTTATAGTAGCTATAAATTTTATACAAAACTTTACGTTTTTCAGACTGTAAATGAGGTCTACATCGCTGATGATGATAATTTTTATTATCCTTCCGATATTTTCCTGGTCGGTTGTAGTTGCTAATTTAAATGTAGCCAATTTAAATGGATTAAAAGCTCAATTTCAAACAGCAATTAAATCATTTTCGGATATATCATCGTTACATTATACTTTAGCTGGTATTAAAGAACTCGGTGTTCAACTTCCCGATTCCTATTGCGATAATATTAACAAATTAGTTGATAAATCAAATGTTGAATCAATTTATCATGCTACTGAAGCATCAAAAACATTAGTGAATTGCAAAGTATATTGATAGAAAAAAAAATTGCTTTTTTTTTGCTAATTGATACTTTACTTTAGTTACCTGCCGAAGACTATCGTGCTATTCTAACAGCAGTTCTTCAATCAGAAGATAGTAAAACAGCTGAAATCTATTTTGCCGTTCGTTCAAGTGTTAATCTTGGTTTAACTGTTGATGAATCCAAGATTGAAAAACGTCTCAATCTATTAGCTAAAACTGATGATAGCGTCGTAAGTCAAGGTTATGCTTTATTAACTGGCGCACAGTTAAGTCAAACAATAGCAAAATCTTATGCTGATACAATCAATGATCTTGTACAACAAGCCGATGAAATCGATGGTAGTATACTTCAATACGAAGGTGGCATTGGTGCAACCGCATTGATTTTCAATGCATTTTATGAAGTTGCAGAAAAAGCGGGTGTACCAGTTAAAATTGATTCTAAACAATTAATTAAATTTGCAACATATTTTTCAAGTAAACGACATGTTGCTACATTACGAAGTGCTTATTATTTAACAAAAATCTTTAAACATTTATCGGATAATAAGGTAGAAAAAAGCCACTTAAATTCTTTGCTTTTATTTGTCTTGTTCAATGTAGAATCAAGTTCCAGTTGTTGTTAGTCGTATTAGTCCATCGGCTATTAGTCCACAAAACCCATCGGTACTTGTTTCCGTTACGAACATTCTCGGACAGCCTGTTGGTGAAATGTCTGTTGTTGCTGAATCAGCTAAACGTAAAGAAGATGGTGTTGTTGTTATATCCAAACAAAAACTGATTTCTAAAGCTAGTGATTTGTAGGTTCTTTTGTTCGGCGAAAAAAAGTTAAAACTAGGGAAATATTCTTTTATTTAGTTCGGTTTATGAATTACCTTTCTATGATACGAAGATTCCTCGTGGATTTTATACAATTCATTTAACGTTGACAGCACGTAACGAAGGCAAACTAATTGGTTTAACCGATAATATGGTTTGTATTTAAACACAAAAGATGCTTTTTGTTTTCATTTACATAAGAATCGTATTTTAGATTGATGTTAAAGTTACATCAGAAGGCAGTATTGAAAATGTAGAATTAACTGTTTCAGATCGTGATAATACTGCACAAGCTAAAACATACAAGTAGTATAAATTTTATTATTCATAATCGAATAATATTTTGATTTTATTACTAAAGATTGAGCTATCCAAATGGTCAAACTGATAAACTTGAACTTGATTATCATCAAAAATTAACAATTAAATTTCAAATAAAAGATAAACAAAGTGGCGAATTCGTTCGTGTTCAACAAGCATTTTTACGTTTTACAAATAAAAAATCCAATAAAGAAATCATTTATCTAGCTGAACCATCCGATGGTGCTAATTCACAATATAAAGTTGAAGTGGTATGATTAGAAATATTTTTATTATTTGTTGAGTCTATCGACAAAGAAAAAAATTCGCTTTTTAGGATTTAATAACAAATGCAAATGATTTTCGTCACCAATCAGATACCTATGAAGTTGTTTTAATTCTTGGAGATTCTTTATTACAAACTGCATATGAATGGAAATTAAATAACAATGTTCAATTAACATTTCATGAAGATAGTCTTGCTGATAAAGATCATCAAAAACTATATTTACCTCGGCCAGAAATTATTCATCAATTTCGTGAAGATGAAAAACGACCACCCAATGTTGTATCACTTGTTTTCAGTGCCTTGACTGCACTGCCACTATTAGTTCTTTTAATTTTAGTAAGAAAAAAAAGAGCGAATATTCTCCGAAATAATTTGTTTTCTTTGTGTTTATAGTGGCTTAAACTTGGTTTCAATTTGGCTGGTTTACCACTCGGACTGAGTCCATTAGGTTTTCATATTTCTCATGCAGGTAATTTGAAATATTTTATTGAACAGAGATACAATGATATTACCTTGTCTAACTTTTCTTTTTCTTTCAGCTGTTTTTGCTTTGATGTTTTTCTATTGGAAATGTTTAAATATGTTTCAAACAGTGCGATATCTTGCTTTAGTTTCTATACCATTATTTCTTTTTGGTCATCGAGTATTATCAACATTAGCTGCTCGACGGTAAAATAACTAAAATAAGTTTTTTTATCCTTTTTTAAAATTTTTCTAGAGAGAAGAAAGTTTGATCGATTCATCTTTAACGGATACGAAGGAAGAAAAAAACAACCATGAACAATTCTTTTTCTGTTATTGTTTTCTTTTATTGTTGTTTATGCGTATGTCTAGATCATATTTAACATTTTGTGCTTTGTCTCTTATTTCCAAAAATGATGTGAAAATCTGCAGTGTTTGCTTTTTCTTTCTGCTCTTGTTCTCTATGACGTTTTAACAAGTGTTTCATGTTTTCGTTTTCGGGCATTTTCCATCAAAAAATATCAAAGTCCAGTGTGATTCAAATTTATTTGTTTCATCACCAACAAGCTAATACATGATAGAATATCATTGTTTGCAATCAGCATCTAATGATACTGCAAAATCTCAAGCAAATATAATTCGACCAATCATGCCTGTACCATCTTCGAGTATCTAGAAAGAAGAACATTTATATTCTTGTTCTATTCCATCCACAAAGTTCAATTTCGTTTTAATTTTAATCAAGCCAAAGAGCAAAAAAAGTTACGAAAAATTAGTTTCATTTTATTCGTTTTTAGTAGATAATTGGTTTTTCAGGAAAGCCAAGAATTAATTGTGGATCAGGACACTTATGAAGCATTGCTAATGCTTCTTCTTTTGATGCTACACCAGGATAATCACCTTGCATATTGTCCATATCAGATATTATTTGAAAATGTAAATGTGGATTCCAACCACCATTTTCATTTTTTTCTCCAATATAACCAACAAGTTGACCTGCTTCAATTGATTGTCCAATAGATAGGTCTTTTAAACTAATTAAGCTTAAATGTCCATAAAGTGTATAAAAATGAACATCCTCAAGTACATGTTCAAGAATGATGGTTGGTCCATAATCAAATGGTTTATCATTATTTTTAAAACTATGAATACGTCCATTGAGTGGAGCATAGATTGGTGTATTTGCCGGTTGTGCTATATCAACACCTAAATGTATACAACGAGCATCTTGAGAAAATAGACTTGCTTGTGAGTAAATATTTCGTTCTTCGCCATAACCGCCTAACCTACAATTTTTGATTTGAAAGAAAAAAAAACACATTCGCTTTTCTTCACGATAAGAAAAAGGTAAAAACAATTTAATTTTACCAAATAAAATTTTTAAAATCCAAGGTACTAGCGTATTCTTCATGATTAGCATACTTTTGTAATTCTTTATTGTGTACGCTTATATCAAGTTGACGAGCATTCTCCGATGTTAATGGAAAGCCAAGAATTGGTAGAAATTTGTTTCGATTATTTAATAAAACAGAAACAACGCGAGTAGGTGCATTGGCTATCATTGTAAATGTGTCTGTAATAGGATACAAGGCATTTAGTATTAGTAGTATTTATAAATCGATGGTTCGTCATATAGAGACCCTTATCTGAGTGCACTTTCTATTTTTCTTTCAATCGTTAGTTAATATTGTCTTGTCAATGGTGGATAGTTCTCAACGAATGATGAACCTAATCGGGGAGAGAAAAGTAAACACAGATGGCAGTGAAATAAAGTTGACGATCTCGATGTCAATTGCCTAATTATAAAAAATATCAACTGACACGAGAATAGAATATAGCTATTAGACTATACATGATGATTCTTATCTTATCTAACATAGTTCGTCAACAATTGATAAAAGAATCATTGAAAGTTTATATATTCAGCAAGAACAACACAGATCTATTTCCCGCACATAGAAAAATGACGCGCATAATGATAATAATAATAGTAGTAGTAGTAGTAGTAGTAGTTATTATTTTGTAACTAAGTGGTAAAAAATTGTCAGTTGTTGAATCTATTTCCCAAACAAAACAAAGTTTCCTCTTGTAAACATCATTTTATTACGATCTATCAAATCATCGTCAACATTAAAACAACCAACACCCTTTCATATTAAACATCATCTCATTTTTATACTTTTTCATTGAATAAACAAATATTGCTAATATGGTCGATGTACAAAAATTAATTTTAAATAATCAAATCGATCGTATTGCTATCAATACATTATCGGATATATCATTAGGTAGTGGTCATACGAAAGCTACTGATTCAAGTGGTTACGGTTCTAATCTAAGTAAAAATGATCATTGTCGAACAACATGTCTCATTGTCAATTATCTTCCACAATCAGTTAAAGAACAACAATTTCGTCAAATGTTTTCACAAATTGGTCGATTACGATATTGTCGTTTAATGTAAATACTATTAGAACAGATTTCAGTCCTATCATATGAAGTTCTGAGAGAGATTCGCTGCCTTTTTTTTTATTGGTTTTAGGTTTGATCGTGCGACTGGATATTCGTATGGATATGGTTTTGTTGATTATTATCGAACTGAAGATGCAGCTAAAGGTAGATTATTTTGAATATTTGTTTCTTTTTAGAAATATTCTCTTTTGTTTTTCTCATTTTATAGCGATTGATGCACTTAATCAATTAAAAATGGAACATAAAATTATAAAGGTATCTTATGCAAGACCAAAATGCGAAGAAACACGTGGTACAAATCTTTATATAAGAAATTTACCTGGTAGAAAAAGAAGTGTTACAATCAATTGAGATGTTTCTTTGTATTTATTCTTAGAAAAATATGACGAAAATAAATTAATGGAGTTATTTTTACCTTATGGAGATATAATTCAAGCACGTGTCATACGTGATCAATCAACAGATAGTCCACGAGGCATTGCATTTGTCATAATGGGTACACGTTCGCAAGCACAACGTGCAGGTAAAACTAACTAGTGCATTATTTCATTAGCAGTGAAATTATTTTTCTCAGTCGAATCTCTCAATGGACAAATTATTGATCATCAACGTCCATTGCTTGTTAAATTTGCCGATGATGATAAACGTCGGCGCCAGTTAATGGCACGCTATTTACCACAAATCGATAATAACATTCCATCATTATCAAATACACGAGATCCATCGGACATTCTTAGTACACAAATGGCTCAATTAAATTTGCTCGTCAATGGAAATAATTCGAATACTACTCAACAACAGCAACAACAACAACAGCAAGGGCAAGATATGAATTTACTGATGAATACCTTATTGATGATGCCTTTTTGGTCAAATATGTGTGGATCAACAATGCCTGTTGCATATCCAAACAATGTTATAACAACACCGCAAAATAAAAATATCGATCCAATCATTGATACATTAGCAACGACAAATGGAACGTAAGTTTTCTGAACGAAATATTTAATATCGAAAACAAATGAGTTAATTATGTAGATCAAATTCTTCACTGACATCAGGTGAATCGTTAAACAATGGTACAGGTCAACATTCAAGCGTAGGTTCCAATGATTCATCATTAATTTCATCGAATATAATCGATACATCAACTGGTGGTTTTGTTGTTTTTATTTATGGTATTGGACCAGAGACTACACAAGAAGAAGTATCAAATATATTTCAAGGTTTTGGACCTATCATTCGTACAGATGTTATTAAAAATAAACGAACAACAATTGGGAAAGGTTTTGATTAAGAATTTTTCGAAAATGGAAGCACAAATATTTATTTTTAGGTTATGGTTTTGTTGTATTTCGTCATTTGAATGATGCATTAGGATCTATTAAAGCATTGCATAATATGCCATATAAAGGTCGTTATTTGCAAGTTCGATTCCGTGTTTAAAACAAATCAACCTGCTATTCTATTCGTTTATATTTTATGTTCATACTCAACAAAAGTATTTTTCTCGTTTCTTAATTATTGGATGACTTGCAACAAAATAGGTGAATTCATCATTGGTTGAAGTCGAGTGCTTACAGATACAATATATATATATATATTCAGCACCTATGTTCGAGTACACTTCTGTTTGTCGTGACTCAGTTCGTGTACATTATTGTTTTGTTATTATTAGAATATAGAAAAATAAATCTATCGATTTGGATCATCCGATCGAACGAAGGCAAAGACAAGCTATATAACCGGATGTGCAAAAGTTTTTAGACAAAACGTTTGTTGATTTTTTATTCACTTGAAATTATTTTTGACGAGTCAAACTCTACGTGTTAGAACCAGAATTTTGTGCTCTTTCGGAATATGAACTTAGAAATTTTGTGTCGGTTTTTGTTCGCGAGTAGTAAGTTAATCTTTCAAAGGTAGAAAAAATTAGTTTGGACAGAAATTTTTTCCGCACACTTATATTTTCACTGTTATGATCCGAAACTAAAATTTGGAACCTTTATTATGATACCAACTTGTAGAACAAAATCTACCCTATAAAATGTGCTATTTGAGTTTTCTTTTCTCTGTCGGCAGGGCACCTGAGTTTTCGTGTTCCCTACATCGCCATTCGTGAAAATTTGGTTTTTTGACCAAAACCGCTTTAAGTGGAAAGGAGGTCTTGGAAAAATGCGTATAGCTTCCCTTGGGTAAATGCTACAGCTTAGTTCAACGCCACATTTTGTAGAGAATTGTTCACTTGACAAAACTACCACATCCGAAAATTTTTAGCATATTCGCAAAGGGGCTTACAGGGGTTAGAAAAACTTGTTTTTCTAAGTCCATAATCCGAAAGAGCACAAACTTCTGGTTTTAGCGCATCGATTTTGGCTCGCCGGAAATAATTTCAAGCAGATCAAAAATGAACAAACATTTCGTCTCAAAACTTTCGCACACCCCGTTAAGCTACTTTGATAAGCACTTTGTTTTCAACGTACAGACTTAATTCAATCAGAATGAATTTGTATCCGATTTTTTTCCACAATTCGATAACAGAAAATATCTGCAAGCACTTACATGACGATTTTATTAAGTCAAAAAAGAAAAGTCCTACAGTATTATGCGGCTATGTTAGGATTAATTTAAAGTTTAGTTTGGCTATACGACTATTTCTCTCTATGAAAAATTCTGTTATTCAAAACAAAACAAAAAACAGTTGCTACTCTGAAATAATTTTATAAATATTAATGGATGATGGAAATCGTGTGCAAAACCAATTATTTGTTGATAGAGTTAAATTAATCGGTGATTCCTTTTGATTTTCAACATTCATAAAACGACATTCACCGTTAACTTCACAACTAGGATCAAGCATGATCAAATGGCCTGTCATATATTCAATCAAAATAACTACATTTAATGTTGCACACCAATCCATTCTTGGCGTATATGATGAATCTTGATGCCAACACTCATGAAGCAATAAGCGTTTAATGCATGACCAGATTTTATTGTCGTTTGAAACGTTAAATACACAAATTCCGACTTCATGACGACGTTCTAAACGATAACCAAGTGCTATTTGTTCATTCGGCATCACAGTTAAATCAGTTATTTCTCCAACTATTGGTCCAGCTCCTCGATTGATTTGATTGGGCATTATATCACGAAATGTTTTAGTTACTTGTTCGTCTTTATCATAATGCATTACAATAATTTCATCACCATTATAACTGATTGCATTTTGAGAAACTATTAAATAAATGCTTGTTTCACTACATGATAATCGTTTCATAGTGCGGTCTGGAAATAAATAGTATTCAGTAAGCTGCATTGAAGTATCTGTAAATAGACGCAAGCGTGAACGATTAAGTATTAAATAGCCTGCTAATTTAGTCGAATATATAATATCTTGAATCCATTCATTATCACCAGCGACATGTGTTACATCAGGTTCTCGCCATTCAATAAACTGTTGTGCTTTCACATCATTTATGTCAGATATGAAAACTAAACGAAATTTTTGGGTTGTTGAATCGATTTCATTGTAAAGTAACTGATTATCATGACAACAAAGAGTGCCAGCATATTTATCATTAGCTAGAGGAATCACTATAGAATTAGCACGTTGAATTTGACGTGTTAAACCAGCGTCAAATTCTTCATGATTTGTAGTATTAGCATCATTGATACTATTTCCATTGACTCTGACCGATTCACGGTTTTCAGTTGTACTCGTTGTTTGCTGTGTCGTATCTGTATTGACTAACTCCCGTATTTCTTCAGGTACAGCTGTTTGATCATATGAACTTGTTGGAGTTGGTAATTCATGTGAATTAGTTGTGATTGTACATTCACGTGCTAAAAATGCATCTGTTGGCTCGTGTGTACTTATTCCAAGTAATGTTTCTTGTGAACTAGTTAGAGTTGTTAATTCTAAAGATCTTCGCATGTCTGTATCAGATATTCTTTCATCATTTGATACAGGTTCTCGTTGTTCAGTTTCAATTGTTATTAATTCATGATTGTTCATATTTGATAGCGGTGAACATACATTTGTTTGTAATATTGACGGATTTATTTTTGAGATTAATGCCGCATCTAGTTTCGTATCATCTTGAATTCTTTCTTGTCCGGTTTGATAATCGTCAAGAGCATTTGTTATTTGACATTGATATTCAATGAGACTATTTAAATTTTCATGTGTTGGTTGATTCATTTGATTATATATTACTTCAAAATTTTCTCGAATGTTTGGAATATCTTTGAAAATCTCTTTTCGTTGTTGAACTTTGTTAGAAAACTCATCGACAATATCATTGATATCTTGTATACGTTTACGCTTCTAGAAAGAAACATTGCAATTCTAAAGACAAGACTTATTAAGAAAATGATATCATTTATTCATTATTTCCTTTTGTAAAACTTCTCAGGATATCTATTATTATATTTCATGTTTTTTTTTTTATGATTTTAAATTTTCATCCCTTGTAAACAGTTTTCTTCCTCGCACGTGTTGTGCTATGTTCTTTTTTGTTTCAAGATGAAAACAACAAAGTAAATACGAGTATAAATTGACTGTTTTTTCAATAGACCATGAGAATAATTCGATCGGTTTAACAATTAGAATTAAAACTTAATTTTCAACAATAGAAAACTACGAAATTTCGTATGAAACTAATACAAACCCAACTATCAATGATTATTTGTTCAGCGTTAGATGTTTCGTTGGTTGGATCTTCTAATGCAGAAATTTCTTTTAATTTTTCATATGTTTTTCGAACGTTATCTTCAATTTCGGCTCCGACTTGTTCTATATGTTGATGAATACAATTAAAATCAAATTTATCACCACATGTACAAGTTACATCAAATTTTCGTTCTTCACACATAGTGCAACGATCTTGCGGCGTTAATGGTGCGAATGATGTTGTTAATGAAAAGCTTGCCCTCGTAGCCATAATTGATCTACAATAAAATTCAGTGTAGAATTATGTTAGCTATAGTTATATTCTACTACATCAAGGAATATGACCAATAAAAACTAAAAAAATGAAAGGAATGAAAAAAACAAAGTAGATGAGACACTCTGTAAGCAAAAATACTTTTATTTTTGAATTTTTACTTGGAAGAAAAAGGGAAAAGAAAAAGTAAGTTGGAATGTTTTTCTTGAAGATCAATATGTGACAACAACTCCATGAAATTTCTTGCGTGTCTACTTAAATTGTTTTCAAAATAAAATTTAATTGACCAGACCAAACTTATGTTTACATGCCACTGAGATTTATTTATATGTAGAGTATTTCTTTTTCTCGATCTATGTACATATTATGACGATACATATAAATTTGATTTGAAACAGAAAGTAAGTTTCAAGCATCCATCTATGTTCATGTTCAAAGAAACTGTTTTATTTGAATAAAATTACCATATAACATGATCTGATCCTGTTAAAGTGAGCCGTGTGTATGTTCTGTTTACATTAGAATACAGTGCCTCATTTTAATCAGTTGGTAAAAACCAAAATAGCAATAACATTCATGTGTCATACCAATCATTGTATAATTAGTCTCCATAATGAATCACTGTAGCCAATAGGAAAAGACAAAAAAAAATGCACGTGTTGTTACTTGTAACAAACTCGGCTGTTTCAATAGTCGAAGGTGAAATAGCTGCATAATATATTTGGAGGAGTTATGATAACAATCAGTAGTGTTTATTAGTGTATAGTAAATTAAAATCAAAATGTTATTTGAATCAGGGGGATTAGTTCTTTTTTCGGTTGGCTGGTAAACAGAGGTGTTTTGCATGAAAAGACAAGTTGAAAGATGACTTAAAAAATTTCCATTTAGTGGTATTCTGTGTTTGAGTTCTACTCACATGTTGTGAAAAGAAAAGCCTTCAATCTGTTTGGACAGCTTGAAGAAACTTTTTTTTCAATCAATCGTTAATATGTTTGATCGTAAAAAATAATTAAATGAAGAAAAATGATGTCGGTAGTCTAAACAACGTTCTTTTCTTCCTCACATTTTGCTATATTTATGTACGATGTTACGCAGAAAGAAAAGAGACCAAGAATAGTCGAACAAGGTAAGCGCGAATCAGCGTTTATTACAACACGGAAAGTTCATAAACTCAAGACGATGCAACAACATAAGATTTTAAAATTCATGATCGTTCGTTTTGCATAGTATTACTACATTTTTTAGGCATGCTACAATGTCAAGTCGATGCGCATGAATATAATGGAGTAAGATATTTAACTATCGATATGAAAAAGTACCTAGTTGAAGAAATGGAAACATAAATTGCCATTATGGTTTTTCATGCGTATACAAAGAATTTTTTTCTCATTGACTTTAAGATAATTGAAACAATGCTCTAAGTCAGTATCAGACCTAATACTAGAATTTTGCTTCCTTTCAATTATTTAGTAGAATTATGCTGACATTCTTATGATAATATCGATATTCATAGAAGATAGAACCATGCATGTTATTTCTCGTTTCTTTCGAGTATGTTGTATGATTTAGTAAAATGCATTTACTTCGATAACTCTTGAAATATGTGCTCACTTAATCGTATCATAAAAAAGCAAAAACGAATTGCGGCGTTCAATGTAGTTTAATCACACCAGATGATCTCTCTAGAATGGCAGTAAGAAGTTTTTTCTGGCGTAGATGTTTTTGTTTTTATTACTGAATATCTTTTTTTAAAGCTGTAGCAAACGTTTGAAACGAGAAAGATTATAACAAATAGGAACACAATTTAATAATAAAGAACTAGAACATGAATATAGAAACAAGAACAAACGAAGAAAAACGTGTGCCAGTTGATGCTCTTTAAACTAAAGTTTGCATCATTGTTTGTTAGACCTGTGCTATTGAACTTGTTTTGCTGAGTAAAAAAGAAAGTATAATAAATGTTTATTTTCTTTTATAATTGACTGAAAACATTCCTACTAAATCATAATTAAAAATGAGCACTAGTTGACAGTTTTTGTTGAAGATCATTGACAATAAGTGTTAGGTTTTGAAGTAATTCAGAATATTGCTTATACAATTGCTCATCGTTTGATGATGTTTTTCCAGAAGTTAAATGTGGTAAATTATTCTCAATATATTTCGTTATATTATCATCAATAGGAATAAAATCATCAAGAACAAGAATTGTATTAATTAATGTTTTACATCGTTCCATTAAATCTTTTAATTTATCAGTTTTTTTCACCGAGAACTGTTGTTGATCTAAAAAGAACAAAAATTTTCTACATATACTTCAAGTTCTCTTTCTTTTTACCACTATTGATCAACGGCGTGAAACCGGGTGGCGTTGACGAAACATTACTATTTTGTTGCGATATTGCACCGAGACGCATTTTTTGTACTAACTGTTCAAGTTCATTTTCAATGGACGTCAATTCAATGGTACATTCTGTTACGTGTTCAGTACGTAACATGTTGCATAAGATATTTCTACTTCAAGAAAAAAAACGTAAATTAAATTATACTATAAAATACGACTAAGTTGCGAAAATTGATAATGCAAAAAAGAAACATCTAATCTATGAGAGCTTTAACTATATTGATATATAATAGGATATAAGTACCGGCGAGTTAATAATTCAGTGTAGCGTTCAGCATCGTTTTGACGGCATGATACAACAGCTGGGATTGACTCGACAGGCTTTGAAGGTTTATAGCAATCCTGAGAAGTTGAAATATATATGCATTATTTAATGCAACAAAGAAAATAAATTAATACATAGACATTATTCCAATATTGTGGCTCATTGTATGTATTGATTTGTTGACATAAGATTTCGAGAAGAACATGACTATTTTTTGCACGAAGTCGTTCAATATACTTGATAGTTGATATTAAATCAAATAGAAAGATAAAATCTTGATCAATATGAAGACAATCGGTTGGATTTGTTTCTTTGAGAAACTCAAATACGGAATCATATTCAGGTGTTCGTTTTAAACGAGTACGTGATAGTAACTAGAAGAAACAAAAACGAATTTTGTTTAAATATAAATATTCAAAATTAGTTGTTTACAGTTTCAGATAAAACATCTGATTCAGATAGATGCAATAAACGTGCTAAATTGAAACACGGTATGTATGGTTTATTGTTACTGTGACGAATAAGATAAAAAGAATCGTGTTCATCAATTTGTATTAATTTGCATTGATGTTTAATATTTGACGAATTGTTTGTCATTTGATTGGAAGTATTTTCTGGTAATGTAAAATGAGATTCCACAGTGTTGGTTTCTGGTGTAGAAGGATCTGAATCTGGTAAAGGACATTGAGCAGCATCATTCAAAAAGTCGAACTTCAAGTCTACCGGTTTCGGTGCATTTTGTCTAGACAAGTAAAAAAACAATAAAATAAAATAGAAATCATCTACGAAAAATAACCTACTGGTTCTGTTCATAATTATCTAATGGAGGACGATTTTGAAATGCGGATGTGTTAACCTAGAAGAATATTTTATTAAGCGAAGATCTGATCATAATTTTAGAAATCGAGTACACTAAGTCAAAGTATGTAGCGGTCTCGCCATTGTCTTATGGTCCAGTGAAGTCGTATCTTAGAACTTACGAAATCTGGCTTTGCCGGATTCACACTGTACTTCCTTTAGAAGCTCAATAAAATTCCTAATAGGATTCTCCTAAAATGCGCCTTACTTTTTCGGCACGTGTCAACAGATGATTACTGTCAAAACTCACCGTAATCAGTTTTATGCTATGCTGCACTAAATATTTCCTAAGAGTGAAACAAATAGTTAATAGAGAAAAAATAGGAGAAGATCAAAAGCATTACAAAATCTCTGACATCGTGCATATTCTTAAATCAATTGGTAACCTGTTACTCAACGCTAAACTTTGAAAAACAGTAAACATTTTGATTATATGTTTCTAGCATCAAGTTTAAACATGCAATGAAAACTTTTCTTTTTTCGATAGTGTTTCCTAGAAATATATTCAAATATAATCTATGTTCAATTAGAAAATTGTTTAACAATTTATAAAAAATTTCGTACTGCAAGTTTTAATTGAACAAGAATATCATTCAGACATTGTCCATCTGCATCAAGAATCCTTATTGTTAGTAGTCCGTTTAGATATCCAGTTGGTTCAATAAAAAAGGGTCCATCTTTACATAATGTATAAACTTCATTATATGTCTCTGGTAGCCAATTAGTATCATCGGGTATAAAACTTATGTCATTTAGTCGACATGAAATAGCCATGCATGGTAATTCAGCAAAATGATTAAGTAAATATTTAAATTGTTGTTCATCTTTATTCACTTCTTTTGTTGTACCGTAATCGACATAAACAATAACACATTTGTAGAGGTCACTTTCTTTTATAAATGCACGATGATATGTTCCATCGTATGTTGTTACACATGATAAGCCCGTTTCAATATTATTAATAATTAACGAATTCGAAATAGGACTTGAATAGTATGAGCTTGAAAAAAAAAAAGAAAATTTGATTTTGAAAAAGAAATAATAACAAGAATTTACTGAAGTTCTTCCATTAATGTTTCAATATGTTCTTGGTATCGAACTGGTTGTATGTGAAGGCAATGTTCATTTTCGTCAAGATCAGATACAAAACCTTGAAAACGTGGATTGCTGATATATGAAAAAAGATTATTTGCATAACGAAATGTTTGTGAAACAACTCCAGAACTAGTTATTTGTTGTAATAATTGAGATTGGGTCTGTAAAAAATAATAGAAATATATTCTCTTATTTTTACTCGAGATATTTCAATTTACTTGTGCAACTTGTTTAGGATCTTTGAGTGTAATAATATGATCACATGAACCATTCTCTTCACCATGACGTGAAATACTTGCAAAATCATCAACAAAATCTTGAACTAATAGAATATTTGCAATTTTTAATTCTGTTAAAAGATTTTTGCCAAATTTTTTCTTGAAGAAAATAAATCAAAAATATTTAAATAAACAAGCGAAAAGTAAAACAGAGATTATAGCTAACTTGATAGAGATCATTCAAAGCCAAAAGTCGAATACCATGAGGAAATTCGGTTAAAAGCTATAAAAATAAAAGTGAAATTAGAAAGAAAACAAAATGTTACTTTTCTTCTTACACTTTGAATATTATTAATAGCTTCTTCTTCTTTATCTGCATCTTCTTCATCATACTGTTCTTCATTTTCATTTGCGACATAATCAGAAAACTGATATTCTAAAGGCATAAAACGAATAAGAATGATATGAAACAAAAGACAGCAACAAAAAAAAGTGTATTTATTCAACTAACGGTTATTCTGATAAGATTCATAATCATTATAGTTTTCATCTGAATTATTTGCACGATTATTATTTCCATTATTCGCAACAGTAATTCGTAATGACTGTGAATTATTTATAACACGGCGATCATCAATTAGATTCGAATTCATAGATTGTCGTAATTCATAGGACGACGTTCGAGATTGATTAGCACCAGTCAAATATGATTGGGTTTGTTGTTGTTGTTGTTGTTTAGAACATCGAAATGCTGCAGAAACCTAGATAATAGTTATTATATATATATATTCAAGAAAACATTGCATTGTACAATGCTTACGTTTGGTTTAGTTCTAGAATTCTGATTCGATGGTGCCATAGCTGTACGCATAAATGGTGTTAATCGTTCTGAACGATTATTATTCGAAGTCATACGACCATAGAATGTACCACGAGTATTGCCTGCTGATCGATTATTATTGTAATTAAGAGAATTTTGTGAGAATCGAGCGCCACGATAATCTCGGCCACTGTCTCGATAGGTTGTTTCTCTGCCGCGTCCTCGATTACGACTGCCTCTACCACGTCGTCGCGATTTTGTTTGACGTTGCCCTTTGACCATAGACAATATGTGTTTTGTATTTTCTTCTTCCACAGCTAGAATCATGAAACCATTGTTGCCTTGTTGTTGAAAACGACATACATCTGGCCATGAACGAAGTAAAGCAATCAATGATGCATAACCTAAGTCTCTATATGGAAGTTCTTTGTTTGAATTGAATAGTCGATAATCATTAAGCAATTCACGTTCACTAAGGCCATTCTTAGCTGACACGAGCAACGATAGTATTTCTTGTTTGATGATGCCAACATCTAAGTCTGACATTTTTATTTTATTCTAAATAAAAATAGTACAGGTCATTTTCTCTTCACACAAACAGAAACGAAAATGGAATGACAATGATTTTAGAAATTTATCTTCCATGCCAAGAACATTCTTTTTTGAAAGACGAAACAAAACATTTGAAGTTACAATTTGAAGAATGTAGAACTATTCTTACGCGGATGTTTTAGTATGTTTACTATTAAGAAGATATGAAACGCGCCAAATTTCAGATCAAGATAACAAAAATATTGATTTAGGATTTCGATGACAACGCATTGCAGTATCTGTTGATAAAGCTTTATCAAAACACGAAAGAAGACATCCGATGGCACTCCCGCATCAGTTGGGTTTTGGAGTTTGATAAAAAAAGGTCTACTTCTAATTTTACAGCAAATAATAAAATCTTCTATCTTGACTGGATATCAGTAATTTCGGCACTTTTCCCCCATCGATTTCTATGCTAAATATATTCCATTAGTTTATCAAACTAAATTAATGCTATATTCTATATCGAACGTATCACACATGTGATAAACAGAATGTCACAAAAAGCATCCTTTCAGTTTTACAACTTCACATCATGGACTCTCTTCAGTGAGTAATACAATTACCATTTCACTATTTTCAGTTAAAATATCTTGTTGTTCACAAGGGAAGGAAAATACCCAACCAATGGCCAACTTGTCAAAATCAAAAGAAAACAATATTCTTTTCATAGATGGTTTTTTTAATATTTACTTCACTCAAGTATAAACAAAAAATAAGTTCCACGCACACACACACACACACACACGCGTGTTAGTTGTATTAATACTATTTTTAATGAACAGACAGCAAAAAAATAGCAGGAAAAAAATCTTTTGTAATCTATTTATGTACAGTTGTGGTGGTTGATCTGTTTTGTTTTTACATCAATTCACAATAGTTATAATCACAGTTCGTTAAATGAGCTAAAAACCAAGATGAAATATTGAATAAAATTCAATATATAATATCAATCGAATCTGTTCGTTGTAAGCTGCATCGTATAATTGGTTGAAAATACTCGATGGCTTGTAAACAATAATTGTATATTTCAATGCGATTTTCTAATGAAATATTTGTTTCAATTAAATTTGATAAAATATCTCTTGCTTTATCAAATATATCTCGACTATTTTCATCGAGCACTTCATATTCAAGAATAAAAAATTCTATAACATGTTTTGTTATACGATGTAAATCTTGAAATCGTTCTTCAATATCGCCGTCATCATTGATTTCATTAAATGTTTCGTTTGTAATTATTTGATGATTAAAACGAACATTCAATGAAAATTGTTGATCGAATGGGCGTGCGATACGATAAAGTGTGTCACGCATTTTATTGTTTGAAGATTTAACTTTTGTTGTTAATAATGATTGTGTTACATGGTTGCCAATCGTTGGCGAATGAATTCTTGCCACAGAAAGTATTTTATGATTGGTAGTTTCTAATTCTTGTTCAATATTATGGATTTCATTTTGAGATGAACTATTATTATAAGCTTTAGATAATGAAACCAATTGTTCTCTATAGAGAAAATAATTTTTATAAATTCGCTCATTAAAACGAACAATTTCTTACTTTCGGAAATTGTGTAGTTCTCTTCGTTCGTGTAGATTTTCTTGATACGATTCAAGATTGTCTTCGCTTATGTAAGAATTCTAAATTAGAAAAGTTATGCTTTTAACAAATTAGTTCAATCTTGAGTAGATATCAATAGATGACTAATCCAATGCCAATTAGACTCAATTTATGGAAACTTTGATATCTATTATTTTATTGACAAATAAACATTTACATTATCTTGGTTATGTCATGAATATGAAGTAATTTTCAATGACATTAGAAACTACAGGGTGTCTGCATATAGAGCTTGTGCTGGTCTTCTTGCTCCTTCGCATGAGACCCGATAACATTTTAGGATGAGATTACATGAATGAAGTAAATTACTGAAACTAATACAGAAGATATTTTACGGTTTTCATGGTCATTTTCTCTAAATCTACTCAATAAATGAGGAATAAAAGAAAAAGAATAATTTCTTCTATATTTCTAGATTCAATAAAATCTAAAAGAAAATGATATTTCTATCTTTGATTTATGCTATATTTAATTTACCATTAGTTTGCAAGATTTCACTAGAGGAATGAGCCACTGTACAAGCGCATGCACTCAAAAATCAAACAATTCCGAATAGAATAAGCAAGCGAAATTTCTCAACTCATTCATCGAGTTTCACCTCTTTAGATTTTTTTCATCTTGAAGCATGAATATCGAATTTACCAGAGTTTTCGAAAATTTTTTAATCGCAATCATATTCTCAGGCGCTAGTTGTCTTTATTCGACACAGGAGAGTTTCTCTCGTAAGCTGTTCCCTATCGGCATAAATTATCACTCGCTTCTATATGCACATAAAATCAATTCTCAATTTAAAAATTAATTTAACCAACCTTGACTTCATTCCAATACCCAGGCCTATCATAATTATCGTATTCTTGACCTAGAGCATCAATAACGTCGCCTTCCGTAAATTTAATTTTACATAAATGATCTCTAACAGCACTAAGATCATAAAGTTTAACTGTTGCCTCAGCATCGTTTCGATTGATATGTGGGCATTTACTTGACTCTTGTAAATGACGTAAATCGTCAAATAATGTTCTATGTTTTTCTGATAGCTCAATTTTCGTTTCTCGAATAAGATTCTAGAACGAAAAAATTCAGACAATAAGAAGAAAAACGTGATTGGCTCTTTTTGTTTACTAATTTTGAAACGTGAGTTTCATCCATGTTTAATAATCGAGCTACTTCAAAACATGGTAAACATGGTCTCTTTGTAAATGGATGTTTAACGAAATAATAAGCATGCTCAATTGAAATAATGAAATGCTTCAAATTATTTTCTTCAACATTAAACTCAATATTATTGTCTCGTTGTCGCAATAATAATTCTTCATTAATGTAATTATTCCTCATATTTGATTGAACACTTGGCATTGTTTGTCTACATAATATCAAATTAAATATAAGCAGAGAGAAAAAGAAAAGAAAATTATTTCTACATACAAAGTTGATGACGGTGGCTCAAACTAAAACAGAATTACAATAGAAATATTTTAGCCAGAGAAATTTTTCTTTGTTTTCTTACGGTTGCAATTTTCACATCATCGAACTCAACAGCAAAACCATGTTGAACTAGTAATTCATTCATTGATTTTTGTTCAATCCATAGATAAATACAATAGAATGGATTCATATAGTCAACAACTTGAACAGAGAAATATACTCCGTCAATAAAACTATTAATAAATTGACGTGCGTCATCGTGCCATTCGATGGATGTTGGCGGAGGATGAATATTAGCCAAGCGACAATCATAGACTTCGGTTGGTAATGTTGAGAAATTTTTATGAAGAAATTTTAAGTTTGTTGAATTTAAATGATAATTTACATTATATATAATGATACCATAATCAATAAGATAAAGTCTTAATCTTTTTATATCCGTGTTGGGTATCGCATCGATATGAATTATAGATGCACGATAATATTCACCATTTTCATGAGAATATACACCGGATAAATTCATTTCTATTTGTTCGAATGGGATTACATATATTGATTCATTTGACATGTGATTATAATGATCTCTAGATGATATAGAATAGCATAGATGGTCAATGGAATCAAAAATATTCATCTCATAAAGCATTGATTTCTACAGTTCAGCATCTTTGAGCTGAAGATTGACTTCGTGAAAAGTTCATGTGCACAATTGCTCGAGTTCTATCACTAAGGTTTGTATAAAACATCATGGGAATAGATGACAGATAATACACGCACAATATTTACATGGGAAATTTTATAGATTTATTTTCTATACGAGAAATATGTGTTAACTTCTGAATTACTGTAGATAAAATTGTTTTTTCTATAGGATGATATGAAGCGTATTTTCTATTGCAATAAGGCAGTGTGGCATTGACTACTATAATTGTTCAGTTGTTTCATACAAATCAAGCAGCAATATGTCAATAGAAAGGATTCGGTTCATATGAAGAAGAATGTGAATTCAAACTAGAAAAGATTCAACTAATGCTTTTATATATTAAACGAAGTTAACTATGAATATAATAACTATCTTAGGTGGGAAGCTATTATTATTGAGGAAAAACAAACCCTGTCACTTCTCTGTATATTAAAATAGAGCATAATTATTCTACGTTCGAAAGGACTGTTTAGAAATTGAACGAAAACATACTGTAATTGAATCATCATATGATCACGTTTCGGTAAAAATTGAATGTTTCCTATATGAATAATCCATGGATTTTCTACAGAGCCTAAAAATCCAATAAATGGCTCATTCGATTCATATTTCAATTGTTCATATTGAAAATCGAGTGAAACAAACGATGAACGATCCACCAATGGTCGAGGAATTCCATTTGTTTGATATGTCGCTAAATTTTGATTATCATCAACATTCGATAATGTTGCAGGCGACTTCATTTGTTCAGCTAAAATAAAATGAAATGAAATGAAACTGTAAGCATAAAAATTTTACCTAATTGCAATTCTCGTTTAATTGCCTCAGTAAATTTTGGTTTCAAAAAGAAAATGCGATCGGTCGAAGCAGGTAGTCGATCACGTTCAGAGTTCACAAAATCTGATACACAATCAAAAAACGCCATTAAATTTTTTAATTGAAATTTCTCAAGATTTAATTCTTCGTGAAACGTTTTCTATAGAAAGAGAAAATAAACAAATCATAGAACCATTTTTTCACATATTACAAAAAAAAGTAACAATCACCAGATAAAGTTTATGAACACTGGAAAGCCATACACCGGACGCAAACTTAGACAGCAACTAAGAATTTTCTATTTTTACAAAAAATTCCAAAAAACATAAACTTGAAATTTACTTGTCGTATTCGTTTTCGAAGAAAAATGATGTTTTCTCCATATTCTTCGGCTCTCTGTTGATCATAAACGGCTAATTCATCATCTTCCGAATATATTAAATCTTCGTCCATAACTGATAACGTATCATCCATTGTTGGCGTTTCTCGAATAGAACCCGCTGCTAAAGGTAATACTGAAGTCGGTGATGGGGTCAGACTAGTTTTCGGTGGAAATGAAGCAACCATTCTATTTGTTGACATTTTGCTGAGAGATTCACTATTTTCTGAAATGAAATTTTAATGGGAACATGTGTATCGATCGATGTTTATTCATACCTTTCGGAGTAGGAAATTTTTGATTTCGGACAGAATCAGTTGTCACAGATGATGAAACATACGGTATTGTAGTATATTGCTGTGGTACTGATTGATTTTGGCTATTAAATGTATTCAAATAAGGTCTCGGAATAGGTTTATTTTGATTGTACGATTGAGATGGAATGCCATTAGAAGCACCATTGTATGAGCCCTACAATTCATTAAGATTTTGAATTAACAATAATTAACAGTAAACAGATATTTAATAATAAAAAAAAAAAACTTCTTAAAGTATAAGCTAGAACTATTTGTATTAGTGAAATTCTAATAAGCTACGAATATCCTGATTATGTTGGGCTCAAATCAAGATAATGATGCAATTACTCCCCTCAGGAATAATAAGAAAGGTAAGTTATGCAGTCTTTTGCATTACATTTTGATATCATATGAAAGGCAGTCATTTCGCTGATTATGAAACAATATTATTTGAAAAACATAAACCCTATGACAAGTTCAAAAATAAATCTTGAAACTATTGAAATTAAATATTTTTGACATATTTCAGTTTTTACTGATCTGCTACAATAACTTGACAAAGTCTTCGCATTTATTTTCACATGAAAAAAAGAGCAGTTGCTTTAATTGGTTTTTGAGGGTATGTATCGTTTTGTTTCTGTGTCAACAATTTCTTCTTATCTGACATCACTTTTACTCGAGATTTATATGAAAAGACACTCGTCTTATTTTGCAATAGTTGATAGTTTTTGTTATAAATAGAAAAATGCATTCGTTTGATGAATCATTGTCTAAATCGGTCATTTCTTTGCAATCATTGCGAAACAATCTAACATAAACGCTTTCGTGTAAAATTTTCTTTTTTACGAAAAAATAAATTAAGCTCACATTACTCAATACAGAGTAATGTTAGCAATTATGTCAATCTGTTTACATATGAATTTCATTGTTTCCAATTTCTATAATATTCCTCTTTAGTTTCATTATGCAAGCGCGGGGATGACATTAAAAATGAACAATAACACACCTGTCGATTTCTTGAAAACGTCGACGAAACATTTGTTCGATTGTTCATATTACTTCTATACGGCCCGCCACGTGTACTACGTGTATTTTTTTTTCTTTTTTGAGCCATAACAAGTTTTTTTATATGAGCTGTATTTTGATCAGCAACACCATGTATCGTTGTGGTTCCTCTAAACTGATCAATACGTGCAACATCTGGCATTGATATTAATAATTCAAGTAAACTTGAATAACCCATGTCACTATAGGGTATTCTGCGCCCATTATATTGATTATAATCTCTCAGTAGCTGTTGTTCATCGCAACCTTGCTGTGAACTAATCAGTAATGAACGCAATTCAGCTTTCAAGTCAAGATATTCTTGTGAACTTGTGTCTTTATTCATTATTAGAGAAGAATAAATATTTATCTTAAATTGGTAAATAGAAGAATTATGATAAAAGTCGAAATAAGATGTTGTAGTAACGAAAACGAGGTATTTGAAAAATAAAATTCCCAACGAACTGAGCCAATCGCCAATAAACCTGTCGTGTGTAAAGAGGACGCTAGATATGAAATGTTATCATTGGTGTTTATTTTGTGATCACATTGATGTGCTGGCTTTCTATTTAACATGTTTCATTGATTCAGTTTTTCGTGAGAAAGATGCTTAGAAGCAGTGCAATCATTCTCGTACTTTATGTAAGTTAAATCCGGTCGAAAAATTTGACTATTTCCACAATTCTACTCTTCTAGGTTATTTATTTAACATATGCTTATGAAAGTCCAATCGAAGAAAAAGATTTTAAAAAGTTATTAAAACAAAATAAGAATATTCTAGTACTTTGGGCATCAAATGGTAATGAATATTTACTTCTATTTTTTTTTTGTTGATATTCATTTCATACTTTTCTTTGCTTTTATTATTATATAAAGATCAAAGTGCAAAACCAACTCTTCAAGTGTTTAAACAGGTTGAGCCAGAAATAAAAGGTCGAGGTTTACTTGCTTATGTCAATTGCGAGTAAGAGTATAGAAGAAATACTTCTCTTTATTTGTATTATCATTTCTAGAAAAGGAAAAAAACTTTGTAAAAAATATAAAATCAATTCAAAAAATGCTGAACTACGACATTTCATGTGAGTAGTCATTGTTTTATGAGGATTAGCATCGAAATGTGATCGATTTCTATCATTTCAAGTGAAAGGTTTCACTTACATAAAAGAGAAATCTTGATGGTATTAGTTAAGTGACCCTCTTGAATTCAGCTTGGTACGAATCGTTAAATAGGTCCTTGTTTTTAAATAATAAGTCATTGGGAAATGATGTTATGATGATTTTCAATGCTCTGTAAGGCGCCTATTCACCGGAAAGTATTCTTTGTCATGAAATCAAAATTTTATGCATCAGTACTTTTGTTTATTTGACACGTACAAATGTTCATGATATGACTCAAAACCAAATTATTCGAAAACTGCTTGTATCGAATCACGCGGGTAACTGCAGTGTAATATAAAGTTACCCTCGTGACTATGTAGTGTGTATGGAGAGTACAAGAATTCTATGTTAAACTGATTTGTTACATAACTAAGTAGCATTAGTTGCTAAAAAAACCGGTGAGCTATTGGATCCGGCCGAGGCAATAGCTTTACGAGTTGTTGGCTATTGCCTATTGGCTGTTAATACCACTGCTTATTCTTCTTGTAGTAATAATCAGGCAAGATAAATATTTATATTGTAAGACCTTTGACGTTTTAAAGATTATTTAAATGCATGAATATTAAATCTGCGGAGAAAGATTTGATTGGTTAACAAAATTAAATTTATGTTTCAAATATTCAGCATGTCTTGCATATGACTCCATATTATTTTCTAGGGATGGTGAATTTCATAAAGTCTATGATCGTGCAATTTCATTAAAGGTACCAGTGTCATATACTTACGCATTATTTGTGTTAAAGCTTATGCTAATTTAGTCTATGCTAAATTTTATGTTTGATCCGTCGGGTGATCTACCATGGGAAGAAGATACTACAGCTCAAAGCGTTCTTCATTTAAATTCTCCAAAAGTAACATCGATTTCGTTTTCTAATGCCTGCATTTGTCTCATAATAAATTTATTTAGGATCTTGAAAAAGCATTAAAAAAACAGTTTCCAATGTTAGCTATGTTCTATGCACCATGGTGCGGACATTGTAAACGATTGAAACCTACTTATGCTGAAGTAGCTGGTGAAGTTCGTGGACAACATATTTTAGCTGCTATGAATGTTGATAAAGAAGGATGTTATCCAGTTCGAAAACAATTTAATATAACTGGATTTCCAACTCTTATCTATTTCGAGTAGGATCGTTTAAATAAAATTCATACCTGTAAGAAATACTTTTCTGTATTTTAGAAAAGGTGAAGAGAAATTTCATTATTCAGGTGGCCATTCTAAAGAGGATCTGTTGAAGTGGCTCAAAGAGTAAGATTGGTTATTTTGAAAATAAAATAATTCAAATTCTATTCTTAGTCCACAACCACCAGCAGAAAGAAAAGAAGAAGCAGAAGCTACCAGTGATTTCTTTCCAACGGATGGTGAAAATGTGAACTATGTTGTTCATTTAAATGATACAACATTCGATAGTTTTATCGCTGAAAATACTCAATCACCTATTTTAGTCATGTTCTATGCACCATGTAAGTATGACAATGAAACACTGATTTTCGAATCGATTGCAAAATTAGCTGAATAGAAAAATGTGGAAACTTCGGATTTCATCCGAAAGTTATGTGTACTGCAAAACGAACATGGGACATATGAGTCATTCTAGAATGTCTGAACACCAAAATTACCATGAGAAATTACGCACTTTGGTTTCCGGATGCAGTTTTTGTGCATTTTGAGACCGTTTTCAGGCGATGTTTCGTTAGAAAGCCACGATTTAGTTCAAAACTAGTATCAGATTCGGAATCAGCGTTAAAAATTGAGTCGATTTATATATGTTGTGAATAATTCTGAGAAAAAAACGTTTTTTTTCAAAAAATCTCTGTACTCCCCCTCAGGGATGATCTGGACAATAATGACAATTTTTTCGATAACTCAGCCATTTCTTGACAGATTGCTTTCATCTTCGAACTCGACTAAGATATTAATGAGATCATTATGTTTACAAAATTTCATGACAATTGGATGAGGCTTTCAAAGGTTATTGTGTTAACGGCAGGGCGGACGGCCGGACACACTGACCGATTCTATAGTGTACTCACTTTTTTTGAGTACACAAAAAGAGAATTTATACAGATCAATTATTAGTATCTGTTTTTGTAGTTATTTTCTGTAATCTATAATGTATTATCTGTTAAAAATAGAATATTCTTTGATGCTTAATCTTTTCTAAGATAGACTCGTAAGTGAATATGAATATTAAAAATGTCCATACGCTAACTTTTAGATCACAATTTTTGAATATTGAGATTATATTTGTAATATTATAGGGTGTGGACATTGTAAAAATTTGAAACCAGAATTAATGAAAGCATCAGTTGATTTACACGAACAAGGAGTGAGATAAACGATAGAAATTGATTTCAAATAATTGTATTTGTTCACATTTAGAGCAAAGCTATAATAGCTGCTGTTGATTCAACTGTTGCACAAGCAACATCAAAGCTATTCAAAATCGAAGGATTTCCAACAAGTATGTTGAAAAGAAAATATTCTTTTAACAATCTTTTTGTTGTTGCTATTTGCTAATATCTGTGTGTTGTATATTTATAACTACTCTTTCAGTGAAGTTTTTTCGGTAAGTCTATGCATGCTACTGTTGAATTTGCTGTCATTATATAATATTGGGCTACTGTTACCTAAATTATTTCGTTTTTCTGTCCTTTTTTAATGACTAAACGTTTTTTTCTTATCTCATTTTCAGTGATGGAAAGTATGCATTTGACATGCACGCAAGAACAGCAGACAAAATTATTGAATTTTTAAATGAGTAAGAATAATAATTAGCATCTTTTTGAAAGCAGCTTTCTCTTCAGTCCAAAGGAACCACCACCGCCTGAACCAGAATGGCCAGAACAAGAAACAGATGTTCTTCATTTGACTGAAGAAAATTTTAAAAGTATTTTGAAGAAAAAGAAATCAGCGTTAGTTATGTTTTATGCACCATGTAAGTTATAGATTGAAAGCAGTAACATGATTATATATATATATATATATATATTTCGATTAGGGTGTGGATATTGTAAAAAAGCAAAACCTTTTTATACGAATGCTGCTGCCCAGCATAAAGAAAATCCAAAGGTAGTCTTTTTTTTTATCGTTTATTTCTAATATTAAAACGGCTTCCTGTTTGCAAATTAGATTGCTTATAGTGCTGTCGATTGTACCAAAGCTCAATCAATATGTAAAGATTATGAAGTACAAGGTTATCCAACGATAAAATATTTTAGTTTCGGAAAATTAGTTGCAGATTATCCAGGCGCAAGAACAGTAAGATATTTGTTTTTTAAAACACAAAAAATGTCAGTTCGTTTGTGTCAATTCAGGAAGAAGGTTTTTTTGAATTTATGAATAATCCAGAAGAAGCATTGAATAAACCCCAGGCTGAAACACCTAAAAGTGATCCGATCGAATTTTGGAAAGATTCAGCACCGGGTTATGAGCATGTTCATATGCTTCAATCAAGTACATTTGATTCGATCGTTGGTAAATCTCGTAAAGCATTGGTTATGTTTTATGCGCCGTGGTGTGGACATTGTAAAACTTCTAAGCCAGCTTTCGCAACTGTTGCTGCTAAACTTGCCGCTGACCATAAGGTAATAACAATAACTGATTACATTAAGTTTTTTTTCCTGAATAGCTATTGAAGTATTCTATTGTTCATGCCCTTGGGCTAAGCAGACCTGCTTAAGTGAAGTAGAGACAAAGAGTTTAGTAATGAAATATTTTCTTTACAGTGACAGCTAGATAAGTTTTAATGACTGAAATAATTTTTTATTTGGTAAAGTAGTGACACGCCAAAGTACATCTTTCGATAAGCGTGTCGCAACATGATTGTCATTTGTTGTCAATAGACGAGGTAATACTCACCGACATCTTGTCTTGCTGAGAGATATGTTCTTGATTAGATGAATATCTTATGAAAAGAGTTAATTCGACTGTTTTTCTATGAATCTATTGTTCAAACCTATCGATGGAAACTGTCTGTTGCTATTCAATATGTTCTCGAACTGGTTCTAATCATATAGAAGCCACGAAAAAATCTTACCCAAAGGCATGTTTTTCTTTTTTTATTTAATTACGTATATACTATAAAAATGCATTGCAATGTGAACTTGCTAATCGATGATAAACTTTTCTTGATCTACGATATTGCATATGGCAAAGGCGGATAACCCTCGACAGGACAATTGGAATTGAGAGCATGCCTATGTGATCTTATAATCAGGGCTGCCAAATTCAAATTTCTAAAATCATAAGTCTCTTCCAAGAAAACCAGGAGTTGACTAGGAGATTTTTTTTTGAAAAATCCGGAGGAGAAATAGAAGATATTTATCGAAATCATGAAGCTATTTGGCTGTCTTTTTTCGAAAGAAACGAGAACTTTCGTTCACGAAAGTGATTGATATTTTCTGCTGCTAAGTTATTGACGGACACATTTTTATCTAAATGGTGCATAAGAAAAAAAATTCGATAATTGGACGTATTCTATATTACTCATTATGTCACAATCGTTGGAATTTTGTTTTGGTGAAACAAAATCAGAACTTTCCACTGGTAGTAAAGGTTGTGCTACAAGATATTTCTCTAATAAATTTGATACTTCACCTATCTTATCTATTTTCATACAAAAAATTCGATAAATTTCCAAAGAAGCTTTTTTTTCTACAACATATAATTCAAAATGAAACAAAAATTATAAAACCTTAAAAAACAGCTCCTGGTACCAGGAGAAAAATCTAAAAAACAGGATTCTCCTGGCTAAATCAGGGGGTTTGGCAAACCCTGCTTGTAATACACATAGAACTGATGTTATTCGTGAATAGAAATTCTGTTGATTAGTCGAAATTGGAAGCTGCGACTCATCTGTATGAATCATTGCCCACTAATGTAATATACGCAATTCTTATATATTTCCATCGGTCAAAGCTTTGCCGTCTATTAATATCAATATCTATGTAAAAACGTATCTGCTTGGAGAAGCAAACGATTCTGATAGATTTTAGTGGTTTCAAAAAATTACTTATAGGGTTTAGTAAAAGCCTATCGACTTAACATTTATTCTAATCTCCAACTTTCTTGAGAAATCCCCTCACTAGTATCAAACAAAACTAAAGAATTCGAACACAAAAGAGTAGTTTGCTTCGAAATCAAATCGTTTATCTCATCAATTACATTTTTACATGGGAACTGAAAACAAAATGGAGTTCTTGTCGGAAATTTTTTGTTACACACGATTCAGTGAAAAGAAAATTCTCAAATGTTTGAATTTCAAAACATATACTGATTGTTTTCTTTTCCCGTTGATTAGGATATTGTTCTTGGTGCTGTTGATGCAACGGCAGAATCTGCTTTGGCTGCGAAATTTTCAGTTCAAGGTTTTCCAACCTGTAAGTTTCTACCTAATGTTTATCATAAAAAATTCAATCTATTTTTTTTTTCATTTTAGTTAAATACTTTGAGTAAGTATATTAATCTGAATCATAATTTTCTTTTACCTTTATTTCGAATAGAAATGGTCAATTATCATCGGACTATAGTGGTCAACGAACTGAAAAAGATTTTTCAGAATTTTTAATGTAAATATTTACATCGATTGATAGTATTATTACTTACGTCTCTTTTTGTTTTTCTTTGTCATATATAGTGGTCCAACCGACAAAATCGAATTATAAAAACAAAAAAAAAGTACCAACGCAATTTAAACAACATTTATTTATTATAGTAGTTTTTGTTAATTATCGGATTATGGCAACTTTTTTTATTGTTGCTTGTTTCTTTCTCTTTTTGTTACTTAGCATAATTGACTTTTTTTTTTCTTCTTGGGTGTTATTTTTATTGGGATGATTGTTTTTAGATTTAATACGTATTCACGTAATGGTTTATGTCGATAACACTGGTAAATATATATATATATATATAGAGAAAAAACAGGCATGCTTGTTGTCACCATTATCTATCATTGTGCATTATTGATCATCGGATTAGAGAATAAGAGGAGAGAAAAAAAATCAATTGTCACACTATAATCGTGTCTTGTTTCCGGTATACTACATTCTCGCCTCGTTTTTTTCTGTCTTGACTAATTGTAGACTGTAAATAAAAACTAAAATTTACAAAGAGATCAAGTTACTTAAATATGATATTGGATGCGCATTTATATATATATATATATATATATGTATGTTTATTTATTCAGGTACGGTTCGTGAACAGCGACCAATATGGACACCCAGTGGTTTTTATTATCTAATACTTTCCTTCATCAATTTTATTGTATTATTGTAAGCAATATTTTCTTTAATATCATGTTAACTTATGTTTTTGTTTCTCTACGTTTAGTTTTCGTTCATTGGCTAATGTATGTTGAAATTGATTTTATGTATTGAAGTTGAATTAAAAATTTTTCTTTAGCCAACTTTAACCAAATATGGAAATAATATGGAATCAACTCATTATCGTACCGGAGGTGGTGGCGGTGGCGGCGGCGGTGGTGGTGGTGGTGGTGGAGGTCGTGGCCGATTCGATCGGTAAGATTGCTTGCTTGACACTTTCTTCCTATTTGTAAAATAATGGATGCGTACGGAAATAGACCCTCAACAAGTCATACGTGACAAATTCTATATACTGTTCAATTTTTTTCAATTATAGGACATGCACTAAAACAAATGCTTTTTCTTTTTTAGGCCTCCTGATGCTCGACCAAAACGACGTATGGGTGGATTAGGTGGCACAGGAGGAGGTAAAGACATAAATTTCTATTGTATTTAAATTATTTAAATCTTTTTTTATTATCAATAGGACCTGGCTGTTCACCAATGGCAGGTGGATGAGGTTAAAGAACGATTTCTAGTTGCAGCATGCTAGAAATCAATTGAATTACATTTATTCGAATATTTTCTTTTTGATTGTCTTTTTCTTCTAATGATGATCTTGTACGAAAATCTAACGATGTACAAGCATTTGATTGTCATCAAATAAGAATTTATTTGAAAAAAATGTTTGTTTATATAAATATTCGTTATTTTATATTTTGTATTATGCCTTTTTTTTGCCTATTGGGTTTGTTTGTGTTTTCCTTATATAAATATAAATCTTTCTGCATGGATATGAAGCAAAATAAAACATGTATACATTTTCTATGCTATTCATGCACATCTGCAGCCGTACATCATCACTCATTCTTTCAAAATATATCAATGCTGATAGATAATCATGCTGGCTGTTCATCTCAATCACCAACAGAACAGAAATAAAAAGAGACGGAGAGGAAGAACGAGAGCATAAGCACCATCGTCACCCATTTTTTTTCTTTCCCATTTTCTTTCCAACTAGCTTTTCGAATAACGCAAAAAGATGTTGTTGATGACGATGATGATGATTATTATTATTATTATGGGTGATGTTATTAGCAAGAGCAAAAGAATAAAACAGTCTGTCTCCCTTTTTTTCTCCTATTTCTTTTCACCAGGATATGAGTTGTGTCGGCGTTGTCGTCATCACTTTTCAGAAAACTAGTAGATGAATGCAGTAGGAGAACGTCGGCGCGTGTGCATGCAACAACATATATTTTGTATTTTTCCTAATAGATCCGTTCTACCAATGGTATTGGCGTGCCATCATCCTCTAGTCCAATTTTCTTGTCAAAATACTCAGTAGTATTGCTTCTGTTGTTACATGGTGCTCGAGTTTTTCCTCTCTCTTCTTTTTTTTCTTTTTCTCCTTTCCTTTTTTTTTTGGTGCCACACATTAGCATTGCTTTTCTTCATATTTTGTGCTGATAGGACCATTGGTAGCAAGAGAAAATTCGACTCTTTGCATATCTCTCTCACTCTGTTTCTCTGCATTTCTGTCTGCGCAATCGAAAAGGCGTCCTGTTTCGGGTGCAAATGTAGCTGGCATCAAGTGATGGAAGAGAAGAAAAATAAGACGAACATGTGAAAACAAGAAATAAATGCGCATACAAACAAATAAGCATACTAAATTATTCTTTTCTTCTATTCAACCATCTATCTCTATCTCTCTCGAACATGTATAAAAACAATTTCGACTACATCATTAATCCCAGGCTAGCAAGCGCTCTCTTCTTTCTTCTTGATCGTGTGCCGAGTGTGAATATAGGTCAATAATAAATAACACGAAGAACAGAGTAGAGAGAGAGAGAGAGAGAGAGAGAAGAAACAAGAAAAAAAACTGGCATCCATGCATGTTCTACGTCTATCTATCTATCTATCTATCTATCTATCTATTTTTGTATCGAGGGAGAACAAAGGATCGACGATCGAAAAATAGGGAGAGAGAGAAACAGAGAGAGGGAACGAGCAGAACAGTGCAGTCGACAAAGCGAGCGCATCATCACATCATTTACTTGCCTCTATCTTGACGAGAAACAGAAGTATTAGTAGCAATAGTTGCGGTAACAAGAATGGATAAAATTGACAAATCCGCATGTTAATTGTAATGATTTCATGGGTGAGTAATTCTATTTGGAATTTTTCTTCCAGATGTTAAAAATAAATCAATTGAAATGAAAAATTTCCTTTATTGTTAATCTATTAAATATTTATACAAATGCATGTGTCTGCCATCCGATCTTTTAGACTATTGTTGTTGGTGCTAGTGAAAGAGAAGAAAGAAGAGAAACGGAAGATTCTCTCCTGGAAGTTAATGGAAGGTATAGAAGAAGAAGAAGAAGAAAAAATAACAATCGATTTTTTTTCCATAGCGAACAAATCATTATTGGAAAGGAGAGTATTCCAGTGTGTCTTCCTCTTTAGACTGTAGCAAAGAAAAGAAAAGAAAAGAAGATGAGTATAGAAAAAAAGCGCCCAAGCGAATGTGTTTGTCATTCGACATCAATCATTAACACATGAAAAGTGAAGATGATTAGAGAAAAAAAGGCCTTTTTATTCTCTCTCATTTATTGCTACACTCGCTACTTCACCGTAAATTCTATAGCATCTACAAGCTTAGAATTCTTCTTTTTGTCTATCTTCTTTAATCATCTCAATTTATGTCAGCAAAGAGATCGTGCTATGTGAACATCGAAATCATATCACAGTCTTGCTTTGTTGACATGAAGCGAACATGCATCAAATCTTATCAAGGTAAGGAAAAACGAATGAAAAATAATTCGCCAGAAAATATTCTTATGCCAAGAGGTATTATTGACATATATGCTTTTCTTTTTTCTAATTTATTTCTAGTATATTATCAAATCTTTTTCGTTTCGGCGAAATATTATCTTCATTTTATATAAATATATAATCGCATCAAATGAAGGCAGTTTCAATCAGTAAACAGTCTGTGAAATGTTGAAATAAACTGAAGTCATATCACAGCCTGCTTGCTGATCTTAACTGTCGATAGCTACAGACCATTTGGGTATTATCTTGGTGTTTGTCGTAAATGAAAAGATATACTATTGATATAATGCAACAATCGATTTGTTTTACGCATATCAAAAGGGCACTATGAACTTTCAATATGAAAGAATAAAGATGATTCTTCTTTTAGTTCAATTATAAATGAACCATGTCATTTATCTATTTTTTCCATTCTCATTCAACACATGTTCATCTGCTATTGATAAATGAACAAATATGCATGCGAAGATGTTATCGTGTCTTGTTTCTGATCAGAGAGAAAAATATTGATTCAATTGTTTTTTGTTTTCTATCGAATTCTAGAAAAAAACAACCTAAGAAAAAGAAAAGAAATATTCGCACACTATGGATCAAACGCATATGGCATCTGGTTATAAATATTAAAAAAAAAAAGATCATAAGGTTTACGACTTTTTTTGCGAAAAGATCGTTGAAGTTTAATGAAGAATAAAATATTCTATTCATTTATTTTGAATAAATAAAGAATCAAAACAATTTTAATCAAGTTTATGAATATCCTGTTTAATTGTTAACTATTTAGTAGGAATGAAGAATAACAACCGTGAAGTGATAGCGTTACCCAGTTTTATTTTCTTGTAGAGCATTCAATCAGCTTTTAACAAGATAGTAATCATATGGAACTACAAAATTTTGCCTCGCTAGATTTCAAATAATACATATATCTATATTTATGTTGAAAATAATTAAAAACAGGTTGTAGTAATGAATTTTGTGTTTAATAATTAATGTGAGAATGTGCGACCTCTGTTTGTATTCTATACTATACGGTAAGAAATGAACTACTTTTGGTAAAATGTAGAACTTATCAATACAGTTAAAAAATTCACTTTTCAACGATGTTGATATCACGCATTTTTACAACTGTTACTTTAAAATATCAAAATCGTTTCGGATTAACTAAAACTCGATCTTTTCTATCACATCCATCAGTTGGATTGTCATCGGAAAATGGAAGTAATCAGGGAAATCAACCTTTAAATGCATTGGATTCTCTATCAACGAAGAAATCAATCGATGATAGTACTAATAATGAATGGTTGTGGGCATATTTACGTGATCGACAAAGTTTCTCAGATCTTACCGAAGCACAGAGGCGGCGTGTTATTGAAATTGGTAAGTCTACTAACGTGTTGTTGTTCAACATTTTTTTTTCTTAAATTTCAATTTTGTAGAACTTCAAACATTACGCGAAAGTGGTGATCGCGTACCAGAAGTCGTACCAGATGATAGATGGACTCAATTAATCAATACGCCTATAGTCGAACATCGAAAAAGTATTTATGGGTACGTTAATAATTCTTTGGTAATCAAAGAATAAAGATGATTCATGTTTAGATATCTTTTTCTTCGTGAATTATATCGTAAACGTCGTGCAAGCATTGTAGCTGAAAATAATATTCGTCGTATTGAATCAATCAAACGTCGTCAAGAGTTACTTGCTGAAGGAAAACCACCAACAAATTATCCGGGTTACTCATCGATATTTCGACATTTAGGTCGACAACAAGAAAAATATTTACGTGAACAAGCATTTCTTGCACCTGCAATTCTCGGCGAAGCAGTTGTTATTGATTGTGGCTTTGAGAATGAACATGCACGTGAACATTATCTATTGAATTTAGTTGATCAAATACAATATTTATTTGCTGAGATTCATCGTTATCATTCACCATCCTTTGTTTATCTATGTAATTTATCAAAGGATGGACGATTACAAGCAGAATTCAATCGTCGATCACCATTAGAGACTTTATGTCTTGAACCAACAGAATCAAGTTATTTGGATGTATTTCCACAAGAGAAACTTATTTATCTCTCGCCGGATTCTAACGTTGAAATGACTTCATTTGATCACGATGCAGTTTATATTATTGGTGGAATTATTGATCTTAGTAGGTACTTTTGTTATTGAAAAATTGTTCGCGGCCTAGGCAGATTTATATGGAAGACGGCTTTTGGGATAGAGAAGAATTACAGTAGAGAGGCTATGTTTTTATTTTTAGCTCTATAACAAAAGAATTGATGGAACTATTAAATGAACGAAGTTCAACGTATCTCGTTAAGCAACCAGAAATTATTTGTCGGTATTCATTCATTATATTAATTCAGCAAACAAAGCACACTAGATGATCGTTTCTGGCAGAATCCTGTTTTCTTCAACTTTTATCTTTGATGCAGAGAATAGAAGAGCAACAAGTTGAATACCTCGACTAATTACCATCTATTTTTAGACACTAAAAGAAATTCTAATTAAAAGACCTGCCATTTTGATGCACTGAAATTTCAAGTACTTTTTGGAAGAGATAAAAAAAAGACAATTAACTTGACTAGAGGTTCATTAATGGCACAATAACAGAAAATATGATTTGTCAAAGATCTGATTTCGATTAACTTTTACATGTAGATATTTTTATTTCTGCGACTCGGACAAAAATGAACATTCTCTGGAGTGAACAAGCCGCAGAACAAAAACATTTCTTGCAATAAATTCGATAATAAATAGTTTATTGGTACATACTATAAAAATAGCTATCATTGCCCCGCAAGTCTGTAGAGATCTACTACTATCACGTGATGCATCGTTTCGTTCGAGTAGCCGACAACATGACATCTGAAGATAAGACCTTCGGCTTGCCTTTCAACAAACTTACATCTGACATCGCGTTCTAGTCTGCTTAATTTATTGTTAAATTCATATCGAATGTCTTACGAACGACAAAAGCCCTCAAGTGAAATTCATCAATGAAGCCGATATCTTACTCATAAGTAGTTTCCGGCAAGACTAAAAAAAACTCGAACGGCCTTCCCAAGTTATTTTCTCTGATGATAAACTAATGAATTGATAAACTAATCAATAGGTTCAAGTATGGAATTTCGACTTGAAATTGTATCCTCCATCAGGTCTTGCGACTCTAAGAATACGTTGCTGATTTCATCCTAAAGAAATATGTTCTACTTCAGATATCCAATGTTAATCGGACTAACTTTCGTAGTTTGCCTTATGATACATGATCATTGTTCGATATTGCATCTCTCAATAAGAATAGATTGATGTCTGCTGAAATTTTTTTAACCTGCCAATGTTCACAAGATCTACTTATGAGGAAAATATCAGTAACGGTTGCCAATCATCTTTTGTCAGCCCGAAGGTCACAGATAGTTGTTGGTCTGTTCGATATTTTCGAGTCTAACTTTCATCTATATTCATGAGTACAATATTGAATAATTTTATTTTTTGCATATTATCAGGTGGTAAAAAACCATTAACATTCGGTAAAGCAAAACGAGACAATATCAGACATCAACGATTTCCTATCGATCGATACGTGAAGTATGTAGCTTTGTTTTTTACTTCAAAATTTTATTCTACTGCATAAACTATTCGTGTTAGATTTGGTGGTGGTAGCGGTAAAACGTTAACAATCGATCAAGTGTATAATATTTTAATGACATTAAAACATACTGGTTCTTGGACTGAAGCATTTAAATATATTCCGTAAGAATATTATTTCTCTATTCATTATTAATTATTCTATTAACGTTTTCGTAGGGATCGAAAAGTAGTTGAACGCTATTCAGGAAAATTGGATGAGAAACAACAGTTTGAATACGAAAAATTTGGCCGTTGGACAGGTCTTAATGCTAAGCATTAAATCCGTTATTTAATTAATTTGTTATTTTGTTTGTTTTCATGATTAAAACTAAAAGTCAAGAAAAAATAAAAACTATCCATTGTCATTGTTATTTCAACAAATTTGATTTGCTTATCAAAAGCTTTCAATGCTCAAAAGAAAAGAAACAGTCATTCACAAATCAATTTACCTAATTCATTTACCAGTAGATTGTTTTTTTGCCGTGATAGAAGCGTTGTGAAAATTGATGCTTTGGTTATTTTTATAAAAATATCGAGACTCAATAACATTTCTATAAATAAGATTTCAATATAGCTGATAAAGTGCGCATATAATAATCAAATAAAGTTGGCAGTGCTTGCCATCTTCGATTTCCAGTTCTAAATGACATTTTGTTGTTTTCTTCTCTTTTTAGAAGAACGACAGATATTGAACCATAAGTTAATTATAGTTCCGCAATGTAGATTGAATTTTCACAACAAAACAAAAAGTAAATTTTCTTCTTACTTTTAAAGAATTTTATATTCGTAAAACCCAGCGATAGGTGAGTATGACTGATCTCATTATATATGACAATCCATGTTCTATAATTATCATATAAGTAGAATGTCAAGATATGACGTTCTTTCACTCTTCAATCTGTAATTATCACGGATGCTTGAATGTCAAGTATGCTACAGGCAGTTTAATTATTATCTCTCTATAAATATAAATATAAAGATATATATATTTCTCATTTTTTGCAATAAACATGTTTGTTAGCTGTTTAATAGGGAAAAAAATAGAATATTTTTAAACAAATTTAACACGATGCATAGTTCCAGGTGTCAAATCCTCTGCTCTCTTTTTCATACAACTAGGAGTTTGATTTTTATGTCGATTATCTTCTTGTACCGGGACAACATTTGTTATGTTTGTTTGATTATCATTATAATTTGATGATAATTGTTGATACGAAGAATTCGGAAAAGGAGATTCAGTGATGTAAATCGATGAATTTGATACATGTTGTCGATCATCATTTGTATACGTTGGAATGTTCAAATGTGATGAACCTACGGATGAATGTGATACTGATCTTAGTCGAGTTTCAGCTGTGTTATATAAAACAGCCATTGTTGCTGATGATCGTCGACGTGCCATAGCTGCCCAAAGATCTGAATCGTTTGTTGACGAACGTCGTGGTTTTCTGTTTGACATATCTGTTGCTGACATTGCCCCGCATGCGCCACTTCGATGTCCACTTACACCGTCCAATGCAGCTAAGAACGGATATTGTCCACGTCGTAAAAATATGTATAAAACCATTTCACGAAAACGTTGACCAAATACAGCAAATAGAAAGAAATTAATAAAACCATTGAATGCAATTAATAAATTTGCAAAAGTATTAAAACGTTGTAAAGAATTTTGATTTAAGCATGGCGATATTTGTACAAATAAATTAACAAATAAATTTATTGAACGACATAACATAAATGTTAAAACAATGACAATTAACATTGTTGTTATACGTATATCAGCTTTCATACGATGGCCTAAACGTTTCTTTTTTCGTTTAATTAATAGCAACTGATGAATCATACTACCGTTACATAAAGTTAATAATGTAAATGGTATAACAAATGTTATAGGAACATTTAAATAAAAACGATAAATCGATAAATATAATGCATTCGAACCAAGACGTGTATATGCTAATTCAACAAGTTTGACTGGCGGTGTTATGTGAAAACTAGTTTCATTTTCGTTCAATGATGAATTTGTCATCGATTGAACTGATGTTAAATTTCTTGTTGCGGTACTATATTCAAACCAATGCGGTAAAATATAAATATTAACAAGTATAAAAACAAGTGAAACTAAACGTAGAGCCACTTTACGTGTACGAATTTTTTCTGCTATCAACGGCCAACAAATTAAAAAATAACGATCACCACTAAGTAGAACAGTAAAATAAGTGCTACACAGTAAAAGCATTGATAATAACGGTGTTGTAAATGGTGCAACACGCGCGTAAAATTGCTCGTAAGCATTGCCTAGTAGAGCCATTCGGTTCTTAGGATTTGGTCGCTGTAGATATGTTAATAATTCAGGATAAGAAGCTATTCAAATAAAAAAAAGAATATATGAATATATATATATATATATAAATTTATGAATAAATAAAATTCCATATCTATTCTTTTACCTATCGATTTAATTGAATAATTAAACGCAATGCCAGCCAAAAGAAATATATTACAGGCAGATAATACCATTAGATAGACATGTGTAGAACTGTTTCGCATACGTGGATGCATAAGAATGACAACCGTAAAAATATTTGTCATAATACCTAAAACTCAGGAAAATATGATTTTTTTCCGATGACTATTTTGTTTTTGTTTTCTTACCACATGAACAAAACATTAAGGTCAACCATCCACCCACTAGATATTTGATAGTAACTGTAGTGGAGTCGATCGTTTTCACTTCGATAGAACAATTGAGCGACATCAATCGTCATCGATAGTCATCAAGTTTCATGTAAGTGTAGAGATTTTTCTAGAAGAAAACGGAACGATGGGATAAAATGCTAATTTGAATTTTAGAATAAATATTTTTTTTCTTTCATCGATCTGGACAGCTAATTAGGCACGCAGTCGTTCTCTTTATCGTTGCTTCATCGCCGTCCCTCCTCCCCCACTCTTTCTCTCTCTCTCTCTCTCTCTCACTCGCTCACTACTATTTGGATCTGAAAAAGAAAAATATGAAAGAGCGAGGGAGAGACAATGGATATTATTATATTATTAGACTTACAGGCCACATCATCGTAATAGATCTATTTAAAAGAGAAAAATAGAAAGAAAGTCGACTTTCGCCACGATAGGAACTTCTAATAATCGACTTTATTTCTGCTCTCGAAGAGTGTAATCAAGAAAGGGAACAAATTAGACAGCACGTGATAGCATGCAATTTAGTTAGCCACGTTTTTTTGTCACGCCAGTTGATATTCTTCTTTTTCGTTGTTGTTGTTGTTGTTGTTTTTTTTCTTCTGTAAATCGGACAAACCTACTAGAATATGCATGAATCATCTTTTCGTTATTGGAGATATATTTAGAAGTCGATGGAATACGTGACTTCTCATGTAGAAATTATCGTGTCAAATGAATGACCAGAAATTAACTTAACTAATAAAGCTGCGTATTCGTTTGGTTTCTAGAATGCATCAGCTATGGGTTGCGTGTCACTATTCTATCTAGATAGATAAAATAACAAGCTGGAAACAAGCTAGATAGATGTTCTTTTTTTTCTTCTCTTACCTGAATGTATGTAATCATGTCTTAATAACTCAAAAGAAGTCTTATTACAAAAATATGTCTGAAAACTCTTGCAACTCAGATAACATTCGTTGTATCTGACTCTATATAAAAAAAACGAAGAAGAAGAAAAAAGCTTAAAAAGAGGAAACTTTTCCTATTTACATACGTTCAGAGAATAGTTACTTTTGATTTATCATTTTAATGAAAGAAAAGTCGCAAATTGGAAATTGGAAAAAGGAAAAAGAAATTTCCTTTAACTAACAAGACAAAATCTAAGTTGCTTGTTATTTTTTTCACTTTCTTCTATAGCAAATGTCAATAATCATTTATTTTAACGGAATATACACATATACAAGGAGACATACAACTAGACAGAGAAGAACGACAATGCTCAAGATCAATAGGAATGCACTTGCGTTCAGAGAGTGATTTATTAACAGAATAAAGAAAACAAGAAAAAAGAACTGATAGCGAAGACATTCTCTATTTATATCAATTTTTTTTCTTCGTCGTCTCTTCCATTCAAAACGAGTGACATATTGGCGAAACTACATAATGCAAGAATAACAAGTTTATGAAAGAAAGCAACTAATACGCTTTCTTTCTTTTTTCAAGTCATTAAAAATATATTTATCGAAGAAGTGCTTGCAATCGATAATAATTTTCTCAGCATGATAATCAGTTCCGACACTGTCCAAAAGGAAAGAAAGAGAGAGAGAGAGAGAGAGAGAGACAGAAAGAACACTTCAGATATCAAATTATACTCGTTGCTTTCATTGTTCTTGGAAAATTCAAAGTACGCTGCATTCAATAGAAGAAAAAAGAAAAAAGAAAACCGAAAAGAAAATGAAATCGACGCAATTAATCAATAGGTTGTGACACCATCAAATACTATTGTCAATTATTTATTTGAAAGAACAGCTATCAGGGAATATGACGAGAGCTGGAGATTAAGCGAAAAAGATGGTGTGAGAATATTATTTGTTAATCACGCAATATATATTTTAATCAATACTATGTCTACTGTAAAAAATAAATCTAAATATTAGGCTTGAGATTTTTTTTCCATCTACTCTGCTAAAAAATAGATGGTTAGTAGGCGAAAACGAGTATGTCAGCGAGTGTAAGTTCATCACTAGTATGTATCCGTCGGTCTCTCTGGTTGTCTGTCTGTATATAGATATAGATATTTTTTTTTATTTAATGACGATCGGCACGCTTGGGTAGAATAATGTCTTTATCTATCGTTTGTCGTCAGTCATCTATATGTAAGACGATTAGTGTTGTTGTTTTTTTCTGTCGCTGATAGAATATTCAAGATCTTAACACTGCGATTAACATACTTACATGTTGATCACAGTTGGTTCTTGAGCTAAAAGAACCATTTATAGAACGCAGAGCAAGAGAAAACAAATGTCAATCAGACACAGCATTTCACGCGATCGATCTGCAAAACATTCATCCTAAATCATGTTGATTTACTAGGATCTATCATAATTGCGTTTTATATTTTTAATAATGTTGACTCTCGTTGTTTGCTATTGATCTCCATCTAACTATCGCGAGGGTGTGTGTGTGTCATCAATCGTAAGGGAATGATAATCGAATAATCGTTGATAAAATGGGCTAGAATATGGCAGTGTTGAATAAAGAAAAAGAATCAATGTCTCTTTATGGATAATACAAGAGAAAGTGACAGTAAAAGAAACTGAGTTATTCAATCGGATTACTTATTTGAGCTCGTAGACATGGGGTCGTTTTGACTACTTGAACGGAAAGAAAGAGCATCTTTGGTGTTTCTGACTGTCTCAATCATAACCGATGAATCTGATAATTTTTATATGTCAGATTAACAAAGGAAAAACTGCAAAATAAGAACAACGGAGTAACATATATATATCTATATATATATGTATTAAGGTCATGAATGTAACCTTAAGCGAATATGAATAAATGATATACAGATGGTTTGATAAATATAAAAAAATTATTTAGAACGACAGAAGATTCTCATGAAACATAAAAATAGATGTTTGACTTGTAGTTACCAATACTAACAGAGAATGAGTGATGTGTGCGTTTGTCAACATACGATAGATGTAGAGTGAGGAAAATTTTATAAACACACACATCTGTATTGATAAGAAGTTGACATCTGAGCCATCGTCATTGATGAAATAGCAGGTTGTTATTCATATGCGACATACTTAGCAAGAGAGTATGCATAACAACAACAAAGACTATATTCGCATCGCTTCATCTATCAAATCAGATCTTTAGATGATCACTTTGCATTATGCTTCAGCGCATCTAATGATAAAAAAGAAAAAAAGAAAACAAAGAAAGTATCAGCTTTTTCTTTCTGATACGAGCTAAAAGTGGAATGATCCGATGCTAATACTTTTTTAATGCTCGTACGCGGCGAATTTCGTCTTTGTTTATTAATTTTTAGTTTTGTTTTTGGTCTTGTCTTCGTTGATCATCAAAAGAATATTCGATCATATATATATATATATATATATATATATGTGACAAAGACAAAAGATGATACACTACTATTGTATAGAGAAAATTTATTCTTTATTCGACATTGAGTTCAATGATCGGCCTATGTTTGAATGATTCTAAACTAGTTTTGGCATTGTCTTTAATTGTGTTTTTCTAACTCTTTCAATAGTGTATATTCTTTTTATCAACAAGGACATCGAATAAACAATATCATCTAACAATTATCAAGGTCGGAAAAAAGAGTTTCTTTCTAATGAAAAGATTTTCTCGATAATAGCTTTCAACTATTTTTCGATTTATCATATTACATTGATGGAATATTTGCTGTTCTTACATTATAATGATCATCTTCGTTATTTATTATAGCATTACGGTTTTCTTGTGGATGCATATAATCTTCAATTGATGCTGTCTAAAAAGATAAAGATAGCACTAGACCTTGTTGACGATGAGTTATTATTGTACAATAACGTTTCTTCTCGAAGAGTAAAAAGAAAAAGAGCGCTTCCAGCTGTGACAAGATAGGCTGTGGATTGCTTGAGATCTTTTTCTCTTTTAATGATACTTGTTATTCTATCATTTGATATGACAGAAGCAGCAGCATATTTGTTTTTGACATAAATACTAATGACATCGCTTTCATGAATAAACGGCTATGAATTGACATATGCCATATTTTCTAATAAGTGCGAACCTATAATAGCTTGATCGAACAAATATCAATTGTTTAATGATGATATTTATCAGTTCCTTCAATGATTTCATAAATTCATTATCTATCTTTGGATGCTCATCAATCGAAAAAAATATCAATGTCGAGCATAGGATGCGTTTGTTGAAGCGAATATTTCCTTTTGCTTGGGCTGATTTCATTAGAGATTGATTTTGGATTATTTAAAGTGAGGGTAAAATGGCAACAAACATACCCTGAAATGTTCCATAAGAAAAATAGAAAGATCATTGCCTTGAGTATAGTCATCAGAAATCATGGTCTTACTTTTGTTTATCTTGATGTTAGGTTGATGCAGTAGTTACTCATAATCTACTTGTAATATACGAGTGTAAAACTTAGGTCTTTTTTGTTATCAGACTTACTGATGTGTAGATCCATTAGTCAAGAAAAGAAAAGATTATCAACGGCTGAAAATAACAAAATACAAAGCTGTCAATATTTGATTAGATCATACATCTATGATATAATAGCCAGACTAGAGACGAGCACAGGACAGGCGGCCCTGTCCTGCCCTGTCCTGGAGGACAGGATGAGATTTCGATTTTTGTCCTGCCCTGACGCCCGCCAGGATCAAAGTAGCCAGCAGGACAGGTAAGGACAGGACAAAAAATCTTGTCCTGTGCACGTCTCTGAGTCAGGCAACACCTAAACATATTTTTTAGTTAAAAAGAAGTCGACTTAGAGCCATGATAGCAAGGACAAAATAATTGTTCAGCTTTCTACTTTTCGTGAAAAACTACTAGTGGCGCTCTTGAAATCAAATAGAACTAGATGGTATTCGAGTTTCACTCGACTACGAAATGCGGTGCGAAGCACACGAACCGAATATTCGACAGTAGTGAGAATAAGATTTAAAAAATAAATGATTCACTTTAAGATTCATTACAAACGTTTATTTTTTTTAAATTTCCGTATAAGAATTTCGAATAAAAATTTCGCATTCACTATTCTTAAATCGACCATTTTGAATTTCATCACTAGATCTTTCTGAAAATGTAACAACCAATTTTCTAACGATTTTTTTCATTGAACGATTAATTATTTTCATGAATCATTATCTTGAATCAGATGTAAAACAATAGACTATTGGTTAGCAACTATTGATGACGTCATTTTAATTAGCGCGAAACTATCAAACAATAAAACCTTTCAAAACATTCATTTTAGAATCATATTTTTAGGCGAACGAAACTTACTATTGTGAATCGGAAAAACGATGTAACAAGTTCGACTTCTATAGTTTCGTATCTAGTTTGAATGGATTTTCTATCATTTACGGTTCTCTAGATCATCGTGCTACTTCATTAGAACTTTTATACGTACTCGAGTTAGAAAGAAACAAAAAAAAAACTCGCGACGGACTACATGAATGCTGTGCTTCGCACCGCATTAAAAAGTGAACCAAGTGGGAATAACTCATTCCGAGTTATCCGAATGGTTAGGGGAATGTTAGAGAATGCCGAAATGAGTTTTTTCCCTCTTGAATTGAACTATATTATTTAATTCAAGCATAATAAAATATCGAAGATAAATGCAGTAATATTACAAAATTATTTGAATAAAATATGTTGAAATTTGTAGATTGATGCTAAACATATCACTCGAATACATATAACAATTTAAATAATCAATCATATTCTCTATAAAACATGATGATAGAATATATTGATTTTTTTCAAGCCTATGTCTACATTAGAGAAGGTCATAAAAAGCACAGTCACCCTTGATAGTATTCAGGGTTTTGTGTTTTCTAGCATGCTATCATGGGAAGTGGTCCAGAAAAAGTTCTTCTTAGATTTGAATATAATTGCGATATAGAAATATTGAGTATAATATTTAAAATGCTGTGCCTTGTTAATTTTTTTTTGTTCCTACTTCTATTCGAAATGACTATCGATTAAAAATGTCAAATAGAATCTTATTGAAATTTTCCAATGCATACTAATTTTTTTTTCAAGATGAATTCGGATATTTATTTACTGAGTAATCAATCGACGAAATGTAAATGACAACGAATGATAATTCTTCGAAATCATGACCTCGGTTAAGAATACAATGGAATCCTCTGATATGTCCTGGCAAATGTTCTAAATCCAAAAATAAATAAATCTCATTAATTCTCGTCTATTTCGATTCAAGATAGAGGCATGATTTATTTTCATCCATTAATCAGAATGCAAATATCTTTCTTTTTTTATTTTCGATGTAAGTAGTTCTATGAAAAACAGCCAGATATTACCTATATCATCAAGTCATTATGAATTTATTAACAAGATTTGGGCCAATCAAAAATGCGAGCAGAAATCTCTTGCAGATCAACATGATGTTTTACATTTTTTATATAAATTATACTTATATACTACGATAATCAATAGCAAACATAAAGAATTTGATGTTCTTACTAAAAGAAAAACCTTATTAGTCGATCTTCCTCGACTTCAACATGATTCATCAGATAAAGTATATGAAGTTTATGACAATATTGCGAATCCAATTACCAACGGTCGTAAGAAGATAAACATTTATTTATTATTAAATTCAATCAGTTAGATCCAGATCTACTAAAACACTTTTTTTTCTATTCCGAAATAGAGCATAAAATTATTCTTCGCTGAAATTATTGTGCTTCTTATGATTATAATGTTGCAGTATGGATTAATTATAATTCTCCGTAATGCAAAAGAATCTCGATTTTATTAGAAAAAGGAAACTTTAAACATTTATTTATCGAATGAAATATACAAGTAATCCATAGGCATATAATTTCAATATCATCCAATAGATTTTTAGAATTGTCAAGGACAAAAAAATCATAAGAAGATCATATTGTCACAAAGATCAAGCTTTGCCCATAATAATATCATTACAAGGATATTATTATGCCTACGTTGGATAAAATATTAAACAAATTGGGCCTAAGTAAACATAATATAAAACGTGTGATGACAAAAATGTAAACCTAAAAGAAAATACGACAATGATAAATTAAGATATTTATTATATTGGCGTACTCATTGAGTAATATCAATAGAAAATAATGATGTGAATATAATAGGATGAATCAAATAATTTTAACAAGTCATTTCACTAATGTAAGATAGATTTATCGGCGGATGGAAAGTTTGAACAATACTTTCCATGTATTCAGCATCAATGAAAATCTATTCTGTATATCATTTTGTAACAAGAAATATCAAAAAATACTGATATCGCCTTGATGAATCTCACTCAACGATAACCGATTGTAAATGTCAAAATCACGATTCGGAAGATTATTTTCAATAACAAAATCAATCCTAAACGTTTTTGAAACAATGATAAATTTTCTATGAATAAACATTTATTGAATGTCGTTATTCGATCGAATAAACAATTCATTTTTTGTATCGGACTAATTTTATTTTATCGTTGTTATATCTATTGTAATTTTCTAACACATGCCATCATCCTTGTATATTTATTGCATCACCCTCTAGTCAAGTTCGACTGAGAGAAGCTTGTTTTTTTCATCTCATGAAAGTCTGAATCATACACATCGAAAAGATACGAAACAATGGTAAATAATTGCATTTTTTTTCATTTCTGCAAAAACGATGTAATTATGCAAGAAACGGTATAACAACGTAATTTCTCTCATGCAATAGCTCCCTAACTTCGACTGATATATATATATATATGTAAAAGCAAAAAATTCTATTGATTCATTTCATTTTAGGATATTCCCATTCTTGTCAGTAGATATCAGAGAAGTTTCGTTCAACGATATATCTCGATTGAAAATTTATGCCACGTAAGCACGATTAACTTTATGTTACACATCATCCATAAACAGTGTAACTAGGGAAGCCAGCCAACAAATAGCAAAAATAATATTCTTCTACTACTGCAGCTACTGGTAAGGTTTTTTCCTTTCTCCCATGTTTATTTGATTCATGACGCATGTTTCATACAATGACGCTACGTTATTGGTCTGTTTGCTGCCGAGTTTCTTCTTCCCCTTACACATTGACTATTATTTTTGAAGCTAGAAGAAAGAAAAAAAAGAGAAAAGGATAGAAAAGAGAGCGAGAGAGAAAGCGTCAACATGAGTCATGATTGACAACTCATTGTGCAATGTCGATGGTTGTAATTGCGAAATTTGGCAAAAAAAGAGAGAGAGAAAAGGAGAGAGAAGAACTGGGTATAAAAAAGAACAAAATTTCAACATTACGACCACTTTTATCGACATACACTCACTCGCGCACTTGCATCATCAAATATCCAACATATTGTCTTCAAACAAATCATCTACAAATCAAACAGTGAAGGTCCATATTTGTACTCAAAATCAAATTTATCCAGCGACACTAACCCTGTCAAATCCAAAGGAACAGACGACAGAAATTACAACGGCTTTTTCACCCTTCTCTTTCTTCGAAGATTTATCAGAAACAAGATGTCAATCACTAAGCATACCCCAGTCTTTATACAACCTGGAAGCGATGGACTCGCTACAATTCCCGACGAAATTAGCTGCGTCTTCAGATTTGGTAAGGATGATCACATTGATCAATATAATAATGATGAACTGATAGACATACTAGAGACAGAAGAGAATTTGAAACAGCAAGCAGCTAATGTAAAACTTTCAGAAGCAGCATATCATGCAGCTATAACCAAGATTAAGAATCATTTAAAATTCTCATGTTCACTTCAGGTACACAGCTCCGACGGGTCACTTATAAGTGTCTTTAATACTGAACCAAATCAATCGGCATCGTCGACTTATACAAACCTTGAAACATCATTAGAATTACCCATCGGCGATCCTGAATTCTTACAAGAACTCTTAGACAGCACTTCTCTTACAACACCATTAAACGATCTTGATTTCGATTGCAATTTACTTGACAATTTTCCCGACGACTCCATAACATTTGATCAACTTCTTAATTTCGATCCTACAATGACCATCCAAGAATTTACTAATGTTCCTATGGAACAAACTGAACCATGTTCTCAACACGAAGTAACTTCATCATTACCACACTCATCAATACACGATGAAACTTCGATCTCCTCAATTAATTCTTCACAATCAGACTGTAGCGAACAAGATACACCAAAACGACGTGCAGCAAAAAAAAGTACTGCTGAAGAACGGCGATTAGCTCGTTTTGGCAATAAGCAAGTGATTAAATATTCTGATGAATATCATAGCCGAAGAGTTAAAAACAATGAAGCTGTGAAGAAAAGCCGCATGAAAGCCAAAGAAAAACAACAAACTAGCGAAGTACAAATGAACAAATTAACGGATGAAAATCGTATGTTAAATGATCGTGTTGATGTATTAATGAAAGAACTACAAGTATTACGATCATTGTACAAAGAACTAAAAAAAGAGTGAACGATGAAATCTGGTCACAGACTTCAACGAGATAATGCATCTTGAACAATGACTGATTCTACTACGGAAAACAATCAATCATGTTCAATCGTCTTTTTCTTGCTTTTTTCGTTAAAAAAAGCTAGTGGAGCCCGTTTTAGATAGAAAATAGTTTTGCTCATTTCAACTATAATCATGAATTAAAAAAAAGAATAAAAATACATATATTTACCTATAAATATTTGTATACGTCTTAACATGCTATATGCGTGTTTCTAAAGAAATTTTTTTATTGTTAAAAAAAAGCGTGAAATGAGAATTTAATTCAACATTGTCGCCTTTTATCATTTGATTATTTTGCTCATGTCTCTAATTTAAATATAATAATTAATAAAATATGCTTATAAAATAAAGCTACTTTGATATTCATTAATAACAAATTTTTTCTTTCATCGACGGAAAAAAAACTCAAGCATTCTTGAAGAATAAGCCGACTGAAAAATTCCCACAAATCATCGATATTTACATAGAGTGAATTAGTAATCGTCTTCTTGTTTTACGTACATTCTAGAAAAAACACTGATAGATGAATCATTCTTATAGTGTCCACAAACATATAAAGAAATATATGTTGTAGGACAGATTGAAATTCAGTTCACATTAAAATAACTTCGATTTCAACAAAGAAAATTTTAAACTGAACTAGTTCAGATCAAAATTATTTTAATCTGGACTGGATTTTAATCTATCCTACGACATATATATATATATATTTACCAGGACTCCACAATGAATGCATGATAATACTATGTTATAGGATAAAATGAACGATCAAATAAAATATGTTAAGATGTGATGTCTTAGAAATAAATGTGTGATAAATGAATTTATATCGCTAATGCAAACTTTGCAAGATCTATTCAACAGACTATTGGCTTTTCTTTTTAAGATAAACATACAATTTAATTGTTCTTGTGTGGAATTCTTATTAAGACATTTAAAATATAAGAGAAAAACAACAATTGCTTCATTGATTATGCGAGTCACCTTTTAGATATCTCTCCTGTAAAAAGAAGAATATTCATTGGAGAAATTTATTGACCAATAGAATTTTATTTTTTTATTCCGTTGTTTTTTGACACAAATAAATATATATTTTAATACGATTTCCAACCTCGAATGATATGAATTCTGCTGAAACAAAAAAAGACGATGCCGCAAAATGTAAATTAGCTAGATTTGGAAATAAAAAAGTGGTTAAATATTCGGATGAATATCATCATCAACGTTTGAAAAATAATGAATCAGTCAAAAATAGTCGATTAAAAGCAAAACAAAAACAAAAAGAAACTGAAAGTCGAATGAATAAATTGGCTGACGAAAATCATACATTGAATGAACGTCTCGATTCGTTAATGAAAGAATTACAAGTATTACAATCACTCTATAAAGAACTTGGCCAAGATCTACCAGTCGAAGCTGTTAAGGCGCTTGAACAAATAAATCTTTATTAATATTATTTTATTTTATTTTTGCTATTTTATTAGAGAAAGATTTTTTTCGTTTCGTTTTCTTGTTTGGTATTGATTACTGATGTGATAAAATTCGATTAAAATGTATGAATCGAGAGACATTGTTCGACGTTATATTTTATGCTTTTCGTTTAACTTTTTTCTGTAAATAGACTATTTCATGAGACACAGCTGAATATATATATATATATACATAAAAATAATCTGGAGGATATATTCATAAATTTTTGATTATTATATATTTTTATTCTAATAAAATGTCACCGGCATAGGTTTATGTCAAAAGAGTGACAATGGTGTGAAAATCTCGAATTTCCGATTGAACGATCAAGTTGACCAATTCTATTCTTTCAAAGCATTCGTCCGAAGCGGAAGTTTCTAGATCGGAAAATGCGTGATCGTGTAATGTAAAAAATGCTGGAATTGGTGCATTCTTAGTCCAATCCAGATAAGAGGACTATATTCATCCATACAAAATGTTATGTGCTCAAGGACTCCATGCTATCCTTACACGTTCACTAATGTGACGATGTTTTCTTTCAGATGGAAAATTTTTTAGAATGTAATGATATAAAGACAGGAAAGTTTCTTTTTTCTGTATAAAATATATTTCTTTCTGATCTTCTATTTGATTAGAGATGTTATCTGAATCGAAAATTAGACTGAATGATTTATCGCTAGATCTTTTTCATTTGTTCAATTGCTTATTTTTTTAATTAGTTATTTTTATTGACGTTGCTTTTTTACGCATGTGTTTTGAATGATTCATCTGATTTTTAAAACTTTCAGCTTTATAGAATAGTCATTAGTTGTGCAAAATATAAATACGTCATACATTTAATTATACAATTAAGCAGATTGCTGTTGTGTTAATTTGTCTGTTTTTTTCCTTTTTTTTGTTAGTATTAATTTTTGATGAGTGAATGTGATTTCACAGGCTTGCATCTGTAAGTATCTTGTTAAAGAGGTTTATTTAAACAAAAAAAATCTCTGAAACAATTTACATGAAATTTGGGAAAATTTGATTATAGGGCCTAAGTTTAGCTGAAAAATAGCTCATTTGTTGTGTGTCACCGCTAGATATAAGTGCGTTGATCAGACATATTAGTATTTCTTGTTGGCGTGGTCTTATTCTATTGAATGGAAATACAAAAGTGAGATCATATGACCATATAATCGAACAAACACGAGAGTTTTGTTTATTTAGGTCTGTATGGCATAGAAAAACTACAGAATTACTCCAATCATCAGTAGCGACAAAACTGCGCCACATGTGTGACAGGATGAGAATAAAGAAATTGTAAACAGGAAAAATAAAACAGCTTACAAGATATTTTATAAGGTAGAATTTCATTATTTACCGTAAGAAGTTTTAAATAGAGTTCAAACAACTACAATATATCAGTATCAAAACGATGCTCTCCCATACAGATAAATACAAATTTTTAGTTTTTTGTGCCAATAATAGAAGAGTAGAATGTCAAGTACGAGGCTATTATTATTTTCCCGCTGTTGCAAAGTTACCGAAAAGTTCAAATTTATCAGATTATAACTATTTCTTCGTGATTCACATTTTTAGCGGTCTTACATGACAGTGCGTTGTTTCTTTGAAATATTATTATCTTTTACGACCTTGATTTAACATGTTAGAGACATGCGTGCGATAATAAATTATGATTCGTAAGCACAAACTCGCCTACTATTGGTTCGTATTTACATAGAGTTCTAATTGATACATAATCCTATCTCAATCATGTTATCAGAAGTATTTTCCGCTAATGCTACATGTCAAAGCTCAATATCCTAGCTAGTTCTATAGTCGGAATGTTGTTGAGAAAATCTAGTAATGGACAAATGTTAATTTTCGTTAACATGCACTTTTTTAAGGATGACTTTGACCTATATTCCAATTAGGCCAAGAATATGTTGTAAAAATTACTGAGCTGCACCACTGAATAGCATCAACTAGATGAGGTACAACACGTGTACACTATCATATGATATGATTATTGGTGAAATTTTGACTGCAAGCCAAGAGCTACAGTACTAATGAATGAGACACATGGAATCGCCTTCACTGCTAGATAAAACGGTAGTAGCAACAGCAGCTCATAGGAGAGTGAAACGAAAAAGGAAAAACGTTTTGAGTACATATGTTCTGTTTACAAGTGAATGAAGGTAAGTCTGAATTGTATTTGAAAAGTTAGAGATTTGTTTCAGGTAGAGGGTCTAGACTTGTGTGTTGAAATCCTATACAATTTATTAAAGAAAAAATGACGCATGATACAATGAAGAGTTATTTAGTGCGCTCGTAATGACAGTTTATTGTCGCGTGCATGGACCCAAAAATTATTCACACTTTATAATGTACAACATCTTTTCTTGAGGATCTTCTACGAAAACTAACATCTTAATGCGAATTCGAATATAAAAATTGGCAAGTTATGCATTTTTATCAAAGTGTTGCCTTGACTATCAGTTATTTTAATCTATTTTTATTTCGATCGTTGTTGTTTATTTAAATTGTTGTGTCGAACTAAAAGAAGTTTTTAAACTAAGCGAATTCTCTATTGTCTACGATTTATTTGTTTGAATTTCTTAATGATACAATTGCCGAAACATATTCGACAGTATTTTCTGTTTTCATTAATTACATATTTAATCATTATTCTGCTTATTTTTCTCATTTATTTCATATTAATTCTTATAGAAAAACGAATATCAATCATTGGCCTATTCATTTATTCTATTGGCGAAAATATACTTAGTATTTTCGATTTTTTTTCATTGCCTCTACGATATTTGTTGCCAAATTTAAACGATGATGAGTACTATTTGATATTATTGAATTTTATCATCACAATATTTGCTTTTATTTATGCTTATTTATTCTGTAAGTTGATTAATTTTTAATAGAAAAAATAAAGAGAACGAATGTTTTTTGCGTTATTTTCTTTTACAGACATAATTCGTCTTGAAATATTCACAGGTATTTCTCCGATTCATAGTACGGCTTATTTACAATGGTTTGAAATACAACGATATCGATTTCAAGAGACACATAGAGCTGGTTAAGAACAAAAAAAAACAGAAATCGTTCATTGAATTGAAAATATAGGCACTCAGCTATTAAATCACGCCATTCTATGATATTTCTAATGGTTCTTTTATTTTTTTTTCTTACGAAAGCATTTTAAGAAATATTTATTTTTGCTTTATTAATTAGCTGAATAAGGTAAATTCTAATATGCATCTACAAAAATATTTTTCATGCTAAAACAAATAATCGCTTTACCTTGAACTTAAATAGATTTGAACATATCTCATGTGTATTTGATTCGACTGCGTTGTTACCATTAGAGAAAGAAATGCAATAGCAATCAGTAATGTCACGCATACATCATATTTGCTTGGTAACTTTCTCTTCTGTTGGTTACTATTATGATTTTGAACACTGCTTTTTGAACGAACGAAAGAATATCCACTCAATTTTTTTTGTGTAGAAACATGCGACATAGTAGATCTGTACAATATATTTTCTTTTTGCGTTGTAACAAATAGTAATGAATCAATTATTATGATGTTGAGTGTACCCAGTGTATTGCTTTGCTTTTGTTTTACTAAAACTTTTCTTGGCATTATGTGAACACGTGTAGTGCACTGCCTGAGATATGATGTCGGATTTCGTGTCACCTCATTTTCACCTATCCTCAGGCAAACAAGAACAAATTTTAATGCATTTCAATTTGTACTTTTTACACTGAACTTAAAATGATTTTTATATTTTAATTAAATATGTTCGCCTTCAGACTTGTTTTCCTTTGTGACGGAATGCTCTCTTTCCGTTTAAAGAGAAAGGTAAGAAGCATATAATTTAGCGCGTTTATTTGATATCAATTTTTATCTGACTGGACCATGCGTGAGAAAATCTTGAATCAATTAGTAGATATCTAACAAATATTGTTAAGTAATAAAATAGGTCATTGCGTCGCAAAAATCATGAGTTATAATAGTTATTTACGTGTTTTTCTTCTCCTTATAAAACGAAAACTAAAGACAAATATCTTGTTTTCTATATCAAACGAGAATTCATGCTGTGGCAACGTGTTTTTATCTTTTATTTGATGTATAATTTACATATATATATATATATATATATGTTTGTTTGTTTGTGACAACATGTTGTGTCGTAAGATTATGACTAGTAATGAATAGCTAATAGTAAGCATCGTTACATAGAAGAAAGACAATAAATAGAATTCGTATGCGATAAAACGAAAATAAAGGAAGGAAAATATGTTGTTTACCTTCTCCTTTGGTTATCTGTCTGATATATTTTAGTATATACGCAAAAAAGACTTTTTCTTATTTATTCTAACAATAACAAAGTACGAAGATACGACATTGTTTCAAGTAGTCGTTTTCAGGTGACTCTAAAGTATGTTAATGAATATGTACATGTACTTTATTATTTATTTTCTCTCTGTTTATTATAGTACGCATGGCTTCATTTGTGATCACTGCCATAATAACCATCTTGGTCGTAGTCATAACTTTTTTATTAAATTCATATGTCAAACTTTTTAAAATAATTTTTAAAAAACCTGCCAAGCGGAAAGGCGCTGTTGAAGTTGATACAACAGAACATATTTATGCTCATCCAGACTGTACTGATAACTTAAAAGATTACAACTCAATTGGTGTCCAAACATTATACGATGTTCTTCTACATGGCTTAGATGCTGGAAAAGATCGGCCACTATTTTCATTTAGAAAATCATCGGAAGAACCATTTAGTTCGTATACATACAAGTAAGTTGATTATTTGATATTGCAAGTACTTGAAATAGGTTATATTATAATGTGTAATAAAAATGACTCATCTCTTAGAATGTTCCCTAGACTGAAGAGATGGGATCATGGACTAGAATATTCTTTTAGCCGCATGTTCTCTAGATTACAAAGATAAGATCGAGAAACGACAATTTGCCTGTGTTCGTTCTTGTTCGTCTAAGCTAATTATGCATCTGATAACTGTGCACGATGGCAAAGTAGGGTACCTATGTACTAGAATATCAAATAAGTGTTAAAGAACGAAAAACAAAATGTACATATTTATTTGACCTAGGACGCTTGTAAGCGTCTATAGTTGTTATTAATATGATCAATAGTTCGACGTATTGTTCACTGTTATATACATGTCGATGCCATGAAATCATGAACATTAACACTTATAGAACGAGTCTAGACATAAGACAAGATGAATAACAATGTTCGAATAATTTTCGGCAATGAAAATAAATTACTTCTAAATAATTCTATCGTCCATTTCAAACATGATGTAAATATTTAGGTTATTAAAAAAAAAAACTAGAATATTTTCAATGTCATGCTTTGTGCATATAGACTTTTTGAAATCAGTACACAACTAAGTATTCAATTCATAGAAATACATTGACTCGATATCTGTATATATCGTGATATCGAGGATGAATATTCTTTGTACTTATAAGCCGTTTGAATTTTGGGACAACATTTTCAAGTTCACGCAAAATAAAAGAAGCGCACAATTACGACGATGCAAAGATAAGAGAACAGAAACAGATAAGGCTGCACCTAGAACAAGCACTATCATACAACTATATCGTATATCTAAAATGGTTTTTTCTTGATAAATATTGGAAAAAACAGTTTTTAATTATTCAGATAATTAGTTTCGTGAAGCAAATCACTGCTACACCTCATTTTAACTATTTCACGCATTACTGTTTAAAACAAAATAAGAGCGAACCGAGGTCGGCCGAACTTGTACTTTTTATTGACACAATCTTAGAAGAACATTGATCCACAATAACAATTAATGGCTACTTGTCACATTTGATATTAGTAACGATAATTGAATTCCAGTTGATACATTCTGTTTGAAACGTTCGTGTTTCTTAATCTAAAATGTAACACTTTTTTTCCTGTAGAGAAGTGTTCCAAATAATGAAAGAAACTGGTAGTGGCATATCTAGTCTTGGTCTTAAAGCATCCAATGACACTTATATTGGTATATATGGTTCGGCATCTGTTAGTTATGCCTTAGCTCTATATTCTTGTTGGCCATTTTCCATGGTTCCAATTGGCATATATGATTCACTTGGTCAAGACGGTGTTCGATATATCATAAAACATGCCGAAGTTAAATTAATATTTGCTGACGACATCACGCGTGTAAAAAATTTAGTTGAATGGAAAGATGACACTTTAGCATTAAAAATAATAATTACGTTTGTTGAACCAACACCAGATTTATTGAAAGCAGCTGCAGACAAAAATCTTGAACTTATAACATATGATAGTTTAAGAGAAATGGGTCGAAATAATTTAGTTGATTTTGCACCACCAAAAATCCATGATATTGCTTTAATTATGTATACAAGTGGAAGCACAGGAGAACCCAAAGGTTATCTTTTTGTGCAAAAAACTCGACTTCTAAATTGAATTAATTATTTTTAAAATTATAGGTTGTATTATTACACATGAAAATTTTATTACTGCTATGTTTGGTTGTGGTACAGCTATTGATTTGGACTCATTAGCAGTGAATGAAGTACCTCGCGCAATGAATTTCTTACCAATGGCACATATGTTTGGCTGTGGAACAGTTCTTGCAATCACTTATTTAGGTAAGATTATCCTATAGAAAACAAAATGTTTCTTTATGAATATATGTCGTTTGTTCTTAATGTTTAGGTGGAGAAGTTGGATTTTGGCAAGGCAAAGTTGATAAATTACTAGATGATTTTCGTGATTTTCGGCCGACCTTACTTTCAATAGTGCCACGTTTACTTAATAGATTATATGATAAAGTACGATCTGAAATTCTTAAGAAAGGTGTACCCGGTCGAATTTTATTTCGATTGGCTATTCATGGAAAATTAGCATTAATAAGACGTGGAGATTTTTCACAAGATACAATATGGGACAAACTTCTATTTGAAAAAGTTCGGCAACAATTTGGCGGTCAAGTTCGACGCGTTGTATCGTCAAGTGCACCACTTTCAGCTGAAGTTTGTCAATTTGCTCGTGCAGCATTCTCTTGTTTTCTTATTGAAGCATACGGACAAACAGAATGCGTTATCGGTTGTTGGCAAACATTACACGATATGAAGTCAGGTGAAACAGGCATTCCAACGGTGTTCAATCATGTTAAATTAGTTGATGTGCCAGAAAAAGATTATTATGCTAAAGATGGTGTTGGAGAAATATGTATAAGAAGTCGAGCTGTGTTTAGTGGCTATTTAAAAGATGCAGATAAAACACGTGAAGTTATTGATGAGAAAGGTTGGCTACATACAGGTGATATTGGACGATGGACTCCATGGAAGACGTTGAAAATTGTTGATCGAAAAAAAAACATGTATAAGGTTTGTAGTTTAACATATTTTCTCTTGTCTCTATTAGAGTTCTCGTGTAAGCTACTGAATAACCTATTTGAGTGTTAACCTTTTGTTTTCACTTTGACATTTTTGATACGTTTTGAATATTAAATTAGATTGTCACAATTTTATTGTTAAATAGAGAATATTAACAATGGTATAAAATTGGCAGAAAGAAAAAACGCCGAAAACATTATAGATAGAGTCTAAACCCAGCTTTTCAACAATCCTATATGGATAATTTGTAGGAGTATCCATCGTTGCACTTTTAAATGGATAGTGTATGCTCAAACTCGATTTATAGCACTTTTGACATTTTTTACTTTCGACGCTTTTTCTTTTTGCCAATTCTATGCATATCCTGGCGTGGTAGCCTTGTAACGCTTCATATGAAAATTTTAAATTAAAACTGAGGTTGGTAATTCTGGAAATTTTTCTGAATTACGTGGTTATAAATAAAAAAAGTTGCCTTGCCCCAGTCTACAATTATAGTAGTCGTGCCATTGGGTTGCAAAAAAAATTAATTTCTGTGAAAAGTCATTGTTAATAATATCCAACTTCAGAAATATTTTAAAAGAAGGCAAAGTTATTACGATATTTATTTTCTATAGCTTGAAAATCTAGTCTAGACATTCTAATTCGATATTCAAATACGGCGAGAATCACATAAAAGAATCATTAAAACAAATGATTACATAATTTTGATGAAACCTATTTATAAAATCTAGTAACATTACAGTTTCTTTTTTGAAAACAATCGAAAATTAATGTTAACATATCGATGTAAAAGTTCCAACGTTCCGCTTTCCTGCCGCGGATGCCATAGACACATTACAAGCGATTCATCAGAGGCCGTGTGCGAGATACCTTAGAAACGATGTTCTTCAAAGTATCAAAATCAAATGGTATATCCGGTGAATAATGACTCAAAGCACTTGCAGTTCATAATTAATTTTCTTTTTCTTATAATAATACTGCTAGGCTACAGGTGTAGCCAGTAGTAACATTGATAAGTAATGTTTTCCATAGATTTACTACAAGAGTCGGGTTAAAAAAATGCACCCCGACACAGCTGAAGTTCTCTTGTCGTGACTGTTAATGTTCTAGCTTCATAAAGGTTTAACTCTAGCACCCCGTTAAGAATTTCACAGTACAAACGACGACAAATCTTTCATCCGGAAGCACGTATTAGTTTAGTTCACGAACTATTTTCTAATCGCATATCTAGAAGATTATATAAAAGGAATGACGAAAAAAGAAGTGTCTGAAAATAGATGAAGAAAAGTAATAATCTGTAATTAGTGAAAGCAGCTAGATCTTGCTTTAGATTTTAATCTCGCTAAGATATTGCTAACAGCTTTTTATTTTTCTATTTTTAGTTGAGTCAAGGTGAATATGTTGCGCCCGAAAAAATTGAAGACGCATATTCCCGCAGTCAATTCGTATCTCAGGTATTTGTTTATGGTGATTCATATAAAAATTTTCCTGTTGCTATTGTCGTCTTAAATGATGATTTCATTAAAAGATGGATAACAAAAGATGAAAAGAATGCTCAATTTAACACTGAAGCAAAATTAAAAGAACATGTACTTAATGATATGTTACGCGAAGGAAAAAAACGTGGTTTAATGTCGTTTGAACAAGTTAAAGCTATTGAATTGATAAAAGAACCATTTACAATTGAAAATGGACTTTTAACGCCTACATTTAAATCAAGACGTTTTGCCGTCGAAAAAAAATACAAAGACTTCTTCATTAAATTGTATCAACAAATTGATACATAACTTTTATATAGACTTGTTGTCCGTTTGCATTCATTTCTTTTTCCTATTTATATTTCATAATACGTATCCATTGCTGTCTATAAAGTCTGATTGTAACAAGTTTTAGAAACGGAAATTTATCATCTTGACATTTTGCTTGCGATGTGCTATTGAGATCAATCATAAAATCACAAAAGCAAAGAAACAAAGGAAATTGATTTTGCGTTCACAAATATCACAAAAAGAAAACTAGAAAGAACAACTCGGATTATGTTCGGCCTCGACTGGCTTATCTCAGATATTAGATTTTGCTGCCTAAAACATTCAGTGCGTAATTAACATTCTTAACCATTTGTGATAATGATTCTGTCAATTAGTTTTTTTACTAGCAAAGGAAAAACGATTTCTATTAATGCGAAGAAAAACAAACTACTTTATAAATAACGGAAAATTGAAAGAATGCTTTAGGCAAATAATATTTCGTATTTTCCTTTAGGCAGCTTATTCAGCGCCATTATTAGTTGGATTAAATACTGATATTAATGAAGGCTTTTATTTTTCTCTTGATAATAAAGTTTTCCTTTCTTAATAAGCATTATACTAATTAAAGTGATTCGTTCCGTGATAAACAAAAATAAATAAATGACTCCTTGAAAATTTATTTCCAGTCATTTTTCTTTATTCATAATCTGATTGTAATTATGTAGTATTTAATTTAATTGAAACATATTTGCAGCAACGAAGGCATTATCACATATTTAGACTTTAAAATTGCTACATGTCGAAAAATGAGAACGAGCCACTTTTTTTTGAAACGTTAGATTGTTTACGCTCGTAGCTGTTTCATCAGAACAAACATTGGCTTTGTAAATTGAGGAGTATAGAGCTATTCATCAGTGTTCATTTTTAAACAAGACAATTGAACAAATTATATCGATTCACAATATCAGCAGCAATCTTCTCTAACTCTTCGATCTAATAAATTTAGCTATTGCATATCGACACGTTTGTTTTTAATTCAAAACAAAATTTCTTCAGAAAACAGAATAGAATTCAATAGGTATTATAATATATTTCGGTGCGAGATATTTTATTTATGACAGTGAATGCAAAGGAAAAGTAATTTGTGCTTATAATATTTTGTTTTCTTATTCTCTCTCTCTCTCTCGCTCGTTACGATGTATTAGCCGGTGGCACAAGAAAATAAAAGACAAAGCAATTAAATCATGGAACAAGCATTCTTTCTTATTAAATCTGGGATTAATATGAACAGATAGAGATCGAAAGAGAGAGTATGTACCATTTATTTTCATATCATTGTCTATTTATACGGGCGACCAGTAGTCTAAACAAAAAATAAAAATATGTATGCATAATAAAACTTATTAAAGTAAACTTACTTGCAAGTTGCATACCGCCGATAGTATCGATTCCGTTTGACGCTTTTTGATTGTCTTCACCTGTTTGATGGCTTAAGGATTTGAGCATTTCTTGAAATTCATCTTGATCAAGCATACGAAAACGTTTGAGACGACCATCTAATGCAGCTTTAATTCGTTTAGGTGCTCGTAATTTTTTAGGATAGAAACCTATGAGTTAGATAAATAAATTCAACGTTAAAATTATAATTTTTAATAAGAATGAAAGAGCTTTTTTTGCGTTTTTGAACGACGCTATTATGAAGAAAAATAGAAACGGTCGATCAGTGTATGTCGATCGACTAAATAGTGAAATGAGCCTTTAACTAAATGCGCACCCGTATGAATATTGACCGGAAACACACGTGATATATCATCAATTGATTTGGCCATGTCGTTATCGGCTGCTAGGATCTAAATATAAAAAGAAATAAAAACACTTATTATGATGAACATTTTCTTAATATTAATGACTATGCATATAATACAGAATCTCATTTGTATAACTGTCAATTTTCTTATTTTCAATCTTGTCAAAAACAATTAACAAGCAAAGTAGAATATAGTTCTCTCACTTATTATTAACGCTATTTATTTATCTTTAAAGCATCTTGAATATTTTTTGTTTCATCAAGCATGAAAATGTAAGCGTAATCAGTCACAAAATATTCAACTACAACAGACTTGTTTCATCGCTACAAACAATGGCTCATATTTATCCTTCGACTGACAAAACGACATAGATGAAAGTACGTTTTCATTATTTATTAGACAACAAAGAAGTATCGTGTACGTGCCAGATAAATGGTTTAATCATTACAAAATTTGAGTAGAAGAATTAAAATGTCACAAAATTATCATACAGAAATTTTAAATATTTAACTAAAAACCAAGATTTAATGCAAAAAAATGAGTTCTCATTTTAAGATTCATATACATACGTTTAATTTAAATAATACACGTGTAGTCTATGAATATATATATATATATATATCGAGTTCTTACTGGTAAAGCATCGGCGATTGACGTGTGCCAAAACAGATTGACGAATAAGAACAAAGCACTCATGGACAATGTTAATTTGAAGATCCCACGGAGCATTTTCGTATTGTATCGTGGAATTTGATAATCTAAAAATGAATTTATCATCCGTCAATGTCTATCAAATGTAAACTAAGGAAAACCCTTAGGCTTCTTCTGCTTTCTCTCTCTTTGTCTCTGACTCTCTTTCTCTCTCTTTCTCTCGCTTTCTTTCTCTTTCTCTCTCTCTCACTCTTTCTCTTTAAAGATATCGAAGGAAAAGCGCATGCTGCCTATTAGAAAGTGCTGACACACGAATAATTACGATGATGGAACAGCATCCGGAGGCTCCCTCCCGGTTTTATAGTTTCGTAACATGAACTAACTTGGTTTTTCTTATAAGTGCGTGCATGTCTGTATATATGTTTTTTATGTCATGCTAGAGTATCATTTAGATTTATGGATTCAATGTATATTCCATAACAAAATAGCAATAGACCTACATTTCATATATAAATATAGATAGATAATCTACTTAATAGAAGACGATCTATTATGATCTTATCATTCGCTTTCACAGCTTTAAATTTATTTGTTAACACGGAAATAGTGCGGCAGTTTTCTTCTTCTATTCAAAATTGAATTTACTCCCAACAAAAAGAAAGCAGTCAAACGAATTAGAAAATACTTGGAAATGAAAATTTCTTTCACTCGGTTCAAGTAACTATTAGAAAAACATTTCAATTACTCTTATAATAATAAAATTATATCACAATAAGAAAAATTATAATGAAGATACCTGCTATTATCAAAATATTTTCCCGGTAATATTTTGATTATACAATTCTCTTTCTATTCCTCATTGATGAATGTCACGACTTTCAGAGTTCTCATGTAGCTCGGTATATCTGAATAAGCTTACGCGAACGATTTGTCCCTTGAGTAAAGCGTGTGAAAGACGCAAACAAAACAAAAACGTTACATAAGATATGGAACAGAGAAATTAAACTGGAGAAAATGTGAAATAGGGCACAAAGTAAATATATTTACTTAAAAGAAAAAACCCACCTACAGTATTTGCTATTTCTCTTTGGTCTTACAAGTCTGATCAGCACGTAGAAAAACTATAATTATTCCTATGATTTCATTTTCTTTTTTATTTTCTCTTATAACAAAAGGCAGATATATTCCTATTATTAATACGCCTCTTTCTCGCTCAACTACCTAACCAGAAAATAAAAACATCTCTTTTTTTCTCTTGCTGATAGCCTCTTTGCTTTTTCCCTTTTATCGACAATAGCGTATTTCTCTCTCTCGCTCAGTCTCTGTCTCTCTTTCTCGTTCCCTGGTTTTTTTCATTTTAAAATAACGGTCAAAGAACAAGTATAGTGTAACAACACAAGCATAGTCTCATACAAGAGATTTCTATGTGTTTCAATCAGCAATAAAGGACGGCATGATCGAGTATCAACATCATAATGAAGAAAAAAAGACAGCATGAAACTCTTCTTTCTTTCTTTTTAAGAGGTTTCTCATCGAGAACGGCAGACAAAAGAGATGATAGGTTGTCAATGAGATCGGAGTTTAATAAAAAAAATTAATTTGAAGAAAACCAATGAATGTGCTCGATATCAACACACCGGGTCATACACACCTTACAGTAGAAAACTGCTGGAATATCTCAGATCTCTATCCGTTAAATTCATAACAATGTATGCAAGTCATTATCTAATCAAGACGTAGAAACGTCAAAAGAAAGAAAACAAGAAAAGAATCTTTGCTTAGATCTGTCATACGTAAAGAAAGATGTAAATATCTTTCTCATAATCAATAAACATTAAACGTACCGATTACATGCGTTAACTAAATTGGATGGCATGAGAACAAATGAAGCCGAGTGCAAGAAGTTTTTTTTTCATATGAAAAACTACATAATGTCTTCTGTCTATTTTGACATCAAAGCATTCCTTTTCGTTTTATTTTGCCAAAATACACCAAGAAAAAATTTTAAAATAAAAATATACTTAAACATAATTTAAAAAAAGCATCAAGTAGCGCTACAAAAATGAATATAATGAAATTTTGTTTTTCTCAATAGTACACGGCATCACAAGAAACAACAAACGTTAGAATAGGTGGGACTTGTTATTACGAGACGCCATATACAATAGAACGCCAAAAGCACCTGTCAAAGTTATCCATGCAACAGTTGTTGATGATAGATGAGTCTTGTCGTCTCGTTTTGTACCTTGATTATGAATTAGAAATTTATATCGAATTACAATGAATTCATGACAGTTTTACCTTGATTTTCAGTATCGAACGGAGGCGTTGGGCGATCAAAACTCTTTATAACAGCTTTTTTCCATGCAGAGAAATTTTCTTCGCGCTCTATTAAACTTATTCATAAATATTCAAGAACAAAAAATGAAAGCCAAAAAGATTTCTTTACGTTTTCCTTGTATTCTAGGTATATATGAAGTCATTCCAGTTTCGATCTCATTTTCTGGGTTCAATTTGAATAGATCAATTCCTTTTGCTTTTCCAGCAGCAAGTGCAGCACCTAATGCTGTTGTTTCAAATAGACGAGGCGTATCGACATTGATACCAACAATATCAGCAAGCATTTGAAGAAACAATGTATTATTTGCCATTCCTCCGTCAACCTTTAATTTTGAAAGGCGTACACCACTATCAACATACATGGCATCAATGATCTAAGTTTGTTGTTTTTCAGAAAGTGAAATCATCAAATAATATAAAACGAAAGTGTATTTAGATCGCAAACAAATTACCTCGCGTGTTTGATAACAAATACCTTCGAGAGCAGCTCGAACAATGTGTGCTTTTGTTGTATATTGAGTCATACCCATAATCAAGCCTTCAATATTTTTTCGACTTTTGTTTTTAACTGAACTAATTTTATTGCATGAGAATTTTTACCTCGAGCATCAGATCGCCAATAGGGTGCAAATAAACCTGAGAACGCAGGAACAAAATAAACACCACCGGTATCCTCGACACTAGCTGCAATCGTTTCTAATATACGAAAGAAAGAAAGAAAGAAAGAAAGAAAGAAAATCTCTATTTCATAATCGATCATCGAACAAACGAGTGCTTTTAGAGTCTGGAATCAATCCAAGATTGTCACGCAACCATTTAATGCATTCGCCGGCAATAGCAATTGAGCCCTAATTATATAAATTACATTCATAAAAACAATATAATATATATTTGTCTATTTTTATTTCTAAGCACACGCACGCATATACACACTTCGAGAGCATAAACAGCGTCATCGTCATTCCATTTATATGCGACCGTTGTTAATAGACCATTTCGGGAATAAGCTAAATCTTCGCCAGTATTATATAAAATAAAACAGCCGGTTCCTATTTAAATAGAAGAATAACTAAAAATTTCTAATGACTATTCATTATAAAGACCATATCTAATATAAAGAGAAAACAAATGAACATTGTCTACTACACAGACTAAGGAAATGAGACATACGTGCTCTTTGCAGTTCCTTTATCTAAACATTGTTGTCCAACAAGTGCAGCTTGTTGATCACCAATAACCTAGAGATTAATCAGAACATACCAATAATAATAATCATGTCAAATTTATTATTCTTACAGCTCCAACGGGAACTCCTTGAAGTATACCGTCGTTAATATAACCAAAAATTGTTGCCGATGATTTAATTTCTGGTAAAATATGTTCTGGAATACCAAAGAACCTGTCAAGAAGAATGATAATAGTTATTTGAAGATTTATTCAAACTACTCGATGACGTTCATCATACTCGCAAAGTGCTGGATCCCATTTAAGACTTCGAATATTCATTAGCATCGTTCCTATTAGATAAACAAATGAATATCGTTTTATATTCTCTCTTTCTCCAAAGATTTAGACGCAATCAAAATGGTTGTATATTAATTATTTATGCATTTACTCAAGTCAACATAAGCAGACATAAACATATATATATATATATAAGTACTAAAAGATTCTTGTTCTCTTTGAAATCAATCAAGTGTACTATTATCTTACGGCTAGCATTTGTAACATCGGTTACATGTACAGTATTTTCTCCATTGGAAAGTAAATTCTAATAAAAACAAATATTAAGATGAACGAAATTTTTTCAAAAAACTGAATTGATTACATAAAGTAGCCAACTATCAACAGTACCGAATAGACATCGTTTTTCTTTGATTGCTTCTCGAACTTGATGATTATTATCGATTAGCCATCGAATTTTCAATGCTGAAAAATAAGTGGATAATGGTAAACCACATTGTTCCTTGAAAAAACAAAAGGAAGCTCATGAATGTAACACTTAAGTGAGCAAACTTGAAGACAATCTCTATGTGTATTAAATTGTCTTAGAAGAAAATCCACTGTTTCTTGTGTACGCGCATCGAGCCATACTATAGCATTATGTAATACTTTTCCAGTTTCTCTATCCCATAAAATTGTTGTTTCACGTTGATTTGTTACACCGATAGCTAAGCAAATAGACAAATAGTAGGAAAAAATGCAGGAAATTTTTCTGTGTGCTTTTCTTCTACCTTTGATATCCGATTTTTCGTAACCTAATTTTTCAAAATTTTCAACAGCTTTATCCATGCATAAGATCGTTTTTTCAAGAATTTCATTGGGATCTTGTTCGACCCAACCAGGATTCGGTGTTAGAATTTGAATAGTTTCTTGATGATACGTTATTAAGTCAAGATTTGCTGCATTGAAAATCTTTTAGAATAGAAAAGAAAAATTTGTTCTCGCTTTTATTCTCAATCTTTCTATTAAAAGAAAACCTACTAAAAATCGAGATGATGATGTTCCTTGATCAATTGCACCAACGAATTTATTCGTCGAAGACGATGTATTTTTACTTGCCATTAAAAATGATCTACAGTAACTCAAACGATTGATAATAAAGATCACATGTCGTTATAGAAACTGATATATTGGATCAGAATTAAGAAGAACAGAACTCTGTCAATTCTCGTCAACTGCAAAGTCTCTAGAAAACCTAAAATTTATTTATTTTTCTCGCACTCAGAATTCTAAAAAATAGCATATTTTCATGATGCTATGTGATCAGAGAGCGAGTAGTCGTCAACAACATAGCATGACTCCAAGCTCTTTCTAGACTGAATTATATGAACTTCAGGATGGTCCTTTATGCCAGATTGTTTCTTTCGCGATAATGAAAAAAACATGTCTGAGTGACTCCTCTTGATATCAACTTGGTTTCATTGAAAAAGTACTGTTGGAGAGTTTTCAGATATGTCTATTGTTTTCGTCTTCTATGTATGAAATTTTGCGAGAATTCTATGACGATTATTATTATCCTTAGCGCTTCATGTTAGCTACGATTGAAGAGGGAAAAGCTAAATAATCGATTTATGTTATAAGTGTCAACGTATATCAAAGAAGAAAAACAGAAGGTCGAATAATTTTAGCAAGTCCTATTTTTGTTTTCTTGCTAGAAAGCTAATTTTCTATTAGATAAATAAAAGAGCTATAAGAAAAATTTTTTTATCACAAAACACAAAAAGTGATAAATACTATTTTTATGAAAACAAACATGTAGATCAAGTTTTAGAATTAATTTCATTTTGATAAATATCGTGAAGCCATTTCAAGGCCTCATATGAGCGTTCATAACTAATTTCATGTTCACCATAAATTGTATTTAAAAAATCTGGAATGATATTTTTATGATTATTAATTATCTTATGCACTTCAGCTGTTTCCATTTCACCATTTGCTGGAGAAAATAAAAATTCTTTCCATGTTTCGGTTCGTCGTGGATTATAAATGAAACAAAAATTGGAATCAAACCAATGATTTCGTTCAAGACGTTTAAAAAGATAACGCGATGTAACTCTGCCTATTGTTGGAATACGATCGTAAAATGTTGTTCTTGTGACAATAATTGGATCAATGTTAAAACTTTTATGAGGAATATTTTCTCGAGCGAAAATATCCATCGATGCATTTATACGTTCTTCGGATGCAAATTCCATATCACGTGGCATCTAAGATATAATTATAAATTCATATTTTCAAAAACAAAATCAAACTAATCAATAATCATGAAATCAAGAAGGAAGATTCTGAAAAGCAGGTCCGATCAATTTTTACTTGAAAATATTTCTAATACGTAGTTTGGCAAATGACGCTATTAGTCAATAACAAAAGAATCATTGTTTTACGCTAAAATGTTTCCATATCTCTTTCACTTACATATATCCAAGCCGTGGGTGGATATTTCTTTTTTTTAACATGATTTTCTAGTACTTCAGGAAGAATAATAGATATAAATAATATCTGTCCTTGAATTGGATAGCGTTGATTGGTGACAAATATACTTGAGAATATTCCTCCGCTTGATGCACCAAATGTAAAACGTGGTAAATTTTCTAAACAAACAATGAAGTTCTCTTAAGTGAACTTTTCACACAAAATATAATGAACCTAATGCTGGATTTTCTTTATAGAATCCTTCAAGTCCTTTGAATATCATTTGTGCATCATTATTTTCTTTAAAATTCACATTATGCGACCAACAACGTGTAAACTCATCTGTTGCTTGGAATGCTAAACAACCATAGCCAAGATCAATGGCAGCACCAATAATCCGTTGTCGTTCAAACGTATGAAACCAATCATTTGCTGAACGACTACAACCATGAAAAATTAGCAATAAAGCTGACGTTGTAACTTTCTGCGGTAAACGATATAATATTGGAATATGATTGTAATAGGTATGGTTTTCATAGGTTAATGTCTTAGCTTGTAAATAATTAAAATCATGATATCTTATTAATCGATCGATTCTAGTTATTCCTCTTAATTTCCGAGGTTGAGATCCAAGTGGGCCACCAGCTTTAGTTTCACTATTTAGTGAAATATGACTATGTCTTTGCAAACGTAAAACTTGATATGCATAGACAAGATGATCAAAATTTAAGTACAGCAGGAACGAAAAAATCATAAATGTAAATATGGATAAAGTTGTTCGGACATAATGATTACGCTGCGCATAGTATCGATAATAATGCATGATTGTACGTCGATTTATATGCAATCTATTCACATAATTCGAAAATTAAAAGCATCAAATTTGTTTTTCTTTTGGAATTACTTTATTTTATATATCCGGAACGCATTTATTGCACTATTTACAAACATAACTCAATCTAATTCCTATACTAATAATAAATGATAAATATCTATCTGCCAGATATTCTTTCAGTCGCCTAACAAATAGACCAATGAAGTATTAATGTGATGTCGACACTTACAATTTCAAAAATAGTAATGCATAGACGTATGATGTATTTACTGTTGATTGTTTGTCTTTATTTTTTCTGTAAAAATACATAGAATATGCTATGCAACAAACAATTAAAACACCAGATAAAATCAATTTATGTATCGATTAAAAAATCAATATTTTTATTGCTTTTAGATGTATTAGAAAATAATGACTCGTTTATCGTAAGAATAATAAAAAAATATATACATATATATATATATATATATTTCTCTATTGTATTCGATATTTTAATTTCTTATCAGCGCATATATCTATCTCTGTATATACACATATAAATGGGTGGTCGTCTAACAACTTCACCATCATCGACATCACCATCATCATCAACAACAACTCAGCGACCTACAGCTTCCAATCCTTCCGCAAATTCAAATCCCACACGTACACATTCAAATCATCATTATCAACAACAGCAGCAGCAGCAGCAGCAAGTAGTGCATCATCATCATCGGTCCAACAGTAGTCATCATCATCATTCACATGGATTGTTTGGTAATAATTCCGGAAATTCTAATAGTCGACATCGAACAGCATCGACAAATATTGATCCATTAGCTGCAACAACATTTAATTTTAATTTATTACGTTACGTTGGACTCGAACATGAATCGGATGATCAAAGTTCAGATGATGATTCTCCGCAAGCTCATCGGCGTTTACAACATTTCATAATTACTCTTCGTGATGTTCCTTGTCCTGTGTGTAATAAAACAATACCAAGCGATTTATTTGAAAAACATATTCTACATTGTTTATCTAAACCTCGAATAGATTATAATGGTTTGTTTAAAATCGAAGGAAAAAATATTCTTATCTGCTATTTTCTTCTTGTACCATTATAGAGGATGTATTAACTGAAGATAAGGATGAATGTGTCATTTGTCTTGATGACCTATTGGCAGGACAAAAGATTGCTCGATTGCCATGCCTTTGTATTTATCATAAAAGGTAAAATATTTGTAACTAGTATGTTTTTTTTTTAAATATTACTAATCATGTTTAGAAAAATGTTAATAGAACATAAAGAAAGATTTGCTCAACGATTGTAATTTCATATTTAGAATGTTTTTGTTTTTTGTTCTGAAAATAATTAAATATATGACTGGCATCGGCATCGAATATACGTTTTAGTTTAATCTTCACGGATCAGATATTGTACTGATAGATAAAACAGAGAATTCGTTTGTTTCTCTTTGAAATAAGAGAGATTTATTTGCGTGAGATTCCAAAACATGTAAATATCTAAATAGAATCTGTGGTGTCATTAAGTTTAATCTATAGATGAAACAAAATCTATTGTCATCTTAAATCTACTCTCGACACAGAATGTATCATGCCAAAATAACATTCATCGAGATGATAAATAGTTTTTCCTCGTGTTAGTTTTAAGAGGTTTGTTCGAACAGAATAATCTACTTTTTGATAACGAGAGTAAAACGATTTTTGAAAGCTAATTTTCTATAAATGATGTATCGATTGAATTTGTTTTTTAGTTGTATTGACAATTGGTTTCGTATCAATAGAACATGTCCTGAACATCCCGGCGATTAAAGTATTCTCCTATAAATCTTTTTGATTTTATTTTTGAATTTCATTTAATCTTGTTCATGACGGTCTTTTTTTTTATATATCTGATGCATATGAATATGCATTGCTTTTGTTTCTTTTCTTTCTCTTCGACTGAGCCACTGTTTAAAAACGTATTTAATATGAGTTTTTTGTTTTTGTTGTTGTTGATCATTTTAAAATGCTATTATGATGAAAGAAGACAATCCTGATAGTTGACAAAAAGAAAAATAGGAAACATGATCAACGTGCAAACACACGAAAGAGTTAATTCCGTCCGTATGATAGACGTTCGTTTTGCTTCTTTAAAAACAATACAGATCTGTACAGGAGAAAAAAAACTATAGGCCCTACTTTTTCGCGTATGCGTCTTTTTGATATAATGAGGTCAAACAGCGGCAACAACTAAAAATTACGTAGGCGAGATTTTATTTTCTTTAAAGGTGTCTTTCAAAACTCCATCAATGTCGTCGTATTAACAGAGTTCTATGTATAGATTTACATATGAAAGTATTAAACACGCACGCACATACATATACGTATATGTATAAATTTCGCATGTTTTCTTTAAAATCGATTTATATATTTTTTCTTTTATGAATGTTTCTAGTTTATACTTTGGTTTGTCTGGTAGGCGAGTAAAACAAATACGCCTGTGTGTGTGTGTGTGTGTGTGTGTTTGATTTTTATTATTTTGGCTTTTGGCTGTTGTATTCGTTCTCATTATTATCTATACTGTAAATTATTGGTCATTTCACTCATTCTCTTTCCCTCTCAGAACTACTGTATCTTTGTTCGAGTTTCTTTTTATAAAAAAATAACATAATAAAATTTTACTGACTAAATGAAACACTTATATAATATATAACAAAGAATCAATAAAACTGCATATTATTTTGAAAGATGTTTTACGATTGGCATACTTTTTGGCGAGCAACTGCGGCCAGTATCTTTACATATTCTACAATTCATCATGTTATATCGAGATTTAATTCCAGTAAAGATGTACGCCATCGTTGGAGAAACAGCAATATAGCAACATCATTTATTCATTCGACTATTTCATCTATAATTAGTATCTATCTGTTAGTATAAAAAATTATATTCCACAAACAAACAAAAAAGAATAATAAATTTCATCTTATTTAGATTCATCGAAAATCCAGCAATGTGTACAACGGACATAATTTCGTCATTTACGCGCCATGCGTATTCATTCGTTTCATTCGAACTTGGTTTGTGTTTATTATTTGAAAATAAAAGAAATTTTGTTTTTCTTATCAAAATAATATTTTTTCTCTAGGCTATTTTGTTTTTGATTCAATTGATAATATACGAAATCTATCCGGTCGACACACATTCGAAATTCTACTACATCACATCATTGTACGATAAATGCAAAAAAGAAAAATTTTTAATTTATTATAGAAATAAATTATAATGTCATTTCTTTTTTTCCTCTTAATTTTAAAGATTATTGGATGTTTTGGTATTTCACTCTATCTTGGCCGCTATATTGGTTATTGTGTAATTAGTTTGTTTATTGAAATTAATAGTATTTTCTTGCATTTACGCCAATTATTTTTATTTTCAAATAAATCTAAGCGTGATCAAATTTATCGTATTAATAATATTATTAATTTAGGTAAGTTCTATATTATTTAAATGGCGACACGAAAAGCGTTTTTGACTTTCTGTAATTAAATTAGGTTGAATTTTCATCAAGGCTATACATTCAATTAGTTTAGTGGTATAAGATGATTTCTACGTATGTAGAGTACACACTTAAACATGAAAGAAATACTTAGATATTCTGTTTTATCAAAAGATCACTAGGGATAGACAAAAGAATTTTTCTAAGAACCTCTTAGTGAGTTCGTTGAATGAAACTGAAAACAATGCGCTGTCTAGGATTAGTATCTAGTTAAAAACAAAAATATGTTCTATTATTAAATTTTAATTAATTAATATTATTTATTGATAATTTCAGGTACATTTGTTGTATTTCGTTTTGGTGTTGTAACAGTTATGACAGTATGGTTAATTATGAATCGATCCAATGTACCATTGATTCTTTCGTTTATTGGCCATTTGGGATTATTGATAATGACAATTATCAATGGTTATTTATTGTATCGATTAATACGAAGTGACTATTCAGTAAAACATCAATAAAGTGCTAGATTTGCTTTTCTACAGTTTTTAATGAAAACATGGTTATGAAGGACTTTTGGAAAACATTTGTGATAAATTTCGAACACTACAAACTTTTTGTTTTTAATGGGTTTTTGTATTTGCGCATTATTTTACTTGTTGATTGAGGTGGATGCATTTCTATTATATGTCCTAATTCTAATACATCTGCACTTTTGCTTTGTTCAATCATTGTGTTTAAAATTCGTAAGACAACAAAGCTCAAGTGCATTGCTAAGAATATCTTCCATAATAAAGATGAATACTATCTCCATAATTTGATTTTAAAACAAGAAAATTTTATTGAAGTACATTATTTATTCTCATCTAGCGAATATATTTCATACACAACAACGTAGAACTAAAATCCGAAGAAATGTCGTGCCTTATACGAATACGTAAAATTAAATATTTTTTCAAGTGATTTATAGAATTGAAGGTTTTTTTTACCATGCTGTGTGTATCAAGATATTCTATCTCTTCTCACGTACATGACAAAACGGCTTATCAAATAAAATTAAATGAAAATTTATACTCATGTGAAACACAACCTAAAAATGTTTGTTGGATTATTGGAATAAAAAATTGGATATTGCTACTGACTCTGTTGAATCAAAGAACGTGTATCAATGTCTCTTTAAAATAAATATACTGCTATGTGTGATTGTGTATCTCAAGGATTTAGTGCGACTGTATGTGTTTCTTAATGGATATAATGAAACGAATTTCCTGTCATTATTTTCTCTTCAAAGTACTTTGAACATTTATGCAGAAAAGAGTTTAATTGCAATTTTTTCTATTAGTGCACACTTTTCTTTCGACTATAGAAATGCACACTAGGAAAAGTCTACATTTTCAACCATCATCTTTTATTTCTCAAACAAAAGAAACCAACAAATAGCTTGATCGAAAAAGAAAGATACGCATACATTTGTATTGAAACAGCAGAACAACAAAAAACAAAACGAAAACACATAAACCTAGTTTTTATTTTCTCATTAAAGAACACTCATATTAATTCTTGGTTTTTAAACACAAGAAAAAACATATATTTTCAAAGTAAACTACTCATTAATATCGTTGATAACCACCGCGACGATTCTTTTGTGCGCCACCACTTGGTGGTCTATAGAGTGGCTTTTCTGGTCGTGCACGTTTATTAGTTGCATTAGCAGGACCAGTAACAGTGGACGTGTTTGTTCCTGTGCCATTTTTATTTGTTGTTGAGCCCCCCTCTGATTCTGAATGTGACCGTTTCAATTCCTCCTACGTAAGCAAACAATTTCGAATGAGTCAAATAAATACATAATCTTTTTTTCTGGTGAAAAGCTTACTGTTGGTTTCCATGACAGAATAATATTTGATTTGAAGGATGGTGGCGAACGACATAAATCTCGTATCATTATTTGCACATTTGAACAGATTTTGTATGCAATTAATCGTGTTTTTTTCTATAAATTTAACAAGAATTTCGTGTGTAAAAAATTTCATTTCAACAAACTTGTTCCTCTTGGTCTTCGCCTTCGACTTTACCATTCAATGCGTTTTTCAATTGAGTTGTATACGATGATGCACCACGATAAAGATAGCGTAATCTATAAAAGATGAAACAAAACAAAAAACACTTATTTTCTATTACAATATAAAATTGAAATAATAATGAACCTTAATCGAAAATCTTTGACACGCTCTTCATTTTCCTCTGCAATTAAAAAGTCCGGATATTTTCTTGATAATTGATGTAACCCATACGATAAACATTCAATAAATGAAAATTGAAAATCAGGTGTAGCATCGGTCGTAGTACCAGCTTCAGATTCAACAGGTGGCTCGGGTAAAAATGTCTAAAATGCAAAAAGTTGAAAATATTTTGTGTAAATATTTTTTTCTGCTTTATATACCATAAGAACATTGAATAATTTTGCTAAACGTTCTTTTGGTCGATCGAATTCCGTACAGAATGGACACATTTCAGCAAGTATACGGAATAAATCAAGTTTATCATCAGACGATAATGGTAATTTATCAATATGTTCAATAACATAATCAAGCATAAATACAACAAATTTTGTTGAATGAACATTTTTCTAGAAATTATACATACATGTATATGTAACAAATGAGCAATATTCAAACGAGAAATCAGCAAACTCTTCCATGCCAATCTTTACTGAATAGTTTCTCTATTTTTTTTCTTATCAACAGTGTTTCTTCAACTAATGAAATCTTTTCTACTTTGTATCTAACTTACCGAAAGTAAACTCATAGCATGACCCATAAATGTAGCTACGAGACTAAGACGATCGGTATCAACACCCTAAAGTAAAAACATCACTATTGATCATTTTTGATGAAAATTTCTTACATTCCATCCTTGTTCTAAATGACATTGACTAATAATCATATTAACAAGTTCTTGTCGAGCAATTAATGTTTGCATTGAACGTAGTGTTGACAATAATTTAATTATTGTAACAAATTCTTCTGCATCAAGTTCTAATGCGATCTAAACATTAACAAAATCTTAGAAAAATATTCGATGAAAATATTTTATACTTACATCTTTACATGTTTTAATTAAATGTTCTTCAATATCTTTGGGTAAATCGGTTTCATCTAGTGTTGCTATTCGACTACATATAAATCCTAACAAAATAATTTTTTACTATAAATCTAAACGAGTCAAGAAAAAAAAACAATACATACGGAGTGCACGTTTACGAAGTAAATCTTCCTGAGAACGTTGAATTGCGCTAAGAATACCACTAATTGTTTCTAGAATAAAACAGATGAATATTAGCATTTTAGTGACAGTACTTTATACGTTCTGTTTTTTTCCTCGTAATCTCACTCTTTACTTATTCGAGTATCATTATTAGACATGTGAAAATTTATTTGATCTCCGCCCAGTACGATCGATATCAGTTCAATGGTTATTACCGCGAGTTATTAATTTCAGTAAAAATCTGTAGTCTAGTTTTCAACAATAGAAGGAATATCTTTGTCAACTTTTTTTGTTACTGTCGCCACTGTCTATTTATCTTCAAATTGAACTTACCCTTTGGATTAATATGATAAATAGTCATAATAGAATTTTGTACTTGTGTTACTTCAGTTGTATCATTCGATTGAAGTAACTGTATAAGTACGCCAATAACACGAGGAAGTGTATCATTTGATGCTCGGACTAACGTTGGAAATTCTTTAATGGCTAGTTTACGAATCTAAAGATAAAGAGAAGAAAAACAAAACTAGACAAAATCATATTTATTTAAATTTATACTATTATATCTTCATCTTCACATAAATCAATAACAGCTTCTATTGTTTTCGTCATTTCAGCAGGAAAATTTTTACAAAATTTTGCGATAAATTGTAAAGCTAATTTTTTTTCTTGTGGTCCTTGTTTAATAGCTTCAATTAGATTTTTGTATGCATCAAGCGCTTCCGATGAATTATTTGTACCATTTTTGTCATTAAGAACATTATATAAGTCATATATGCGATCAACCATTTTGAAAAGATTTTTTTAAATTACAGCAACAACAGCTTAAATTGCGAACAAAAATGTTGTATGAACGCAATAAAACAAAACAATATTATTCTTATTCATTTGTGTGTTAGAGAAGGTCGACCAACTAATAGTGACACAGAGAAACTAACCAATGACAAACTGACCGAATCAATGATGTCGTTGAAAGTCAATCATATAAATAAAAATTGGCTTCATCCAGAGGCGTTAGTCAGGTCTCAAAGCAAGGCGGGGGAGGGGGGCATAACTCTTATTTTGCTGTTTTCATTATCTAAAAAAATGAACTTTTGGAAGCAGGAGGGATAAACTTTTTTTTTGTTTTGGTAAGCAAAAAAAGCGAAATTTTCAAAAGCAGTGGGGGAGCGTTCCGGCCCGGGGGGGGGGGGGGGGGGGGGGGGGGGGGCGGGGGGGGGGGGGGGGGGGGGGGGGGGGGGGGTCGGTCGTGNCCCCCTCCCCCCCCCCCCCCCCCGCTATTTACGCTCCTGGCTTCGACTACTGAATTTTTTGATGCATCGAATTCATTTTGAATATAAAAAAAAAATAACGAACAAGTACTTCATATTATTCATGAGATGCCGATTGAATCAATGATGATGATTATGTTTTCTTTGCGCTAGCGAGTTGTCTTCGTTTATTACTCCTGAATACAAGTGATATTTTTAATCATTTCTTCGTCTATGAAATTATATCATTAAAAGCACTGTAAAATTGTTCTTCTCTCTTGTAAATATATTATCATACTGATTCTAATCCAACAATACACATCAATATTACGTGGATCATTTCAAGGGAAAATTGAATTAATATTTACTAAATTCTTAAAGTGGCACTTAAGAGACGGTCTGTCTGCGAATAATTTAAGTCTATGGAATTATTTAATTTTGACTTAAGTATTGATAAATATTAATATAAATATAATTATATTGTTCTGACTTTAAATTAAGGTTACCTGTGCATGTATGGGAATAGATTGATAGAATATAAGTCATATTGTGCTACTAGTATGTTTTATTGAAGGGTTTCAGTTTCGACGAAATGAATCTCTGTAGAAACAGAATAATCCAATTTAATATGAGAATAATTGTACTCAATTTTAAATAAATAATAAATCTTACAAAGTAAAGTAATTTGTTATTGTATTGTGAAACTTCGACAGTAAACTCAATAAAAAAATTGTCAACAAAATTTAGCGATGATATTATGGCTTCGAATAAACCGATCGTGACTTAGAGAGAGCATAATAACGCGTATCAAATGATCTCAGCTTCTTTTTTCTTTCTTGTGTTTATTACTTCTAGAAACAGGAATAAGAAAACTTTCGACAAAATATTTTTGTTGTAATCTGATTCGTCTAATTTGTACGCTAAAATCGACGATATTAAATTTGAAAAAAATGAATCCACACTTATACTGAAAACGAAAATATTTATGAGAATTTAATATGTAATAGCGATAGGAATTTGAATATTTGTTTTTTCGTCGTCTAATATAAGGAAATTTTGTCAATTGGTAAAGAAATATATATTTGTTGTTTTTAAAAACGAAATAAAAACTCTTGACAAGACATATAACACTACTTAAACTGATATAACTGTTGTCATCTGTTCCTGAAGTAGTTTTTAACTCGATAAATTATTGACAGAATCAATGGCATTGTCTCAGATATCAATAAGTAAACTATATCATATCCTTCACCGTCCTATATAAAAATGAATAATCCACTTTTAATTACCACAAACATGTTTGTTAGATAATATTTCGAGAAAAAAATCGCGTTCTAAATTAGACCTTGAGTTTTTTTTTCATGTTCTCAACATGTATCACACAACTTTTTTTCGCTCTCTCTCTCCCCTCTATGTTCAATAGTGAATTATGCACTGATTGCTCAGCAAGTCATGAAATAAAAAAACAGAAAAAAAACAGAAAAGAAAAGAAAAGAAAAAGAAAAAGAATCGCTAAAACGGTAAGTGTTTTGTACAAATAATTTGCTCGTTCGACATATTATTATTAAACTTCACTTTAATGAACTCTATCGATAGTAGCGTCTTGTATTACAATGTATATCCATTGTAGACAAACAAAAGCAAAGCATATTACTCAAGTTCTACGATTCGTTCGCATGCATTTATGCATGCGAACGAAGAAGGAAAGACTGAATTTTTGACGTGCAAGCGTAACGTAATATCTTTAATTTAAGGGATTATCGTAAGAAGTATGAAAAAAAAGAATGCATGAGAAGTTTACAGGTAGGAAGGAGACAGAGCAAGAGTGAATGAGAGAGAGACAGAAAGAGAGGGGCACCGCGATATTCTTCATATATGAATGGTTCGTTTTTTCTCATCTAACCGAGAAAAAGAAAAAAAAAGCGAAATGAATACGAGATTACTGGTAGAGTAATTATCAATCATTGACAGGTAATTCGTTTTTTTGGAAGGAATTATATATTGCTCCTTGTTTTTGTTATAAGAAATTATCTTGAATTCTAAGGTACGTCGATTCAATCTCTATAGACTTTTATGATGTGAAAACGTAGGTAGATGCTTTCAAACCAGCACGTGCAATGTTCTAATTATTTACGTAAAGGAAAATTGCTATTTCATTGCATGCGGTGTTTTGATTAGGTCAATACGTTTCTGAGTGCAAATGTATTTTATTCTTCGTTAGCCCATCAAACTCAATGAGTACTCCGATTTTAATGTTTTATTATTGGAAAAATTGAGCTGACCACGAGTGAACACAATGTACATGAGTTATAGTTTATATTGCATATTATTTAGAACAGCAGAAATTAAGGGTAATTTAGAATCCTTATATTTTCCTTTTTCTTTCTTTTTCATTCGTTTTCCATCCTTGCTGATTTTTCTTTACTTTGTTTTAACTCTGACAAAACATATAAAACCGTAGAAAATACGTTATTAGTAACTACATATATGTGCGTATGTTAGAATCATAATGATGCAAGAATCCACTACACTTAAAATCGTCATTAACAAGTCTTGTAGGTCTTATCACGTTTGTTTATTCGACAATAGCAACGGTTTAATATTGCTAATATTTTCGATCATCTTTGGATGAGTGATTGAAAACTATTGGGAAATTTCAAATATTTCAGATTTTTCTAAAAGGTACTGTACAAATCCATATGGTGATATTTGACGGCTCTTTATGATTAAACATACATGCCAGAAATGAAACAAACTACTACGTTCGACAACAACTCATTGTTACATTTGAAATCAATGCATTTGACTATCATAATCGTTTTCATCTCAGGTAGAAACAAAACACAACAAAAACCAAGAGAAAAAAGAAAATATAACCTACGATTGATTTCATTGTAGTATTCGCAAGCATTCAATGTACAACAATAAAAAACACCAGAGACTCAAAAGAAAAGTCATCATTATTAGCAGATATACATGATTATAAATCGATTGATAATCCCGCAGAGATAAATCCCGCCACTGAAGGATTCATCATAATAAATGATTAAAAAAAAAAACATTCCCGAACAAAACAATTGTCAAACTCGTCCAAATCTAAACGAACAAACAAAATATCGAAATCAAAGACTTTGCTATATGTAACGTCAACCACGTGTGAACCACAACTCCACGACACATTCACTTCCACTAGTATCATCACAACAACTACACTAAAAACAACACCGAATAATACATCACACGTCTCAATAAACTCTCCGCATGGCAGACGCGGTAGAAGACTACTCAACGACGTTAGCTACAACACAGATACCGAAACGACATACACACAAACCCAATTCGGCGACGAGGGCGATGTTCAGAGCTTCATGCAAGTTGATGCTGCACTCTTAGGCAGCAACTTCGGCGACATGACAGCTGCAACTGATGGAAGTGGCGAAAGTATGTAAACACCTCACAAACATTGTTTTCCTCTAACTATACATTCCCATAACTATTTTTTACCTTAAGCAACCGAAGAAACCACATATCAAACCGACAGTGAGTACAACATAAAGAAACCACATTCTAACTACTTCTATCATTTCAGCTACATCGTCTGCAACTACAACACAAGCAATTCAAACAACAATCACATTTACCGAGCCTCCATCTGCTCAAACATCCGTCCCCACTGGAACTGAGACGACAACAACTGCAGCCACCGGTACAGAAACAACAACATCGGCGACCACTGGAACTGAAACTACTACAACAGCAGCCACCGGTACAGGAACAGCAACATCGGCGACCACTGGAACTGATACTACGACAACAGCAGCCACCGGTACAGGAACAACAACATCGTTGATCACTGGAACGGAAACTGCGACAACAGCAGCCACCGGTACAGAAACAACAACATCGGTAACGACGGGAACGGAAACTCTGACAACACGAGCCGCTGGTACGGAAACTAGTATAACTGGTACCACTGGAAGAAGCAGAACGTCAACAATGACGAGTGAAAGTCAAGCAACGGTGACTGGCGCCATTGGAACAAGCATAACACCAGCAGGGACTACAGGAACCGAAGCTACGACAGGATCTAGGACGTTGACAAGTACTTCGGTGACGATGCCGGTTGTTTCCACTTCGACGTTGACAAGCACGGTAGCCCTCACGACAACATTTACTACAGGTCCAACGACTACTACGAATTCAATAGGTAATGAATGTTATATGAGATAGATTTTTTAGATGGTTGTAGGGATGCGTTTCTCAATCTATTTACTGTGTGTTTCCTTCGTATTTCGTGTGTTGTCTGCGTACAAGTAATATCTTTTGTTTTCTCTTTCCTTTAAGTGTGTACGTCGAGTGAAAAAACTGTATCTGGCTGTGTGTTGCTAGTGAACTCATCAAGTTTTTGCAATGCTTCTACTCGTGGGGTGGAAAGTATCGAGAAAACAATAACATGCAGTAATGGTAGTCGCACGGTCGAAGTTGCTGTGAGTGCTTGTATTCCGATCTGTCCAGGTAATTTAGTTTTTTTTCGTGAAAAGACTTGGATCGTAGTGTTTATTTTTGTGTTTTGTGCGCAGTGACTGAAGTTGCTTTCAATTCAACACCAACATTAGTAAATCTCAATATGCGGGTGACACCAATAGCTCTCCCTTTCCCATACCAATATACAAATGAGAATAATGTTCACAAGGTTCTCTTTGTAAGAATGATAATCTTATTTTGATGGCATCTTTGTTCATATGCTTTGTTTGGTCTAGGTTACGGATAAAGGCTACATTACACTGGACAAACCACTTTACGCTGTTGAACCATCGGAAAATGGACTCCCGGACGTGCCGTATATTGCACCGTTTTGGACAAATCTACTATACGTGAATCAAACCATTATTCAAGTAAAATACACTAACATTTCTTTTACTTTGAAATTAGTTGTGTCTGATTAAATTTATATTGTTAGCCAACAATATATACTGGTTTGTCTAATGGTACATCGGAATGGAAGGCAGTTGTGGATACGGTGAACATTCTGCAGAATACATTGATTAACGAAGAGGTTGCAGTTTATCGTGTTGTTAAAATAAGATGGCAAAATTTGATCACAAATATGGATAGTACCACTTCTGGTAGTGGATCATCGGATTTCAAAGTATCGTAGCAAGTATAGGTTTCCGTTGATTTATAGTTTCTGTATATTCTAGAACATAATGTTCGATGCATATTTGATCAATGGACCTGGAAGCGGTTTTAATGTATGGAATTCTTACCTCCGTTTTGAATATTACATCAATACAACCATTGTAACTCCAAACTATCAGCCAGTAGTTATCGGTAAGATTGCATTATTTTCAAAACAAAAAAATTTTCTTACAAAACATTTATCTCTGTCAAAGGTTATCATACTGAAAATGCTACGTCACATAAATCTAGTGTTTCATTCACGAATAAAATTACTGATTTCATTTCAAGTATCTATCATTTTGTGATGCTTTTATTTTTGTTCAAGAAATAATAATATCTTCATTTGTAGGTACTCGTATGTTACGAAATTATTTTCTAAGTTCAAAAATACTTAGCACCTGTGAAATATGGTATTGGCAACAGCACACAGATATCTTATTCAAACGATCCGATAATCTCACGTATGAACTATTTTTTAATTTTGATTCGATCGTATAGGTTGATATTTCTTTTTTAGAGCTGTTAAACGAAATCCATGCCCCTGCTCATATCAACAAGCGCTATCAGACTTTAGATTTTATCAACTAAATAGTGAAAATCGTTACGAACAAAGTAATCGAATTTCGTGTTTTTTTCCAGCAAGTAGTTTTGTACAACAAGCGTCAAGTGCTAAATCTTATCAACAAGTAAATAGACTAAAGGAAATACAATGCTATTGATTACTAGCTCAATAAATATCGTTTAGTCATGTTGTTATGATACCAGCGTAGGATCGTTAATTACATCTGGCCAGTTTGCTGGATCTGTTCTTGATGCTGCTGCTATAGAATCATTACGTTATAGTTCAGGCCAACCACAACGTATTAAAGAACGGTAAATTATTTCTCTTTTTCTCATACTGTATGAAATGTTACGTAACTTATTGCATTTTAGAGATGAGTGTTGCATAGTAAGTAATGGTACTGTTGACTGGTCAACATGGTGCAATTTATATTATGAACTTCGACCGCCTAGCACATGCGATGGATATCAACCGCCATCACAAGGTAGATTATTTTGTAAAATGTTTTTTTTTAATCTAACTGATATTGTTTCAGCTTGGTTTGGTGGTGATCCGCATATACAAACATTAAGTAATAGTGATGTTAGTTGTAATGTATTTGGCTCTTTCATATACGCTGAAACAACGAGTACAGCTAATAATTCAGCAAATAGTAATAGTACTAGCACTACTTCAACCATTATTAAACCATTAGTAAGCAATGAATTATTTTCAATTGTGGCTCGAACTAGTAAAACTCCAGCACTTTTACAAGTGACTAAATTTTTTAATCAAGATATAACCTATTTTTCATCGTTTTCAATGTATCTTGGATCAAATCGTGACTTAATAATTGATGTTGATATTGATCCATCAAATAATTATCAATTCAGTAATAAATAGTTTCTATAAGAATTTTACATTTTTTTTTTATCTTTAAAATTTATTTAGGCGTCAATTATTTAGTTAAAAGTGAAAATATTACACAAAGTCCTTTTCACTCGTCGAATGATTTTGTCGAATATTTCTATTATCCAACATCATTAAATACGTCATCAGAAATTATGTTTTCAATCATTCAAGAAAATCAATCAATATCAGCAATCAATTGGAATACATTTACTTCTAACAATAAAAATGTATCCACACAAATTCAAGTACCAAGATTAACTATATCGACTTGGTCGGGTAAGTTACAATATACATTTCAAAACAAGCATTTCAATTCATTTATCTGTAGGTTTGGCTATGCAATGTTATCTTATAGAAAATAATATGGCATGTACATTATTGTTGCCACACAAATACGATGGTAATGTTCAAGGTCTTGTTTTTGGTGGCGTCACAAGTAATGCAAATCAATATTGTTCGAATTGTATGTACTATTCAGGAAAAAAATGAGTCATGTTTTTATGAGAAATTCATCTTTTCTTTTCTTTTTTAAAAGATTCACTTATACCAAATGCAGCTGAACAACAAGCATTACAAACCAACGATACTCTATCATGGTTTAACACTGGTGCATCTAGTTCATATCAGACTTATATCAATACTATAGCATGTCCAATGGCTAAGACACTACCAACATACGGATTTTGTGTGCAAGATACAATTCTTTCTCAATCATCTCTTTTAGGACAACTAACTGTGAGAAGTTCCACGGATTACCAAGTAGCGAATGCATTTCTTAGTAATGATAATAAATAAAAAAAATTCATTTCATTTCATTTATTCATTATTTGTTCTATTCAATTTAGACACAAACCCTCCAAAGGTATCATTAGTATCACCGATATCAATCGATGCGCCATATACTTATTTGTTAACCATACCATATACGATGACATTCACCAATAAGTCAAATGCAAATATTAATGTGCAAGTTGATGGAAATTCATCTATGATCGTTCGAATACAAGAAACAAATACTAGTATCCCATATAATTGTAGCTGGAATAATACATTTTACTCTTGTAATTTCTTATATGCCAATGATAATAGCAATCTAATCGAATTAACGTATGTATTATGACGTTTTCAATCTGTCTTTTTGCACATTATTAACACTAATTAACTAGTTATATTTTTAACTTTCAGCGTGATTGCAACGGATATAGTTAGCAATTTAACTACTTATCAAAAAATTCAATTAATTGTAAATGAATGTGTTGACGGCCAACCAATATGGAATAATCCAACTATGTTATCATCATCGGTTTATGTCTTATTTTGTATTTGTAATGAACTTGCTGCTGGTATTTAATGAATAATAAGTTTTTTTTCTTTTTGTTAAATCTTTTAGCATGATCGAAATGTTGTGTCCCTTTGTTCTTTACTAGTTGTTTTTCCTTTTTGGTACTTGATAATCCTGCTGATATCCTCTCTGAAGCTATTTCATATCATCAAAGATCGACCGATTGTTCAAGCATAATTCAAAAGATTGTTTTTCGTTTCTCATTTTAGGAGATTATTGTGAAAGATCAGTTAGCTGTAATGATATGACCGCATGTATATTAAATTTTGCTCCAAATATAAATTGTATGGCTGTTCTAAATGCAACTCTGATAAATTCGACACAAACACCATATCAATGTATAAATTCAAGAACAAATGAGTTTTGCTCGAATAATTCCGAATGTTGTAAACGAGGTTATGCATTTAAAACTGACGTACAACAATGTTTATGTAAGTATTGAATAATTCTATCTCGAGTTAAAATCACTCTTCTGTTATTGTTTTCTTTAGTTCAGCCAGTTTGCAATAGTACTCTATGCGGGCTAAATAATACTTGTCAAGATTCTGAAATAGGAAATAATCTATATGTTTGTATATGTAAAGAAGGACAGATTTTTGATGGCACAACATGTATTCGTACGTATCCATAAATGACTTAAGATGTTCAATGGAGAAAAAAAAACAAATCTGTTTTCTTGTCTTTACTTTCAATAGAAGAGAATGTTTGTAATAGTGGAATTGGTATTTTACCGTGTACCAAACCATTTCAAGTGGCTAATAATGTAGGAATTGAATGCCAATGTGACTGTCCAGTTGGTTTTACAAATTCATCAGATGGTTGCATACGTAATTAATTCTATAAAACTAAAATCGAAGAAAAATAACTTATTACGGGTTCTTTTTATTTTATCGTATATAGCACCATCCACTGTCACTTGTGATAATGTAACTAACGTCTGTACTGACTCATCAACACCAGGCAATCCTTTCTGTCGATTCCGAACATTGACCTACAATAATAATACCGGAACATGCCGAAGTATAGACTTTTATATTAAATACTTTTCTCTCTTACGGTTTTTATTTCAGATAATTTGTGTACAGACTATTGTCAAAATGGTACTTGTTCGTCGGATACAAACAGATATACGTGTAGTTGTCCTCCGGGCACAAGCCTTGATTATGCATTGAATTGTGCTGGTAAATAAGAAATGTGTAGCGTTTTTCTAGTTACAGATAGTTACGAAAGATTAACATCTGTTCACTTTTCTAAACAGAGAAAGAGAGAGAGAATCAATAAAGATCTGAGAGATTGTTTAATTCAAGATAATTATTTTGATTTTTTTGAAAAATATATCCAGTAATACCAATAAGTTTTACTTTTTACTCATAAACGATAACATTCAAAATCTAGAAACTAGGTATAGCGTAGCCTTTCTTGTATTTGTTTCATTCTGACTGCGATATTGTTTAACTATGCTGAAGCTAAATAATTTTTGCTTCAAACAGATCTTCACAAAGGAAGAGCTATAAAAGAAGACATATGGCTATAAAGAAAATTGTAGTCACAGTTGGACCATTGAGAAAAAAAACGAGATCAATTTCTTACATTCAATCTACTCTTCTTGTTATGTTTTATATAAATTAAAAATATTAACCATATATTTTATATAGTTTGTGACAGTGGATCAGCGGGTCCGAATTGTTCATTAGTATGTGATTGCGAATTTGGTACATGTAATGTCAATGCAACTGGTGCAGCTAAAGTATGTTCTTGTGCACCAGGTTATACAGGTCTACGATGTGATGCATATATTAATTATTGTGATCCAAGTAGTTTCATTAGACATTCGAAATTAACTCATAGAATTACTCTTTTGTTTTCTACTTCCAGTTGATGACAATTGTAATGCAACTGTAACAAATCGAGTTTGTCAACTAGCACCAACTAATCGTGATACAAATATTTCAAGTAATGCTTACAATTGTATTTGCCAAACTGGATATGAGCCAGCAGCAGGAAGCAACATTTGCAAAGGTATTATTTTTCAATAGACCAAGAATGTTTTTATTGTATATATATTTATAGATATTAATGAATGTTTCCTGGCATCTAGCAGCGAAAATATTTGTCCAGATTCAACAACACAATGCGTCAATACTGTCGGTTCATATAAATGTGTTTGTGATCCAGGTTATACAAAAGCTAATGCAACAGTAAATCAAAATTTATATGTCTATTTTATTTTGCATAAAACAAAAATTCGTCTTTTTTTCAAGAATACTCATGCATGTGTTGATATAAATGAATGTACTACGAATGCTTCTACATGTGCAAAATTCCCAAATTCGTATTGTATTAATCTTGTACCGTTCTATGAATGTCGTTGTGATTATGGTTATGCACCAAGCGGTAATATTAGTTTAAAGAAAAACCTATTATTTATTTATTAACTGTCTTTTTTTGTTGAAAATCTGATTTAAGGTGATTATAATCAAATTTATTCAGCTTTGCAAGGGAATCAAGTGTGTGAAGTTTATGATCAATGTGCTGCTAATAGTATTGATTGTGGTGGTGGAATGTGTTTTCAAAATATGCTTGCAAATGGTTCATTACCTACCTGTTATTGTAACAATTCATTAATACTCATCCAAATATCATCTGGAAAATATGATTGTGTTTGTTCATCTAATACAAATTACTTTAGTGGAGGCATATGTATACCTCGACCCAATCCAGGAATAGGTAATATATAATTAAAATTAAAAAACAGACATTCGTGCAAAACATTTTCTGTAAAATAGGTCTCGGAGGAGGATCAACATTTATTATTAGGATTAATTGTGATAATATAAGTAGTGTAACTGAAGAAGTACGTTTTTTTTTATACACTGTTAAATATTCTACTATTATTTAATTTATATCAAATAGATAATGCGAAGATTTAATGAATCATTCGCCTATCCATATACAATCGTAATTAAAAATAATGGATCAACGTATGTCGAAACATTTTTAAAACAAAATATGAAATAATAAAATTTTTTTATATTTTCTTAATTATAGGTGTGACCAATCGGGTCTAACTGATTTCCTATTCGAAATTACTACTGCGGATAATATAACAGTACAAAATACGGCTTTCCAAATACTTGATAATATAACAACAAACCTTTCAGTTGGTATTTACAGTGTTGGTAAATGTGCAAATAAAACAGGTAAATAAATTACAAAACTTTCAAATGAAAAAAAAAATATACTGCCATATCATTTTACACTTCAAGAGTAAGTACATAGATGAATACGATCAATCTTATAAAATTTCTTGAACTATATCATCACATGTTTTTGTAACTTCGAAAACAACTTGTTACTTAAAAATCCCCTTGCATTTTTTAATCACCTATGGTCCTCGACAGGATGTTGGGCGACAATCCATATAGTGCTTGTTGGAATATCAGAAAAACACCCAGAGAGCTTTCCATATGCTAGTCTACATATAGGATTTATTTCGATGATAACATCAGATGTTTTTTTTTAAATAATTTACCGATTATAATGAATATTTTAGTACTGGTACAAAATGTCACAGCATGTTTTCTGTTGGACCTATGTGATTTATGTGGTGGAGCTGTACAACGTGGTGCATGTTTACCATCACTTGGTGTGAGCAAATGTCAATGTTTCGCTAATACTGCTGATCCATCAAGCCCATATACCGGTGACTTTTGTTTAGCATCAGCATCGCCAGAGTCACTTTCATCATCAAGTTGGATACCTGTTGTTGTTGGAGTTTTAGCTGGTCTCGCCGGTATATTCTGTGCAATTACCTGTTGCCTATTGGCTCTAGCTGCTTGGCGTCGTCGACGACGACTTTCACCTAAAGAGTAAGTTCAATCGTATAGTTATTTATCTTCTATTTAAAAGAAATGAAATTCATAAATTGAATAGAGATGATTTACGAATTCGACGTATATGGCATTTACCACGAGCACAAGTACCAACGACGGTTACAGCTGAGAATATTCAAACATATTTAAATAGTACTAGTTTATCAATAAATACAACATCAAGTATACAAGACAATTCAACATTAGATAACGATCGTTCAACGTATCGAACAAATTATGAATATGATGGAAATGCAACTGCAAATAGTACATTTTTTAAACAATTAGACCAAACTATGGGTACAAAATTGCGCGCAACAATCACAAGACCCGATATAAGTGCAGTTTTATCAAGTTTACCTGCTATTTCAAAATCACATTCTATATCGTCGTCAACAACAATTCCATCGATTAGTGATGATCCTATTGATGAGCTTGATGCTATTATTGATGATGAAGATTTAACAATGACATTTCATGATCCATTGGACGATCTTTTTCAAGATAATGAAATGCTTGAAGTTATTAATCCCAATCTTGCATTGCCACGTCCACAAATGGATTCACAACCATCAGGTCTTTTTTCTGTAAGTTTTATTTTTTTAGGCACATCTTTATCTACCTATGATTTATTTTTAGTTTTTTAACTGATATTGATAGAGTGCGGGTCGCTTCAAAAACAAAGTGCTTATTGTTTGTTTTGGTGATATATTTCACTGGTGATTTTTTTCCTTCTTTCTTTTTTAATTCTATTTATAAGCACATCTATCTGCTGTGTTTTGTTTTGTTTTGTTTTGTTTTGTTTTATTATATTATTAATCCCTGTGAATTTGACACTACTTCTTTATTTTCATAATTGCGTTTAATTGTAATCTCTTTATGTAATAATATGAAGACATCGAAAGAAGAGAAATTCTATGAAAGAAAATGTGAATCAAATAAATAATCATTTACTATTAAAAGAATAATAAACATCATTCCATTTCAATTCATTTTTTAATCCATTTATTGTTGTTTCATCATCAATGACAATACATTCAATATTACCAATGATATCAGCAAAATCACGTATATATTCCGATGTTATAGCTTGACTATAACATGTATGATGTGCACCACCAGATAGAATCCATGCAGTACAAGCTGTTCTCATGTCTGGTTTAGGTTTCCAAAGAACACGTGCTACAGGCAGATTCGGTAATGCAGATAATGGTTCAATAGCATTAACTTCATTGACCAGTAAACGAAATCGATTGCCCATATCGATCAGCGACACATTTATAGCCGAACTAGCATCGGAATCGAATACAAGTCTTACAGGATCTTCTTTACCACCGATACTTAATGGATAAATTCCACAGGATGGCCTGATTTTTGTTGAAGCAATACTTTCACATATTTCGAGCATATGTGCACCAAGTACGATTTCATTATTTTCTTCTAAATGATATGTATAATCTTCCATAAATGAAGAGCCACCTTTGTTTAAACCAACACTCATAACTTTAAGAGCTCGAACAACAGTTGCTGTTTTCCAGTCACCTTCAGCACCAAAACCATAACCATCTTTCATTAATCTTTGTACAGCAATACCTGGCAATTGTCTAAGACCATGTAAATCCTATTGATAAACAAAAGAAAAAACAAATAAAACAAATTTCGCTTTTTGAAAATAAAATACAGCTAACTATTTACTTCAAACGTATCAGTAAAACCTTTATAATTTCCATCTTGAAGAAATTTTCGAAGACCAATTTCAATTTTAGCTGCTTCTCGTAATGATGCCTTTTTTTCATTTTTTAATTCATCAACTATTGTATATTGTTGTTCATATTCTTGACATAATTTATCAATATCGTTTTCATTTACTTGTTCAATTTCAGCTACCAAATCACCAATACCGTGAGTATTTACTGAATAGCCAAATTTAACTTCAGCGTCAACTTTATCTCCTTCCGTAACAGATACATCACGCATATTATCACCAAATCGTACAAATCGTGCACCTTGCCAATCCGCCCAAGCACATGCTGCACGCATCCATACACTTAATTGTTCGCGTACTTGTTTTTCTTCCCAATGACCGGTAATCACTTTTCGATTTATTTTCATACGCGAACATATATGTCCAAATTCTCTATCTCCATGAGCACTTTGATTTAAATTCATAAAACTCATATCAATCGTATTCCATGGTATATCTCGATTGAATTGTGTATGCAAATGAACGAATGGTTTTTGAAGAATTTTTAAACCGTTTATCCACATTTTTGCCGGTGAAAATGTATGCATCCAAAGTATGAGACCGACACATGATTTATTCACATTTGCCGTTTGACATAATTCAAGAATTTCTGTTGCCGACTTTAGAACGGGTTTAAAAATAACTCTTACAGGCATTTGTTCATCTTGATCGAATGCTGAAGCTATCTGTGATGAATGTTCATCGACTTGTTTCAATACGGATGTACCATAAAGATTTTGTGAACCGGTTACAAACCAAACTTGAAAGTCTTTTAAATCAGGTAGCATAATTTTATTTTAATTTTATATCAAGGTGTGTTCGAAAAGAAAGGCCCAAAAAGAAAAATACTTTTGCATATATATAACTTCATTTTAGTGTAGCAAGATAAAATGAAAAGATAAGAAAAATAAGGTAATACGAGTCTGAGATTATTTTAATAGTTATCAAAGAAACAAATACTATCTTACTTTCGATGTTTTATTTATGGACATAAAATCGATGCTTTCGAGTTAATTTTAAAAAGTGAACAATTAAAATATGTTTCATGTGTAGTCTTCGAGATGCGAATTCTATTATTTAAACTTCGGCTGTTGTTATCAGTTATGAATAGACGATATGTTTGTTTGTGAATATTTCGTTAGTTCTATGGATTATGTAAAGTTTTAAGTTTTACTTTCATGAAGTATAATTTATTGTTCCCTATTAAATTCTCAATATATAATATTGATTCATAAAATATTTGACAACGAAAAAAAAAAAGAAAGTTTTTCAATAGTATAAACTTTCTTTAGATAAAACTAGTGTTATTCTTATTGTTGTGCATAACATTTTAATGTCAATCATTATTTATCTGAAAGAAAATCTAATGAGTGTTTGACTTTAGTCATCAATGATACCAATATATGCAAATGAGTATGAAAACATGACTAACTAACGAATAGGCAAATGTAATTGCTAGATGAATTTTGTTTTTGATTATGATATCGTGAGACGATGTAATCATAACTTGATCGCCTTTTGGCTAGAAAGAGATCCATTTCTACTGCCAGAATTATGGGTGTAGATGTCGCTGTTGAAAAATGAAATAGCACTGTCCAAGCGAACACCCACTACTTACGTTAACATCCACACACATGCTGATGATGTGTTATGATATCTTTGATTGAATTTCTTATGAAACTATATGTTGCTGAAGTTGGAAAAGAGTTACTGAATCAATTGTTTTCTCTAAGATTTTGATTACTTTCTGAGAAAAATCTTCGATCGAATTTTGTTGATAAACATTTCTTTATGTTTTACTACATATTGTTTATTCAAATTTAACAGGTGATTAGTATTTGATTTCGATTTTCGTGTCCACGTTTTCGTGAAAACCTTGACTGACTTTCATATATGACGTTTTGTTGTTATTTCATGTGAAAAGAAAAGGATTAAAAAAATCTGATCTACTCAAGTGCAGCAATTCGATAAAATACGTGTGTGGACTGAATAAATCTCTCATGATTGTATATCGTCGAAAATGCTTGTCAATTAATTTCTAATCAATAAGAACAAAGAAAAAAAAGTTTTTATTTTTCATATACAATCTTGTGTTTTTATATGAGTATGTAGCACGAAGAAATTCATTGACAGCGTACGTTTTTTTCTGCCTGATATTTTTTCTTTGTTTCAGCGATTCTCTGATGAAAAGTAAAGTAGTATATCACTTATTTCAATAGTTTCGAGAGTTCTCAGCACACTTTTTTATTATCCACAACATGATAAGCAGAGCAACTGTGCACATATTTGATCATTCGCTTATAAATCCATCATATTCAACAGTCATAAGTTCGCCAACAAAGAGTCATTCTTTCATACGTATCTTCACAAACAAGTCACTTACAGCGAATCTCATAAACTAAGCATTTTCTACTTGTATGCGTCTATTCTGTTGTCGTTGAATTTGTAAAATTTCTTTACCAATTGTTTTTCGTATATTACTTTTTGCTACTATTATTGAACTGATCTTTTATGCATTACTTTCGATTATTATTATCTTTTATTAGATTATGGACTTAAAATTTAGAATTCCTTGGAGAAATTTCAAATCCACTGATTTAAAATTATATTTTATTACGATTATAATCTTAATTTATATTGCCGAAGGTAATACTTTACTGAGAAGAAACGACATATAGCTACATGATGAATGATGAATGATTGAAAAAATATCTAGATATAATTCTATATCAATATAGATGCACCTAATTGAATTATTAATTATTTTAGTTCTTTTTCACAGCAGTTAAACTTACGCAACACTTTCTTTTATATTTACAACATCGATTTTATTTGAATATGATCGTATTTGTTTTTATAACTCAATGCATAATAATAAAATAGGAAAATCATTATTTTTCAATGATGACTTAGAAAAATTCACATACATATTTCGAAGAAAATGTTGATTTCAAGCATGAAAACATAACTTTTTCGACTCCATCCCGGATCATCCCTAGAGAAAAAGTAAGGTCTACTCATTCCAAAATTTGAAAGTCACTATATGCTACAATTATCGACACTAGCCAGCGAATAACCTTGATTACAGACATACGTAACTGGGTAGTACTCTAGTTTACAGGTCTTAGAAAGAAGTTACGTTTTTAAGAAAGATTTTTCACTGAATCTATTTTGCATTAACTTTATGAGTCTAAATAATATATATATATATATATATGAGTTCCTCGTTATCTCCCTGAAGAGGCTACGTTGATAAGCTTTTTTATATTCTTGACTGTATTATAATTCATATAAGCTGTACTAGAAACTTCTGTTAAATAAGTATGGCCTATGTTTAGGGTCGCGTTCACTAAAAGACGAAGCAGGTAATCAGTACAATCAACGCATCCGATCAGATTTAACGGAAAAAATACATGAAATCCCTTCGATCCATGAAAAAATTAACACTGGCGAGCTTTTTCAATCGACACTTGATAGTGATAATGAACACCAACTGTTATTGGAAGGTTATAGTTTAGTAAATTATCAAGATGTTGAAACATCACAGTTTCTATTAACAACACCTGATGAATCAATGCATGGTAGTGGTTCTAGTATTGACGAAGAAAGTAAGTTTCTTTTTGGTCAATACTCTACATTTTTCTCTACAGGAAAACTATAAAACGAATATATATTAACGAAACATAAATTCTAAAATAGAAATTGTCCCACGCTTTTCAATGTTCAATTTTCGTTAGTGCTTTTCGTTTCCTCTTTGCTAAAGAGTGCAACTATTGATTTTCTTAAGAATGATCAAGATGTTAAGATCATGTATACTTTCTCATACAAATACTATGATCAGCATGTAAACCAAAGAACATCACTTTAACAGTAAACGTTTGCATGCACTGATATTTTTCCAATAAGCGACGCCAGTATCAGACAACGCACCCTCATCAAAAACAGTTTCAATTCAACTCATCCACTTGTGACTATTTTCTCAAACTCCATGCAAACGCACAATCAAATAACATTATAAAACAACCAACATGTCTCCTCAGCATAAATACGCATTCCATGATAACCAACACACACATTTTAAACATATATATAATGTAGTGCAATATACTCCATTTCTTAAAACTGCCTATATCATTGCACGTAATGACCAAGTACCAAGAATGAACCACCTATTTTTCTTCTAGCCACAAGTTTTCAAACACAGTTCACCACCATAAATTTCACTTCTACAATGTCAACAACAACAGTAACTTCATCATCAATCATCTCAACTGGAGCCACAGTTGAACTCCCATCTTCACCCACAATCACACCCATTTCAACAGAACCAACAACGGCCACAGATGTTTCAGTCGAACCACCACCAACTACAACGGGTGCATTTGAATCAACAATCGCGACAGTTTTAATTGAATCAACAATCGCAACGGGTGCATTTGAGACAACAACCGGAACCATTACAACGAAACCGGCAACATCCACACCGGGTTCACTTGAATCAACAACTGCGACGGGTTCGATTGAATCAACTGCAAGTAGAACGAGTTCAAGCCAGACGACAATGACCACAACCGCTGCAGTAGAATCGACAACAACCACAACGGTCGCAATCGAACCAACACTGGCTACGACTCCCAGACCACAAGGTAATCACATTGCAGATGTATTTGTTTTTGTAATGTTGTATCTGATTCTTATAGTCTGTGCGTGGACAAACTGGATGGTGAAAACGAACTGTACACCGGATTGTGGGCTAGCATATCGTGAAATAGTTCGATATTGTATTGATACTACTACTGGTGTAACGTGTACCACAGATAGTCAGTGTGGTGGTGGTCTTTCTGGAACAAATGAAAGATGTTCTAGTTCTCCCCCTTGTGACAGTATGTGTTTATTTTTGTGAAACCTTCTATTCCAACAACTGAAGTGTGTTTTCTTTCTTTGTTACCTTTTAGCGTCAACTGTTGCTCCACCAACTAGTGAACGCGACCCGAACATACGAATTACTTCGTATGCATTACCTGACACACTGTATTTTTTCGAGCGCACTTATCATCGTATTTGGGTAGGATTAAAGTTAATCTTAAAATTTCGGTTACTTGAGCAATCGGAATCATTTTCTAGATCACTAATAAAGGTTACATTACCTTCGACATACCTTATTATGGTCAAACAATGACAGGTTCTGTTTTTCAACAACTCGCTAACCAGGCTATAGCAGCTCCATTTTGGGCAGACATGATTTATGTTAATGTAAGTAATATATTTCAACTGAAATTATATAAAAAGAACCGTTTAGGGTGCTACAAACATGACAATCAATTGGTTTAGTTCAATAAATACTAGTTGCAGTGATGCAGACGAATACTGTAGTATAATTCGATCAGCAATCATTTCAGCTTGTCCAACATCATCCTGTCCGTTGAATTTCGCAGCTGCCAGAGCTGTTCGAATTAGTTGGCAGAATCTTCTTCATGTAGTGCCTTATTTAAACCGAACGAAAGTGAGTATAGGCATTGCAATTTTCTAATTGGATATTTGCGTATCATTTTATAGAATATATCATTCTCAACATACCTAATCAATACATACGAATATGCTTATGCGAATTATAGTTATCCTATTCTTCGATCTTATCTTGTATTCGACTATCGACAGCTTATGATCGATCCTGACGATCCTAGACCTTTTGTTGGTTGGTTTTTCGCTCATTTTCTTTCACATAGTTAAAATAGTTATCATGATATTGTTTTTTGACATTCAGGTTATCGTGGAGAAGCGGGTCCAGTTCAAGTTTTGAATGACCGCTTTTATTATGAAAATGCTGGTTTTCTAAGTATTCTATTCGAATGTTTAAAAATGCACATTAGTTTTTCCTACGCGATTCTTTTAGCACAACATAAAACTAAAAGCTTTTATGTGGGCGGTCGATTTTTAAGCCAGTGTGAAGTCAGCTTCTTGGAAGAAACTACGATAAATATTTTAAGTCCTTGGGAAAATCTTAATGATATAATGTACGTACGGATTGAATATCTGAATTAAACTTTGCTTTGATTGTATTTAGAATAAATCCTCGATTTCCATGCCCATGTACACTTCGCCAAGCAGAAGTCGATACTCGTTTTGGTCGTTTGTTCAGCGAGACACAGTATGAAATAGCTCAAAATCTGGTCTGTTATGCTCCAAGAACGTTGACTTCGATCCATTTGGGTCAACCAAATAAATTGCTTAAGTCACAAGTATGATTTTATAAGTAATCGAGCCGATCTTAATTCACACTCGATAAACAAAATTCATTTTTCGTGACAATCTCTGACCTGGCACTCTGTTTAGAAGAATCTGGTACATACCAGAGCTTTGAAAGAGTCATTTCTGTGTCAGAAAATAAGGAATAGTAATCAGTAAAATTTTACAATAGAAACTGTTATTATGTTTTACTCATTACTGCTCGTCATTTTGTTAGGATATCTATCTTTTATTCAGAAAAAATACTTAGTTTTGTGTCTCCGTGAACCAAAGTAGATTATCTCAGCTTGTGGATTCCCACCATTCAGTGTACTGAATGATCGATCATATAAATTTCTATCACTAGACGTGCTGCTATCACTGGCACAACCAAGCGTTGGTCACTTCTGGTACTCTTGCAGGTTCCGTTTTATCAAATCCATATATTCTTTTTCAACCAAATCCTTCGCAACGACGAATCCCATTCTAGTAAATTTATTGGATTTTCTTATCGTGATATTTATCGGATGATTTTAGTGATCAATGTTGTTTACCTTTATATTCTTCTGGATTACCCGATTGGCACGAATGTCGTCTCTATTTTCAACTTCATCCGGCAAGTAATTGCACGGGGTATCGACCTCCAGCGATAGGTAAATAGGAAATTTCAGTGTTCAACTAACTGTACCTTCATTTTTTCAGTAACTGGTGTCGGTGATCCACATGTTAATACAATTGACGATGGCGAATATACATGTCACATTCAAGGTCTTTTTATCTTTGCTCAAACAACCGATGAAGCCAAAGTTATTGCATACAAAAATTTGGTTAACACAATATTTGATATAAATCTGATCTATCCTGATGATTTATTCACAATTTATGTACGTTCTACATTCGTACCACCAGCATTGCGTTATATTGAACGAGAAAAAGGTCATGGCTCAATTTTTTCTAGTTATACTATAGTTACGGAAATATTTACTTTTGGCATTAGCAATAATGATGGCAAATTCGGTAATGAATATTTTCATACTATTTTGTCGAATTAAAAATTGAGCTTTTTGTTGAAGGCTTCACTGTAAACAATGATGCAACGCTTTCAGCTATTTTATCAAATAATATGAACTACGATTATATTAATACAATGAATTATACGCAACCACATATGTATCGAGTACAGCAAACAATTAGATCTTCACTCGATCGAACAATATCTCAACTTACCATTTCACTATGGTCCGGTGAGCTTTTTTTTATCTTTTGATTTATTTTACAAAAACAAAAAAATAAATGTTTCATTTTTGCTTGTTATGCAGGCCTTTCTATGCAATTCGAAATTATCGGTGAAAATCTCGAATGTGTATTACTTTTACCAGAAAAATTTCGAATGCATATTGAAGGTCTAGCTGGAAATTACAATGGATATGCGAACGATGATTTAATTAATCGAAATACAGGTCAAACGATTCCAATAATAAATATTCCTAGCATAAATTTATTGGCATATGATCAAAGTATCCTTAGCGCTTGTCTTTCATGTAAGTGTGATTTAAGAATAAGTTAATACTATAAGACGATAACATTTGCTTCAGGGAGAGTTTCTAATGATACAACACCAATTAGTACCTTTACTCCAATTATGCCAAGAAGTTTAGTAGAATGGTATTATACAAGTGCATCGAGCTACCTCGAAAGTCTAAATCCATTTTTAAGTCAAACTGTTGTTAATCGGACATGCCACGGAAATTATGAATGTGAACATGATTATCTTATCCGTATAAATTCTTTCACAAGTGAAGCAACAGCGTCAGGATTAGAATCAATTCATGACGCAAGGATTTCATTACGTAAAAGTTCTTGAAAATGAACTCTCCGAATTTATTGTTTTTGTTACTATAAAATAGGTGAAATACCTCCAACGATCGACTTGAATATACCAGTTCAAATCACTTTACCGGTGGATGTTGTAAACCGTAACTATGCATTAAAATTTAATACAGCGGCTGGCAGTGGAACAGCAATAAGAAATATCACAGTCGTTATTTATCCATCGAATACTCCGCAAAATATCAGTGTTGGTGAATCGTCTATTACGGTGCCGATACCGAATAATGCCGATAGTTATGTCGAAGTTCTGTAAGTGCCTTACACTTTCGATATCGCTATGTTGAATCTATGGCCGATATATAAATGTTGGATATGGTAGATATTTGAGTTCGATTTTGCTAATGAATTTTGTTCATTTTGAAAGATTTTTGCGATGTGTTGATTGCTCATGTTCTTGAGCATAGTCGAATATCACAAGAAACATTTCTAGACGCTATGCAAAAGTAAAAGAAAGGAATAATTGGTACATTCTTAAGTATCAGAAATTTACTCCCAAATAGTGCATTTCTCCATCGTTGTCTTTGTTTTTTTTTTGGAAATTAATTCGTCTCAACTGCTCGACGTCGAAACGAACGACAACAATGTGAAAACGTCAATTCTAATCTGTAGAATATTTTTATCGCCTTGAACTCCAGTCAAATGTTGATAAATTTTCACATAAAATCATGTTTTTGTATACACTATTAGCTATGAGACAGCGTGCATCTCATCTAGTATCTGAGTAAATGTACTTCTTCTATGAGACATTAAATCATGATTTAGAAGCATCATTCGATACTGTAAAAGTGTACATATGAGATTAGTTTTCTCTGACCAAAATTTGTCTTGTGCTTGTTGTCACATAAATTCATAGTTCCTGTTAAATGAAATCGTTGATACAAGATGTTTAAATGAAATGTTACTTTCCCCTCTCGTTGTATTTCCTAGTAAAGCAAATTTAATCAGAATAAATGTTTCACTCATTATAAGGTCGATCACAGTACTTGAAAATTTCAACTATGAGAAAGCAGGCTACTATGTTGCTAGGATTTACAGAAGAATATATTTATTTCTAATTATCACATGCTCGTGAAAATCAAAACTTAGATTTTGAAAAATTCAACGAGCCTTCAAATGGAAATATTGCTTAGGAGCTCGATTCAATCATTAAACATTAAGAGAAGAGACCATGACATGATTATGAATGCGATCTATTTTAGACTCACGATTCAATATGGACTGAATTCTACATGGGAAAAATACTTGGATATCCAAGCCTGCTTATGTAAGAATAATGGGACATGTAATTTTGAAGAAACAACTGCAATATCTTCTCATTATCAACTGACTTCGTGTGACTGCCCGGCACTTTATGATGGTATGTTCTATTGATATGCAGAGAATTTCTTCTTGAGCAAGAATCCTGTTTTGTTTGACTAGGCATCTTTTGTGAATTGGAATATGACGTCTGTAAACATGGCAGTGCTTGTAGAGAGAACTGGGAATCCAATACAACATGTACTCGTCTCAATACTACTCAACCGCCCCTACAGTTTAGTTCATATTATTGCAATGGCGAATGCCAAGCAGGGTATGTCAAAAAAGATAATACGACATGTGAAGGTAAAGTTCTCGAATAGCAAAGACTATTTTCAATAAAAAAAAATCATATCGATTTATAGATATTGATGAATGTAGTTTTAATTCGTCTATATGTGGAAACGGTACTTGTAGTAACCTATCTGGATCATATAGTTGTAACTGTCCAACTGGTTATCGATTTGCTGACGGAACATGTATTGGTAAGTTTCATTCAACAAAGACAAAGCTTTTACCGTGGTTGTTTGTTTTGCCCTAAACAGATATTGACGAATGCTCTGAACCGAATATTAATGGTAGTTTTATTCTTCCTTGTGAGAATAGTCAAGATTGTCACAATTTAATTGGAAATCATTCATGCAAGTGTAGTCCCATTTTTAGCATGGATGGAAACTGTACTTGTATGTAGATTCGAATATGATAGATGCAATTCTAATTGATTGGTCAACATTTTCTTTTCTTAGTTAATAGCAGTCTCTGTAACTTTACTATTCAGAACACTTGCATTGGTGCGAATGGTACAATTCTATGTCTGAATGGGACAGTCAACATAAATGGTAGCTGTAGTGGTAAGTACACAAAACACAATAATCAATATAATCGATTCAGATGAATGTTGACTTTAGCTTGGTGCAATCGAACGTGCCCTGACTTTTGCGACCTGGTCAATAATTCTTTTCAATGTAATTGTCAAAAATATCCAGGTTATGAATATGCCGGCGATGGAAAATGTTTGCGTAAGATACACATAGATTTGAATTTTGAAAATGCTTGATTTTCGATGTTGTTTACGTACGTGAAGCATGTCGCGGCGAAAACTATGGTGTGGGCTGCAGCGAACCGTGCCAATGTATAAATGGAAAATGTAATAAAAATGCAACCAATGTAAATGATAGCTGCATTTGTGAACCAGGATATCAGAAACCCGACTGTGTTAAACTGATGGATCAATGTGGTAGGAGCATTTCATTGGTCAACTAATCATTAGATAATCAAAAACAAAAAATGTGTCTCTTTCTATTGTCAGAAAACAATAACCCATGCAATTCATCAACAGCAGATTGTACCCCAAATCCCAATAATGGTTCTGCTATATGTACTTGTAAACGTGGCTACGAAAAATTCAACCTAACTAGCGTTTGTACAGGTAAGATTAATCATAGAGTGAATTTCGCTTGCCATGATTTAATTCATATTGATTCATTTCTACCTACAGATATCGATGAATGTGGGAGAAAAATGGATAATTGTACTTCGGAAAGCTCAGTTTGTCATAATACTATTGGAAGTTATGAGTGTATTTGCAAAAATGGCTATCAGGTTCGAAACAAATGCTCGTCTTGAAAGGCTCAACTACAGACAGTGTTTTTTTTTACATATAGCTCACTAATGGTTCATGCGTCGATATAGATGAATGCAATATTTCCACAACTTGTAACAACTATAATAACACATATTGCGCTAACATCCCGGGCTTGTATGAATGTCGATGTAAGACAGGTTATGCAGTAGAAGGTATGTTTATAAATGTATCAAAATAAAATTCTCAGCTTAAAAAAATTATAAAATATGAAGGTGACAGAACCCAAACGAATCAAAATATTCTCAACACAAATCGACCTTGCCTACGAACGGACTTATCAGCAGATTGTCAAAACCAATGTACGCCACCGGCTTATTGTGATGCAACTAGTGGTGAATGCGCATGCCAAATATCGCATTTGATTCTTTCTGATTTACCCGATCCTAGTAAAAGAACGTGTTTATGTATTGGTTACCCATTTGTAGAATATAAGAACCAAAAATGTTCTTCAGCAAGTAATCATAAATTTTTATACCTGTATAATATCGTATCATTATATTTACTACTTTTAGGCCCGGCATGGCTGCTACTTCAGTATAGTCTCACACAGAAGTCTAGAATCGTTAAAATTCCTTCTTATTTCATATCAATATTCAAATACAATGTATTATTCTTCTAATATTTATTATTTAATCTTGCATTTTGTGTCATAGATATCATCAATTTTAAGTGGAATCAACAAGGCCTGTGCTGAATCATGTATAGATGTCTACGAAATTAGGTAAGTAATAGTGAAATTGAATGGTATTAATTATTAGTATACGTATATTGACATTGATAGCGATCGACAAGATTCTGGTAATCAATTTTTCGTCGGTTTAAAAACAATGTTGAGTGCTGTGGAACGTTTACAACTTGTCAACGAATTGCATGAGAAGAAAGTCGGTATAAATTCTAGCTACAGTTTGTCAATACAAATGATTATTAATGATGAAACTGGATCGATAGGTAAATTTAACTATATGACAGTATGGTAATTGACGCTTAAAAGAATTTATTGTATTTTTTAGAAAGTTTTTCTACTGCGCAACCATTATGTACAGTATGTAAACTGTTGAATAGTGGCGTTTGTGATAATACCACAGAAGCAGCATGTAGATGTTATAATGGTTTTACGGGCAGTTACTGTGAAGAAAAAATAACACCAAAATCATCGTCGTTATCTCATTGGCCAATAATTGTTGGTGTTATCAGTGGTGTTGCTGGTCTTCTGTTAATTATTTGTATTTCTCTCTGTATCTATTATAAAACTCGAAAAAATCGTCTTTCGAAAAACAGGTAACACTTTTGAAAACGAAAGAATTTCAATTAAATCGAGTTTTTTTCAGACACATAAAAGCTAAAAATAGTAGCAGAAAGTTCACTATTGCCAGAGAACTTCCCATGACTATGGGTGTTACTGGTCAAGATTCAAACGATGGAACTAATTTGATCCGTATTGATAATGGCGAACAGCATACTGATACATCTGATATTAATTTATTCGATCCATCATCAAATTACAATCCTATCCATCGTAGAAATGACGCCTCTGAAAAATATTATCAGCCTAACGAACGGGCATCGTTACCAAGTAGTCTTATACCACCAACTCAAGTGCTTACTACGGCTGATATATCAAATAGTTTTCCGAGTGATGCAACAAATAATCCGCACGGAAGAACAAATATGCATTCGGTTTACAATGATCTTGACACGGATTCCATTGAATTCAATACTGATCTATTAAGCTATATGATAAAAGATGATGATATGGACAATGAATTTATAGAAGCAGTTCACCCTAATATAGTAATGCACGATGAAATATATAATCGATACTAAAAATCAATCTAGCAAAATTTTCAAGTAGATTAACAACTATTCTAGTCTATCTTTAACAAGTTGTGTTCATATCTTATTTTAGTTCGTTTTTCGTTATTCATCATTCGTTTCAATTATTTTCACAGCAAAAAGAACAATTAAATTATATATACTTAAATGGTTATTCTTTTATTATAAAGCATGGGCTTAGGGTTGTTTTTCGTGTGATATCTTCGATTTAATGGGCTACTGGTTCAACTGAATATTATAAATAACTGAGTTTATTTTTATTAATATTTAATTGAAGTTCTTTTCTTTTCAATTTTTTCTTCATGTTTGTTTAATCTCGAGTGATTATTTTTGTGAGCAAGGCAAATATCCGATTCTGATTTTCTTGTACGAAAAAGCAAACAAATTTTATAATGTAAAGCAAAGCAAAATGAGGTGTCCGCTTTGTTTATTTAATTGCCATTATTTGTTTTGTTTAAAATCAAACTTTCTTGGTTTTTTTTCATGTTTTATTTGTGACTTGCATTGAAAGAATAATCGTGAGATAGAAGAAAAGAAGGAAAGTCAACTGTAGACAAGTATTTCAACAAGACGAATAAGACAGATATGTTTCTTTGCAAAGAATCGGATCGTTACACTTCGATATGCAGTAAAAACAACATATATGACGATCTCTACGCTAACCAAATAGAAATATATGAATACAACGGCTACGGAATTTAGTCTTTCAAGTTTATTATTTCTTCATCGCAAGCACCGCGAAGGATTTAAATAGAAATTTGTGTAAAATAGTTCATTTTCAACAAAACCGAGTATTTCTTAAAGCATATGATCTGCGGAAACTCGAAATCTAGGTTGTCAACTCATGGAAAATTTATATATTCATAATATAGAAAGCAATTAGGAAAACGAAGAGACAGAACAATTCAAGTTAGCACAATTTTTGCTTGCCGTGGGTAGTTATACACTAACAGTAATATTTTTGTTGTAAAAAATTCAGTTTTGTTCAAGTTTTTTATTTATCGATAATCCATTTACTTCGCATGTCACTTTTATATTACTTATATTTATTGGCACGCACTGGTATTATTATTTTCTATGAATATTACTATTTACTTCCGCTCAATGTCTACTATGGTTCTTTATTTTTATTGTAGTCAATATAAGTATTAGTTCTCGTTTGTTTTCTGTTCGTTATTATGAAACATGAATAACTTTACATTTTTTTTCTTTGACTATGTCAATGAAAAAGTACAATAACAAAATCAGAACTGGTACTTCGTCTATAAATAGAGAGCGATGTGTATGTTAAAAAGAAACTGAATCTATTTCTCGAATCACAGAAATATTGAAAATCACAATAGATAGAACCTATTTTATTTTAACCATGAAAAAATTACGAAGTAATATGCATGATAAATATCGAGACCGTTTTCAATGTCAAACTTTTTATATTTAAAATTAGAGTATAACATCAACAAACAACTATTGATGACTTCATAAAATTCATTGATTTGATAGAAATTGATCACCAGTACTGTTGAACAATCATCTATGCTGTATATATAAATAGAAGGAATTACATTATTCAAGTCTAATATATTCAAATGTATGTTCGTTCGACAAACTTAGGGCAGAAAATTCTTACATTTCAAGTCACGTTTTCTATCTAGCTAACAACTAGCTAATGAAGGTTTATAATCTCTATTCCATCAGTCTTGATCAACGCCATAAATTTATAGAAAACAACAGTTATTTTTATGATGATAAATATTGAATCAGCTGTTATTTTTTCAAGATTAATTTACTATAAAAATATACTTGATAATTTCATAGAAGTAGAATAGAATTTTATTTTACAACGATATCATACATTTTTTATTTATTTTTTTAATATTTTTTCGATAAACGGAAATGCGAATAACGTAAAGTCAGGAATAAAAAAAGTAACCACAACCGAAGGGCTAACAAAAGAAAAATAAGCGAACGTCAATACACGAAAGAACTCTGATTGCGATAATGTACAAGCTTAAAACTGAAATTTTTCGCGACCATCAATCATAGTGTTATTTTATTGAACAGACACACACATAAATAAATGCGTCTTTTTTATTTTTCACACTGTTCGACAGGCATACAAAGCTAGACTATTGATTGTGCGTCTGCACGCATACATCAATTGCATGAGTACAACAAAGAAAATTACAATGGAAAAAAAAGGATCAACATTTCGCTTTTGTTCTATCTGAGTACGTCAACACGAAATGGAAACTGGCTTGGGCTATTCGGCACAGTTGACAAAGTATCAATCGATGACATTATTGTTGCTTGATTATCACCAAAGATTAATCGAAAGCTAAAATTCGGAAAAAAACTATTCACAAAAAGAATTTCACGTATCAATCATTAAAATAATGTTTAAATATACAATCGCAACACATAAGACATAGGCGATAAGCACATCCATGCCAATAAGAAACAACAACGAAATAATAAATTAATAGTAGAAAAATAGTAGAAAAAAAACACAGGAAGATAAGCAATTAAAATAGATAATTTCATAGTATTCATTTATATTTTATTGAGATGATGGTGGTGTAAGCACTGGAATGTTTGATTTAGGTGTTTTTTTGCTGCAACCAAAAAAGCTTTCCGCAGAAAGACGTTTTGATAATGAATCACTTGATGCAACGGATGTTGAAGGAGGTGTTGAAACAATCGGTATTGCTGCTGATATTGGTGTAGTCGGTTCCAATGGTGGTGCTTTTTTTGAGAGTGGGAAAAAAGATCGAACGCTGAAAATAAATCAATCAGACAACAACAAATAAAACAAAATCAAAAGCATTCAAGGATAAATGGCAACAAAGTATTAATGGGTTAGAAATTTATGTTTTCCCTAGTCGAACTTTTTTTTGCAAGCGCATGCAATTCTTGACTTTCTTGATCAAGAAATTTTTATCTAAGCGTTTCTGTTATTAAAGAACTTTTTCAATTTTTTTTTCAATTTTACGTTCAAGATAACTCAACTTGTAATGAAAATGTATAGTTGCATTTTCTTTTGTAACTCATGCAAACATTCAAACGCTTGTCTTGAGAAAGAAAGTCATGCACTATGGACACATCTTGAGCTCAAGTCTTGGCAAGCACATGAATAAAAAAGTTCGACTAGGGTTGTTAGTAAGTAGGTGAGTCGTTTCTTTTTTTAAAGATTATTTATATCTCTTACACGTTCGCTGCTGATTTCAAATTAGCTGAGGAAAATCTGTAAAAATAAAACATGCAAAATAAACTTAAATAATTTTGTTGTGCAAAATTCGCCTTGTATAAATCATGCATTATAACGAAAATGAATTGCGCATGCATTCGTCTTATCAAGCTTACCAATACGAGGCAACTGCGAAGCAAGTAATAGTAGGAAAGTATAAACAAACTTTAGCACTGAAAGAAAATTATAGATATGCACTGATCACAACGAATAGTATTAAATAATTCATTAGATTTAGAAAAATAATATGTTATTTTGTAAATAAATATGTTTAGCTACTATTAGTATTATATCAATGGTATTGACTTACAATTGTCGGATTTTCGATTCATCACGTTTATAACCATTTAATTTTTCTTCTGGTTCCAATGGAATTGGACCCTGGACAGGTGCATTGACATCATAATCATCATCATGTTCTCTATAAGAACAAAACAAAACAAAACCAATTAGCACGAATCAATTCTACTGCGCCTGTAGAAGTCTATCGGAATGTTTTTACAGTTCGATTCAATGCTATTAACACGCTAAGTCTATACGAGCACATTTCAAAGCTATCATCTCTATGGAACTTTAGCTTTTATATGACTAGATTTTCCTGAATGTTATTCACAAGTTCAACAGAAGCCGTAGGGTTCGTCATGGATTCGTTGGGGTTTGACACTGACTTTTTGTTTAGCATAATTGGCATAGCAACTACTTGGAATTTGCAATGCATTTAGTAAAACTGAGCGTGTGATGTGTAATTCTAGATAAAAGAAAAACCTATTGTTGCATCATTCTTTTTGATGATCTAACTATTGATTAATAAAATAGCCTTGATTTGTTCACGCGCTTGTTTTATCTGATTTCATAGAAATGAAAAGAGTAATTTTACAATAGCATACAGCATGAGTATATGACCAGACGGAAGTTCACTTAGTGCGGACAAGCAAGAAAGTCGATGTCTATAAAAACAAAACCCAAATGATTCAAAATATTAGAGAAATCAAAAAGAACTAATACTATTCTACAAATAGATTTTCTATTTCGATCGCCTTTAGTCGTTTGCTCGTCTTAATAAAAAGTCTCATAATAATAATTACTGGTCTTTAAACATTCTTAATTCTTCTTCCACTTCCATTAATTTTGTTTTTAATTCATTTCGTTCCCATAATACTTGACGTAATTCTTCAAGTGTAAATTTAGGTTGAGTATCTTCTAAACTTTCAACATTATCAATTGGATTCTTCAAAAAATAAAAATGAACAAAACAATATGTCGTCGTCTATTCTTCGTATAACTAATAAACATACGATAGGTGATATTGGACTTGACAATTCATCTCCAACACGATCTTTTATTTGATTAATATAATTTTCTTTTTCTTTCAATTTAACTTCTAAATCCAATTTTTCAACCATTAATCGTTGCGATTGATTTGTTGAAAATGTATTCTTCTGACGTAATGTACAATTTGCTTTACACATTCTTTCAAGTTGCGCTTGAACCTACAAATGATCAAACAAAACAAAACCAAACAAGAAAGAATAATAAACGTTTATTTATTATTCTACGTACGGCTTCTATATCAAGTGTTTTTTGTGTTAATTCTTTATCTTTTCCTTTTAGAATGCGTTTTAATTTAATATTTTCTTCTGTTAAATTTTTTATGCAAAGTAGTTCTTCACGAGTAATACCTAATTGAGAATCGAACTATATGTAGTGAATCAAAAAGAAAAACAAATCATACTGATCGTTTCAATTGAATTGGTTAAATCAGATTTATTATGTAAATCACTATTACGTTCGAGTTCATCACGTAATCGTCGATTTTCATCTTGTAATTTTGAAACAAGGATCACTAAATTATCAGCCTAATAATATATATATATATATAATCATTTTATCAAATCAATCAATTATTTTCTTTTGTTTTGTTTTTACTTCTTTTCGCCATTGTTCTTCGATAAGTTCAAGTTCACGATCGAATTTTTCACGTAATTCCCTTGTTTCATTCTTTTCAGTTTCTAAACGTACAATACGTGTTTTCATTTCCAAATATTCATCGGCATCTCTTTCATTTTTTGCTGCTTGCAATTCAAGTAATTCAAGGACACGTATCACTTTGGGAACTAGATCACGAATCGTTTCAGTTCCATATGCTAATAAGAATAAAATATTTATTAGAAAATTTCAATCAGAAAAATAAATAGCTTTTATACCGTCGATAATACGTTCGAAGTCTTTGCCTATTAATGCTGCCTCATCGTAAACATCAAGCACAGTTAAATTTGTATTTTGATGCCGCATGGGCGATGAACAGGTCATGTTTCGTATATTATCTATGGCCGTTAACGGTTCATGATTATTAATAGAAGTAATTGCTTGCGAATAGTTATTAGTTTTGGGTACGGAGAAATCAGCTGAATTTTCGATTGATAACGATGATAATGGATCTATTAAATGAAAATTATTTCGAAATCAAAAATATAAAAGAAAAAGAAAAAGAAAAACGTGTGCAAGTTGAATGGAATAAGTTACAGTATTTTTATTTTATTTCGAACTGATCATTTTCGGTCACATGCCCATCGAATGTATATGTTTTATTTTGACGTGTCCTCTGATTCGTTCGATTGTGGCGATGATGATGATGAGTAATGTGTCAAACTTAATCTTTTTTCTATACAATGTTGCGAATAGAAATTTTGTTTTTAAACGATAGAGGAAAAAGGGATCAAAACTTGTATGAAGTAGATTCTTTGTATTTCGAAGGAAGTGAAAAATATAATAGATCGTTAAACTTGTCTCTATGCATATAGAATAATTATGAGTACTATGCTGAATACTCATTGTCAATGTCGCATACTATCTAGCTGTTTTTTTCCTACAAAGTTTCTCACATTAATTTCCACATATGAACAGTCAAACCTGCCGATATGTTACTTATATAAAATAAAACGACGCCAATATTGACACAAAATGTATGACATGATGTCTAAGCAAGTGTATGCATATATAACAGAGAGAGAGAGAGAAAATAAAAATAAGATGAATGAACAGCACGTTCGATTGCTTAGTTCTGCTGCATCGGATGAGAGTGTGTGGGTGTGTATTCGAGGAATAAAAAAAGAAGAAGAATATAGAGCCGATACTATCTATTTATTCAATGAATACTCCAGTGAATTACGATAGCAAATAGCAAAAATAAAAAAATAGATGAAAAGGGTACGTCTTCACTTGAATATAATTATAGCAAACAATATCTAAGGAAAAAAGCTCTCTATATGAATTAAACAAGCACTACTATTGGAAAGACAAATTCTAATAATATTTTGTCAATTAACTAAACAGAAATTTTCGATTTACATCGAAAAAAAAATCGAAATCAACTGAGTATTTCAAATGAATCATCTTTTTTTTTCTTTTCGATTACTAATAAACGATATCGACAGAAATGAAGAAAAAAAAATCCCTTTCTCTTTCTTGCTCACAAGACAGTTGTGACCAGTGTTTTTAATGATTAGTGTACCCCAGCAGAACAAAGTGTACGTACACTCTGTTTTTTCAGAATACACTTTGTTTTCCGATGAAGTACACTCTGAAAATAAAATTTTTGGCTTAGTAGGGTGTACATGTACACTGTGCTTCGAAATCCTATTAAAAATACTGGTTGTGACTGATTGATTATCATTGTTGTACTTACTTTTTATTGCTTCGCTTGCCATTGTCACTATAGTAAATAGAAAACTAGATCTCTTTTTTTTATCTGACACAAGTCACTTATATAAAATAGATAAACATAAACGGTGGTCTCATTGCACATGCTCAGGTAAAACAGCAAACTTGTGTATCTATTGCACGATATATATTTTTTTTCATGACTCATCTTTCGCAATAATCTGGTGACACCTATTGAAAATTATAATTTAAATTGAAAAAAGTGTACAAAAAGACGTCTAATATCAATTTTATTTTCAAACATTGAATTTGATTTAATGACTATGATTTTAGTCACGGGTGTGTCGATTGGACTATAATGCAGTTGGTTATTGAGACATGGAACCATTTTGTTTGGATATTGAGAAAAAAAAGGAACTTATTATTACACTAAGAATCAATTGCGAGATTAAATTATGGAGGTCGACGATCTCACTGATGAGCAAAGCACTGCTTTATCTCGTTTTCGGGTATAAACTATATCATTCGATTAGATAGATTTCTATTTATATCTCTTCAGGAGTTTACGCATATAGATTCCGTTGAAACATGTCGCCAGTATTTGGTTGCACACGAATGGGATGTTGAACGTGCTATAGAAACAGCTTTAATATCTAATTTCGATCTTCCATCAAGTCTTGACGATAATGATAGCTTACCAACTGATATTCTACCATCAGCACCACCAATGCCCGATCCAACTTTAGATGAACCAATTCCAGAAATATTCGTACCAGATGGAACACCTAACATTCGTAACACTGAAAATTCTATTGTGTATGAATTTATAGCGCCATAAATAAAAATTACATAATCGACATCTGTTTTTTTTTCTAGACGAATATTGCGTATGCCATTGTCATTTTTATATGCTTTTTATTTGAAACTTGAACCATTTGTACCGTGGACAGTTATTCGTGTTATTTTTTCATTCGGTAAAATAATAAGAAACAATCAAAGATTTTCTTATGTTTTTTAAATTTAGTTCAATCATTAGTGTGGGGTGGTAGATCAGTAGATCCTATAACAGAAATAGATGAGTATTGTACCTATTTCGATAATCAATACAACGCAAACCATTCACCATTTTATCGTGGAAAGCTTTCTCAGGTAAGTGATTATTTGAGCTGCAATTTTATTTTGAAAAAAATATTTTTTTAAATTTATTTTAGGCACTTCTTGACGCACAACGTGAAGTTCGCCTCTTATTCATTTATTTACATGAGAAAAATTCACCTTTATGCGATCGATTTTGCCGGTAAATTGATACAGCGATATTTTATTAATTTTGAATTAAGTCTATCGATTCTATCTTCAAGTTTTGTGCGATAATATGTTTTTCAGCAAAAAGGGATAATGTGAGTGCATCGAATTTATGTCAGAAGTCTAAACGTTATAGTAGATAATTCGTAGTTTTTAGATTAATGATATAATACTGACTTTTGCTGAGAGATTGAACGCTTTTCAATCCTGAAACATTCTGATTCCTGTACACGTAATAAATATTCACAAACTGTTACAGCTAGGAGAAAGTATTAATTAGTCGTGCATTTCGCTGAAACCCATTTCCTATCTAGCTTCCTAGAAAGTCAAATTTGCATATATATGATTAAAATATACAAAACACCATGTGAAAATAAGTTTATGGTGACGTCTACAACAGACGAAAGCCATAAAAATAAAGAAAAAGTTATCGGAAACTTTCAAAGGATTTCTCCAAGCAACTATTTCACCGTTTGGTAAAAGGGCTTCATGCTTCATAAGAAAAGTTGACTTAATAATGGTATCTTACAGTTATTTTCGACTACTATCTAAACTATATTTTCGCGATTATCATAGACCCTTTGACTAGTCTAATATTATAATGCGAGTAGAGTACAATATTTGTACTGATGTACCTTTTAGATAGCAATATAACTTAACTGTTGTTCTGTAGGCTGATTGAAGATTGAAATTTCATGAATAAATTTGATATTTTTTTATTATAGAGAAGTGCTTTGCGAAGAAGCTTTAAGAACTACTATTGGTGATAATCTTTTATGGAGTGCAAGTAGTGATACTCAAGAAGGAATTCTAGGTAAATTTATAGCGATTTATTTTGATTTAATTCATTGATTGGAATTTTTCAGCCAGTCGATCATTGCGCACACGCGCATATCCTTGTTTTAGTATTGTTGCACATCGTGGTTCGCAACAAATTGTTCGGCTTAAGCTTGAACAATATCCTGGTAAATAGAAAATATTTGGAACAAGTAAAGATCATTTGCAATTTTTGTTTTGTTTAGGTGCCGATCAATTTTTAGCCGAAATTATTAATGGTGCTCAACTTGCTTATGAAGCATTGCAGTATAATCGGTAAATTAATGAAATTATAATAAGAAAACCGAGATTTAGAATTCTTTTTTTTAAATTTAGGGACCTAAGAAACTCTCGCAGTTCTCGTGATCTTCTTTTAGAGGAACAAAATGCGGCCTATTTAGCTTCAATTCAAGCAGACAAAGAAAAAGTTGGTTATTTCTCAGATGGTCTTTACTTTTCTTGATTTATAAAACATTTTTTCACTTTCAGGCTGAACAACGTGAACGTGAAGAAAATGAACGACACAAATTAGAAGAAGAACAGCATCGATTAGTCGAAGAAAAAAAAAGAAAACTTCAAGTATTTTTTTGTCTTGTAAGAAAATTAAAATTTTTTATCTTTGACTTTTAGAAATTCACTGAATTTCGCAATCGTATACGAAAAGAATTTCCCGGTGAACCATCACCAAGCGAAACGGATATCATTCAAGTATCAATTCGTTTACCAGCAAATGAACCGATTCGTCGTCGTTTCCGTCGTACAGATTCTGCTAAGCTTTTATTTGAATTTGCATGGACAAATCCAAATGTTCCTGATCAATTTGAATTACTATGGGGTTATCCACGCAGGCGTTATCAATATGAACAAATCGATAATAAACAAATAGGTGATGTTATGAATGGCAATACTGAAACATGTTATCTTGAAGAGATTGACGAAGAAAATAATTTATAGAGAGATTTATGTAAACGTAAAATTAATTATATTCTAAACCACCAAGATTTTTCTTTTATTTAATATAGGTTTCGTTTTATGTGTATGACTTTTTTTGTTTGTGCCTCAGAGAGTGTGTGTGAATGAGAGAGTGGGGGAAAGAAAACTAATAACATAACATAAAAAAAATGAGAAAAGAAAAACAAAAGATTAATTTTATACGATAATGAATATGAAAAACGACTAAACAATATAAAAACAAAAGAAAAGAAACAATTCGCTGTTACAGAGAATTGCTTTTTGTTGTTGTTGAGATGTACATTTATTTGATAAACACATGCCGACGATTTGGCGATTTCGTAGACTTGTCGGGTGTATATTGACCATGTTGTGAACATGTATGACAACAATAATCAAAGTACACGTCACAGAAATTGTGTCGAAGAACAAGTTCACAATTGGCAAATGTTGGTTGATCTTCACATGTTGGTTCAATACGTGTTTCTTAAGTAATTTTGAAAAACAAAAGTTGTTTTAATAGAAATGAAAAACATCATTGCAGTGTTATGAAGTTACCTTTTACTTCTAAATATGCAACTTGAGTTACGCTTTCTTTTTTGTTTGTTGCATTACAAACATAAGGACCTGAAAAATAACATCATTTAAGTAAATATAATATGAAGGAATGTCGGAAGAACTTTTAAAATTGAGATTTTTCTTCTAATACACACTTTGAATGAAAATTATCAGACTAAACTTCGATTGAGAACATCTAGCAAGGTGTTTTTTCTACGAGCTTCTTTTGAAAAAGTTGAAAGCGTTACAAAAACAGATATGATAATTATCAGTTTCAGTAATGCTGTCATAAATTTTGTTGTATGACACTTTCTTCTGGTCTTTCTGTGGCGAGCTATTTTGCTATGAACTTTATGCCAAGGAATTTCTTTATTTGAATTCAATGTTTGCCTGTCGACGAAACAATTTTTATAGAGTGACATCCACACCCTGTACCGAATTTCTCTCGATCAAGGACAGGAGGTAAAGAATTAAAAATATATTATACCTGCATCTTCTCGTTTATACGGATGAATAATTAATGATCCATCGTTTTGAAGTTTTATACGAGTTGTATTGACTAACGGTAGATTATTACGCATCCAAGTTATACGTGGTAATGGATAACCTATTTGAAATCACATGAAATTCTTCAAGGAAAACAAATTTTTATCGTACCTGTAGCACGACATTGAAGTTTAGCTGTAAAACCAAGTTGATAAATTCGATTTATTGGATAAATATCGACTTTAATTGAATCTAAAGAGAAAAAATAATTTTAAATTTTATTTTTGAAAACAAATGGCCAATGAAAACAGAATATTACCGAAGATTTCAAGTTGTAGATCTTTCATGTCTTGGCCAAAATCATTAATTGCTCTACATGTATAAAGACCTTGATCTTCCAATCTTACTTTTCTTATCAATAAAGATTGATCGGGTAATCGTTCAATTTTTCGTACTATAAGACCACTACCCATGGCGTCAGGTACTTGTAATTGTTGTCGTTCTTTATACCTAGAAAAAAAAATCATAAGCTGATCCATAGAATAGAAACCTATTCATTCATCTATACAAACCAATAAACAACTGGTGTTGGAAAACCTTGCCGTAAACTGCATGGAATTGTTACATTAGCATCGAATTGTGAAAATATATTTGTAATAGAATTTTCAATTATTGGCTTTACACCTATTCAGAGATTCAAGAAAATAGAAAGAGAGTAATGATTAATTAGGACACTTCTAAAGAGTGATCTCGAGTTCAACAAGGTCAAAATGTTCTGATGCTTGAACGAAAGAAGACAACAGCGTAGAAGATGCTCTAAACTGTTCATCGAACCGAAGGAGCAAAATGCATTCGTGCATACTTCCAATTCTCGAAGACTCACATTTATCAATCAGCAGCGCTCAATACTGAAATGTCGGCTGATCGATTTCAAATAGTCGCATAACATACTATTTTTAGTTACACTGTCTTACTTTAGTAATACTAATGTCATTCAGTGCATTCAGTTCTGTGTGCATACGTTGCGTATCACTCAACCCGAATGAATACTTGGCTATTATTTATAGACTAAATAAAATATTCGAAGACTTCAAAAGGGAATAGACCAGGTTCAAATGTAAAAAGCTAATTTTTCTCCATAGATGACCCTCATTGATCTTCTGTCTATTTTTAGTTTTAATACTAACTACGTTTTCATTGAAATCGGACATCTGTTGTATTATCTTATTTTATTAAAAGTATCAACATATCACAAAGAGTATCGATTCTGATTTTCTCAACTATTCTCGATGACTAACCTCCACTTGTGCCCGCCGTTTGATCAGGAGTGACTAAAAGTAAAACATTGTTAAAGAATTTCGAATGAAAAATTTAGTTTTCACTGTTTACTCGGTTGACATTCAACTCTTGGTACAGGACATGGTGCTTGTAAGCATTGTGTTTGTTCCGGAATAACAACACATTGGTAGCCAGTTGGACATTGTTGTCGCTTAAATTAGAAAATAATTTTCCTTTTTTTTTCTTTTCCTATTGTTTACTTGACAAGGTTCTACACAGCGACAAATTTCACAACCATTTGGATCTCTTTCGAAACCAAACCGACACTGAATATTGCAACGAATCATATTTGATCCACAACCTTGTGTTTCAAATAGAAAGGCAACTTTATAATCAAAGAAAATTTTTCTTTTGTACCTTGTTGACGGATTGCTACATCAGCTATACATTTGTCAACACATTGGTTTTCTTCATCAAATCGATTGTCATTTCCTCCACAACCATGATACAGAAATGATGAACATTTCTTTAGTTGTTGATCATAGAAAAATTTCAATACTGGCTTTGTTGTTGTATCTTGAACTGACTTTGTATCGTTACATGTATAACCTTGATCAACTTGTTGAAAACAAGTTGAATTTCCTATTACGTAGGAGAAAAAACATACGAAACGAAATAAAATTCAAAAACATTTTTCTATCTTCAAACCAGCTTTAATCAAACACCGCAATTGACATTCTTGCTCAGTTCCAAAACGATTTGCATTTCCACCACATGAACCATAATAAAAATTCTTACATTCGCCATGCGATGAATCGTAATACCACATTATTTGATATTGATCACATGTACCAGTGTCTTTTTCAAACGCACAAATATCTACGAAAAAAAAGATCAGTATTGCTTTTATTGCATAGAAGTTTTTCTTTCAAAAAACCTTTTTCTTTGGCTTCACATATTTGTCGGCAATCTTGTTCGCTTTCAAATGAATTAGCATTACCGTCTATTTACATAGAAGATGAAAATTGGTTTCAAAGATGAAGTTTTCAAATCAATAAACTTACGACAACCCGTATATTGAAACGAATGACAATATTGATCAGCTGGATTAAAATACCAACGAGATATTTGTTGATCGCAATTACCACGTACCATGGGCAAATGACAAGCAGATTTGATATCATTTGTTACTAATGAGAAAGGAATAAATATCGAGGAATGAATATTGGATTTTGTTTTACAAACATACATGTTTCCGATGTTTTTAATGATGAACATGAAAGATCACATTCTTCTTTGGAAGCAAATTGATTGTGATTTCCTTTACAACCTAATAAAATAAATATAAATGATTAGTGATGATTCCGTCGAAGTCTCAAATCTATTCTCTATATTCATTAAAAATCATGCCAGTTTTACCAATCAAAACGACAGCGCTCACAAAAAAGCGAGATACACCATCCCGTAAACTTCGTTTAAAAAACGAACCAATTCCATATGAATTTACCTGAATATTGAAATAATTTACATTCCCGTTCAACCATATCGAAATACCACGTTGGCCGACGTTCTTGACAGGTACCAATAATTCTTGGCTGTAAACAAATGTCTTTAAAATCACAGTAAAAAAACGTTTTTTAAATTAAATTTTAATCATTTTAACGTTTACCTTTTTGTCTTGGTTCGACACATACTTTTAAACAATCTTTTAATGTCACAAAATTATTCTTATTCTTCTTGCAACCTCCATACATAAATGATCGACATTGCCCAGTTACAACATCATAAAAATATCGAGTAAATTCTCCTTTACATGGACCAACTTCCACGGGTTGAGTGCATTGGTCTATAATGAAAATGCATTAATAAATTTTATAGGCTTTCGATGATTTGAACTTCTATTGAGTTCTTACCAACAGTTTCTTTTACGCATGAGGATTGACATTTTTCCATTGTTTCATAATTGTTTGCATTTCCATTACAACCGCCATAATGAAATTGTTGACATTCTTCTTTTTCACGATCATAATAATAACGATTCGCATTTGCGTGACATGGTCCAGTTACTTTCGATAATAGACACACTTCTATTTAATATTCAAAGAAAAAATAGCTGCTGTCAGTTTTAAATCGGAATGAGAAGAAAAAAAACGTTTGTCTTTACCGATTCCCTTTGGACTAATGCATGTTTCTTGACATTGTTGTTCGGTTTCAAATCGATTTCCATTCCCTTCACAATTTCCATACCAAAATCTTACACATTTACCTTGTTGACGATCATACGCCCACATATTAACATATTTACTACAACTACCGGCATCTTTTTCTAGTTCACATACGCCTGCAAAAGCGACACAAAAATAGATATTCTACTGGGAAATGTTCATCGTAATTACCATGTGATGAAGCTTTGGCCGTTGATGGTACCCATGTCACTGTTGTATTACATCCGTCAAAATCTGGTCCCTACGAAATATGAAAATGTTACAAGAAGTTTACACAGTTTGAATATTATTTTACTTTTGCATATGTTTTTCCATCAGGGCAACATTCAAAGTCTTGATCGACACATAAAGTAGATCGTACAGTTGTAGTAGACGTTTGAGCGGCTTGTGTTGTTATATTTTCAATTTTTGTTATTGTTGTTGTTGTTGTTGTAATACTTTCAAGATGTTCGGTTGTAGCACTTTCGACTTTTTCCGTCGTAATACTTTCAAATTTTTCAGTTGTAATACTGTCAATGTTTTCTTTTGAATCTTCAACAATAGCAGCTTCTGTAGCATTATGCATATTAGACTCAGTCGAAACATTTTCATCAATAATAACTGAAGTAGTATTTTCATTTATTGCTTCAGAAGAAACTTCGATTTTTTCTGTTGTCATCACCATGTCGTCGTTTTTAATTGTACTAATCGATTCTGTATCATTATTCAATGCAGTTGTACTATTCGAAATTGAAACATAGTTCATCATTTCATCATTACAACCTTCACTATTTGTATCATTTTTTCCTGTAAGACAACAACCTGTTTTCGATAGGTCACATGAAGTATTAGAAACCATTGCTGTTTGTTCTTCTTCGACTTTTTCCGCATTAACTTGTGTTTCATTGATTTGTGTCAATATTGTTGTTAAATCATTGATATCATCTGCTAAAGTTGCATTTAATTCTATTACATTAACATTAGTTATTTCCAATGGTACTGATGTTGCAAAAGGCGTCGCATTAATCGCTGCTGTTAGCAATGCAACATCAACGAGTTCACTTGAAGTATTTTTATTATCATCAGTTACAATCGTATCATCCGTTATATTACCGAGCGTTGTTAGGCTAATAAAAGTTGTATTATATTCTTCGATGGTCTCATTGGAATGATGATCAGTATCATTATTAGCGTCAGTGAATAGAAATAGATAACAGGAAATAATAAGAAAAAAAAGATAATTATGTTGTCTATTTAAAAAAATTGTCATTTTTATTGTGTCCAACTACAAGTTGAAAATAATATTGAATGAATAAGCTTTATAAACTAGACGAGAGAATATATGAAGGTCAAGTTGGCCTTCTCACATAAGCTCAGAAGATATTTGTCTGTTGGTCGATGTCGAGACACTGCTCTGTCCAGTTAGTTGATGGAACGTGCCTTATCATCCTCTTTTCTCCTTTTCTATCGTTCTCTGTACTTATATATTCATCTTTTCTATCCAGTCATACATGTCGGTCAGCAATCCTGATGGCAAATCAATTAGCGTTTGTGTTAGCCGTTCAATAGGACGAAGACTAGTGTGGTGAAGAGTAGACTTTCTCTCTCGTATGTTCACATACGTATTCAATTGATAGTCACTTAACCGCTAGCATATTGGTCCATACTCTTGAACAGAGTGTTAGATGAGATGCAAATAGCATATGTTAAAATAAAATGTTATTGATGTCTACAGGAGATACGCACAAAACATCAAAGATTGTAACAATTCCGATATGGAATATTTTTGTTTGCAACCAACCAATCTCTAGTGTCATCTTTAATTGAACACAGACAAACCGTGCTACCAATCAGTTCTAGAGAAGACAACTGAATTTAATTATTGATGTAGCAAATAGAATAACGATGAGAAGAAAACGTACATTCTAAAGCTAACTCTAGCATTTTTTAGCGTCTGCTTTTGTTTCTCTTCTTCTTTATATATTGAACGAAAAAATTCTTGTCAAATGTTCAGGCTAGACATGTATATATTTTTAAATTGATTATGTTAAGATAGCTTTGATCGATCGTTCAAATGCACTATCCAAGTTTGTTTATTTGGATTTATAATTCTTTTTCCTTTTGTATAAACATACGCACAGACGCAAGCAATCACGGTTAATGTGTAATCGTTTTATCTTATTACTTTACGTCTGTCGAACGGATCATATGTGTAAAGCGTTTTTGCCTTCTGTTTCTTTTCTATATCTCATCAATGTGTTGCTTGCTTGCTTGCTTGTTTGTTTGATAGATTAGTAAGTGACACAGTCCTATTGCTTCGCATTTAACAGTGCAAAGCTATGCCGTTTAGGTTTTGTTCGAGAAAGAAAAAGAAAGTACTCTTTCTCTTACTTATGTCATCGGGAGTAAATTTCTATTCGTACTCTAGACATCTTATCGACAATCGATTAGTCTTTTTCCTCCTTTTATATTTTTTATTCATCATCACTCTTCATACGTATATGAGGCAATCAGCTTTAAGTTCCAATGATAAAGGCATCTTTCAACACGAAGGAATCGGATGATGATCTAACTATCTCGGCATTTTCCCCTTTATTAGTTTCATCACATCATCATTCATCAAGATTTTTTTTTCAATATTTTACCCGATTTTAATTATTGCAATACGATCTTCCTCTTCATATTCACTCAGTTATAAGCAAAAGATGTGTAGAGTAACTGTAGATCAAAATGATCTGACAGATTTAAATAAATTGATATTGAATCCATCTTTTTCTTTTGCTATGTATATATGTATAAAGTTCATTAGTTAAAAGTCAATGTTGAGTAGCGCATTTCAAGTATAGACAAGAGGACAGAAGGAAAAAAAGCGGACAGTTCGTGATACAAATGAACAATTAAATAGGAGGAGACTAATCACAAGGGTACACAAACACAACCATTCATTTACTCGTTGTCCTATTTACATGTTGATATAAATAGAAAATTTTTTTTCAATGAAATTTTGCCAATGTTAGATCAAATGAAGCATGGCAATAAGTATAAAGTAGGAAACAAATTCTATCGAAATCCAATCTGTTCCTCCTCCTTCTTCTATCAATGAGTATATGTATAGAATCATTCATTTCCGTCACTGTCTGTCATCTTTCACAATAATGATCTTTTCCGTCACCACACGTCGCGAAATTTGATCTCAGACAAGAAAAGAAAAAAGAAGAAGAAAAAAGAAGAAACTCCATTTAATCCAGTAAACGCTGCGTGAACTCATGACATTTCTTATTCTCGTTACCTAACTTGCTTGCAGATTCAAACGAGAATAATAAATAATCTTCTTTTCTATAGTTTTGTAATATTAGTTTGAAATGATTTAATAGATTTTTTTTTTAGCAAATAAAAATCTGTAAAAAAAATAATTTTATTCTAGATGTAAATCAAATGGGAAATAATTCAACAAAATTATCTAATAAAAATATAAAAAAGAGCCATAAAGATAAAACATCTCCTGGTTGTTGTTGCCTATGTTCATCGTCTTCACTAACGAATTCTCTTACATCATCATCATGTTCCATCGATGATAAATATTTCCCAACAGTTGATCGAATTTTATCGAAGAAAAATAATTCTTTAGTATCCGGAAAACGCAATGAAATATCTTCGAAAGATAAAAACCGAACTAATTATTCTCAACCAATTCCACATGTAGAAAAACCTTTTCTTAATACAACTAATATTAATCAATGGATTGATTCATTACCTATTCATGATACCAAATTATTAAATCCTTCTACTGTCTGCCCATTAGGATTAACACGCCAGAATTCTCTAACAAATGATGATGAACAACTATCACGAATTTTAGCAATAAAATCCAATCGGGAATTTCTAAATTTAATAAAACAATTTCAATTAAATTTCTATTTAGAAGATTATCGAAAACGAATTAAAAATTCAGCGCTAAATCAAACGTTTAAAACGCATTTTTCATCTTCGGCCATTATCAATTCATCGAATCGTGTTAATCAATCATTCATCGATGATTTAAATTTATTTATAACATCACCACCAGAATCAATTTTACCCAATTTTATAAAACATACAGATAGTTCATATAAAATTCATGAGCAAATACGTTCAAAATATTATGCTATACCATTAACAACTTGTCAAATTGAACCTGATGATGATGAATATAAACAAAAATCCATTCCAGTCGATCGTACTCATGTTGTTATTACATTAGACAACACTTCAACAACACAAACAAACAAGATGCCTATGGAATATGAGTCGTCATGCATGTTTACATCGAATAATTCATTTCAAACAGGATTAATTTATGTCAACCAAGAAAAGATCTCCAAAGATTTGCAACCATTTATATCTTGTGATTCCGAAGAAAATGTTTCATATTTGTCCGCAAATTTCATTCAAACCTGGTTTAATACATTAATACTTGTTAATCAAACATGCAATATTGTTCAACAATTTCTAGCAGGAAACGAACATCAATTTACTTGTTTACTCAAAGAACAAATGGAAAACCAATCTGAAAAAGAAAAGTAAACATGGAAACATTTTTATTATTTTCTTTCAGAGAGGATAAGAATTACACGCTAATTTGATTATCAATGAAAAACTAGTTATAAACCCAAAAATGTTTGAATCAAATTCCTTTCTATTTCTTTCACCACGCAAAATTAATAGAAAATATTTGAATTTTACTTTTTTTTTGTAGACGAACACCCTATAGCAATAATCTAGTATTTGCTTCTTTACGTCTGCCACCCTGCAAATATCTCAATGATGATTTATCGTCGACAGATGTTCGAGAAGAAAATTGTGACAAAATTATTGATACGTTTTCTCCACTTTTTTCATCAGATAATAAAAAACTTTCCAATGATTCAATTCATGTTGATTACGAACAATATTCATTTGCATTTGCACTTTATCGTTGGCCAAAATCTATCATTGATAATTATTATACACATTCAAATCGTTCTTCCAAACGTCAATGGCCATCACAATATTCTATGAATAGTATAATAAAAAAACCTCTATTACTCACACCTGATTCAACGAATGATATATGGAAGATAAATTTTGATTTGATTGAAGCAAATTTATTTGAATTAATGAATGAATCAACGCTATTTTTCTATATCTTATGTCAACAATTATTTTCTCAAACATGTTCGATACGTATCATAATCAAACATTGTTTTTTAAATTATTGTGAAAAATATGGTCTACCATTTTCGAGGTAAATTTTCTTTTATAACAACATACTCTAATAGGAATGACGTTCACATATAATGTTTTAATCAGGATTTTGCTTGAGGCTCTAATAATTCGATTTATGATGAAGCTGATGAAGAACAGTAAAGCTTCTTTTTTGATTTAGTGGTTTTATCGTCACGATTGGCTTTTAGCTTTAGACACGTTGAATTGCTGAGAATTTACCTGACTTAATTTTAGCGATAGATTAACGTCATAATCATGAACAATATCGCAAAGTTTGAATTTGAAATAATGTTGTTTTCAAATATAGTTCACAACAAATTATTTCACTTCTCTTTTTAAGATGCAGGGAATGGGTATAGTCAAAAGCTACAAGATACTTGATGTGTTCTATTTTGCATACGTAATGTCTGATTATTACTTCATTGTAATTCTCGAAGGATTAAGTGAAGCCATAATGATGATAGATGTTCGAAAATTTCTAGAATAAAGCAATTTTCCAGTAACTAATTAGAACGGTTACATCATCCTGAGCGTAACAATCCACAGAGATTGTGCTGCTAATTTATTATGTGAATTTTATTTGCTTATTTTTCATTCATTTAGTAATCAAAATAATATATCGGATTTATTAAATCTTTTTCTACAAGAATTATCTGAAAAGGTCAATGAAAATTTTTTTCCAAATTATTTTAATCATGAAATAAATCTATTAAATCCTAACGAAAATTATAATCAATGGTTTGATTATATTAATAAATATGTTCATAACGGTATTGATATTTCTTTTTATTCATCATTATCATCAACGTTAACAATCGTATCAAATCGTTCAATAATCATTGAATTTTTATTTCATTTCATCAAGCAATTATATCAAACATTACACGTAAAACAGTCACAATTTTATTTAAATGATAATGCTCTATTGGATTTACATAAAGAAATATGTGAAAAATTATCGAACGATAATCAAAAGAGTCCGCCACAGACATTCATCAATGATTTATTGAATAACGAAGAAATTCTGACACATATACAAGCGAATTTAACGTATGATTTTGAAAAAAATGCCGAATTAGTACATAGTTGTTTAAATCAAATACGTAAATCACAAACTTCGTTAGTATTTCATTATACATGGACGATTTTTATACAATATTTACATACTTATTATAATGTTTTATGGAATATTTAAAATTTACACAATGGTCAAATGAATGATTTTCTCGGTGATTTTTAGTTTCCATGTTGATTTGAGCCTCGTTTGATTTTTTTATTTGAATTTTATTTATATAAAATTTGCAGAGATAATGGAGAATGAATCTATGAATACTTCTATATATAAAAGAAAAGATATGATTTTTTTGTTTTAGTCTTCACCTTTTTTTTGTATAACCTTTTGTTCAATTTAATTTAATGAGAAATAATAATAATAACGTATGATCATCTTTATTTATTTACTGATAGATAATTTAATACAGATATTTAAAAAATTTTCGAAATAGAGAGTTTAATGTAGTATTTTTAGGATTTTTTCAAGTACAAAAGCATTAGTCCTGGCGCTACTTAGTAATCATCGCTCAAGTCTATGACATAGGTCAAGATCTTTGTGTTATTAGAACACCCTGAAACCGTCAACAAATGTCATATCGCTAAGTTGAACTCATTCGTATTAAGTTAATATAATAATGAATTGTAAAATTTCATGAAGAAGTTATTGGCATCTAGGTCCGTACATTGAATTCGTTAAAAATATTTACACACCAGAAATTTTCTTATTAGAATTACTATTATTTTGTAGATGAAGCTTCACTGTATGATAATTTCGTGTTTTATTAGATCGACCATTAATTCTATAATTTAAATGAGAAATAACATTGAGAGAGAAAAATCGCTTTATATTATAGGCACAAATCGATAGGCATCTTGGTTTTTAATTGCACTAATATAATAAAAAACATATTAGTGATGTCAAAAGAAAGGGAAAAAAGAAAATGAATGAAGCGAACAAACGAGAGAAAGACAGTAAAGTAAAACGAAATACTGAAAGAAAAAAAGAATGAAAGTCTCTCGACCATTTCAATGACACGCGTTCAATTTCCTTTTTTTCTGGTTCTTAATTAATTAGTAACACCATATTGGGGCATCGTTTGATATTGCACATTTTGTACGAAACCAGCGCCTTTTTGACCTTGTTGTTCAAAACCTTGTTGTTGTTGGTCTACTTAAATAAAATTATATTTAAAATATTTTACATCAAATCATGTACTACTTACCGGCATATTGTTGACCTTCGACAGTGCTTCCTTGTGAATAGACAGTTTGTTGATAGGCATAAGCATTTTGTTGGTCACCTGATCCGGAACCAGCTCCATTTGCAAAAGATGAATATTGAGCATTATCTTGAACAAATCCAGCTTGTCCACCAGTAGACATTGCACCATCGGTTGCACCGGCAAGAAGACCTTGACCAGCAGCCCCATCAAAGCCACCCAATGGACCACTAGCACCAGCTAATAGAGCAGGATCGATTTGATCAGGGTTAGCGCCTGCCGTCTATGAAAGAAAAACAAAATTCAAATTATGCATTATTCAACCTATAGGATAAGTGTCTTGCATATTCTGGTCCAAGAGTTGGTGTAGGTAGACCTTTAATGAAATCTGGTAAGCCTTGTGTAGGTCGTAGTTGTGATCCATATTGTTGTACGTAAGTATTAGGGTCAGCTTTGATAATGCCCAAATTACGGAATTCTTTAACGACACGAGCTTGTGTACCTTCCCATTGAATGATAAGATTTTTTTGAGGTGCTGGCGGTTGCACAGGCGGTGCCTTTTGATAGACAACACGTCGTTTTTGTTGTTTATATGGAAGCCAACGTTCAACGATGATGCTAAAAAACAAAAAGCAACAGCAAAATAAAAATCAATGATTATATAAGCGAATATATCGATGGACGAGCAAGAAAGGTGTACCTTTGAGGTTTAGGTGGTAGTGGAGGCATTCGTTCGATGATAACACGTCGTGGTGGTGGTGGTGGGGCTGGTAACGGTTTCGTAACTAATTTAGGAGCAAGTTGTGCGGGTGGTTGAGGTGGTCGTTCTCGAATAATGAGTGGTGGTGGTGTAGCAGGTCGAGGTGGTCGTTGACGAATAACAATAGGTGGAGCAGCAGGTAATGATGGGTTTCGTACCTAAAAACGATGTAAAGCTGGTTTTTTATTCATTTTCAAATGTAGTTTTTTCCTCTCTTACTTCTTTGATAATCAAAGGGCCTGGTGGTGGTGGTGTTGGTGGACGTAAATATCGCACAGCAACTTCTTGTTTATATGTAACAGCATCATTAGCATGTTTACGAATAATTTGTGGATTAGGATCAAAGTTAATTTTATATCCATTAGGCCCTTGTTGTTGTGCAAGTTGACCAGCAGCACCTTGATATTGTTGAATAATGCCAGCATTATTTTGTTCCATAAAACCAGCACCGCCAACTTGTTGACCATTAGCTAATTCAGCAGCACTACGTGTATATTGCGCATAGTTCACATCTTGACCCTGACTCAAAGGTATTTGTTGTTCACCATTATCTGGTAATTGTTGTGAATCAGCACCATTTGCTCCATTATAATATTGTTCGCCAGCACCATTTGCTTGAGATTGATAAGCATATTGACTTTGAACATATTGTTGTTCAGAATTGCCAGTTGTAGTAGCATTTTGATATGTTGCACTAGCAGAATCAGCCATAGTTACTCTTAGTTCGGTTTTTTTCTTATGTTACCTAGTTATTGATCAAATTAACACGAATGTATTATGTATAGGTATGCTTTGTGTAACACGTTCAATAGAGAGAAAAAGAGAAGGATGGGAATCTAAAGGACGAGCGTGAGAGAGAGAGAGAGAGAGAGCGCGAGATATAGATATAGAATAGCTCTCTATTCGATGTATTTTATGTGGTTATTGATGCGCAACTCGAGTCCTATCGGTCATGATTACTACGTTGATATTGTCTTTAGTTCTTTTACTTTCTATTACATACTCGTTTTGCTTGACCTACTCTCACCATGAACAGGCGTGCAAACCTCAACATCGAAACTTCCTATTGCATACGCCTAATTCACCGTGTATCGATCAATCATTGAAATTTAGTTGCCAATCTCTCATTCGTATGCTCTACATTGCCATTGATGATGACATAAAAGAAACGTGACAGATAAATGAATAGAACGTACTTTTTCATTTTCTTTTCTTTTTCGTGTGCATGTGCCGTAAATGCATATTTCACTCATCATTGTTTAAACAAACAGTCATGCAAGGGAAACAGTTATGCTCAATAGATGTTTGATAATCTAAATTGGTTCATATTTTACCATAAAACGCTATGATAAAAAGCTTATGATCTTTATATAAATTAGAAGAAGAAAAAGAAGGATCTACACACGTAGATCAACATCCCGTATGTGAGATAAACTGATCAAAAAAAAATCAAAACAACCATTCGACATTAATTCTCCTTTTTTTATTCGAGGATTCTTTTGGTTTCTTTCTCTCTTTTTTTTCTGTATTCAATGTCATGATCTTATCATAAATGCATTATTTAATAGCATTTATTATCGGCTTAAATTCACGCTTAGTAATGATAATGGCTCATGTTGCTCATCATTGACTTGTTGTTGTTTTTGTTGTTTTCGTCGATGTTGAAGTTGTTTCCAAGCTGGTACACGTTTGAGTGAATGATATCGAGTCAGAGGTTCACACAGATCCTCTTTATCGTTTCGATTTGGTCGACAAAATGATTTCGGTAAGCTGCGAAATCGAAAATGAATGTAACAACAATTGCCTTCACCACAATCTTCATGAAATTGGCAATAATCCCATTCTAAAGTTTAGAAAACAAAACAAAAAATTGAGAACATAAGCGATTTTCTCTCAGATTATTCAAATAAAAAATTCACGGTTCTTTCCGAAGTGATACGATCAATTATTGAATATTTCGATTATATCAAACTATGTGTACTTTTCTTCTTGGACTTCTATTCGTACGAAGGTTGCTATTCATTAAAAAACTTGTGTACAACCATCCATGACCTAAGTACTGCTCAGTAAATTACAGCCCGAGAAAAAAAATGAAGTCACAGTTCTTTTTTCTTACCTTCGATGTTACACATTACACTTATTATGCCTACTCTCTGATTATTTAAAAGTGAATGAAAACCTCGATGAAATTTTGAACAAACTAATTTAACTTACCCATTTTATTTCTAACATATGGCTTCGGTTGTTTTTCTCTATATGCACTATAAAGTGGAGATGGCGGCATATTGAGACCATATTGATAGAGATAATGTGTTGGATTAAAATACGGTGAAATAAATAAATCTTCCGCGTATCGTTTCATATCTTTTTCAAATGGTAAACAAAGATTTTGATCTAATTTTGACAAGGAAAATCTTCATTTTTTTCGTGAACTACGCAAGAAAGAGAAAATACATACCTTGAGTACGATAACAGGCTAGATGGGAACAACAATCAGTTGCTTGTTGACATATATCACCTAAACTTTGGCATCGATCTTTTGGATAAAAATTATTTAGTGGTTCATAATTAACCATGCCCATAGAAAAATTTGAATTTACAAATATTATATAACATACAATTAGAAGCAGCATGATAGACACAAGATGAATAAAAATGTAGATGATGGAGTTGGAAGATTAATAATGATAGTAATATAGAGGGGATCGAGAGTGTCGTGTTCTAATGACAGTAATTGAACACTATAAAATAAGAAAAAAATAAAAATAAAAATAGCACGAAATAAAGGAAAATGCGGATAAAGCTTTTTAATTTTATTTTGCATAGACTTCCGTCCGCTCTTACAGCAGGATAATGAGGAAACGTTCAATCTCTGGTTCTATCTCTGCTAAAAACAAATGCGTGGGTGATGCACGATTGTCGACCTAATAAATTATTCAATGTGAACTCTATTGTTGATCCTAAATTCAAATCATTTGCATTTATATGAAAGAAAAACAATGGTTTCATTAAACATACTATCGGAACTTTAAAATGCTGTTTGACGTTTTTGGATGCAAATTTTATGTTTACACAAATATGTAATCGTTTCAACTGTATTACTATAGAGAATGTGAAATAAAAGGTAGAAAGATAACTTGCATACATATGTATGTATGTGAATATGATAAAAGATGATTTTGAACCCTAATCCCTTTAATAACATTTTAGTCGACATCGAGAAAATGCGCGTCGCTATAAATCTACATCGTTAACAGAAAAATGAGCAAAGCGAAGAAAAACGGCCTTTCCATCATTTTTTTTCTCGCTCTATGTTTCTCGGCCATTCGATCTTTCATGTTTGCGAATGCGTAATCAGGGGAAAATTCAATCAATGCAGCAAGAATAAGTGATGCTCGATCCTCCCACGACAATGACGAAAAGCAAACGACCGGCAAATAAGAACGTACACTGTATTCATGCATTATTATCCGTCGAATACTACTATTTCTCTACCAAATTATTTATTTATTCGCACTTACATAGAAGTTGCTCTAAAAAGAAATCAAGATTATATCGAGTTGCAGCGTGTTACCTTTTCATAGTCAGCAAGTTATAATGCAGTCAAAAGCAACAATCATTATGATAATTAACAGCAGGAAGCTTCATTAAGAGAAGAAATGAAAAGGATTCAGTATTTTCTTTGAAAAATAATATTAAATTAGATGTAGAAGTATTTTGTGATGTAAAAGCACTTTGACGCCACCGAATGACATATAATCAAGAAAGAAACATAAGATTGTATGCTTTCATCTGATTACTTTCAATAGCTATATAAAACGCAGGTTATATAATAAGAAAAGCTCCATTACTGTGGGTTTAGCAAGGGGGAACAAACTGATTTTTGGATTTCTTATGATTTCCAGTGATTTCTCTTGCTGGAAATCAGTTTTTATATGATCATTGTCAGGCAGCACAAATCATTGGAAACGTTTAGAAATGTTGAAAACTGATGAGAAATCAATAGAAATCAACAGTGATCACTGAAAACATTGCACATTCTGACACAAAAATGAAATTAGTAAAAATCATCAGTAACCAATAGAAATCAATATTTTCTTTCACTATATAATTCGAGAATTTCTGTGATTTCCATTTGTTTCTTGTAATTTCTAACAGCTGAATCGTTATTCACATCTTTAATGTATGATAATTTCTAGTGATTTCCATGTCTGAAAATCAGTTTGTTCGCCCATTGGGGTTTAGCTGTCTAACTTACCATTAAACAAAACAATTGGACGTAAACTGCATGACTAAGAAGTGCACCAAATAGATTGCGTTGGACTTTTAACGAATGACCTTTTGAATATTGCTGAAATGGTTTAACTACTTTTTCTTCTATTGAACTAATTCTTCTCTTGAAAATAAAGCCAAAGACCATTTTACAGCGCTCTACAACATCTTCTATTTCAATTTATTGCCGTTTGCAATAATTACTTTATGTAATGCGAGACAAACGATAACTTTAATTATCACAACTTTTTCCTCAATGTTGCATTACTATACATATGAATGCATCATTGCATGATTATCTTTTGCTTTAATTAAATAGCAAAAAAACTATGAATAAAATCCGTCATATTTAATAATAAATATCAGTCGATTCATGTCTAGGCAACTGGAAATTCACTGATGTATAGCGATGACGATTGTCAAGCACTCAGTAGGAAATTTTTTCATTCATTATTTATCCATTGAGATCATTGGTCTTTTAATAATCTAGATTCCTATTGACCAGACTTGAATATATGAAAATGTGAACTAGAATGTAAAATAAATTGAAATGATTATTCGTAATAATTAATCTTTTATTTATTGCAAAACCAATTTATTGTTTTCATTATTTTTCTGTGATACTCAAGCCAGCTAGTCCTTTTGTTTTTCGATACCGGATAAATAACGATCAGTTTTCTATTATAAACTTAGATTTTTACTATTGATAATGATCATATAATAAAAGATGATTAGACAGACGGTGTTTTTTTTGTACAACATCTCATCGTTTTTCGTAAATTGTTCTTATTGATCATTGTCACATGTGTTGTTCAAATTATATACAATTATAGGCGAGAGTATAAGCGAAGAAAGAAGAAGAAGAATCGAAAGACAACGTTGACACACACATACATATATATGTATATAGATATATAGATAGATATATCTATCTACTCTCAATATTGCCACAATCCGTCGTTCTTCCTTAATAGGTTACGTAAACGATGACACACACACAAACATATACACACTTGCACTACCTGTCGTCCTCATGTCTATTGACATAAAACAATGCGCAAGAAATTATGTAAAATTGGTCGTCGTTATCGTCGTCTTCGGACGCATAAGTACATTGGTTAGTCTGGCCACGTTTGCCGAAGCTAATCATACTGACGAAAAAAGAAGAAAAAAAGAAAGAAAAGTAAAGCAACGGGGATGTTTGTCTACAAAATGCCAGAAATCAGGTTCGTTACACTGTATTTAGGATACAATTTACATGCACTCCTCCTTTTTCTATGTTCACTGTAGTTCATACGAGCACATAGAAGGATGTAGTGAGTTTTTAATCTATTGATCCTTTAAAAACTTCTCCATCTACCATTCATGAATTCATTTGCCATAGAAAAACAACTTCCGTAAGTTGACTGCCAGTAGTATGTCTCTTTTTCTCTCGTTCTATTCTAATTGATTGTATTTCAAATTCAGATCCAATCCAATCGAATCAAACAAAGTACTACATATATGTAGTCAATGTACACGTACATTTAAAGATATAAATAATTTTCGTGAACATCTATTTCAAGAACATGGCGAACTTGGTGTTAATGTTCGGCAATGTCATCTTTGTTCATATGCAACATTGCTTAAATCAAAATATGATTGTCATATAGTAAGAAAAAGGAAAACATCGGCAGCGATTTAAATGTAATTTTTATTTTATTTCTAGAGATGTCATTTAAACAATCGAGTTATTCGATGCCAAAAATGTAATTATTCAACGATTAACATCAGGTTTGAACTATTTCTTTATTATGCAAAAACCAAAAACAAAAGAGAAATCTTAAAATAATTTTTCTTTATACTTACAAATTCTATTCTTATCAACTAATCTAAATGATATTAAATAAAAGCAGAATCATTTGCTATTTGATACTCAATAAAAACAAAAATAAATAAAAAGTTGATTATAAATATCTATTCAGATTTCTTTTGCCGTTAGATAGAGAAGAAATTTTGTTGAAGCAAGATTTTTATTCATTTAGATTTTCTTGATAGTTGATCTAATAATAGTTATAGAAAATTTACATGGTGATTTTTTTAAAAAAATTTCTAGACATATGTCAAAACATGAACGTCAACACAGTGTTTCAAATACAATTAATACACCAGTATCGAATGAAAGTCCTATGCGAGAAGCTAAACGAGCAAGATTGGAAACTATAGATCCCTCACCCGATCGAAATTGGTCAACAACACTTTATATTGATACACAAATAAAAGATGAACCATTGAAAACAAATGATGAACAACCAACAGGATTTTCATCGTGTTTTTTAACTGATCAACTCCTGATGCCTGATAATAAAAAATCTCAAGAAAAAAGCCAGTAACTTGTTAATTTATATCATGTCATTATATTTATCGGTTTTGTTTCTATCATAGAGATACACAAATTTTACGTTCGTTACAATCATTTCGTTCAAATAGTAGCTATTCAACAGAAGAATTGAATTGTTTACCGTGTACACATCAAAATAGTCTTGTTGCATTACGATCAAATGTTTGGACATTACTTCGAATGTTACTTCCACAACTCTCATTTTACTATCCATCGATCTCAATGATTGATGATGAAACAGATCATTGTATTGATCGACTTGTTGCTAATTTGATACAAATTCCATCCTACTATGGATCATATCCATCTGTATAAAATATTCTTCATGTATTTTTTTGTTTTTTTTTGGAATATATAAAATATACTATTTCTATTGGGTTATGCTTCATATCTCTAGGGGAAGCTTATGGATAAATAATAAAAGATTTCACTTGTTTTTTTGCTTTTGTTTATTTGCAATTTATTTTTGACTAAGAACAATTATGAGCGTCAATATAAGTAAAAACATTAGAAGAAAACAAAATGTAAAACATAGTAATTTGATCCATAGAGCCATTTTAGATTGTTTCAAATTATTAATCAATCGAAATTCATCAACACTTTGCGAAATATAATCAGATCCAGTGGTTGTATTTAACCAAATATTATCTGCTAATTCATTTTGTTCTTGAACAGAAAGATATAATGCCATGGTCATTTCACTGAAAAACGGGAAAAAAATCAAAGTTATATTTTATTTTCAAACACATGTAGTTATCAATTTTTGCATGAAAATCATATGAATTAAAACCTAGCTCAAAAAGCTGTTAGCGCAATTCCTGTGGGATTAAAATGTGAAACACGATGAAGCTTCTTTTTGCTGGAATTTGTCTATCACTGTCACTGATGGTCAGTGGAGCTTCTCTGTTACGGTCTGTATTATGATGCATGGCGCCTCTAGAAACCATCACAGACCATTACAGAGAAATTTAATAATTAATAAATTAACCAATAAACCGATTAATTAATTAATTAACCAATAAACCGATTAATTAATTAATTAACCAATAAACCGATTAATTAATTAATTAACCAATAAACCGATTAATTAATTAATTAACCAATTAACTGATTAATTAATTTCTCTGTAACGGTCTGTGGGGGAGGGATGGGTCCAAATTTCTACCCTATGTACTTCAACACTCCTTTCAGATCGTGTTTCACAAAAATATGATCTAGCCGCTAACTGCATACATCAGTTTTTCTCTTAGATTTGAGATATTTTTCAACAGATTCTTGATGTCAAAATCTTGCTTGACTATAGTCGAAATTGTTCGAAAGTATGTTAGAAAAAAAATGTTATGTCTCATGAAAAGAAAGATATAACTACATGTAAAGCAAATAGAATCGGCTTAATGAAAAATATTACTTCATTTGTCGAACACGTTCGTTCAATACTCGTACACTTTCTAAGCGTGTTTGAAGATCGGCTATTTCTATTTCTTCTTTAGTTAAATCTTGTTGCTGTTGTGGCTTATGCTCTGTTGTTTGTAATTGCATTTGTTCGTCTGATACCGTTAATGTTCGATGTAAATTTTCTTCATCTTGATTTACGATAGTTTTTATGTTATCAACGGTTGTTCGAGATACTTCAAAAGATCGTTTTAGATCATTTTGATAATCAATTGAATTCGAATTATGCTTTAGTATAATACGTTTAAACGATAGTTTTAAACTATTCAATTGATTTTCAGCTATACGAATGTAAGCTGGTACATAGTTATTTGATTCTTGTTCATCTAATGTACTAGAACGAAATTCATTTAACAGTGGTTGAACAACTTTTTCAGCTAATTGTATACGCTGATGAATTGCAAATGCTAAATTGTATATAGTGCCATCAATGGTTTTTAATTGATCCAAATAACGTTTTTGTTCGTCTTCAGAATGTTCATATTTGTATGCATGAGATATTTCACGAAATTGAACTACATCTTTTGATAGTTGACGTATCAATGACCATGTCTCATCGACTTCAGGCAGAAAGTTTTTACATTCCATTTCAATGCGCGTATCAAATGGTACCATACGAGTAGTTGATGTTAATTGTGCATCTTCATCAATATCTATTGGTGGAAAACAATAATTAAAAAGATTATTGAACATCAATAGAATAACAATAATTAAGTAAAGGCAAAAATTAAAATGGTACAAAATATCGTTCATAGTATTTATTGAGATGATCAAACATTTATTTAAAAAAATTTAATTAACCATTGAAAATTCAACGCCAATAGATGAATTAAATCATTATTATGTATTTTAAGTGAATAATAAAAATTAATTGAATATTTGTAATATTAAACAGAAGAAGAAGAGCAACAACACAATAGTGTAAGTAAATTTTATTCAAATTATAAATCAATGAGCGCGTTCAATTCTAAAAAGATTCTTCAATATCATTTATCGCTAGAGTTGATTTTTTGCATCGCAGTAATCTCGTTTTCAAATGAGATAAAATTATTCAGGCTGAATCGAAAGTACTCTCTCAAATCTTTACTTGGAAGTTCTCTTTACGTAACAATATCATTCCAATTCATATCTGGGTTGTCGATTGTTTTGAACGGTGGAAGGGGCTATCCTATCTCATCTCTGCCTAGTCGGCAAGCCTACTTATGCCTTATTTTATGAATAAGATGTATTTCTCAGAATTTTCAAATACCCGGAAGGATATCAAAAGTTTGCCTTCTATATGAGAATCGATTGAAAATTGCTTTTGCAGATTATTTGAATTCTTGAATTTCTTCGATTCTTGGCCATTGAAGATACTTCGACATCATTTTAGATCCACCTAGATTTTGATTTCAAGCATTCCCGAATATTGACAAATATTAATTGTTTATCTTATACTCTCTGTGATACATATGTGGAATACATTTCAAATGGTTTTCAATCAATGCCAGTCAGCGGTAACGGTCGGATATGCCAGGAGAATAGCACAGCAGTTTAATCCTAAAGCATCACAAGGATTTCTAAGAATCCCAACTGCATCATGAATTCACTCGTAAACACATAAGTTATTCCTTACAAAGGGTTATTCACAATATTTGCATTCCTTGGAGACTCTTATGAGACTACACTACCGCTCAGTCTTGAAGCAGCTTTTAATTCATATCAGATAATTAAGGTATTTGAAACACACAGAACTTCGGTTTACCAAAAAAAGAGGACTGCTAGTGTCAGATCTCTTGGAATACTTGAAATTTGATAAAGAACCATTTTAAAACACATCATTGTGAATTTCAAATCCTTTTTATTGAATTAAAGTGGCTGGAATTCTTGAGTGTGCACGTACGTGTGTGATCTTCTCTATTCTGACACTCACATCGTCGACGGAACAAAGCGGAGAAATTTTCAGCGCTTCATGGTTTCCAGCAATACCTCTCCTTCTCCTGTTTTTTACTCTTTATTGGTTCTCTTTCCCATTTTCTCTTTTTTATTGTTATAATTACAAATTTAGCAAAAATGAAATATACTTTGTTCAGGATAGTTCTTCGAATGTTTTTATTACAGAGTGCGGTATTTCTTTGTCTATTTATCCATTGAATTCAATGTTGAATTTTTGTACTCGATGATTTCCGTAATCGACAACATAGAGATTACCGTGTCTATCAAATGATAAACCGAAGGACCAATACAGTTGATTCGATTGTCCTCTTCAACCGTTTTCACCAACAATAACACCTCGCTGTGTGGCTCCGTTGGGCCAACGCATGATTTGATCATTCCCTCCGTCAGTCACATAGACAGTGCCTAATTGGTCGACAAGGACTCCTCGGGGAGATGACAATGGTGTAAGACTATTTCCTGCTCCTTCACCATCAGCCACGACAATATCTTTTTTGCACCGTGCGCTCGCTCATTGCATCACACGGTAATTTCCATAATCAGATACGAACACTGAATGATCTTGATCGACGAACATGTAGTGTGGACCACAGAGTTAATCGAGACGATTTCCACTTCCATTGCCACTTGCAACAACTGTTCCTTGAGATTCTCCTCGTCGATATCATATCTGACTTCAGCTTTTCTATAGTCAACGACATAAAGAGATGTATTCTCGTCCATTATCAAACCTTTACAATCGATGTTCGCAATGATCGTTTCTCCATTTGTCCCATTTCGACGAGGCCATCGAACCATTCTTTGATTTGAATTATCGGAGATGATGAGACTATCTCTCTCTCTTTCTCAATAATCACATCATATGGGTAAGACAATTCATGACCCTCCCTTCCGTGTCCATTTCCACCGGCAACCACTTGTCTTATCCGATTTGCATTTGACAATACGGTGATTGTATTGATCACCGACATAGACAGTTTGGTCATCATCAACACAACAACCCTATGGGTTCGAAAGTTGATTGATCACATCGCCTTGTCCATTGCCTCCAGTCACAATGAAGTCACCCTGTTTTCATCGAGCATTCGGATGAATGTCGATTGAACTGCCACGTAGGGGAATGAATATGCTGAGGGTGTGGGTATGGCGCTACTATTTATTGATAAATACACACCATTAAAGATACAGTTAAAATCTGAAGCAACAATTAGCTAATAAATCAGCTTCAGTTTCAATATTTTGATTGATCGGGTTCAGGTCCAGAAATTTTTAGTGCAATAGGATACAGACGTTACAACAGGTAAAACGTTTCCTCTCCAGATGCGTCCATATAGAATTCGTCATGTACGACCCGAACCCGAAACTGACCGGGTCCGGTTCTGCGAGTGAAAATGTTTGACCCAACTAGCTCTTGTCTTCGCCTGGCACTCAGCACTTTTTTCAATATTCACAGCATGTCAATAGTATATGTATAGCATTCAAAAGCAATCAATTGCTTTTCTAGTCTACCTAGTAATTAACTCACCACAACCAAATAATTGCAAATAAAAGATGTTGAAAATTTTCAACTTGCTATTATTGATTAGAATTTTTGTCACTTATGCCGGTTACTTCTATTTTTCGGATGATTTGTTTCTCACTGTTACAGCATAGCAGCATTTTCTTTTCTGTTTTGCCTACATTTTTTGTTTTGTTTTTCAAAATTGTTTTCTTATACTTACTCTCTTGAGGACAACTATTCATAGCAACATTAAGAGACAGTCTATGAGAGCATCTAGAATGCCCCCAGCACACGAAGGATTCGATTTAAAGTATTTTTGATTTTATTTCTGCGTTCGAAACATTCATATTTGAAACTAGTAGCCAGCGAATTTCAGCTTCTAATACCGTTACTTCGAAAAATCATGTACAGGTACAACTAGAGGTATCAGCCGTACGGCTGAGTCGCCACAGCCACCAAATTACTGATAGTTTCAAGAATTTTTGGGAAGCCGCCGCTGCAAGGGACAAAAAATTTTGATAGCATCATCCGCCGCAGCAGACATCGATACATATGCGATCGAATCGAACGTTTCTCTGTTAATTTTCATCAGTGGAATCTCTAACCAATCATAAATGCTGTTCATAAATGATTGGCAAGAAAAGTTTCTGTGTTCCAATTAAAACAAAACAAAGATCTGCTAATGATTCCAATACTGTTTTAGCCATCAATACTCGTGGAATAAATCGCGACTTCAATAAATAAAAATTTCTTATTCTCAAAATAATATTCCAATTTTTAACTTAGCCGCCGCCGTCACGTAAATATTTGTAAATATCAGCAGGCGCCGCGGCTGTAGAAAAAAAACGGTGGAAAATGCTTGTTTCAGTTATGCCTGTTTATTTTTCAACAGATCATCCAGATATTTGAAGGAATACATTAAAAAATAGATCATTCCTTGCTAAAGAAGGACATATATTTAATGTGTTACTATCACTTACTTGTTGGGGCTATTCAATCCAACAATCAGTATGAACACTGAAACAGTTTTACAACTTTCCACAACTACTTTTGCGCAGAATCAAAAGTTGCACAACATATCCTAAATTCAACTTGAATCCGCTTAATTTAAAGAGGTGAGATTAAATATACTGCACACAAGTAGTTGCGAAAAATGAAACACTGTTTCAGTGTTCATACTTGTTAGATTGAATAGCCCCAAAAAGTAAGTGATGTGTAACACATTAAATAGCTATCCTTTTTCAGCGAAGAATGATCTATTTTGTAATGTATTTTTTAAATATTTCGATGATCTGTTGAAAAATAAACAGGCATGACTGAAACGAGCATTTTCACCGTTTTTTTCTCGAAAAAACACGATAGTACACAAAGTTGTGTCTGTGCATGATTTTTCGAAGGAACGGTATTAGAAGCTGAAACTCTCAGGTTACTAGTTTCAGATATGAATGTTTCGAGTGCACACAAAAAATCAAAAGATACTTTTAATCGAGCGCTTCGTGTGCTGCGGGCATTCTCGATGCTCTCGTAGACTCTCTCTTGAAACCATTCATGAAATGAATGGACGAAGAAACATCGAAAAGCAAACAGAAATTGATGTATTTTTAAATGATTTTTATTGAAGCAAATTTCATATTTGGTCATTTCACAATGACTTACAAAAAGAAAACTAAAATTCATGGAATAATTGTTGACTTAGTTATTCTTGTTTTAATATAAATTTGAGTAATTCGTGAGGGCGTGGATATAAGTGCAGGTCTAAATAAAATCCGCACTACCACTCTGTGTACAACTTTCAGCATATGTTTTCCAAGGCAATTGACATTTTTTTTTAAATATTGATTTACAAATTTTTCCGGTTACTACACATCAACAGAGTAGGGTAAAAGTTTCATGTACAACAAGAATTTGCTTTAACCACAGCGAAAGCCACCTTTTATCTTCATTAAAAGTCTCATCGATACTAAAGCATCGAATAGAGGTTTAACGGGATGTAAGTTGAAATGAAAATAATAAATATTTTCATTAAATATGTATGAAAAATAAATATTAAGGATGATCAACACATCGGTGTAACGTATAATTTCCACATTATTAAAGAATGTTGCATTTAAGCATACCGAATATTTATGCCATTAAGTACTGTCGAATTTATTCAATGCGTAAATTCAATACAGAATGGAAACATTGTTTTATTTTCTGAGAAAAGCATATTTTGTCACAGAAAAATGAATTCTTTTTCTTGGAAAAAAGTTCGGTGAGGTGCTCTTATTCATTGATACATGCATCCCGCACCCTATCAATGAATAGTAGCACCACACGAGAGATGAGCAACTCCAACTCGGAGCAGAAGTTAACTCTGGAGTTGATGGTTTTTCCCACTAAAGTTAGGGCGAAGTTGGAGTGTGTGACTGTTTTCCAACTCCAATTAAACTCCTGTTGATTATATAACTAGCCTGAAGAGAACGGGAAAAAGCCGATAATGAAAACAGACGTGCATCATATTCATGGCGCAATTGAGAGACTAATGAAGAGATAACCTTGAATGATTACATCGATGGAGAGAGAGAATTTCGTACGTCATTGCCAAAAGACATGTTATCTAAATTAACGCTTATTAAATGTAATCTTGATTTGTTGAACTAACATTTTAATTTATATAAAGATTCTATAAAAGAATAATAATTATGCAATTCATTAATATTATTCATAGGCTCATATTGAACTAGATGGTATTCGAGTTCCACTCGACTATGAAATGCGGTGCGAAGCACACGAGCCGAATTTTCGAAAACATGGGGAATAAGATAAAAAAAATGAATCATCCATTTCAGAGTTCATTAGAATCGCTTTTTTCTTAATATCTACGAATTTTGAATTTATGGTTCGCATTCACGATTCTTAAATCGACCATTATGAAATTCATCAGTCGGCGATCTATTTGAAAATGTAACAACCCGTTTTCTAACGAGTTTTTTCATTGAACGATTATCTACTTTCATGAATCATTATCCTGAATCATATGTAAAGCAATAGACTATTGGCTAACAATTATTGATGACGCCATTTTAATTATATCGAAACCAGAGCTCCGCGTGGGACCGGATGGGACGAACATTTTTAGAGAATTTTAAGCAGACAAGAAAGAATCAAAATCTCTTTCGATATGATTCTATGATATGCATACTATCTCTATCCATTGAAATTAAGATCGTTGTCTTAGATGACTTCTAAAAGGTTGCATTCATTTTTTAAAAGTATTTTTGGCAAATTAAACAACATCTACCGAAAATGTTTTAAAATATGAGAATAAAATTTGAAAGCGGTCACCTACGTCAATAAATATAATTTTAATGGATAAAGATAGTAAATATATAATAGAATCACCTCGAAAGAGACTTCGATTTTTTCTTGTCTGCTTAAAATTTTTTTTTTAATGCTCGACCCATCCCGTCCCACGCGGAGCTCTGATCGAAACTCTGTAACGATAAAAGCCTTACAAAATCATCATTTTTGAATGATATTTTTAGGCGAACGAAACTTAGTATTGGAAATTTGAAAAAAGATGTAACAAGTTCGATCTTGAATCTTTCATATCTAGTTTGAATGGATTTTTTATCATTTACGGTTCTGTAGATCATCGCGTCACTTAATGAAAATTTTTTATGCGTACTCAAGTTAGAAAGAAAAAAAACTAGATGGTATTCGAGTTTCACTCGTATACGAAATGTGATGCGAAGCTCGAATCGGATCTTCACCAAAAAATCGACAATTCAGAGAAATCTCGAATACTTTTTATGTCGACATAATGAAATTCATCACTGAGAAAACTCCATTCTTACATAGCGATACATTCTTAAAGATCGAATTCGATTGATCGATTAATTATCTCCATGATTTCATTATCTTAGATCAGCTGTAAGCGAATAGACTATAGTGGCTAACATATGTTCATGGCGTCACTTTAATTATCTCGCAACAAATTTCTTTCGTTTTCATCATTTTGGAACCACATTTGTGAGTGAACAGAATATCAGATTAAAGAATAGAAAAAATATGTCAGAAGTTCGATTTCGATACTTTCATCTCCCGTTTCAATGAGTTTTCTATGATTTTCGGCACTCGAGATCATCGGGTCACGAAATGATGAAGAAGATGCGTACGTCGAGAAAGCAAAAGCAACAAGAATGCTGCGCTTCGCACCACATTAAAAAGTTTTGCATTTTGAAATTTCTATTCAAACGAGTTCAACTTAGTGGAATCGAAGTTGAATTGTAGTTAAATCGGAGTTGGAGATGCTTTTTAACAAGAAGGAGTAGGAGTTGGAACGATGCATACCCAGAGTTGCCCATCTCTGCACCACACATCCACATCGTCAAGAAGTGTAATGTTTGAGAAAGTAACCGAAAAATTCTTTTTTTTTTCTAATTTTGACAATATTTTAAGTAATATGCACGATCATAAAATTCTAGTATCTACTGACGCTTGAATACAAAACAAACGAAGATACATTGAGAAGATCAAAACATATATCAATTACTTAACTGGTCTCAATTATTTTATGAAGCATTAAGCATTTTCATCTATTTTCTATTCTAACTACTCTTAACATATTAGGAAAATAATGCACAATCGAAAGTAATAGCCTAAAAAAGAAAAAGAAGTTTCTGTCTGTGTTTTCATTTCCAACCGTCACCTCGGAAAAACAATCTGCCAAATAGTATTCGCAGATATTCAACTATTGGCGATACAAAAACATGTCTTGCATAACGTAAGAGTAGATATTTGATAGTATTGTTTTTTTTCCATTAGAAAAGCAATAATTATGCTAATTCAATCGTTATCAACAGCGCAGGGTACTGTACCAAGTAGTTACGGTCGTATATAAAATATCCCAAACTCGGGTATTTATGTTTCCAATGCATTGTATCTTGCTGATTGTGCTCGTCAATACGCTGACTTTCCTGTGAATCATAATGAGTTTTACAGATGACGAATGTTTTGCATGTAATTATGAATTTGATCGACATGCACGTGAACTTATTCATTCAAATACCCCAACCAATTATCAAATTAGTTAACACAATGAAAAACTGGTTTTAAATATTAGTTGGACTTTGTTTTTAAACAAAATAAACGCTTCAAAAAAAATTTTCTTTCGAAGGAAACTAATATGGAATGATGCAAAAAGATAAAGTCTCAACATTAGATCCTAGATAATTTTAATCAAGAAAAATAATAGTTTCTAATGACATTGTTGATGAAGAAATACTAGCACTTGCACATCATTCATTATAATTAGTTTTAAGTTTTGTTGATAATTTAAATAAGATATTAAAGAATAGCAGCGACGTATTATTGACTGATTCATTTAACAACAACTTATGAAGTAGCTACTATTTGAATCTTCGTTAGAACAATGCGGATCTACTTAAACATTAGGTTTAAAGAATTCAATGCCCATTGATTGTACTTGTTCTGACTGTCGAAGTTTAAGAATTATATTTAATGCATATACAGCCTTGCATAAAACAATTTATTTCTAGCAGTTCATATTTTTTCTTTGAGGTGGCAGCACATCGACAATTACTTCATAGACTAATTCTATTGTCGTTGATGTTGAAGCTTTGCGTTAGTTTTTAACAAAACTTATTGGGCACAAACTACAGATATCATTTTATTCTGTTGAAAATGTTTTTGTGGTGACAATCTATTCTGAATAATCAAAACTTTTCTTTTCCTGGTTGCATACCATTTCGTTTCAATGGTAGCTACTTTATATCGTACGAAAACAATCTAGAAAAAGACCATATTTCCAATAGTTTTATTCAAAAAATGAGCAATTGATTTTCTTTAAAAAAAAACAGAAGTGAAAATAACAATCGGATCTTTTCTTCCCGAACTATCCATATCTATGTTTTTTTAAACTGCATAAGCCATTGTATATGTATATATATAGATAGAGAGATGCAACACTATGGGAAAGCTCGCTTCGTGAATGATTAAAATAAAAAAAAAAGAACAGAGAAACAGTGTATAACAAGAAGAATATAAATAGCACTAATACTAGAAAAGAGAAAGAAAGAAAAATCAAACAAAACAATCGTATATTGTATCTTGTATTTTTACTCATTTTGTCTTTTTTTCTTATTTTCACCATTTTCACTCGATACATATATTGAGTGATTTTAATTTATATATATATATATATTTTTTTTTTCTTTCTGTTTTTTAGACACACATATTCATATGTGTTTAAATACGTATATATGTAGATGAATAAATTGTAAGAAAAAAAGAAAAAAAAACAAAGTAAAAAATAATAATCAATATATTATTGACTACCACGTGATGATTGTCGACGATTATTGCGCGCAGGAATATAACGAGGAGAATTCGAAATATTATTATTGTTGTTGTTGTTCGATGTTCGAAGACGAGAAAACATATCATCTAAACCAACATTATTTGTACCGTTTGGCGTCATTAGTGCAGGAGGAGATGATATTGGAAAAGTACAACTACCATTTGTTAAAAAATTATACGGTGAACTATTATAATAATATTGATAGGCAGCTGCTGCTTGCATTTGTAGAATATATTGTTGTTGTTGTAACTGTTGTTGCTGTTGTTGCTGTTGTTGTTGTTGTATTTGTTGAGTTTGAATTTGTCGTTGATCTTTTGGTACAGCCTTTTTAACATCAACATGATATTCACCAATTACATGAGGTCGACTTAAAATAACTTTGTCAACAGAATCAAAGTCTAAAAAATAAAAATACAGTTTTAAGAATTTCCAACTGATCAAGATATTTGTTTTAGTTCGAAATATCAAAACAAAAGCGTGTAACATCAGAATTAACTATTTGATTTAAGATTTCTTATCGTAATCACAAATGAATCTTTCCTATTGACATACTAAGCGAAGAGAATTCTTTTCTGTTGTTGTTCTCAATCATAAAATTAAGTTCATAAAAGTAGAACATACGTATCTTGGGATAATTAACTTTTCAAAAGTAAATAATTATATGTTTAAGTACTCCGAAAGAAATCAACACTAAACACGTTGTATCAACGCAAGAAACCGATAGACGTAATATGACATGCATATTTCTAATTAGCAAAACTGATTGATACTTTACCATCAAATTCAAGAAATGCAAAACCACGTGTTTTTCCATCTTTATCGTGCATAAGAAAACAATCATTGACATGACCAAATTTTTCAAAATATGCTCTTAATGCCTCTTCATTGAGTCCATCTCGAATACCGCCAATAAAGATTTTTTTAACTGTCAAATGAACTTCCTCGTTATTAGCTTCTTCACGTGGCACTTGAAATAAAAACAAGAAAGTAAATTAAAAAAATCATCACGTCCACGTATTTTTAATTTCATACTTGCTCGTTTTGGATCGATTTGGCGACCGTCAAGTGTATGTGGTCGTTGTTTCATAAATTCATCGATTGCTTGAGGATCAATAAATGTGACAAAACCAAAGCATCGCGATTGACCATTTTGATCTTTCATTACTAATGAATCACTAACTTCACCAAATTTTGTTACGTATTCTTTTAATGTTTCATCTGTAGTTCTAAAATTGAAATTATTCATTGAATTAAATACATTTAAAAAAGATCTTGGAGACTTTTTTACAAGTAATCGCAATTAATTTAAATAAATTATTTATGGAGTCGTTACACAAGATCCAAGAAGTCATCCTAAAAAGATCTTCTCTGTTAGTATACAGATTCAATACTATTCATGTTAGCAGTACAGCTATCTAATATAAATTAATGCTTATCAAATAGTAAAGTTGACCATGCTGATATATTCCCTAGTTTCAGAAACTAATTTCATTCGATTTTGCTAGTATTATCTTTTATCAGACATACTTGAACGATAATCCACCAATGAATAATTTTCGATGTTGTTCTGAATTAGGATCATTTGTTGCACTGCCACTATATGTTGAACTAGAAATAATAATTCAGCAAAAACTTTGATAATAATTAAATAAACTGGCATCATACCGTGGTTTTGATCTAACTGAAGTGCCGTAATTTGGCATTCCTGTAGTAAAATAGTTTACTTGATGATTTTTTGCAGCATCATTCGGTTCCGAACTGTTATCATTACTCATTATAGCTTTCGTACCATTTTGATTTTCTATATTATCATTATTATTTGTTCGTACTGGAGATGAGGCTGCTTGTGAAGGAATAGTTTGATTACGAAAAAAAGGACTATTGACTAAATCCGGTGGTACAATATATGTCGGAGGAGGTAAAGCACCTGGTTGAGAAGACGAATTCGGCGTTGGTCCCATTAATGGCATTGGTTTTGATAAATAATTTGTTGGAGGAAAATAAGCATAAGGTGAAAATGATGGAAACGATAATGTTGGATGATTAATCATTATTTGTGGTTGATAACGATTTTGTGAATGATAAAAATCAGCGTTCATATGAGTATTTGTATTGTTTGCAATCAAACCATTTAAACGTGACGTTTGTTCACGTGGTATCGCTTTTCGTACGTCTAATTCTTTGTCATTGATTTTATGAGGTTTGCCAAGTATACAACGATCAACTGAATCGTAATCATCAAACGTTATAAAAGCAAAACCACGAAATTTATCTATTTAAAATAGAAAAAATTTTTGTTTTTATTACAAGCAAAAATGATTGACTGATTGAAACAAACCGTCTTTAGTTTTCATAATTTTACATTCAATAATATTACCGTACTTTTCAAAATGAGATCTAGATAGTCAAAAGTAAGTTACGAAATTTTAAGAATAGTTTTCCTTTTCTTACTTAAGATCATCATCGGTTAATTCGTCTTTAATAGCACCAATGAAAATTTTTTTAACTGTTAATTGTCCTTCGGATCGTGACGTTTCATCTCGTGGCATCGCTCGTTTTGGTTCGATTTGTCGACCATCGATTATATGTGGTCTATGTGCCATAAAACCATCGACCATTGCACGATCTTTTATTGATGTAAAAATATTTCATATATTCAAGTGAATTTTTGCCTACGAACTAACCTTTAAAGTTAACAAACGCAAAACCTCTTGATCGACCTTCACGATCACGCATAATCGCACATTCAAAGATGTCACCGTATTTAGAACAATATTCTCTAGAACATTTTAATAAGCGATACGAAAAACTAAAGTTATGCGTATCGTATTACTTGAGTTTATCATCAACAGTTGTATAACTTAAGCCACCAATAAATAATTTACGATATTGTTCATCAGAATTGTTTAAAGAAGATTTTTCGTCTTCACCAGAAGGATTTGATATTAATGAGGGAGATTTTATATTATCAACAGATGATGAAGCCATTCCTATACTCTAAAAAACATGAAAAAAGAAAGTTGAGTATGAAGTTATTTTGAATAAAATTAAAAAAAACGATTTACCCAAGTGATCTAACTAAAATATAACTAACTTTTCTACACTTCCTACTAAAAAGAAATCTGAAAAATAAAAATGCACTAAATTAATTGAACAGATCTTGAAGTATAGTTTAACAAGTATAATTTGCTTGTCCTTTTTTCTGCTGGCCATTGTTCAATTCCAATAATACAACATACTAAAATTAAAATTAAATTTTCGTTGCGAAGAAAAGAAGTTATTTTTCATTTGTCACATAGACACAATTAGATATTATTTTATTTTTTGTTCTGATAAGGAAAACGAAAATCATCATATAATGTTGCCTTTCAAAAAAAATAAGTTAAATATAATCTATTTGCTAGCTTCTATTTTGCATTGGATAGACAACAGTGTTTTATATCTTCTTCTATTTGGTATTTTATGTAAAGCAAAAATATTTTCGTCATTTGAGTAAAACAAATCAAGGCAAATAGTTTGCTTCGGTACTCAAAGAGACAACAAATAATTCTTGACCATACGTCAGATCTTCAGCGAAACAAAAAAAACCAGTTGCACATAATTTCTGAGAAGTTCAAATTCTTCAAACGCATAAACTCGAGTATATTAAAGTAAGATATATTCACACGTAAGTTTTACGAAACTAGATTCTATCGATAAAATCAATCGCTCAATATGGAAATTCAAATTCTCAAAAGTCATTATCGAATGAGTCCTATATATATATTGTAAGCTCCTTTAGGATAAGTCGATCACATAATACTAACTAAACACATGAATTTCCATTGCATCGTTCTCGAAGATGCCGGTAAACTCGTTAATTAATGGTTTACTTCGCACTATGTTGAAATGTCTGTGATTACAAGTTTCTTTCATTGGGTATACGCTGATCTTATTCATGTTTACAGTAATCAAGTAATGAATGAATGTAAATATTTTCGAGGATTCTAAAATAAAATTACTGAGCTTTTTAATTATGAAATAAAAAAACTAACCTATTATCAAATAGAAGATATTCATATTTCTCTTAATTATTATTCATCAAGGGTTATGTAGAAACAAAGCTAATATTTTCTAGGCCCTCGATATAGATATAGCAATTATGAGTATATAGATATAATATGAATTCCTTGAAAATATGAAGAAAAATAGATGTATACAAAATCAATGTGCATACTAATTTGGAAAAACAAAGTAAAATATATGTATTTATGCTACTGTGGACACTACTAGTTGTTTATTTATTTATTTTCATTCGAGAACAGCTGTACTATATTATATGATAATCATAGAGTTATGCGAGAGGTACCGACAGATGGCAGTGATGAATGATCTTATTATCATCGAAATCTGTTTTACTCGCATGTATATATAGACACACACAAAGGTAAGGCAATTATGTTTCATAGTTTATAAAAGTTTCTATAATGATATCGATCAAATCATATACATTATTCTATCTAACTAGCTCAATTCTTTAAAGAGAAATATTTATTTAAATCTAAACTCGATATTTATATATTCTGAAAATGCTGTGTATGATCCGTAAGAAAAATTTATTGTGAGTTTTACATCTAGATGATAGACAATACTGATTAGATATTGGCTCAAACACCTATATTAATAATAGCTGTCTATTCTGTCAATTGTAGCAAGAAACAAATCAAAACTTAAATGCTTAATATTATACTAAATTCTATAACCGTTTTCAACTAAAGGGTGTTTCCACATACGTATAGAATTTTGGAATTTACTTTGAAATTCAAAAATAAATCTATTCTCTTACAAGAATTCATTGTTTCGCCAATAGCTTCCGACCACAAGCAAGGACATTCAAATGATATTGAAAAAGGCCCAAACATATTTTTCATCGAACTTGTGTGAATAAAATTCTAACAGATGTAAATATTCTCATAGACAAATTTTATATTTATGGCTTTTTTTCACGAAGAATATTCTTCATTTGCTTTAAAAAATTTGATAAAAAAAATACAATATGTAGACATCCTATACGAGGTAAGGGAGATATAAGTAGATTTTATTTAACAACAATTTCTCAATAGAAATCATAAACCATGACGAATGATCTTCGACAACGACGAAAAGAAGATCAATCGTCTCAATCGATTCGAAAGACATCCAAACAGTCAAATAAAACCTATGGGCAATATGCGATTATATTTGGTATTCTTATTTTTACATGTGTCGTAGTAATCCCTACCGTAGTCGATCGAATAAAATCGTTCTTAATTTATGATGAAACATCAGATGATAAATATTATCCTTCTGAAGTACTCTATCTATTTCGAAAACATGATCGAGATGGTGACAATTATTTATCGCTGGAAGAATTTGAACCTATTGCTAGTCAATTGAATCAAAAAAAACTGCCAACTGATTATATTCAACCAATATTAAATTCGGATCATTTAGTAACGATAAATGCTTTCTTCGAGCCATTGAATATTTCAACAATGACTAAAGATTTTCGCTATACACTTCTTGTAGGTTCCTTCATTTCTATCGGATACTGTGTCTATTCTTTGTTATAGAATAATTTAGATGAACTTCAATCATTAAAATTATGGAAAGAACCTCATGTGAGCCGTTTAAATTTTGCTGCAAGTCATTTTAAATCTTTTTTACCGAAACAAAATATTGAAATTGGGAAACCCTATTGGATTATTGAAGGCAATGAAAGACAATTTATGGAGCATCTATCTGCAAATCGGTACTGTAATCAATTGTATCGGGAATAATTTAAAAACGAAATCCATTTTATATAGATATTCTCCACCGGATGTTTTGCACGATCATATTATTTTTCATCGTTTACTAAGCATGTTTCATCCACGCCCATTTATTTTCTCTCGATTTCCACCTCAAGGCACTGCTGCTGTTGTGCGTGCTCGTCATGGATCACTTCTTGATATTTATTTTCGGTCTGTATTCGTGTGATCTTTGTTTCCCTGTGCAAATGAGTATGCTCTACTATATCGAGTACAATAGATAGTCATATAATTGAGTCAGAAAATATTTTGAATTCAGCATCAAAAAGTAATTTGACTAAGTGCTGATTTAATATACCAGCTCATTAGCAAAATATGAAAAAAAATTGCGTTTTGTCTAAAAATAAACCCCAGTATTTGTTCTTTTTTGAAGATGTCAAGTTTATAAATAACGATCAGACCTTTTCGAGACTTGGAATAATATAACGAACGAAAACCGCTACTGAACAATGATTTTAAAACTCATGATTCTATTTTCCATTGATTAACTATTCGATTATCGCCTTTGTTCTCTTAGAATACACGCAGAGTTTCAACTCAACACACCACCTTATCATCCATTTTGGTATACACCTGCTCTATTTCAAGGTCGTTTAATCATACGTGATGATACTTCGGAATTGACATATTTTCATATGTATGTACCGAACGAAAAACGTTTGAATGTCGGTAAGAATCGATTTCACGCAGGTTTTTAATTAAGCAATTCGCTATTTGTTTTTAAATTAAAGATATGGAATGGATAATATCAAAAGGTGGTCCATCAACTTCATTGGAAGTTGACATTGGTTACATGCCTAGAATGGAATTGAGATCAGCAGCACCATCGATTAGTCTCAATGGCACAGGAATAACATCGGAACAATTGATAGCAACAATGAACGAAAATTTACGTGATAATTTATTGAAATCGTTTAATTCACCTGATGAAAATTTTGCGAATGAAAAAGAAGTATTTGATTTACTCGAAAGGAAATTTTATCCATTTAAAGCAGTTCGTAAAAGTAATCATATTTTTATATTCTAAACAGATTTCTCTCTTAGGTTCCATATTATGAATATCGTCAAGCATTTAAAAAAGCTGAAGAAACGAATAAATTAGTTCACACACTTATTCTTTGGGGCGCACTTGATGATCAATCATGCTGAGGTTCCGGCCGAACTTTACGAGAAACAGGTTAATAAAATTTTCTCCAATGAGTTTTCACAAATAAAATTTTTTTGATTTAGTTCTCGAAAGTTCGGCCGTTCTTAATCTACTGCGTGAGCAGTTTGTATCAACATGGGCGTTAGTCGTTGATTTAAAAGTAATTTCATTTAAAAAAAAAAATAAATAATTTTTTTTTTCATTTAGGCAATCATAGGAAATCAATCCGATGATACTATTAAAGATTCACAACGTGCTAAACAAGCTCTTGATAACTATGCTTTTCCAGTAGAATCAATGATACAACAAATTGATGGTACTGTTATTAGTAAAATCAATGCGAATGATTTGTTAAATATAAATTCACAATCTGAGCAATTTGTAAATGTGTAAATTTTGATACTAGTTTCTTTTTCGTTTTATTTGCTTTTATTTTTTTAGAATCGCTGATGAAGGAGATATAACAATCAAACGATATGTTCACTTTTTAGAACAAGCTCTTAATCATCGACAAAATTAATCAGTTGACTTTTACATAGATATTCATATTTAAATTAACTTAAAAACAAAATTTTAAATGATTGCTGAACTCGAAAGGATATTAATCAAAAGTTTAGCTTGACTGTATTTGTCGCAGTTGAAATAAATAATGAATAGTAAAGAAATCAACTGAAGTTGATATTTTCTTCTTAATATTCGCTAATAAAATTATAGAAATTATTATCGACATGCATATAGTTAATTACAGAGTAATCAGCTCAACAAGTTGTTTGAGGGTGCTTCATGAAAAGAGTGGGTTCAATTTAATTGGAGAATAAATATAATTCGGGAAATTTTCAATGATCGAAAGATGCATCGTATCATACGCTAGAGTATTTTTTCAACTGGTTATTCTTCTGAATTTATTTGAATATTCAGCATCTATTGGCAATCGATGAAACTGTACAAACTATCAATATTTTCTATCTTCTTGTAAAATATTCAGAAAACAAAATTAATTTCATACAAGTTCACCTCATCTTTTCAAGTACCAAAACTCTATTATTTATCATAAATAATAGCTCCTATCGAACAGCTGTAGTTAAAGAATTAGTTTAGTAAAGAGAGAAATTTTTCTCAAAGATTCTCTTTAGAGTGTAGAACTAATATCGTAAAAATGTATAGACACAATTTTACCTAAATACATAACAGTGCCTACGGCTAATGAATGAAGTTAGCAATAGTAGGCTTCATCACAAACCAAATATTTGCTTTCAAATTATAATAAAATATACAATAAAAACGACCACATTTTTTTGTCATTAATAAAAAGTCAATTATAACCAACCACCTTTCTAATAGATGGCCTAAACAACCATGACAACAGTACGATTTGAAGAAGAAAAAAAACAATTGCTCATTCAGATGAAGGGCAACACCATTGTATTAATGCAATATTTTCTTGACAAATCGGAGCAAAATTTAACACGTAATGAGAAAAATCGTCTACGTTAGTCGGGAAATGTTAAAACCCACAGATATTGTTATGCTAGACAATAAACCTTGTCTTGTCTATATAAGAAAAGTATCAATACTTCTATTGCATCAATAACAATATATGTAAATATTTTATATTAATAAAAATCCAAAAGGAAAATGAATACATGAAATATTTTCGTTTTTATTTGTGTAAAATAGAATTGTCAACAGTAGAGAATTTCAGGGTCCGAACATGGTTCGAGTAGTTGTAGATTGCTGTTGAGAATCAGTCGACGTTGGAGCACTACTACCATCGCCAGTAACACGCGAAAGCAATGATTTGAATACTGTTTTTTTCATTTCATCAGAGATGTTCCCATTTGAACCAAACTAAAGTAAGGAAACGATTGATAAATGTATAAGTCGAAAACTAATCATTGATTCTTACTTTACAACGAATAAATCCGTATAAATTTGTGATATTCAGCGCTAAAGCAACACCTGTTATGATCTAAATTATTAATTTCGATGATTATTCTTGTTTTTCTTAATTACAAATAAAAGAACTTATTTACAATATAGGTCGGTGAAAATAATGTCGTTATAGTTAAAAGTACCCAGAGAAGTATGGTAAATATTAATGAAAGCCAAAAAAGATTTGACTCTGTCTGTGAAACAGTATTTTTATCGTCTCCCTTCAAAAGATAAATATTTAATTAAAATGAAATCAGAAATTTGATTTTGTTCTACTTTTTTCGATTCAAATATCCAATGATTATTGCCAGCATCATCAACATAATTCCAATACCGAAGGCCGGCTAATAACCGGCCGGTTATATTCTTTACTGTCCAAAAATCCATTGAGAGTAATATAATTATGATAACAAATGATGTAACAAAACTTGCTTTCGCCCATGAACATACAAAATAAGCGACTATAGCCAATGAACGGAATGCCATATGAAAAAAGACAGCTATTGGATGCCTAAATTAAATATAATAATATCAATATTTTTCAATCGTTTAAAACCAGAATCTTCTATGAATTTTTAAATCTTACAATCTAACTAGCAGAATACAACATGGTCAAATAAAGTTCATTGAATTGCCTCATAGAGTTGGGAAAAAAATTTTTCATATTCACACGATGATTCTTTTCTGTAAATTAGTTGAACAACTAGTATTTAAATACACAATGCTGCTTTGTCACGACAGCGATACTCATATTGTTCGGCGTGTCGTATCGATGAAGTCAATCAGCTTATGAAGAGTCATCGGTCTAATGAAGAAACCTTGGCTTTCTTGGCCCTGAACTCAAGAACATCGATTGATTTTGAAAATGTTTTACAGTACGTTTTTTTTTCTAAGACTCGGCTATTCTTCCTTCAATGCTTAGTTACGCGTGTATGATTCATTGTGATACATACTTAAATCGTTTCGAAGCAGCAATCGACGGATCGAATGCTCCCAAAACTTCATCTTCATTTGATAATAATTGTGCCATTGTTTCAAGTTGAAAGCACGATAGAAAAATATTAATTTAGCTTTTTCTGCTTCGCTTTCGAAACTAACTCAACCAACCAGAACTCGTCGTTCGTCATGACACACGACGGTTAACCTCTTTCTTGCTTTATTATTATTGGTAGATAAGTTTGCCCATTAGAATCTCTTTCAAATGCTGTCGTAGACAGGTGGTCGGTCAAATACCTTCATTACGGAAAAACGAAATTTATCGACAGTCTGTAATAATTTTTTAGTTAATAAAAGTTCGAAAAAATAAAAATAAAAAAGTTTATTGTATTTGTGTCTTTATGTTATGAAGAAATATTTACTGATAATAGTTTTCGATAAATAATCTTAGCAACTCGTAATTCAAGTATAATTATGTCCTCTTCAATGACAAATAATAGTGATATTAATACGAATGAAAATAAATCTTTGTCTGTTACGCAACAATATGGTTTTTCACTCGATAATTTATTTGATATAGCCCGGCATTTTCTTAAAGGCAAGTTTTTTTTCTTCAAGGCTACAGAAAGACATATTTTTTATTTATTCCACTTGTTCTATTTCGTATAGAAAAGCAAGGCAGTAAAGCTATACAATTGAAATATGATGAAAAACTACGGTTTGTCGCTTTATCTAAACAAGCAACCATTGGTAAATGGGAAGCATCGCACACAGAAAATGTCGGTCTTCTTGATGTTGTTGGTAATGACCGAAAGTAAGTTGCAATTTCGTGAATTATTTCTATTGTTGATTTTGTTTTAGACAATCGTGGATTGCATTAGGAGATATGTCAAAGGAGCAAGCGAAAGAAGAGTTTATTAAATTACTATTAGAACGTTGTCCAATGTTTCAACATCATTTGGAAGCACATCATGTGGAAAATGAAGAAAAAGATAGATTAAAGTAATTGAATGAAAGGATTTCACTTTCTGTTTTTTCTTTTAGAGATCAAGTGTGTTAACTGAGAGAGAGAGAGAGTTTTATGCGTGTTTCTAAGATAAAACAATATCCGGAAACTATATTGACCACAACCTTTTTTTGCTATCATAGGTCATCTGCTTGATAATATTTTATGAGATTACAAAGAGAAAATACATTTTTTACCCGAAGATTGGTTAGAACTTTTTTCGTTCAGTGTATTATGTCTCAATTGTTGACTGAATTTGTTTTACTTTTTCGAGCTCTGATCAAGAAAATCTTGTGGGTTGTAGTATGCAAATCGAAATCAATTTTTTTCTAGTTCGAAAAGGAATCTCTTTCGTATACTCAAAAAGTGAATACACTCTAGATTCGATCAGTGTGTCCGGCCGGCCGTTAACACGATAACCTTTGAAAGCCTCATCCAATTGTCATGAAATTTTGTACACATAATGATCTCATTAATATCTCAGTCGAGTTCGAAGATGAGAAGGATCCGTCAAGAAATGGCTGAGTTATCGAAAAAATTGTCATTACTGATCAGACCATCCCTGAGGGAGGGGGTACAGAGATTTTTCAAAAAAAAATTTTTTTTCTCAGAATTATTCAAAATACATATAAATCGACTCAGTTTTTGCAGTAAAAATGACTTCGCCTGTAAATTTCATTCCTCTCTCTGACATGCAAAAAAAGTAAAATACGTTTAACTGAATCTTTCAAACATAGACAATATATCACTTCATATTCGGACGATACTGATATAATCCCATGTGTGTTAATTCAATGTCTTTAATTTATTTATTATCCTCATACCTGTCTATCTCAATGTCTATCATTACTTTAGTTTTTCTGCTTTTCTTCCTTCTTTTCTCATCAATAATGCCATAAATTTAGTCGAGTCATGGTTAACATCTCAGTATTCTTCTCAACAGACTTCCTGTTCTCTTCGTTTTCCTCCATCATCTGATGGCTGACGTACACCGTCATTGGGCGGTTATTGTTTCTACTGTTAATCGTTATTCAATTGCTTTTTTCCTGCTAGTGAACACGAATGAAAGAAAAAAAAGAAGAAGAAAAAAAAGCAGAGAGAAAGGAAAAATATAGAACAATACAAACCGAACTTAATAACGCAGTCCCACTCAGATTTGATCTACACATAACAGGCACAGGAAAGAGTAGAACGAAGATGTGTTGCGTTCTCTGTTTCTCTTTCTTTTCCATCTTGCATTTTCCTATCTATTCAGTTTTAGTTGCGTGTCGAGATGAAAACCCGTAGCCTATCTAATTATTTTCCTATTCGTCAAAAAATACAAGTACTAGATTGACTGCGATATTTTTCTTTTTATTGCTTTGCCTAGAAGTTTTATTTCTTTTTTATGATTAAGAATATGATTTTAAATAAGAATAATTTATTAATAATTTTACTAACAAGAAAAACTGTATTAATTTATGCATTTTTTTTCCAATAGAGTTGCCCAATTCACTCTAATAGTATTAGTAGCGAAAGAATTGATTGTGCCATATGCTAACATGTCATTTTTCTTTTTTTTCTTCCTTCGATTCTTCCTTTTTTTCTTTTTTTTTCTGCGTGAGTCTAGGATAGAATCATTCTTTCTACTGGTATTAGCAGAGAAAAAAAAACTGTTGTTGCCTCTATGAATGTCTACCCATTATTTGCATTTAAATTTGGGTCTGTGTGTTTCATAGAAAGGAAGATGAAGCTCGCCGTACATTAGAGCAAGAAGCTCAACGAGTAAGACAACACGAACTCGAACAGGTGTCACGGTTAGAAGAACAAAAGAAGAAACGTGAAGAATTTCAACGGTAATTATAAATTAATTTTAACAAGAAACAAAAAGACGTCTGTTTTTTTTTTTAATTTAGAAAACAAATTCAAGAAGCTCTTAATCAACAAACATATCCACAGTTCAAAACCTACGCAGAGCAACAATTTAAAGATAATAGACAAGCAGTATGTAATTTAGAACGATATTTTCATTTGAACTATGAAATTGTTAATTTCAGCAAGACGAATTAATTCGTCAATTACAAGAACAACATTTTCAACAGTACATGCAACAAGTTTATCAACAACAGTTAAACCAACAACAACAACGCCGAATAGTAAGATTCAAAAAACAAAATTTTAATTAAACAATTTATCTTATCTTTAGAAAACAAGCATGGAACAACAATCAACAAATTCACCGCCATCAGCAACATTTTCACCAAACAATCAAATACCACCGCTTAACCCTGCGCCAACACAACTCCCACCCGTCGTTCATCCACCACCTCAATCATTGACTAATGGTAGTAAATCTTTAGAAGAAACTAGAACCGAATCAACTGTTCCTATTCAAAATCAATTCGAATCTCTTTCTCTTAATTCTTCATTACAATCATCTGCTCGCAGTGATCTATCTCCATCGAAGTTTCCATCCGTTCAAATAAATAATGAGCTCAGTGGTTCACAACAATCCGTTGATGATAATCCAATAGATAACGAGGCTGCCATGAATCCAATTGGTGATTTATCAAGTGACGATGGCACACGTGGTATGTATCAGCATGAATCTAACTGCTAATTTAACACTTGATCTTTTTTGTGTGATTTTTATAAATAGAATATCCTAATTTAGCACCAGCTAGCATGTGGACACGTAAAGACATCAAAGAATTTAAAGATACTGTACGCAAAGAAAAAGATGCCGTTATTAAAATCGGTAGCGGCGAAACTGTTACAGTAAGATATTCATGTTTATATCGATCATTATTGTTTTCTATGCGAGAGAAAAATAATTTAGGTGCGCGTTCCAACACATGAAGATGGGCGTTGCATTTTTTGGGAATTTGCTACTGACTATTATGATGTTGGTTTCGGTCTGTATTTTGAATGGAGTCAAGTTCAATCGAATACTGTTACCGTTCATGTTAGTGATTCAAGTGAAGAAGACGACGAGGACGGTGAAGATGGTTCTAATCGTAAGTGTTGAAAAATCAAAACAAAATATTATTTACATTCATAACAAAAAAAAACATATTTATATTTGAATTCTAGAAGAAAAGAAAGATATTGAAAAAGGTTCAAGAACTAGTAATAAACCACCAAAACCATATCAAGATGAAATAGTTCCAATATTTCGACGTGATTCCCATGAAGAAATCTATGCTGGCAGTCATCCATATCCTGGCAATGGAGTTTATTTACTTAAATTTGATAATAGTTATTCATTATGGCGTTCAAAAACACTCTATTATCGTGTTTATTATTCGCGATAAAAAAATAAATAACAATATAATGCATGAACATTGTTTTTCGTTTCGTTTTCATTCATTCATTCATTTATTTGTATTCAATTTATGTTAATGTTCGTCTACAATTGTGATTTGATGCTTTACTTCTATGAATTTTTTTTTCTTTTTAAGCATACATTCATATAGTTTTGTTATTTTGAAGAGGAAATAAGCACAAACAGACTTTGTCGATGGATGATGATTGCGTCATTGAAGTTAATATCATGAAATTTCTTTCTTTCTCTTGTTTTTCTGACTCAATGAAAAAGACCATTTCTTTTCTTTACACAAGAATCTCTTTCAATTTTTTTTAGTATTTTGCTTTTTGACAGTTTCTTGTTTGAATAGTGTTTTAACTAAGAAAAAAACACAACGACTTCAAGATGTTTTCGGGAATTTTTATTTGTTTTTATTCATTCATTTGATTAGATACAAGTTATTTTCAGATATGAATAAATGCGAACAAATAGGAGCTCAAGAGCTTCTGTCGATGTTAAATGACGTAGAATTGATGTCAGTTAAAGATACTGTTACAAAATCAATGATGCCAGCCGATTCCGTGAGAACTAAAAAAAATAAGAAAGTTCATGAAAATATTTATATTTTTGGCTTTGTGTTTCCTTCTATTTAGCGTTCAGAAGCTATTGATGCTTGCCTAAAATGTTCACAGTCAGCGATGCAATTATTACGGCGAAAAAAAGTTCGACGAGATATTCTCATGCAATACTTAGCTAGAAAATCTATACCTGTTGTTGCAGGTACCGATAAGGTATGTTGTAAAAATAAAAATATTGAGAGTCTACGACTTTCACCTTGTAACAACTACGGCGAAGTCAAACGATCATTAAGTACATTTCCATAGAGATAGAATTCATTAGACTGCTTGTTTCTTTCATGCCAAGAACGCAAAAATGCTGAACAACAACAACAACAACATTAATATGAGTCTCCTAACTAGAAGGAATGTATAATATTTCTGTCATTGTTCTAAATAGTGCAGTATGCTTTTATTTTAATTTTACCCAGACTAAATATATGATTTGTCAAAGATTATGGATTGATTCTCTTCAGCCACATTGGAATGACGTTAGGGCTTGAGATAATTAATGGGCATCGGTAGTTTAGAGAGCTCTGATTTAGATTAAAATAGTAAGTACAAATGGCTAACCTGCCAATTAAATCAATATTTAATCATAAATGAACAAAACTGGGAAAAATAATAACAAGACAGATTGTTTCATTCATGATCGATTGACCTTGAAAAATAACAATAGTCGAGTAGAAATCTTTCATTTAGTATATTTTTCATTAGTATGATGAAGATAAAACAAATGTATGTGTATTTCATATTTAATTCCCGAAGGACTGCTCTGACAAACTATTGTATTTGATTTTTATATCAAAGAAGAATCTATTTTAGGGCTTTAGTGCATCGATTTTTATTGATATATCATTTTTGAATAAGAACAAAAACGAACGAAACATTATCTTGAGAAAACTATGTATCATGACTTACAAAATATTCGTGATCATTATAAGCTCTCTGGCTTTTTTTCAAATATATTCATTATTTTCTTTTTGTGATACATGTCAAAAAAGCCTTGTCACGATTTAAAAACTCAATCACTTGACACACTATGCTTTTGATGAAGTTTCTAATCAAAATGTACTTAGTTACCTCATGTTCACATTTGAACGGAACTATTGACTTCTTTTTCCTTAACAGCTCATGTAGACGGTAATGTTTATTTCTGAGATAGAAAAACACTTTCATATTATTTAATATGAAACTCAATGTTAATTATATACAAACCGTATAAATCATTCCTGAGAGATAACTCTTCCGATGTCATCAACATCTCACTAGAATTTAATTCTATAGGAAAACATTGACTCCCTATACGACATAAGTCAGTTATAAATAATTTAGTTTTTATTAGCTTTTATCAATACTTTCAGTAGTATGTGTATCGTACTCTACTGAGTTGGTGGGTATTTTTGATATGCATGTATAAACAGTGTTAGATAGTAATTACTGAAGGTGTTACTTGGCTTAAGAAGAGTTAGTAACATCGCACATAAATTCAAATGTAAAATAAAATTTTTTCTATATATTCAATGCGAAAAATAAATCTTTGGGTAAATGTTAAAATCTTTCCATATGACCTTGTTGACTTGTAATGACACCGTTAGATTTTCATTTCATTGACAAAAAAAAGTGATGTGTGAAATATAATTCGAAAAATGATCGGTGCGACCTTGTAGAGCAACTTGTTGCGAATAAGAAATTACATTTTCGCTAAGTTTTCGCTTGTTGAAAACTAGTGTAACAGCTAGCTGTTGTTGATATTAGGAGTCGACATTCGAATTGATCGGCACTTTTAAAATAAAAATATTTTGAACATAGATAAATTTTCTGATCTATTCGAATTATTCAAAGTACTGGATATTCGAAAAAGAGAATTTCAAGCAAAATCGAACGATTGCAAAAATTCTGCTAGAGGCTATGCGTCATGAAGGTTTATAACTAGAAGAATTTATCGTATTACGATTAGCACATCAATATCTAGACAAGATTCGTTTAAGATGAAATCGATACTCATAAATAATTTGCTCGGAAAAAATGATGTCAGCAGTTTTTCAAGTCAAGATCAGTCGCTTTTGTTCGTCAGAATTTTTGATGTGTTTGTTTTAGGTTCGGCTAATCAAACAAATAATTGATTTTTGGAATACTGGATCCCAAGCGGTAGCAACGAATTCATCGCAAGCCATATCATTACCAAGTATTGAACAATTATCACATCAATTTACCGAATGGTTTTATACATCATGGAATACTCTAACAACATTCACATCTGATCATTTCTTTCCTGATTGTCAACTCACCCTAATACATGAAAATCACCGTCGAGTATTGGGCTCATATTACGTTTGTGATCTTCTTCGTTCGTATGTAGCCAATCAAGATTTACGTTTTACTCCGAATATTCAATCAAATAAAGCGCAAGAATCGAAACATGGTCTTGTCCTTCTACAAATGCATGGTACAATTCATCAACGTGGTACATGCGTTGGAATATTTGATCAATCGTTTGGCTTGATACGTGATCCAACTCATAGTAATAACTATTTAATAAAATTTTGTTTTCTTAACATGCAAACCCAACAATCCCAACAACAACAACAACAGTTAATTTCCACAAATCTTCCTACACCGACTTATCTCGTTGATATAATGCAAAATTATGATCAAACAGTACAACAACAAATTGATTCTACTGATTATATTATTGATGATGGAGATGATAGTGATTGAAAATATGAAATGTTATTTTATTTTATTTTTTAAAACAGTTGTATTCTTTGTTTGTTTGACAAATAACTAAACTAGATGAAATATATTTCTAAAGAAGCTACACAAAAAAAAAAGCACGAACAATAAAAGATAAAGTTCTTTTTACCATGACCGAGGACAAGGTGTAAAGTTAAATTTAAGATCGTAGCATATTTTTATATCAATTAAGTCTTTACCTTTCATGTAAACAGTAATTTGATTTGCACGTAGTGATCGATTTTTTTCTAATAGCGCCTTTTTTACTTTAAAGTGATCAATATTTTTATCCCTTAGAATCTGTTTCATATTGGGTATTGTTAATCCCGTAAAAACTTTCTCGATTGTATTTAAATATTCGTCAGCACTACGAAAACTACATGTACCTAATAAAAAAGTGTGAATACGCAATTTCTTTGTTTTTTTCTTTTCTATGAATTATTTACCGTGTTTTTCCCATTCGGCTTGAATGAGCGATTCGTCTGGCATCATACAAAAATGACGTTTAACCTAAAAGTGAAAAAAAGATAAAAATAGGATAAACAATACTTTCCCGATGTTCGGAGAAAGTCAGTACGGAAATAGATTTTAAATGCTTTGCTCGGTTTTATTTAGTTTGCATGCTGACATTAAAACGCATTTTTTATCGAGCAGAGATTGGTGGTACCTCATGTACTGCGCTCAAGAGATTCTCTTCAAATTGATCACCACACATTTCTATCAGCTATTAGATTCTACTATTATGCATCGTTTAAAAATGAGCATCGGAATCCGAAAAATCAAGAGAAGACATTTGATTGTTGATAGAATTCGAATAGTATAGGCTCCTTTATAAATACAAGTTTAGACGGAAATAAATACTCAATCATAATATAAAATTCTGGTGACATATTGTATCAATAAAATATTATCGTTTCGTAGTACTTTCAGTTTGATGTTGTTGTTCTTAGATGAAGTGGTTTCTGACGCAGGTTAGTAATAAGGCTCTAAATGTGTGCATTTTTTTTTATTAGTTTTGACATAGAATTATTGCACAATACTGTACTGAGTATTATTCTGTAAGCTTTTTTTGTTGAAATCGGGACTATCGAGATATTATCAGTTTACTATTAAACACTAATACCTCGGTTTGAAGTAGAAGAAAATAAGGGAAATTTTCTTACCCAGAGCTCCGTACAATGTTTAACGTTAATTATGGAAGAAATTCTTGAAGTTTTCATTTTGTTTAGTTAAACTTTCTATTGATAATAACTATCTAACAAAAATATTTACCGTCATTAGAGGTAATTGTTCTACGTTGCGACAATTACGTGGATGTTGTTGAAGAGTTCTCGCGTTTCTTGATTGAGCCCAAAACCCATGTCTAAATATTTATTAAAATACGATTAGAAAAACGAAATAAAATGTGCCGATTAGTTCGTACACAACTAAACCAAAATCATCATATTGACATTGAAACGTTTGATTACGATTGAATGATGGTAATTGTTTACAGAATGTAGGTGACCATGACAAGACTAATTTATAATAATCTGTTTTTGCATTAGGTGTTGCCCATTCATGTTGACGTTTTTTATAGTCAAAATCATAATTACTAAATTGATAGAAAAAGTATGTCTACATGTTAACAAACCACTGAATTATAAACAATACCTTTTCCATTTTTTCGGAAATCGACAAACGTTCTGGGCACCATTAGCAATACCAAATAAAATAAAAAGAAATACAATGAAGTTCATCGTTATTTTTTGCGATGAAGTAATCTATAACGATTAAAAGAAAGCGAATTATTGCATTCCATTTAGATTCCGAAGAAAATGTATGCCAAACAATCTTTCCATTGATACGAGTTGTTTACCTCATGCATCATTTATGATAGAAAGTAACCGACGTCTGTTAATATCTTTCAAGGACATATACAGATGTCATCTTAGAAATGTACCTGCAGTGTCAAACTTGAAACTTGAATTCAGTTGAAAATAGAAAATTTCAACTTTCAACTCATAGCGATATATGTGTGAGTCACGATTCTTCAGAATGCTGTTCGTTTAAAAGTTGAAAATGGAAATTTTCAATTGAATTCAAGCTTCAAGTTCGGCATATATGTCCTTTCGAAGATACAAATATTTTAAATTAGATAATTGTATCAAAATTCAAATATCGATGCTTCTATTGAACCGATAAAAAAGCAATAAGCTAACAATTGCTTTTTCGACCAATGTGGATTAGAATAACATATACATATGATGAAAGGCATTAAGTAAATAATAGGTTTTCAACATGCGTTGATAGTAGTAGTTTGCTATAATAGTGGCACATGTTTTTTGTAACTGTGACAGCTTATAGAAGAAATAATTTCCTTTTTTTTTCATGACAGTTTATGCCCAGGAGAGCCATCTGTACCTTAGAAGTAACAAAATACTACAACTTAGTGTTCTACCATCGTTTGGCCTCTAGACTTACTGACTAAACATAATAGTGGCGTCGATTCACCTTCTATTAAGTTAGTCGGGAATGGATTGTTCTCGATCCGAATTCTATCTAAATCGACATCACTGCTTCACATTAGACCATCATCTCGAAACTTTCAAATGTTCTATTAGTGTCACCCGAATGTACTCATAACCATAAAAATGAAATTGAACTATGTCTGACAGCTGCCTATGTTCCCATATATGTATAATTGTTTTTATAACAGATTTTAAGGAGCTCAATATTTATTGCTCTTATACGACTAGTGGCGAAAGAGAATAAATACAATCGGGAAATCAGAGAAAGAAGGATGAGTTAAAAGTCAATCACCGCCGGACAACTGATGAACAAAACATACGGAATGCTATTTACATTAATGCATAGAAGTGAGGAACGAAACGAATGAGAATCAGACAGGAAAAAATGAATAAACAATAGACGAGCTATCATTAATCACAATTATACGCACTTCAGATAACAGCCCAACCAATCCTAGACTTTACAAGATCGATATCTTGTTGGTCTAGCGCACCGAGTTTTCATTTGGTCTGTATCTCATGAAACCAAATAGAGTTTTTTAACTAACTGAAAATATGACTAGCTAGAACATTTATGAAAAATAATTGACATTTTCTCTGTCATATTGACCTTTCATATGGTTAATTTGACTGTATCACAAAGAAAATATTGCATAAAAGAGAAGTGAACTGATGCACTAATTGAAAGATGATATTATAAGCACCAAATGAACTTCTTAATCAAGTTAATTCATCTGATCTGTTGGTCTACAACATTATTGTGTTTGTTGAAACTAGCTCTTCATTAGAAAGTAAACGAACAACTATTTATATAGTTGACAACATGTTATTCCAATATGCAATGTAATTGTTCTGAGTATGGTTTTTGTTCTCTTAGCGCATCTATATATATATATATATATATATATATATATATATATACGTATATGTGTAAGTACTGATAACACTTTTTTCGCAATCAGCTGCTTGTTTTTTCTTCTTCTACGTTTGTCGGACATTCTAGCGTCATTGTTGGCTATGTTTAGTTAATCTATCATCCACCAGATACAATATTGTTAACTTCCAGAGGACAAAAATAGCAATCATAAAAATATGTCAGAAAGAAGAGAGAGAGAGAGGACTGCGTCGGTGGGCTGCTTCTTTTTCTTCTTCTATTTCTAGCCCTATCAACAAGAAAAGAAACAGAATAGACTATATTTCTTTACTAGTGTTTCTCCAACAATCTATATCTGTGCGCCCTGTGAATCATAAATAAAGTTCTACATAGAAACTAAATACATATATATATACACTAAAACTGAAGAAACAAACCTTAACGAGTAATTAGTAATTGTTTTCTTATTGATACATTTATTAGAGAAAAAAAAGTATAAATATTAAATACGCGAGTACGATATGATTATATTTAGAATTTAAAAATGCAAAAACAAACAGGATAGTTCTGTTTTTTTTTAGAATGGTCGATCTTAAACGTGCAATTATTATTCTTATGGCAGTAGCCACCGTTGTAAATGTGGTTGGAGTTATTCATTGTCATATAAATCATCCGTACGTTACAACATGGTATGGATATCAAATGGGTTATTCGGTTATTTTTCCTGTTTGTAAGTTAAAATGAATATTTTAATATTAGACTTTTGTTAACTCGGCTTCAATAAATTTAGTATTGGCTTTAACTGGCTTTCTCTTTCTTGAACAATTGTTGATTACCGATGGAACTATCGCACCACTGAACCGACTTCGTATTCTTTATGCTTTTATTGCAGCTGCTGCTCTTCTCGTTTTCGGTATCAGTACAGCTATTGCAGCTAGTGGTAGATACAATTCCAGTATTCATGATCATCACTATCGTAGTAAGACATATGTTTAAATTACTATAAAATAATTTTAACAAAACAATTTTCTATCGTTTAGACGCTGTTCTTGCTGCACTTATAGCTTTCATTGATGCTGCGGTTTATATTTCAGAGGCAATCGCTCGTAATCGCAAAAGTCGTATCATCTAATATGGTAAACAACAAACGAGAAGGAAGACAAACTATCTGTAGTGTGGACTCTTTTTGTGAATATAGATTCTATGTATTCTGTTTGTACTGTATTTACTAGCAACTGTTCCTCTCATTTTTCTCGTTTGGTTGTATTGCCTTTTCTCTTGTATCTTATGTTTGGCATTTCTATTTGCATAAAATTTATTTGCTACGAAAGAAAATGATAAGATTTTTCATATTATTAAGTCTGTTGATTACATTCGATCCATCGGCAAGTTGGTTCACAGGTGGAAGACGTCGGAGTAGTACATGCCGAGAATATTTTGGGCATGAATCAACAAATAAACTTCTTCTTGTCAGTCTCGATCCGGTTAAAAGTGATTTACGCGCTGATTTCCGATCGTATATACCATCGTCAGCACCGACACCATCCTATAAGAAAATCCGTTTTATAAATCATTGTTGCTTTATATTTCCACCGACAAAAACTGTATGGAGAACTGATATGGAATTTTACGGTCGTCGAGATCGTTTAATGGAAATTGGTGAACATGGAAGTAAAATTAAACAGATAACAATACCACCGGATTTAAATGAAAGAAATATTCTTCTTTATACAAAAGAAAATCGTCTTATTTGGTCGACATGTGCACAATTAGAACAAATAACAAAAATTTCATGTAGCTCATTCTGGTTGAAAGGATGTATCGTACGAGAACATGGACCATATACATGGTATTGCAATACAACACAACATATTTCTTATACAGATGATATTCCAAGTATTACTGCTTTACAAGGAGGTTCAGATTTTATGGAATCACATAGACCAAGTATGAGAACCAGTTGCTAAAAAATCAAAATTACGTCAAGATAAATATTATGAAAATAATTGTTTTGTCATGTGTTCTTTTTTTTATATTGTCAATTGATGAGAGAAGAATTCTGCTAATGATAAATTGCTTTTTTGAGTCAATACCAATATGTAAAATATACAGACTCAAATGAGCTATGAAACATCCTGAAAATGATTTCTATCCTTTGTTTATTGTTATGAACATATTGTATTGTAACGGTAAGATTTCAATAAACCTTATTTTTCCCAGTGTAAAGACACAAAAAATTCTTTTTTTTTAAATTTGAGCTTAGAAGAGATAGATCTGTTGTCTCTAAGATTTTCAAATACTCTCATCACTTATTATCCTCAAATATGAATGCTTGAACAATAGGATACTTATATCTTGAGAAGATAGGATTGATACGAATATCAAACAAAAAGGAATGTCAGTTGTGTTTTTGTGACAAAAAGATTAAGATTGATTTAAAAAGAATAATGAAAATTTCCTCTATACCCTAGAGCACTGATCATTTTCAATGGGTTCATAGGTCATGTAATTCTGTACGGTAGAAGTCGTCACGACTTAACAATGATTAATTCACTGAAAGATGTTTCCCTGTGAGTTCGTTCGCTCGTTTTTTTTCTCTTGTACTAATAATTTAATCTTATTCATTATGTATAGAAAGAAAACAAGGCATTATACGTGTCGATAAATATGCGTGCGTGATGTGTTAATAATCAACGAAAAAAATGCTTCTCATTCATTGTATCTAAAGATAAATGATTACTTTTTAGGATTGATGTGTCTGTTTTTAACAATATGACAGCGAAAAACAAATTTACGAAATAGTATTCAAACAATATTTATATCATATTGCTATGCCGGAAAAGCCATGGTTTCTATTTCGTATATTTTATAATATCAACAAACATATAGACATGAAGTAATTGAAGATTGCGAGTGTTCTTGTTAATGAATAGAATACCACCAAATACAAGTTGCTGATACAACAAGAGTAAGAGTCAACAAGTTACCCTTAGTTGAGACATGGCTAATTAATTGTCGACTAGATTTATAATCGATGATAACAAGTTCATCGAACAACTAAATAATAGAGTCTGATGATCCCGTAAACAACAACTTTAACATTGTATTGAATTTTCTTCCTATTTGATAATTTCAAAACGAACCAATAGGATAACTCGGTTATTATTAAGGTCACAAGAACTGTCTCAAGACAAAATTCATGTGACAGATACTAAATTAATGATTCATGTCTTTGGAGGAAAGACTTATCGGCTAATTATTTCTCGAGGTTGTACTTATCGGTAAAATATCATTGCAAAAAGCTTAGGATCATCATTTGGGATAATTCTCTAATTGATTACTTTTCAATTTCATAGGAAAAATGAAGCAGCTGTATGTATAATCGGATTCATTTTTACTCTTCAATATGAGTATTGAGTTATGTCTCAAGATAATTCGGATATGTTTTATAATGCTACGAAGCGAATGATCAATAATTTATCAGTATTGAAATATTCACTGAACGCTAAGGGATCAATATTTTATTCCGTAAGTATATTTACACCATTTTCACTCAGGATCTGTCTTGAATAATAAATATTCGACACGATCGTAGTGACTTTCACTCTCTTCGAGAGGATTAACTTTCCATCGCCAACATAAACGTCTAGTAATAATCCTTAACTAAGAACAAAATGGACTGATGTAATAATCGTTCGATAACAGTGCCTTGCCACTTGACTTTTTATGTACTCATCGATATCTTGAAGCACTTTGTACTACTTGATTTTTCTTCAAAAGAAAAATTCTAATCTTTTCGATTATAACATTCAACGTATGAGAATTCTTCATCGATATCAGTACTAATAGTTGTTGATTTAAAACGTGCTTCTATTAGATCAACAAGAAATCTTGCATTCAGTTACAAAAGAAAATATAATCCTACTTATGACTGTTTTTACTGTCTGATCCTTCGAAAATATAAATCACTAACGTCTATTCAAAGCTAATGAATACAACATCATTTATCATATCTTAGATTTAATAAATTGTATTTTTTTCTTGTTAAATTATTTTTCTCATTAGCATATAAAAAGAAAACACATTGACACATACAAAAAAAAATTCAGCTATCACGATCTTTCGTAATTATTATTTTTCTTTTTGTTAATCTCATCTCGAATGTACGTATGTTTGAACAAGAAAATATTGAAAAAAAAGAAAAGAAAAGAAAACACAAACAAAAATTTTTTTTCCTAAAAACAAAAGAACCAACAAGAACAACAAATTATACAATTAAACATAAAGTTTATAGATTATTTTATATACAATCTGAGATCACCAGAAAGAAAAATCATATAGACGAGCATTTGTTTTTATTTCTGTCGATAGACTAGAGATCACTGTTGTCGATATTTAAAGAGAATCAAGTTTATTTTTCCCTTTTACACAAGATAGCCTTCACCAGGCAACAATGATTTCGATGATATCAATACCAATTGCGATCGTACATGTTTTAATGAATCTAATAAACGAGTTTGTTCATCAAGTGTTATACTATTTCCAATAATATCATGCAAATCTGATTGGTTAAAATGGCATATCTGTGATAGGTTCGTATAACCAGCACTCATAAATAATCGTATTAAACGATCGAGTTGTAAATTATGAAGCCAGTCTATGATAGATGTTACTTGAGCAAAATTAGGCTGATCGGGATGATTGACGAAAACGAATCTGTAAAAAGCAAAAAGAGTCAATCGTTGAAATCGAATCAAAACAAACAATTTCGTTTTCTACCGTTGTTTTGCTAGTGAAAGAAGTCGACTAGGTACTTGAATAAATTGCGTTAATTGTTGAACGATATCTGTAAATTTTGGTCGTTCCAAATATTCTTCATTCCAACAGATAAGCATTAACTTGTATAATACATCAGGACAACCCTAAATATAGATGTCAATTTATATAATGATGTCGTTTGCTCAAGTAGGAGTACAAACCATGGGTGGTGGAAGACGATAGGAATTTTTAATTGCTTTAATCACATCTTGATTTGACCAATTCCAAAAAGGTCTTTCACCAAATGAAACAACTTCCCAACATAATACACCGAAGCTCCACACATCGGATGCCGACGTAAATTTACGATAATCAATGGCTTCAATGGCTGTCCAACGTATTGGAATCTTACCACCTTTTGTAGTATAACTATCACCATCATCGATTTCACGACTTAAACCAAAATCAGCTACTTTACATATGAGATCTTTATTTACAAGAATATTTCGTGCTGCTAAATCCTATTCAAGTAAAAGATACAATATTAAAAACAAAACAAAAAATTCTTTTCAATTCAATTTACTCGATGAACATATTTCATATCTGATAGATATTTCATGCCAGATGCAATACCACGTAACATACGTGTTAACTGCAATGCATCAAGACATTTATTTCCTTCATTTGCCTAAATATAAATATTTTTCGTTTTTTTTGTTTAGCAGCTTTTTATTTTTTATTTACTCGAAGATATGCATCTAATGAACCATTTTCCATATATTCAGTTACAATCATAATAGGATGATGTTTTGTTACAACACCTTCCAAGTAAATAACATTTTCATCGTCAAATTGTCCCATTATGCTAGCTTCAGATAAGAAATCTAAACGAGTTTTTTCTATTGCGCCTTGTTTTAATGTTTTTATTGCAACTGGTACATCTTTCATCATATTTGGTTTACGCAGTTTGCCTCGACAGACATCACCGAATTCGCCTTTTAATAGAAGAAGAAAAAAAACAACTAAGATAGATGGATGGATGCATAGATTATGATGATGCAAGTGACACATATTATCTTGAATGTTCGATCCTTTTGTTCGTCTCCATCCAATGATCTATGGCGTGATGATAGTCTCTCAACAGCCGTCTTTTCTCATCAATTAAATGAATTTACGTAAGTCCTACAGCAAAGGAAGCAGAAGCAATTCATGTTGATTGACCGAATGCACATCAATAAGAGGTTTCGCCTTTTTCTTTTTATTCTTTTCTCTGTTCCGGGTCATCCCTTATTCTCATATGTGAACGATGGAAATAAAATAAAATAATAAGAAAGAACAACCATTTTACGTAATATTAACTTCAAGATTAATAAGTAACACGCAAGCATATCCGATTTTAATTATAGACACTTACCACCGCCGATGACTGATTCAATAACTATTAAATTAGGATCCAATTCACGTGCAAAATCTCTTACAGCTTTTGTTGGATCTTCATACTAAAAAGATCGTATAATAAAATATACATTCGATACACGAATCATATTAATACGAACTGTATGAGGATCGATGTATGTTTTCGATGTTGTTGGAATCGGAGGCCATAATGGTGCTGACCCTACAAATGTATACATACATTTATAGATATAAATGAAAAATATGATAGGAAAATGTCTGTTCTTTTTATCGTAGTAACAGACCAAATTTAGAAAACTCAATCATTCAATCAATCTTGTTGCCTTCTAGTAAAATGTCAAGGTCAAGAAATACAAGGCAAATATCTAATGATTAATCAGGCAGTTCGATCATACAAGCACCCACACGCACACAGACATAAGCACTTACAGCCAGAATTGAAGAATGCATCGGGCCCATAATGACCACTCACTAGAAATAAGAAGATGATAAGCATATTAAAAAGAAATGTAAAGTCTACGAAGCAAGATGATAGAAGCATAAGTTAAAGATGCAAGCTAGAAAATAATGAGACCAATAATTTACATTGCGTTATCGTTTGATTTGTTGGATTACTTGAATAGCGTAACATCATAGGTCGATAGCCACCTGTAAGAACTATGATCCCACTTACTCGTTAAATACACACAAGTATGATAAAAGAGAAAAGCTCTATACAAACCTTGTCGTTTTTGATAGTCTAATGATTCACAATCACTTGCTGTTTTCAATCGACATGTTCGTCTTCTACAGAAACAAAATTTAAAATAGGAAAATTTAATTTAAGAAACAAAAATGTGTTTTTTTTATCTCTTACTTTTTCGAATAAATAAATGCTAAAATAATAACTGTAATAAGTAATAGAAGAATAATAAATGGTCCAATAAGAAGTATGGTTTTGTTTTCAACAAATTTGGTTGTAACATCAGTTAATTTCGTATTTGCTAAATATTGTTCATCGACTAATAGTGAACTTACAGAAAGTGATTTCTCTTGTGTATATAAACTCCAACCAAAACGTGTATGACCACGTAGTTGAAATTTATAATTATCCGATTGTGTTATCAATGTAAAATTATTGAATAGAAGTGTTCGAAGAAATTTTCTATTATCATCATTTAATGGCCAATAACGTATTTGATATTGATCAAAATCATTCGATGACCATGATATTATTATTGTATTCAATGATATTCGTCGAATATTTATATCACGAATTAATTTTGGTACTATGATAAAAACAAAATTAGAAAGATAATAGCAAGTTTTTTTTTTTGTTCTTAATACTTGGTCGTTTTGTTGTAAATGATAAATCAACTGATTTACTTAATAAATGTGTAGATAGATGTTCAGCATAGAGTTCAATATTATAATTTGTATCAGCATCAAGACCCAACATTTGTACACTAAAATAAAGATTTTTATGTTTTAAAACAAAAAATAAAAAATAAAATAAGAAAGAAATAATTTATCTGCGATAAATACCTTGAACCATTAATAAATGTACGATTTGGTTGATACGATATGTAAGATTCACAAGGTATAAGTCGACCTTCGACTAAACGATTACATTCTATACGATAAACAATATCATTTGCATTGTCTATTGATCGTTTCCAAGATATTTTAATTGATGCTTGATCAATATCATCGACTGTTACATTTTGTGGTTCGATAGGACTTCCTATGAATAAATATTGAATAAGAAAGATGATTTATTAATGATATGAGATTATTTACCAAAGCAAGGTGAATTGGATAATGATGCATTAAGACGAAAGAAGCCATCATTACATATACACGACGATGCACCTTTATCTTTTGTATGACTATTCAATGGACAACGTTCACATCGATAATTATTACTAATAGTTGATTTAAAAGTGCCAATTGAACACGCTTCAAAAAAGAAACAAAAAAGAAATACTTTTTTTTTCTTTTGATTTCCTGCGTGTCTTTATGAGGCGTAAAAAAAGTGGATACCATCTGCCGCTGCTTTTTTTTCTCGTTTAAGTACATGTATATGTTCATAAATACTCTTATATCCATTCTTTCTCTTGTCTAATGTTGCAATGATTACAGTTAAAATGGATACTTTTTTTTTTGGTTGTATGTGTCCGTCTCTCCCAGATGGTGTGAGTTGACAAGCTCGTTAGACCGTATGCATATCAATGGATGAGGGCGGATGAAAAGGTGTGCGACAGGTGAATGAATGTAGACTGTTTCCATTCTACTGTAAAATGAGGAAAAAAGAAACGAGGGACAGTAGTAGTAGTAGTAGTAGTCAAAGTTAATTATATGGATTGAGAATAGAATGACAATGTTCATGCATGCATGGAATTAGAAAGAAGGTCACCTGAACACATACATATATATATATGTACGTATATGTGCTAGCCTCAAGGGTAAATGAGACATGTTATTTAGACAAATTTCAACTACGTATTATATCGAACTATACTCATCGATGGCATGACTTGAATGAAGCTAATTTGATAGAATCTCGAACAAGTTATGTATCATTCCTATGTACTTACCCTTGCAAATGGCACGAGATAGAAGACCATTATTCTTATTATCAATAAGAAGCTCATACCCATCTTGACAATGACAACTATCACGCAATGATGTTTCTTGAAAAGCCCATTCGCCTTAAGAGAGCAATTCGATTAGTTGTTAAAACAATGAATAAAACTCAAAATTTAATTCTTTACCATTTCCTTTACAGAAACCTAGTGGTTTCTGGACTGGTTTAGAATTAATTGTACATATGCCATGACGTTCGACAATATCAGTTAAATGTGCGCCTGTAGGAGTTTCTGGGAAAAGTACAAGACCAATACTTGTATCTTGACATAGACGATAAAAAATTTTAACATATAATAATGATACACATGCGCCTTGATCACGAAATGCGATATAGAAACCATTTTTATTTACAGATATGCCACGAGTTTTAACATTAACTGTTAGATTATTTCCGCTTGATGCCGATGATTGACTACCATAATTGTTTGATGTAAAACGATTTCCAGCAATAACATCAACTAATTTATAGGATGACCATAATAGATCATTATCTTCATAATCACTTTCGTGTATATAGAGTTCAAATGTTTCACGACACGAACGTATTTCATTTGGCGTTTGAAATGTTGAACAGTCTCGAATAGAAAAGCCGAGTTCAATTTCAATACGTTGAGCTTGTTGACGTTTAAAGTAAGGTGAGCGTAACCAATTATCCACATGACGTTCGGATGTTATGTCACATACATATTGTGTACGCCATAATGTGGATGTTGATGGTGATAATAAAAGTGTTGGAAATAATTTAGCTTCGAAACTTAGTTCACCCCAGCCATCGTTTAGATTTCCATTATTGGATGTTTTATCCCAATTAAGATAATCACGAGCTTCTCGTGTATCTAATAGGACAACTACATCAGAGACACAAAAGAAAAGTAATTAATCAGTGTGTTTATTTGTATATCTTAATTTTACCTTCTTTTGTTGCTTGTACAAAGGAATCATAAATAAAGCAAATTAACATAAAAAAACATAATTTCATAATCATTGTCGTATATCAAAACTTGACAATTGTCGTAATCTTTCAATAAGCATCAACTATTGCTTATACATACAGTTGGCAGATGAGAGGAAGAGAAACTATAAAACAGAAGAGAAGAAAAAATATATAAAAGAATGACTGGTAATGTGCGTTCTCTTTCTCCCTAGCTCTCTCTCTCTCTCTATGCTATACTGATTTCTGAGCTTTCTTTTTTTTCTTCTCCCTATACATTTCGCGATGCCATAGAATAGACATCATCGAATATCCTTTCTCTTTCTTTTCTCTTCGATGTGAGCAACAAACACAGCATCTATAGAAAAAATAAAAGAAAGAAAAGAAAGACAGACAAGCACAGAAGCTGACCGCCGCCCGAGTGCACATACACGCACACACATACATATATATGTACATATGTGGAGTGTGCACGAAAGAAATGACGACTGTCATATTTCCGATAATGTAGCTCGATGTTCATATTATTATTGTAGAATGTAAATAACTCTACGCATACACACAGTAACTTATATGTCAAAAGAAAAAGAAGTCTATTGTAGTATATAAAAAAAGAAGAAGAAAAACAAGATATACTATTTTATTTCTCTATTAACCTTTCTAATGAGTTCTCAGACAATGATTTTAACAGTTAACTTTAAAAGAAATTGTTCATGCAATTCACCGGTACTACCATAAAAAGGAAAAATAACATCTAGTACAATGTTATTATCACATTATTTGCCTCAATCTACTCCATAAAAACACATTTCTATATACTATTACACAATATGAATAAAAAATAATAATGACGGTTAGCGTAATTTTATTTCACACACGATCGCATTTGTCAGTGTGATGTCGGCAAAACGCAACAATAGGCGTCGAGGTCATTCACGCCATTGGACGCAACATTTTTTTCTTCAGCACTCTCACATACACATTTATCAATTAGGTTTTCTGCATTTTTAAATTTTCTCCCTTTTTTTCTTTATTTTCTAGTAAATACTTTCACACGCACGCACAGAAGAGATTTTTATTTATTACTTATAAGTACGCAGTAAAGTCGCTTTCTTTAGTTTTTTGCTTTGTTTTGTCATCACATATAATCATGATGATAGGTTCTTTGCGGTTTTTTTCCTATCATTCTCATAGTAGAGAGAAAATATTTTGTATCGATGGGAACGAAAAATGATCTAACTTATCCATTCAGTGAGATATATAAGGATGCGAAGACAGATCTTTTCTTTTGTTACCAATAATGACGAGGCAAGCGATTACGGCACGATCATCCTCAAGAGAGAATCAATTTTCGATCTGCATAAACGAGATGTTGATTGAACAATAGATGATGAAGACGGAGAGAAAAAAAGGAACTCAGAGACAGGAACGAGTAATAAAGAGTATGAGTCTTCAATAGAGTTCTGCTTAATATATATATATATATGTATGGTAATGCAAGGCAGAAGAAAAATACGCTCAATTACTTTTTGTTCTGTATATAACAATTACCTTCGTTAAGATGTGAGTGAGCAAACAATTGTCATGTACGGATTTTTTAATTGTTGTTGTCGTTGTTGTCATCGATCACGGTTGCTTACATAACTCTCTCTCTCTCTTTACTTATCCAACGGATATAGTAGAGAATGCGATAACATGAGTAGTACATCTGTTCTTTCGTTTGTTGATGAACTTCGTTCGAATCGATAAAGCGAATGAAGAAATATCTTGACTTCAACTCTTTCTATTTAAATAATTTAACATGGTCACTTGTTCATTCACATACATCTATATACGAACGCATAAATATTTAAAAACTCTATTATCAATCGATGTCTAATCATCTTGTTATGATGCCAATAGCATACGAAATAGAACTTTCTAATTCACTCATTTTATGTTGTTCGTCGGCAGCCATCTGGCTCATTCACACAGCATGTATTAATGTTGACAACAGCGTCTAACTGATTAGTCTTACTGCTGTGTATAATTCTCACCGCGACAACTATTAACAATGATTGAACTTCCGACTTCTACAGTGATAATAATATAGACAAGAAAATGATGAACATTACTCTCTCTCTCTCTCTCTCTCTTCTTCATTCTCAATAGGGAGTACTTATTTTCAAAAATAACACTCTTGATACCTTTGAAAAATTACTATAACGTGAATATTGGCCTGTTCGATTGATTAAACATATAAGTATCTTTTTTTCTTTTAATGAATAGAGTGCGAAAATGGAAGGAAGCCTAATGTTTCTCTTTTACATATTAAGGTAAATACAGGAGGAGATGCAAATGTTTGCTAGATATAGCGGTATGATTGTTCGAATCACGTTGGATATACATTCAAACGAAATAGCTACACACACACACACATATATATATATATATATAGCTATATACAAGGTCAAACAATAACAGACTCGACCAAGTGCAAACTTTGATGATGAATAAACAGAACCGAACAAACGAAAAAGATTTTCTAATCATAAAATAAAATTTCTTAATCAAGGTCATTAAATTCATATGGATGCTTAGATGTTTTTTTTCTCTAAATTTTTTTCCTACGTGCCATAGTGCACTTCCCAACGTTTTTTTTCCCTTACCGGTTTCGTTTCAATTGATCGATTGCGTTTGCGTTCGATGCGACGATGTGAAAATGAAGTGCTCATGCATAGAGCAAGTCGGATGTCAATGCAAGTAACTACTTCAATAGAGTTTTGCTTTGTGTCCTCGCTTTTTCTATCTACAAATTTGATGTTGAACAGAGATAAAACAAAACAAAACAAAAAAAAGGAGAAGAAGAAGAAGAAGAAAGAAAAGATGTGAGTGGAGTATCTTTCTTTTGTGTTTGTTTATACATATGCATTATCTTTTTCTCAATGCGGATGCACCTTTTCAAATCAATCTATGCATGCACACGTATAAAGATATAGAGTAACAAACATGATCATTATACGTGCACACTCTATGTGTCAAAATTACCATATTTATTTCGTTTGGTCTAGTCATTATCTTCTTTGATCTTATTCAATGCTTCAGTTTCTTTTCTATTTATTGATTCTAGTACGTTGAATATCGGAATTATTAGTGATAAGTCATTTAATCTTTAGTTTCTAAATGAACTACTCGATTAAACATATCGATCGCGCATTCATATGAACAAAAAATCCTTCAGTTTTGCACGCAATAAAACGATAAAACAACACCTTTCGCGACATATCAGGCATGCTTGCATTACAATCTAGCGATAGATCAACATGCAGACAAAAGATCGAAGCACAAAAAAGGAAGAAGTGACTATCAATACACGTATAAATCAAAAATTTGACCTTGAATACATACCTTTAATACCTATTTTTCTTTACTAATAAGTTGCAACTAGATTCCATTTGTAACCCCGAAAAAAAGCAAAGAATCTGATATCATACAGCAGTTGCTTATTTGCTTGTTCTTTATATAACTTCTTAGTTTCTTTTTTTTGCTCTTTATGTAAGCTGCGATTGTGAATGCAAAAAAAAAGAGAGAACGACAACATCACTAGTGTATACATATATCTACATATACATATTTTTTTTCAAAGGTCATATCATCTGTGATGGATGACAGCTTAGCTTCTGTTAAGGTTTTCTTCTCGGTTAGATTGTCAAATATTTTCTATCATTTATCGAGCTTGAAACAATGAATAGTAGTAACGATAACTGAAGGGAAGCAGGTGGAACTTATCATTTCAACACACATATGAATAAGTCACACTCGATTAAGATCGAAGCAAAGAGTTGAACTGTATACTCACTTGCCACTAGTCAATTCTGTCATATTGGGATTCACACTTGAATGGGGAGAAAAAAAAACTAATTAATACTATCAAATTGAAAAGTCAAGATGATGATTATCAGTTTTTGGGAAGCGCCAATCGATCGATCGATCGATCTATCTAGTTCAACAGCAAAAAGCCATTAGCAATCAATGAATCTCTATAAAAACGTTAGTGTAAATTGAGACTATCACTCTATACATATGTATACACATTTTTATTTTTGTTCTGCATTATTCACTAAAAATATAATGCGTGACTTTCTCAAAGTTTAGGAGCTCTTCTTTTTCCACATATGTACGTATATTATTTTTTAAAAGGCATGCAGACATGAAACCTTGCCAAGATTATAATACAGTCTCACTGCCGATTTTCTTTTCGTACATCAGCGAGAATATATATATGTACGTTGAAGATCGTATTTTAATCAAATACAAGCAGAGCAAGAAAGAAGAACGGCAGACACATCGTCCATGACTCGCACTGAAGCAAGGCTCTTCAAGCATCGACGATGACAACTCGATGAAAAGATAACAATAACATATTTAATCGTTGCTTGCTATTGTTTCTTGTGGTCAATGTTGTCTTTTTAGCCGTTTTTATAGACAGACATGCGTACTTGTAATGACATACATATATTCGAGCATGCTGATGATTGTATAGCAAAATCAAGTAGATTGAATAGAGTGTTCATTTCTTTATCATTAGTATGAAGCAATAAAAAGAAAACGGGATAAAAAGGTCAAGCAAATGTATCGCCATCATATAGAAATTGTATTTTTAAAGGAACAGATGAATTAAGACATTAATGGAAAGTGGCTTGTTGATTAGGAAAAAAAATTAAAAAAAAAAAAGAAGAAGGAAAACGATGAGCATTCACATTTTAACTCTCTTGTGAAAAGATGATCAATTTAGACTTCTTTCTATTTTATGCTGATTTTGCCGACGCCATATGACATCGATAGGCAACATAGAGTTAAGAGAATTCAACCGCAAATTGTTTATGTGAGAATTGAAAATAACAATCAATATCAATCGAACAAAGATATTGCTTGCTTACTCTATTTCTATTTGTCCGGCGGCAATATCAATAAATAAATGTCTTTTATATACATCTGAAGGGAATGAATCGGAGGCGGGCGAAATCGAAGGAAATAAAACGAACAAAATGATGAGACTATATCGTTAATTTACTGTATGAAAATAATAATGATAGCAGTTAGATTTTGTCGGCATCTAAGATGTTGTATAAACATGAATAGTTTTTTAGTAAGTCTGGAAATGATTCTAGACGAAAAACATTATGGAAAAGTTTTATTGATTGAGGCATTAGAAATATGATGCATAATAACTTCAACAGATGTTAAACAAACAAAATACAAAACTTATTGTCACAAAAATCTAATGACAAATAGTTATTATAAATCAACCAAATAGACACAACAACAATAACAGGACAAAGAAAAAGGGAAAAATGTAAAGAACTTATCAAAAGGATAGAATGACCCTAAAGCTATTTTCCTATTTATAAGACAGTTAATATATATGATAACGATGATATAAGATTTACGGTATTTGTGTTTATACGTGACACAAGACCGATGAAATGTTTATATACAACAGAAGGAACAAAACGATGATCGTTACATCAATCAATTATGTTGTCCGACCAGAAAATCTTCTGTCATTCTCATGAGAACAGTTTTTCTTGCGAATCTTTTTTTATGCCAATAAAATAAATCGATTTAAGTCATATTCAAGATTTGACAATTTTCATTTGTTCTATAATAAAAACAAAAATGTATGAAATCATCAGATATCGAAGACAAAAACAAAGGTGTCTTATTGATCTCATCTTTAATTCAATACATTATTGTAACAAGGAGTGTAGCGTACAATTAACACCTGCTTAGCCTTTCAATTTTTATTTCAATACGTCCAAGTGTAAAATCGAGTGTCTCCACTCATAGTGGAAATATCTTAACAGATATTTATCAAGTGGTTGGTAGAAGAGAAAGGAAAAGGATTATTCTAATTTCTAAAGGTAGTTTAAGTGGAACAGAATATTATTGCCACTGCTGCTGTTGTTGTTATTGATTTGTGATGAATGAAATACTTGAGATGTTTATTTTTAGAAATAAACTGAATTCTATTGAAGTAAATGTCTTTATTTGTAACGAATCAAAATACTTTGGTTATTGATAAGTGATATGTAATAACAATTTACTTGCAGGACTTTCTTTTTAACGAGTATTCATTTTCATATATATATATATATGTCTAAAGATTCTTTCAATAAAAGCCAATATTTCCCACGAGAAAAGATTGACACTTGCAACAAGAAAAAGAGATTGAAATACCATTGCCGATGTTTCATACCGTATTCTTTTATTTTTTCACTTTTTGTCTCGAAGGGGTACTATACTATACTTTGAAATGAGTATGCACTTAGTGTCAAAAAAATAATCGCTATTTCTCAATCACATGTGATTTCATTGTTTCGTCAATAAATTCTCTAACGTAAAAGAATTTGTATTAGAAAAAAAATCATTCAATGGTTCATAAGACAGTGATAGAAAAATATTTATCTAATAGTAAAGAACATTATTTTTTATATCGGTTCATTAAATCAACAATCGGTTGTTTTCGAAAAATAAACTTTTTATAGCTTAGAGGCTTATTCATTTGATTGTCAACTTGATTCATCGTCGCTGTGTTGAACGTATGATTTGTTTGGAATTCATCAATCACAAGACTGATGTCTCGAGTAGAAATGATTAGATTTCTATCAAATAAAAGGTGCTGATCGTTCAGTTCAGAACGTTTTTTTTAGGTATATTGGATAATTTTATCATTTTTCGAGTTCAAATTTTACAATAGCTCAGCAATAGAATGTGTCTATGGAGTCAGAAGTTTGATCCATTAGTAGATACCTAAAAAATGTCATTTTGCTTCAATCTTTTAGTTATGTAAGTACTTAGTTGTTCATCGATATGTAATCGGAATATTTTTATTATTATTCGAGCTGTTTTTGCACTAAATGATCCCCAAAACATAAGAAGCACTTTTATTATTTGTTTTTGTTAAAATAAGCTTAAAGAAACAAGATAAAAATTGTACTACTAGTTGCTAGAATGAATTCATACGATGAAGCATAACTTTGATATATTTAGCACCAGATGGTCCAAAAATAAAAATATTGAATTTAATTATGTTTTTATTCTGGTTGAGGTTTAGTTTTGTTTCGTAGAATTGACATACTGCTAGATGTATGAAGTGATTGCGATCTTGTATTGGGCATTGATCGTACAATTTCTTGAACTGACCATCTTAAATTAGGCGGATCAAAATGTGGTACTGGTTTCTCACGAGTTTGCCCAGGTGGATGCCAAATAGCTTCTTGAATCGTTTTTTCTCTTTTCTTTGCTGGACTAAATGATTTTGGTCGTTTATCTTGATAAGGTCCAGGTAGATGCCACACAGGTTCAGACTGGCTTGTTTGTTCACGAATTTGAGGAGAGAAATGAGAACGAAATGGAGGTGGACAATATTTACCAGGCGGTTTCCATTCTTTTTCACCAAGACTTACACCATAAGCGTACCGTACAAAATGTTGAATTGATAATGGTGGAGCACTTTGTAGGCGAAGACTTTGTTTGGTTGAATTCTTTAAAGTACTTTCACCTAAACGACGTGTTTTATTTGCTGAAGTTGGTGAACGACTTCTGTTAGCTGCCATGCGATTTAATATTTATCATGAACTATTTTTATTTTGCCTATTCTTTTGAACTCTCAGGTGTATCGAATAGAAGACCTTCACAATTGTTGATGTGATTGGAATATGTTTCGTTCTATTCCTTTCCTTTCCTTTCCTTTCTTTCTATCTAGTTCTTCATATAGACTTTCTTTAGTAAATGAAATATATTATAGACACAACGGAACAATTATAATTACTTGTAAGTTCTTTTGCTTTCTCGTGGTTTCTCTATATAAATAGAAAAGCATGCAAAGGCTGTGCCTTCATAACAAAAACGAGAAATGAGCACATATTTGAGAAAGACAAGAAAAAAAAGGAGAGTAAACGAAGGTGTCAACAGCAACAGCGCTATTGAATTATATCAAAACATTGCATGCCGATGTCAAAATTAATCGTTTCTTTTTGTTGAGTAGAAGAAATAAAAAGATTCAAACTAGTGTTGCCTTCTTACGAACAATGCCATTCGGCGGTGAAACACTTCGTGGATTTAAACGAGTATAAGCAGTATTTGAGATAGTATTAGAATTTGGATTACGTAGGATTGATTTTGGCATTTTTTGATTCGGTTCGTTGCGAGTGTCTGACGATGATTGTGTTGAATTTGTTAGATTTCTTGGGGCACGATCCACACCCAATGGATTAGAATTAAAAGAATCAGAAGGTACGTTAGATGGCGATGATATATAAGGAGCTGGGCCAGATGAAATAGAAGGTCGTGTTGAAGAACTAAGCGTGAAAAAATTTGGTCTAGTACTGTATGGTGTTATGTTTGCTGGACGATAAGGACTCGTAGCAGTTGTGGGATTAGAAGATATAAAATTAGTAGGACGTAAAGATGTTAGACCTGTCGGATTTGATGATGTAATACTGGATGGCTGATTGGGAGTAATATTTGCCGGACGATACGGCGTATTATTTGTTGGATTAGAGAATCTAGTAATAACTGACTGATAAGGTGTTATGTTTGCTGAATGGTACGGCAGCGTATTTGCTGAACTGAATGGTAGAGTACTAGATGATTGATAAGGTGTAATGTTTGCTGGACGATAAGTCATACTATTAGAAGGATTATATGGTGTTAAAGTTGCTGTTGAATTATACGGTCCATTATTTGGCGGATTTATCTGTCGAATATTTGCTGGTGGATAAGGTCCTTCAGTTTCCGCGCTAACTTGAGGAATAGTTTGTAGCCTGTTAATTTCATTAGTTGCTGCATTGTATTGTGGCATGATAGGCAGTAACGGTTGAATGATGGGATTATTGGAAGGTGGAAATACTGATTGAGCTCGTGGAAGAACGAGTCGTTGGAAAAGATTCTGAACTTGTTGCATAAATGGGCCTGATATTGGTGCGGATGGAACTCTGGGTGGTAAATTGGGTAATAGTGATTGTGATGGAACTGGAACTATAGGTTGGATATCTGCTGTTTCAGTAGGATTTGTTGTAGAATTCGACTTTAGAATCGATAAACTTCCATCAACCGGATTGATTATTTCAGCAGGGAAAACAACGGCATTGAGTACAGTATTAGCATCTGCTTGGCTACCTGGCATATGTATTGGTGGCAAATAAACAGTTTGTTTCGGTAGATTTTGAATCATTTCTGGAGTTAGACTTGAAATTAATGCTAATGTATCAAAAGAATTATCGTTAGACGTTATGAATGATGTATCTCCTGATGGAAAATATGGATTAGACATTGGATTGGCGACTACGACGTTTGGTTGTTGTGGTGGCGGATCATCGTATTCAATTTCATAACATGATGAATGACGTTTACGATTTCGATGGCATGGAACACGTTCGATTTCTAGTATTCGTTTAGGAGGTCCACGTAAACCAAGTGTTGGATGATCATCAAATGGAATTCTAAGTATTCGATGTCGTCTCGATGATCCATGATGATGATTATGATGATGATGATGATGATGACGATGTGGTCGTCGTCGTTCAATGACAATATCTGGTGTCATTGATCGTGGTCTAGATGGATGTCGTCTTGTTGGAAGAATTGCTGGTATAAAAGAGACTCGCTGTTCTCGTGCCATACCTGCAGGTACTAGAGGAGGAGGAGGAGGAGGTTGTTGATTCAATGGATATATGGTAGGTATAGAAGGTGCAGCATTTGGCACTAGTCCTGCCCATTCTCTATAGCTACCAGGCATTCTTGACTCACGTTGTTCAACACCATCATTCGAATTGATGATTCTCGATGATAACATTTTCAATATTCTTTATAAAAAAAAAATGCTATGCAAAATGTCAATGTCTCAATTGTATATTTTTTCTTGTCTGCAATGATGAACGATACGCATCATTTCAGTTGGCAGTGCGTACATGGCAAGGCTATTGCTGTTCCTTTTTTTGCGCACATTAACAGACAAAAACCTTCAATAGAAAAAAAAATCATTTAAAGCAATGAGCAGAAAGGGCATATTGGCAGGTAATTTAACATGTGACGACCTTAGTTGATTCATTTTTTTCTCTCGTGTATCTAACCAAAGTATACTGAAATTCATTACGATGAGTTTTTAGTATGGTATAAAAATTATAAAGCAGCTTTCTCTGCATATTCATCTCATAGTAAAAATAATCTTTGGTGTATTAACGTTTTATAATTACGGATGGGGATTGTTCATAAGTAACACTATTTTATTTCGCGTACATATTTATTTTCTACGTCATTAATTTCCTTCTATGTATTCACTTTTCAGAATTGAGATCAATTAAATTACATGTAAATGCTTTCAAGCACCAAGGAAACATTTTAAGTTCGTGTGCTGATGTTTTTTCTGCCTCTATTGCCTTTCTATATATACACGCGGATGCCGAGTAATTAATTATAAAGGTAACCAGTTGTGGTCTCTGAATTAAGTTGTATATCATAACAAACAGCTGTAATTTAAATTTAACTATCATGATATTACTTGAGCAATGATGAAATATCACAGACATTTTGTATGCCATTTGTTACTCTCATCTGTTTTAGAATGGTATAGTTCATTCAAGTTCACATTCTATACGGAAAGATGCCAAATTATTTTGAAAACTTAAAAATACTACGTTAAGAGAGCAACTTGATCTATCTAGTATTGCCACCATTGAAAAAGTCTCATTGATTTGTAAAAAATATGTCTTTTATTAAAAATAAAGCTTCAAAATAAAAAAACATAAAATATTATGAATCTAAGAATCACATTCGCACTCAAAAACATTCTATACACTCAATAGAAGGATGATATCAAAGGCTGACTGTACAGAAAAGTCTTGGACTTATTAATCACCATGCTTTGTTTGTTCATTATAAACAGCTGGAGAACGGAATGAGCACATTAGACGATCCCAAAAAGTAAAAAACTGCCCGTAATTACAATTATAATATTGGTGATGATCATTGTGATGTGCAGCACCATTGACTATTGATCGAAATAATTTTGGTACTGCATAATTCCCATCGTGTATACTCACTGTCCAAAAATTAACAAAAATAAAAAATGACAAATAAGTTACTTTGTGTAATGGAAACAAAAACACATAGATATGATAGGGTGTACTTTGAAGAAAACCGTCTAGCCATTGAAATGCATGGCTAGCAAATGGTGTTGGAACAATCCAACGATGATGTAGTTTATGTACTCGTTTATAAACAAGAGGATGATGTAAACCACGATGAATGAAATAAATTAACATATCAGTAAAAAATAGAAAGCTAAAAACTTCTTTGATCAATGGAATAATACCTAGAAGAAACGAGAAGAGAACGTATGAATAGGTCAAATAAACATTTCAATTGATTATTTACCGTAAGAATGTTGTGAACTATCGTATAATTTTGAATAGCCATGTAGTTCAATTAAAAATACGATAATTGTTGGAAAACTCATCATTGGGATGTTTTTAAGAGTGACAGTAATCTCTTGTCGAATTTGATTCTATAAATCATTATTGAAGTTATAATAATAGATGAAAAAGAAAAAACACAATCAATTGATATTTACTTTCAGAAATAATGGATGTTCCATTTGTTTTTTATTAAACAGAAATACATAACTGAAGCCAGCTACAGCAAAATATAACATAGCAGCCTGAATGTTAACTAATATAGTTAGGGTAATTAATTGTCGAACAATATTATCTTCAGGCCAACCATCTTTGGGATATACATAGGGTGTAAAAACCCATCGATCATACGTATTTAATACGATATCCATCTATATTTTGAATAGTACTCAGATAAATGTAAAGAACGACAAATGAGGTAGTATTGACAGAATGCTTTTGTATAAGCACTTCTACTTATCTAGAAAAAAAAGACGAATAAGCTTCAATGACACACTTTTTTCGAATAAAGTTGAAAGATCAAAAGTTATAGTTACACCATCATTTCTCTTTTCTTTATTCTTTTTTCATTTATTCCATACAGTACATATCCAAACGACGTAAATAGAAAGAAACATAACAAGAAAATGGAAAGAGTCCTGATTATTCATCAGCGCCATTGTCATCATCGTCATCGTCCAACTAAAGTATATTTAGAAAACAAAGTAAACAACATTAAATATATAAAATATATTCTTCATTCTTCGTTCGTTAGCAACCGAAGAGAAAAATAAAATGAAATATACCTTCGCAGAGCTTTCCTGTTGCTGCTGCAAGAGATACAACCCTCGACCGACGCCAGTATATGCTCCCGGAGGATAAAATGGTGAGAGTCGATCGAAATGATGGCATGGCAAAAATGACAACCATTTGAGCATACTGAGATTTTTATTAGTCAAGGAAAAATTTAATACGAATGAATGTTCTACTACTAATCTTCACTTATGAACAATTAACTATCTAACTATTATTATACAAAAATACATACCTCATTCATACAAGCATTATCGAGTATTTTTTGCACGAAAGGTAAATGACGTAGACGTCCGAGTAATGTGGGAATGATGTAAGTAACAATCGAGAAATATGGACTGCTATGTTCATAGCATGAAAGCATCGGACCGAAAAAAAGCCATGAAAACATGCTGTGTTAAAAGAAAGTTAAGGAGAACAAAAAGGCAGATTAGAGTTGTGAATATATATATATATGCAGGTGTATGAGAATGTGATAGGTGATTTCTCTGTTTTGAATCGTAAGGACTAATTTCAAAAAAATTATTCTTACCGTTAAATTCATTTTTGTTCTAACTTTTTGAAAGGCAATCTGATAGGGAAGTGAAAGACGCCAATCGATATCGCTATTCCATGGAGAAAATGAATGAACAATTAACCGCTCCAAATAGGCCAACATACTGATTCACGAGAATCAAAAAGAATAGTCAAGGAAATAAGAAAGAAACACGAATAACTATTAGAAAACTCAGTGTGATTTTAAAAAATAATATATTGTTTTTCTATGAAAAAGGATACGATTTATCGGTGATTTCTTTTTTGATGATATGTGGAACGATGATTTCTTCTTTAAATGTTGTTATCTCAGTCTAGAATACACTAAAAAAATGAAGCAGATTTCAACAATGAAGAAAAACATACTTGAGCGTCCTCCCATGTTAATGGTTCATGTTGACCATCATTGCCGAATTTTTTATCATATCGATCATAATGAAGCTAAAAGCAACATATTAAAAATTTTCGTTTTAGAAAAAATAAATATTAGAACTTTACCTTTTCAAGTACAAGACCAAGTGGTGGTGCTTTCGGAATGTCGATCTAGAATACATGTTAGGATAGAATCATGACTTGAATGTTCAAATCTTTCTGTAGTCAAACACTAGATCTGCGATTAGATCTCGGGTATACTCATCTATATTCTGAATAAAACGAGTGTAAGCATTTACTTGCTGCTATTTCAACTCTGTTTGGATTCAAGCGAGAGCTGGTTTAAATACATATGCTTGAATAAAGAAAAAAGCCCATAGAAAAGGAATCAATGTTTGTGAATGAGTCATGCATGTTTGTCGCGAATAATTTCTATACGCAAGTTAATATTTATGTTAGAAGAAACCCATTACATATGAAAATTTCCCCTTCAATTAAAAATTGCAATGCTGGAATGAAGCTCTCTAAGTAATGTTTATTATTTTCTGAATCATTTTTTGTACCAGGCATATATGATCTCATATGTTGAGTGCTGTTTTTTTAAAAAGAGCATTTGCACTTGCTGTTTCTAAATGTGGAAATGAAGCTATACTGCTAAACAACTGGTTGGTGTATATCAATAAAAAAAAAGGCAGCGTTAAGCTACCCTTCAAATTTGTATTTATCAAGATAGAGATGTAAGACTTTGATTTGCTTAGAAACTTTTCTAATTTTAATAATGACTGAATTCAACAATGTTCCATTGATCATCTAGAAAAAAATATATTCACCTTATCTGCATTATATGCTTGTTGGATTGTATCTCGACTGGCAATACCACGAACAATGGCAATGATGAGACATAAAATAAAATTGTGATTAATTAATATTTTTCTCTTCAATTTCAATTTTAATAATATTTACTAGTCATTTTTCGTATTTGATGCAACATAAAACTTTGACCTTTAATTGTTATTATAGTAAATTCAACATTTTCTTTCATAAACGGTTCAGCGACCTAAACATTAGAAAATGTGATTTGCTCGAATGCAAAAATAAACTTACATTAATGGAAAAAATGTGTCGCCGAGCTGATGGATCGGTAAATTTTTTACCAGACGTAAAATTATGAAAGTTATGTGAACCAAGATATTCACTGGATACATCTTTTACTAATTGTAAAACTTCAGCTAAAAATAAAAATAAAAATCACCCGCAAACTTTCGATACCGCCAAAAATAATCATCGCAAGATATTAATTTATTTTCTTTTTATAACACTATTTACATTTCTTCATACTAAATATGTAACAAATCAATAAAATAATTCTCAAGCATATTGCCAATCCTATTGTTATTTCTTTTAATATTCAAATTATTCTGCAGCTTCCACTCGCATGTTTTATTCTAATTTTAGGTGCTAAAGCCTCGTTCTATAGAACTTCACCCAAAAAAAAATACTACATACCTGTAATTCGATATGATTCACTTGTAATCTAAAGAATTTCATAAGTTAAATCAAAAAATTTTCTTTTTTTAAACTGGTATCAAACCTCTTCAATTGGACAAAAAGCATATGTAGGTAGAATATATATATATGTTCGTGCATCACAACTATTTTTACTATTAAAACTAGCAGCAACACGTTTAACACCTAAAATTTAAAAAACAAAATTGAAATGAATCTGAAAGTTTTCTTGTATATCTTGTTAACATTAGGTCTATACACCGTATTTGTTGTTATCTATATTAGTAAACATTAAGGTTATCATTTCGAACCGAAATAAAAATATCCGCCTCTTATACATCATCAAGCAACACTTGCTATCATATTTTTAAATGATATACTTTAAAAACTATTTGTTATCCAATTTCACAGAAAAAAAAACAATAACTAAGAGAATGATTTTGGCTCACATTTTATACTTGATTTAGAGATCGAACCGGTCTGTGTATGCGCTTATTCTATTAGCTATCAAAGTTTTAATTTACCGAACATTCGAATTTGTTTAGGTAATTGATCATTAACGAGTTGAGTAAGATTTTCCAATGGAGATAACTTCAATGAAACAAGATTAGCTACAGCTGAAACACCTTTATCAGTGCGTGCTGCTCGTTGAAAACACATCTAAATGGAACACCATTAAAACCAAAATCAAAATTATTTTTATTACTTTAGACATATCATCGGCATGTGCTTGTGGAATAGCATCAACTTTAACAAATGCTTCAACTAGTTCATCTTCAATTGTTCGATGTATTTTATCTTTTGCATTACTGTAAAAAAAAACAGATAGAAGCGAATGTCTGAAATTCATCAAATAAAAGTTTAAAATTACCGTTGAAGACCAAAATAACCAGCACCTAAATTTCAATATTAAAAATTTAATGAGAATATTTTAGAACGAAATATTAAACATACCACAATAGCCGAATGAAACGCAAACTTTTCGTTTTTTCAGTAGCCGTGGTTGAGGTGGATATATCGTTTTTGCTGCCGAAGTTTCAACCTAAAAATTATCATTTGAGAGAGAAAAAAATGTAATTCACGGCATACTTCAGTATCATCTTTAAATTTCTTTTTTGATGGTTCACTATCATCGGCATCGTTTGATTCTTCTTTTCGTTCAGCAATCGCACTGGTACTTTCTTGAAGTATTGTTGAAACTGTTGTAACAACTGTTTTAAGAATTGCTTCTGCTGACGATCGAGTTGGACTCAACATGTCTCGACGTTTTTTAAATCTAAAACATGATCATAGAAATTAGACGTTCGAATAAATCTGTTTTCTGTCTGAGTAATACATATATGACGAAATCTATCAAATCACTTGTACTATTTTGAAAATACTTCAAAACAATCGATAATATTCGTGTATTATTTTTTAAATTGAATCTAATTTTAGTAGTGTTGATGAAATGGACACAAAATAATCTCAGAACTTACAGCAGTCAGTCAGGTAAGAAATAAAATAATTGGTTGAAAAAAATGATCAATCAGTTGTCTGTGTGATTTGATCCAATCGAATTACTGTCCAAGTTTTACTCTCATTCGTCCAAGAATTGTTTGGCGCAAAATAGCTGCTGTATCTGCGATTTCCTTCTTCTATATAAAATAGGATATATTTTCATGTTGCAGTCTGATATATTATAGAACGAACAAAATACCACAGATGTAGTACAACGTACTCAACATAAATGAACGGGTGGGTTCTCTTTGGATGCATTCACGTTTGTCGATGATTGACATTGAAAAAAGACAGTCTTTTTCAATTACATTTCGTTTGCAAAATATAGTCGTTTGAGAGTAGAGCTAGAACATTCAAAATTCAAAATAATTGTCGATCTGCCTATATTAAATATAATTAATTGAGGAAAGAGAATACGATGAACTTGTTCGGTTAACTGTTCCTGGAATCTTTGAGCGATAGCTCTGTGAAGATTTCTCACTGTATCCTCATGGTAAAAATTACTGGCACGTAGGTGAGAGCTCAAAACGCCACTGTACATACAATTGCCAAGCGAACGCGCCGAATGGAACTCCAGCGATGACTAAAAGTGGCATTTCGAGATGTTACAGCATATTGATCAAAGGTTGCTCAACAAAGAAACGAAATGGCCGCAAGAGTGGTAGTATACATCAGATAATTGCGCTCACAACAAGCAACACAATTCAAAGTGTAGAGATCCAAGTCAAAACCATTAACAAGAATACTTTACACATAAATCCCCGGCAAGAGAAGTGCAGTAGGGGTGGTCATTTAGTGTTACTTTACTAAATAAAGATAAATGATTCATTTATCTTTATAAAGTAAAGATAAAGAAATCATTTATCTTTATAAAGTAAAGATAAAGAAATCATTTATCTTTATAAAGTAAAGATAAAGAAATCATTTATCTTTAGAAAATAAAGGAAAACTAAAGGAATAAATGATTTTTATTCTCAAGCGATAATCGAGTCGAAAGTATTCTAGAATTGTAGAACTTTTGTTTTGGCAATATTCTTATCGTTGGATCGATGTCTTTTGACTGAAAACAGGAACCTCTGAAGTGAAATCAACTGATACTGCTTTACTAGGATTTAGGGGATTTTAGTTGGAAAAATATAGATTAAATTAAAACTAACACCATATTCTGAATCAGCATTAAAAACGGAACAAATCTATGTGACTCTCGAATATATTTTAGGCGGTTAGGATTTTTGGTCGAGGAACCCTGAGCGGGAGACTAGGGGTGAATTTTTGTAAAAACTTAACTATCTAAAATATATTCGAAAGTCGCATAGATTTGTTCCGTTTTTAATGCTGATTCAGAATATGTTATTAGTTTTAATTTAATCTATATTTTTCCAACTAAAATCCCCTAAATCCTAGTAAAGCAGTATCAGTTGATTTCACTTCAGAGGTTCCTGTTTTCAGTCAAAAGACATCGATCCAACGATAAGAATATTGCCAAAACACAAGTTCTACAATTCTAGAATACTTTCGACTCGATTATCGCTTGAAAATAAAAATCATTTATTCCTTTAGAAAATAAATGATAAATTTTGTTTCAATCATTTTCTATTATTCTCTAAACGTAAATGATCCATCTATCTTTAAAAAATTAAACTATAGATGCTTTTTCAATCATTTACTTTTATTTTCTAAAGATAACGGATTCGTTTATCTTTATCCTTTAGTATAAAGGAAAATAAAGATAAAGGGTCACCCTAAAGTGCAGGCAACACCACATCAACCAGAAGATAATTGATAGTTGTATTCAGCCAAACATTTTTCTTTTTAGTAAATATCAAAACGTTCAGAATAGCTTCATCAATGCCCATAGTATGCCAAACTTGAATTCAATTGAAATTGAAATTGTTCAAGCCGGCAGCACTCTGAAGAATCGTGACCAATACACATAGTTGCTGTCAGTTTGAAATTTGAAACTTGAAAATTTCAATTTCAATTGAATTCTAGTTTCTCGTTTGACTCTACTGGTTTTCTCTGACAACTGTAACACTTGGCCATCAAAATACTAGGGCTAGGGTTTTATATTTGTGTGCATCGACAAATGATTTTAATCCTTGGTCATGAAGAGACGAATCAATATTTACAAGAAAGTTAAAACCAATTGCTTTTCAGTAGTCAACAAACAATAACAGCTATTTTCGTTGCTGTTGATGAGGATTGTGAACTATCTGAGAAAGGTGTCGATGAACGTTTCTTGCTTGAAGAAGTATCAAAAGAGACGTCGGTTGCATAGAACCATCTCTAACAAGGTCAAGATTAATGATCAGTCATAATTCGATTCGACAAACAAATGATTATTTAAATTAAAAAAAGTCAAAATGAATTTTATCTTTTAGAATAAAACGCGTTTCAACGAGTTTTTCATAAATAAACACGTTCAAATCATTGCACATATATATTTTATTTTGCAACTATCAACAGACTCAAACTTTGGACTTGTAAATTGACTTACTTGATGCAGTTGAGCCCTACTTTTAGTTAACATTATAGTATAATTACAAGTATATACTTAGTGAATACATGAAGAAATTTTGTGTTTTATTGGGAACTTTCCAAAGTTTCGAAATACTTATTCTGCCTTTTCCATGTCAATGATAATATATACTTAACTAGAGCTAATTTCAATATTTCCTAGGTTTAGCATTTTCTTTTCAACTTCTTTTTAATGTCAATTTGCATTAATTTAAATATAAAATCAATCTCAATGATGAGAAGTTACTTTCAAAAGAAATTAAAATTATCCAACATAAAATATAGGTAATTAGTGGCATTTTTATTTGATTCATCACTAGATAAAATACTGACAAAAACTTCTACGTATATAGATAGCATATCTGTATAAATATTTAAGCTGTCAGGAGAGAGAAGAAGAATACTAAACGATTACCTAAACAAAGTATAATAAAATAAACAAATAGTATATGTTCTTTCTTTTATTTGACTATTCGAAGTAATTTGGCAGAGGTACTTTTCGTCATTCTTTTCGTGTAACTTGTAGTTAGCAGAATATTCTTTCTGAAGAAAAAAGGTTCGCTTTTTCTCTTTGAAACTTTTTTAATCTCAATAGTGTTTGTTTTTCTCTCCTATTTGATAATTCTCTAAAAATGCATACTGTTTATGAGCATGAAATGTTTTTATTTGATTTTCTAGCTAGAGTGTGTCAAAGCCAAATGAAACATCTTTTTTAAAGATATAGTGTTGGTTGCAAGGGGGAAACGACGGATTCCGGATTCCCAAGATTCCCGGTATTCTCGGAACTTTTATAATAACGAATGACATTCCAGAAATTCGTATTTAACCTCTATGATCTTCACTCTAGTTCCGAAAATCTCATAGAGCTCAGTGCTAAGGCTCCACTGCTTTATCAAATGACTAGAAAAGCTGCATTAAACTATTGAGGAAAAGTATTTCCTAGCGAACTTTTGTTTTCATATGCTTGACCTGCCCAGACATCAAGATTTGTCCATAGCTCATCCCTTTCTTGTTCAAGAATCTCAAGAAAGCGACGTGCATGGGAGAGAGAATTTCATTAATATCGTGATTAAAAACACTAGATATAATTTCGACTTGCGAAATTATAGCCAGGAGGAAAATATTCGATCTGGAAAGTGATTGGAACTCAAAACTACCACTTTTTGCATGCAATTTTTTTCTTATGCTCATGGAATGCGCCGCCCTCCAGATTTGTCCACAGTGCATGACATTCTTGTTTCAAATGCTCATGTATTTCATGTGCATACCACAAGGTAGTTCACTGGGACTATCTATTTTTAAAATTCTAGACACTTAACCTAATTGGATGGGTATCGAGTCCATTTTGACAACTTGGCAGTTTGCTTTCGTATTCTTAAGAGAAAATGCCCGAGGCAGCATAACAAACAGCAGCAAGGAATACGATAAATTAATGAGATACAAGAAATATGTCGAATCAAATGAATCTATAGCATCTTATGTGCAATCTGTTATTCATTCAGTGATCTGATAGCTAAACATGTCTAAATCAATTAGGTAGTAGCACAGCCGTTCAGTCTATTAAAAGACAAGCGACTCTCTATCTATGACTAATTTGCTTTTGGCATCAATTTTTACACAAGAGGAATAATAGTTTGAGATTGAAGGAGAAATTGACTCGGGGGCTCTTATTATATGAAATTGAGATTTATC